GAAAGGAAAGGAAAGGAAAGGAAAAAGAACAAAAAAAACAAATGAGGGAGCTATAAAGATGCAGAATATACCAGTAGTGGCACCAAGTTTGAGTAAAGCACATATTTTGAAATCAACAAGCACAGGCACCACCTTTGCGTTCAGTAGGTCCCGTATTCAGTTGTATTGAGCCATCGCTCCTCGTAGTCTCGTCATACTCGCTTCCCCCAATGCCGTAAAGCCGTTCTCTCTCAATATCGGACCTTCTCTCGATAAGTTTCCTGGCGATGACTTGGAACAGCTCGTCTACCCCGGAGTCCTCTCTCGCCGAGACCTCATGGCAGCAGTCCATACCTACCCAAGTCTCATCGTTCTCGGATAGGTGTTCCCCTGCATAGGAAAGACAGCGTTCGAATGGGACCTCACGTTTTGAGGGGTCGTCATTGACAACATCCTACAAGGTGTAAATAGGCGATGACGTAATAAATTAGACGTTTGTTCGATTTGCAAAGACTAGCTTGAACGATGTTGCCCAACTTGGGGTGGCTTACGGTCTTTGTACCGACGATGTGGATAACGATGTTGTTTCTCAGATTCTTTTTAAGTTCTTGAAGCCTATAGATACGTCTAATGTTAGAGAGACAAAAGGTAGAGGAGGAAAGCGATGAAAGAAGAGATTACAAGACATACCAAGAATTAACGGCGACGAAGGATGCCTGTGAATATAGAACCTTCCGTTAACAATCAAAGGAGAATTAATAAGAGCATATTTGTAAAGAATTACCTCGTTAGTGACCTAGAACTCGGCAGATATATTAGATAGATCAAGCTAAAATCCCGAAGAAGTTGATGAACACACATCATAACATATCACCCCACAATTTGCAGAACGGTAATATAGCTTCGAGATAGACCGGAATCTCTCTTGGCCAGCGGTGTCCTAGTCCAAAAATTTGATATAAGTACGATTCTTCGACAGATAGCAATGCATCATCGGCCAGCTTGTAATTAAAACATCCTGCAAAGCTAGACGAACGATGCAGGGTTGGGAAGGGGCTGTACACACCCAGATCTACGAATTCGAAAATTGCAATATCGTCAGCGGCTAGCAGATTTGGATTTCAAGATAGACGAAGATACCGTGCATCCACCCGGGTACAAACGTTTAAGATGCAACGGTTTAAAGATCGGGTCTCAACCCCACACACCTGTAATCGTACTACGGTACCGTCGACTACAACCCTCTTGGCTAAGAATGATGCCCCAATCGTCGATGGTGCTGTGTTTCACATCGAAGCGGAGCAAAGGGAAAAATAAATCAGCGCCATGGGGGTTCTGAGATACTGGCAGGTATGGTCCAGGCCCAGATGTGGCTAACCTAACGGGTCGAATGTGCCTTGAACGTATCGTGTGAGGAGGCTGGTCTTGCCTGTTTATTGAGGAAGAAAAACTTCAATGTTAATATTGGTATGAATTTTCCACTCTCTAGGGAGGTATTTTCGTCAAGATAGCATTAGATAGTGGAATTAACAAGGTGCAACATTTAGTGTCGACATTGCATCAAGTTCTAAAAACCCGCGCGGCAAGGGCCTGGGGGAGAGGAAGGCCGTTGGCGAAGACAGCAGTCTATGTTGGTACGGGGTGGTGGTACGAGGTGGGATCCATCAAACCGTGTAATAAAAATTGCAAAGGGGAAATGCTCGTGAGGGGGGAACATGGATATGGTTGCTTGCCTACTCCCTGGGACCCCAGAATTACTATTTTATATTCATGATTATTCATGATACCGTAGTTCATGCGTAGCTGTAGGCTCGTTCAGATGAGGATGTATGAAGCTTGAAGCCGGCCGTTGAAAGGTTCTCGCCAGAGCTCTACCAAGGTGATATTAATATTACCGATTAGGGACCTGCAGTGCGACGTGCAAATTGCCAGGCGAGCAAACAAACGGAACCCGGGTCGGCTCCGCTCCAGAGCAGGTTGTAGTCGGCGGCGGCGCGGCGGGGCAGAGCGGAGAATGGGTAATATCAATGTCGAATGATATGATATGACACGCAAAGGGTTTTATGCTGTGAGCTGTATGTAACAGCTGATGATTGTAATTATGAAATTCGAAGCCGGGAATCGAGATGGACTTTTATTTGATTAGCCACGGCAGGGATAAGCTGGGCAGTCCCTCCTATCAACCAAAAACTGTGGAGAGGGCTCGATCCTTCGAATATGGCTTGTTCGTTTATTGGTGTCCTGGCTTCATCAGACCGATTCGGGATGCCGGGTCCCGACCGCTAGGCCATAATAGGAAATTTTCCTACTGACCGATAATTATTTTTTGCCCAAAACTGGGCTTTGAGCAGTTGATGCATAATTCTTTGGAGACACGCTGCTGGATTTGCTGTCCAGCCGCCACTCAATTATTCTGCAGCATTTCACGCAGGGATTCGTACCCCTCACCTAATCCTGGGACTTTTATTAATATTAACACATGGCCATGGTGATATCAATGGTGAACATATATGTATTATTGATATTCGATCGAATAGATGTGGATGCGGATAATAGAATAAGATGATATACTTATCCGTTATCCCTCAGAAAAAGAAAAGGAGGAGAAAAACGGAAGAAGGAGGAAGGGGCAGGCTAGGCTAGGGGAGGGAGGATGGCTTAGACAAGGTCAATAACGCCATCTTCATCTTCAAGCTCTTGCACCCTCGGACCATCTAGTTTCGAAGGGTCTGCCTCATCACGTTTCAATACATTGACGATCCTCTCGCAGATATCTCGGACATCATCGTCTTCCACTGCTAGATGAACTTCCCGAACAATCGGATATACCTGCAGCTCCCTTAGCAGCTCTCTAACCTCGCGAGTCGTAGTCAACAGTACAATACTGTCTAAGTGCGTCGCAATGATTGAACTGTCGGCTTCCCTTTTCTTGTCTGGAGGTAATAGCTGAACTTCAGCCGGCATACTAAGCGACTCGTCTTCTGGATACTCTTCGGATCCCATAAGTGGTAGAAGGATATAAGGCAGCAGATTCACAGAAGACTCCGATACAAGCGTCTGGTGCGAGGAGATGTCGAACAGGGAGTTCCTTTATTGCGTACGTCAGAAATTCATGGAGATTGAGAGGGAGGAGTTTTCAAAGAATCTGGTGGGGTCTTACTTGATGGTCGAGGCGACTCCTTTTCTGCGTACTAATGATTCGTGCTCAGTAAATACTATCAGTTTCGTAAGCGGTATGACGTTGTCATAAGCCTGTGCCTCAATGAAGTGCTTTCTTCCATCTGGGTGCTGTACCTCGCGAAAATTAGGATGGATTCGACTGTTGCAAACTCGAGAATCATGGAGTCTTACCCCGGCGATGTCTGCAAACAAGTATGCAAGATAATCAAAGTTGGCATTTTTGTTCAGAGTCTTCCCAGATCCCTTCACGAAGAGATCCATCAATTGGTCCATTGCATTTTCACTGTCGCTGACCTTCCACTCGGGCTTCGGCTTCTCCCGTTTCAGTTTTAAAATTTTCCCAGGTATTGACGTATGTTTCGCCATATTTGCTAGCAACATGGCAATGGAATCCGCCCCGGGATATGAGGGATTCGTGATCAAAGAAAAAAGCAGCTCGAGAAAACTATCATCGTTTGAGAGAAGTTCTAAGACCGCTTTGTCATCAGACACATTGACGAGGATGGTCGCTGCACTCTCCGATGTTGTCTTCACATCTACTTAGAACCAAAGACGTAGACTGGGTGACCCCTTTTGTTTTACGGAAGACAGCTTACAGGGTGGTCTCTGACTAAGACTTTGAGATCTTTGATTGGCTTGAGGCCTGGTGGCTTGAATATGGAGTTCTGGGACCCCGTTGAGTACCCTACGAGGGTTCCGCAAGCTGATTCTCGAAACACCGAGTCAGAAAGAACGCTAAAGTGATATAGAACCACCATAGAAAGCTCAACGTATAAGGGTAAACGGTACCGATGTTTCTAATTTCATGGCGTGGAGATGCAAGAAACCCTACCAACTATCCTAAAACTGTCAGATTAAGATAGCTTCGTATATATCCCGCAGCCCGTATATATGCATCGACGGATAGATCTGATGGATATATGCATCTACTCACCTCTTCCATAGGCGACGGTTCTGTCATCTTCGCCTAGCTGTAAGTATGTGAATCTTTTATCACCAGCCGGTCAACCAAGGAGATTCGATATAGCTCGTATAGTAAGATAACGTAGTGATTTCAATTAGTTGCAGTTAGTTGCAATTTTGCATGTAATTTTTTGGTGTTGTAGATTTGTGGTGGTTTGGGTTTCTTGGGTTTCGACCAGTCAAGCGGGAATCATCCCGGCATACATTTCTCGAACCTCATCCCAGTCTTCATCCCTCCTTCTCTCCTCCTACCCCCATCCACCGTCCTCCCCAATTCTACCTCCCTTATCATCCGCAAAATTTTGTTGATACCTCCGAAGCCATGTTTAAGCTACTCCGAAGCCGGCCGATAGCGGCCTCCTTGAATTCCGCCCTTAGGGTATGTAAACAGCCTCCAAACTCATGCCACTTTGCTAACCCCACGCTAACTATCCGATGATGACATCCAGAACCCAACAAAAAGTCACTTCATTCGCCAGCAGGTCCGGCCTTTGTCGATACACGAGTACCTTTCGGCCAACCTCTTGAAATCGGTATGAATTGGCTTCCTTGAAGAACCCGAGCCTAATCGTCGCGCTTCCTTCCGTCCGGTGTACTCAACCCACCCACGAAGATCACAACAAATAATAACTTATATTCTGCTTCTCTCGTGGATGATAATATAGTACGGCATTGGTGTTCCGAATGGCCAGAATGCTACAACGGTCGAGGAAGCCGAGAAGGTCGCTAAAAGCATCGGTATGCAGTGACATCCCGATAATATCTCAATGGCCCCCAATTTCTGATTATATTTGGCTGTTCAACCAACAAGGTGGAGATGACATGGTCATCAAGGCACAGGTTCTTGCAGGTGGAAGAGGCAAGGGCACTTTCGACAATGGTTTGAAGGGCGGTGTCAGAGTCGTTTACTCGTAAGATACCCTTGCTAGGCGCGTAGTATTCGGATGTCAATTGATCGGACCCGTTTTCTTCGACATAGGCCTGCTGAGGCAAAACTATTCGCCGGAGAGATGATTGGTCATAAGCTTATTACAAAGCAAACTGGTGCGGCTGGTAAACTATGCACTTCTGTTTTCATCGTCGAGCGCAAGTTTGCCCGAAGAGAATTCTACCTCGCGATTCTTATGGACCGTGCTACCCAAGGCCCAGTAATCGTGGCCTCTTCCCAGGGCGGTATGGACATTGAAGCCGTCGCCAAGGAGTCACCAGAAGCCATTGTCACCACCCCAATTGACATCCACCAGGGTGTGACCGACGAAATCGCTCAGAAGATTGCCAAGCAACTCGGCTTCTCTCCTCAATGCATTAACGACGCTGCTAAAACAATTCAAAACCTCTACAAAGTTTTTATCGAAAAGGATGCTACTCAGATCGAGATCAACCCGTTAGCTGAAACCAATGACCACAAAGTTCTGTGCATGGACGCCAAGTTTGGTTTCGATGACAATGCTGATTTCAGGCAAAAAGAGGTATTCTCTTGGAGAGATATTGCTCAAGAGGATCCTGATGAAGTCCAAGCTGCAGAATACGGCCTTAATTTCATCAAGTTGGACGGTGATATCGGATGCTTGGTCAACGGTGCTGGGTTGGCCATGGCGACCATGGATATCATCAAGTTGAACGGCGGGAGCCCAGCAAACTTCTTGGATGTCGGAGGTGGTGCTACACCAAAGGCCATCCAACGCGCTTTCGAGCTTATCACCAAGGACCCCAAGATTACCGCTATATTTGTCAACATCTTTGGCGGTATTGTCCGTTGTGATGATATTGCCCGTGGCCTCATTGGCACCGTCCAGAACATGAACCTTCGTGTTCCTGTCGTTGCTAGATTGCAGGGTACCAACATGCAAGAGGCGCAGAAATTGGTAAGCTACTAGACCCGGGCGGGGAGTTACCCTGTTAGGCCATGAAGACTCACAAATCTACCAGATCAATGAGTCAGGATTGAAGATTTTCTCTTTGGAAGACCTACAATCAGCAGCCGAAAAGGCCGTCCAGTTCTCGAAAGTTGTAAAGATGGGTAAGTCTTGTTGGTTCAAGAACCAAATATCCCGGGAATCATCAATTGAATGTTGGACGAAAGATAACTAACCTAACAATCATATTCAGCCCGAGACATCGACGTTGGGGTTGAGTTCACTCTAGGAATCTAGGCTGAGAGAAATTCGTCCTTAGGCTAGGTAGCTACGTCGGTGATTTACTAGGCACTAAGCCAAGTTGGTCTTTGAGTAAGTAAGTATGGGAGGCTACAATTATTGTCTACTTAGGTATATAGAGGGTATTCCACATGGCTTGCAATTGTTACCGTTCTTTTCCACATATATAATATCAGGTGAGGCCAACCGACTGCTTGTCGGTTGCTTGTCGATTGCTCGTCTGTAGGGAACTGATCAATTCATTCCACAATAATATTGATACTGATATAAAGCACTTACTTGAGTATCTACATGTGTACATGTATAACCCCCCTATCTACTTCCTTATTTAGCTCTAAATCTATATTGCATTGCATTGCATTGCATCGATAGATCTGAATGAGACCAATATTATGCAACAATGATGTTCCTTCTGTGTTGCAATTGTCCGATTTCTTAATTTCCTTTTCTTTAAAAACCACATCTCCATCGCGTTGCTTGACTGTCAAGATGACGTCCATCTCCAATGATATCGACCCTCTCGTCCTCCAGAACAGGATCGCCATTGTCACCGCTCAAAGACGCAAACTGATAGAATCACTATTGCGACCACCAACTGCCGAAGAACTCGGGAATGCAAAGTCTGCTGAAGCAATTGCTGCGGAGGAGGAAGAACTCTGGAAACCTCGGCCCGCCACGTTAGTAGCACCTACTTTCACGCCTTTGGATCAGAGACGGGAGGTCCTTATTCTAGATTCTTGACTATCAATCTAAACTAAATTTATTGCATTAAAACAGACTAGGCGCTGGCCATCCAATACCCGCTTCGACATCTGCGACGGAAACCTACAACCGCGAAAATGACCTTCTCAGACGACGTCTCCTCGGCCAGAGTATCATGAAAGATGCGCGACAGCGGCACCAGGAAAGAACAAAGCAACAAGCCCGACCTAGAGGTATAGCCAATTCGGGATCGGGTGGCGATGATGATGATGATGAAGAAGAAGAGCAGATGAGTCGTGGGGCCATTGCCAATAGAAGCTCAAAGAAGCGGAAATTCCGAGCGGGAGATGGACATCACGCAGAGGCTGAGAGTGTAAACATTCAACATGCCGGGAGCGACTCGGATGTCAGTATCGGTGGTGGGTTTGTGTCACTGGCTACGAAGGCTGCTGCACTGGAAAAGGGGAAGTTCAAGAAAGGGCAGAAGGCCCCAAAGCGGGAGGCGGCGTCTAAGGATTCCTACCATGATGAAGATGGGCCAGACATAAAAGCTGCCTCAGCTAAGAATACCGAAGTTTCATCAGCAGATTCACTCGCACAACGTATTCTCACAGGGGAGAAGATCATTTTGGTTGGAGAAGACAAAAAGAAGAAGAAGAAACGGAAGAAAATCAAGAACAAAAATCACAATAGCTCTGAGGGCTAGATAACTATGTCTGATTCAGGAGTGTCCCTAGGCACAAATTAGCAAAACCAAGTACACATGCAGTTACAAGGTCGCACGAATACTCTATGGCCGGTCAACTAAGCCTTGAGGACAAAGCTTTAATAAGTATTCTCTACTGATATCCGTGTACATTCTCTTTATCGGCTAATGGGAAATGTATCTCGTCTGTATGTGCGATAGCCTTAAGATACAACGAACTTATATTCAACGGGATGAGATTTGAAGTCAAAAATATTGAACAGCTGCAATGGAAAATGACAGGCTTTATACAAAAGGATATCGAATCAACAGAAGTCGAAAAATCGCGAAGGATGCCGAGGAAATCAAATATGCTGTCTCCAACTTAAGCACACCATCATACCCCCCTCCTTCTCCCAAATACCCACCGTTAAATAAGTATTTGTATATACTCGCAGAAGCCATCGCTGTTGGCCAATAGGAGCCAACGCTATTCGCATCAACGTGGAATTCACGGTGCCGCAGCAAAAGCATACAACGCCAGACCTTGCCCTTTGTCATCAAACAAAAAGATACAAAAAACTAAAAAATAAAACTTGAAATGAGAGTTCCGAGCCAACATTGAGTGTACTATGGAAAAGGAAAGTAACGTCAAATCGCAAAATATAACAAAGATCTGACGTCAATGAGAAAGGGAAGAGGGTTATTAAGGAGAAGTATGCAAAGTATATATATATAAATAAATAAAAAGGACAAAAGAAAGAAATGAACTGATAGTCGTTAGTAGTGAACTCGAGAGTCAAAAAACTTATATATATAAAAGTATATATATAGATAAAAGGGGGGAGAAAAAAAAACGTAAAGCGTGCATTTAAGTGCTTCGAAATCAAGGACGGCCGCCTGTCTTTTGAAAAATGAGAAAATAAAGCAGAATACTAGTCAACTCTCTTTCTCTTCCGGCTTTCCTCGCTTGCTAGCTCCGTATCGGATCCTTTGTCACTAGAGTTGTCTAGGCGGGAAACCGTATCTTGGGCAGACGATGGGTTTAAAAGCGCATGGACGCCGCTAGCAACGATGCTGCTCCGGCGGGAGCCCATTGGAGGAGGTGGTGCGTCGAATTTAGAAGGGCTTGTTGTTTGCTTGGCTGTAGCAAAAGACCATGTGCTATCCGGGCCGATGGAGGAGAGAGATGGCTCAAATGGTGGTGGTGATTTTCGAACAGAGAATGATGGTCGAGGGGCAGGATTTTGGGATCTTATTTCGTAATTGGAAAAGCTTGGGGGCGCCTCATCCTGGGCGTTTTGTGGTTCACATGATCTGCTGGACGTGCTGTTGCCCCATTGGACTGCGGACTGGTGAGAGAATGGCGAACTTCCTGGAGGGTTCCACCCCTGTAGTCTAATATCTGCAGAAGTATGGCGCCTTGACAAATGGCTAGGATGGACAGGGAGGCTAGTTACAGATGCTCTAGGCGCAAGTCTGTCAATCGAGGAGGGATGAAGTGACGAGGTCGGTGTAGCTCCACCTGGGCCGCTCATGGAACCAAATCGTCTCTGGCCCATGGACCCGTTCTGGGTGCTGGAAGTGAATGGAGGGCGGAAGTACCCGCTACCAAGTCCGCCTCGAAGCGCCGGTGGAGGACGTCGACCGTCCTCATCGTACTGGGGTCCTTGTCGAGGTGACATCGGCCCAGCACTGTCTATCGGTGGGAAAGAAAAGGTTGGAATGCGTTCCCGCTGGAATGTTTCAAGGCTTTCCTCCAGAGACGTTGCATATCGCTCAATTTCCTTTTGCCTTGATTGGACTATCCACCATACTGTTAGGGCTGGATCTAGCTTATGAATTCCTGGTGGAAAAACTCACTTTCTCTCAGAATGGAAACATCGGACTGTGGGATTATCCTAGCGATATATTGGGACAGGTCGATAGTCCACTGGTGGCACCGGGTTAGGCCCTCAAGAAGATTTTGGCACTGATTGCCCAATGTATGATTAGCATCCTCTAGACGGTGCACTCTGCCGTTAACGTCCCAGTATGCCTGCTCTAAGCTGGCAAGGCGACCCTCAATGGTGTCAACCGACTGCTCGTTCGGTGTTCCGGGGGTACTGGGGACCACATTTCGATTTCCGTGGTTGTATTGTGGTTCCTTGTGGATTGCCGGTCTTGACGGTCGGCGTCGGATATCTCTAAGGCTAGCCAGATCGCCACGTTTGAAGCTGCCACCACCATGCTTGAATTCCCAGAGCGCAGAATCTGGAGATGCGGAGTGGAAAACGTCATTCACTTTGTGGAAGCCGTACATATTAAGCTGACGAACAAAGGACGAGACATTGGTATGTTTGAAATATTGGCTATGCAGGGTACAAAAAAGGGTCAGTAAATATTAGAAGCTCCGGAGGATATGGAAAACAAACCTAAGGACTTTGGAAAATTCGCCTGTTGGGGACATAACGAAGCTTTCCCCGGATGTTGCCCACGAAATGAGATGTTGAATTGCGGCGTCCTCGAGCATACTAGGACTCGTTAGCATCGATTTACCACCATGGGCTCGCCGCTATCATTGGTCGCATAGACTCGTACCTATAAAGTTTGTGGATGAAGGCGGTTTGGACTTTAGGTTGCTGTAGACCATTAGAAGCCGAGGCCATAGCAAGGGAGCTACCGGCCGTTCCAGGTTTTATAGAATCGGATAGGGCAGCAGAATCTCCCTGAGAGTCCATATCTGGGCTACCCGTCGTTGTTGTAATGTCCATCGGCTCGGACTTTGGTTCGGAGGAGTGGGTGTGAGTTTGCGAAATCGAATGGCCCCGTTCTATGGGCCCACTAAAGGGTGACCTGGCACTTGTGCTTCTCTCCATCATCATCATCTTGGCGATCCGAAAGTATTTGAGATATGATTCCGAGATATCATGCAAATTACTCTAGTATTTGTCGAAAGGTAGTTTGATAGACCAGGTAGTTAAAGGAATTGGGTGATTCGTTTGTTGTAAGGCACAGAACGAAGGGCTCAGCGGTTTCTCGGGTGTACAAAGTGAACGAGTAAAACGAATCTGATGGCAGTCCAGTGATTTCCTTTGGCAGTTGGTGAGGTTTCCGGGTGGAAGGATTGTGCTGCTTGTGTGATCGTTGCACGAGTTGGAGAGTAGATTCGGTCGGCAATAAACGGGAGGTACGGCTTTCAGAACGAGTAATTTAGGTGAAGAGAATGGGTTTCGTTTCGGCAGGAATGGAGTGAGAGTCTAACAGGAACTAACTGGTGGCGAAGCTAGTACGAGGAGTTCAGTTCAGGACTGGAAAAGGAAAAAAGAAAGCAGACAAAGGGATTAGTATGGTAGATAGGTTGGTAGGTATGGATGATATATTATATGGGGATGTTTGGTGGAGGAGATCTCGAGAGTGAGGGTGGGTGGATGTGGATGGTGGCCCTAGAATCGGCTTGGAATATTCTGCTCGAAGGATGGGCGGATGCAAGCAAAAAGTTGCGACGGAACTGAAGCAGGCAAGAGGGCGAAGGGGGGGAAGGGAAAAAAAGAAACGAAAGGGTTGGTTGGTTGGAAGCGAGGAGGTTCTGTCTAAAGAACAGCCAAATAAGCGGTCAGATAATTAATTGGTGGTTGATGGTTCTGGAAGGTCCGGGACTTGGGACTTGGGACTTGGGACTTGGGACTTCGGAGTTTAATGGTCAGGTCAGGACATTGGAACAAGACAGTTTCATAAAATCCCAAAGAGCAAGCAAAGTGATTCTGGTAAGACGAAATAAGATGAGATGGAGATGGAGATGAAGATGGAGATGAATGAAGAAAGGAGGAGTGGGCGAGTGAGAGGAGAGGTAAGAGAAGAGAAGAGAAGAGAAGAGGTAGATGGAATATATGTTCGGAAAAACACAGATGGCAGACAGATCTGGAGAGAGCTCGACGGCCCGAACAGCGAACTGACGTCCAAGGGTCTGAACATCCGTCTGTCTCTCGATCCAGACCAACATATACCCATACCTACTATCTATACATTCTTGCTTGCTTGCTTACTTACTTGATTACTTGACTTACTTACTTAACTTGCTTAGGCACTTGAGCAAAGTTAAGTAATTAAGCAAGCAATCAAACAAGCAAGCGAGTACCTTGGTAGGTAGGTAGGTAGGTACTTAGTAGGTAGGTAGCCAGCGATATAATGTATCAATCTATCTCCACATCGGATCTCAATCTTCACAATACAACCTCACCCAATGGCACTGGCGGACATTCACGTATGAACGGCTGCTCGGAAAGGCTGGTTCATCCTCGGAAGGGCCCAGTCCGGCAGAAATATCCCTCGACCACTCAAGACACGATCGTAGTTGATCCGAAAGTTAAGCCAGAGTCGAGTGAGTGCAGATATTTCCAGATCAAAACCCTTCCAAACCAATCCTTCCACGCCAGCCTAAGCTAACCACGGCAAGACCGTAGCTAATTGTGCTACGGTGGACGGGTAAGGTGCGAACCGCCGTTTATCCTTTCTCTTTTGCCAACAGCGGCACCAGGCAGGCAGGCAACGGAAGAGGAACCAGAGTGGGGATTCCGCCCAGGGTTTGGGGCCACAGCCAGACACATACCCGAAGACTTGTCCAGGCTGTCCGTCTTTCCTTCGCAATTGAGTGTGGGGAGAGAGGGAGGAGGGGGGGAAAAAGGGAGAAAATGCAGTGCTTTGATTTAGATATAATATTCGTGATGGGGGAGGAAATGGTGACTGAGTACCTATTTCCCATTTACCATGTAGGCATAATAGGTATTTGGTACTTAGTGGTTGTAGGTAAGTTAGGTGGTTTGCTATACCTGGATGGGATTCAAAATATCCCTTGGCCGGGAAATGAAAGATCGAGATTAAGATCTTGAAGAAAAAGAATAGAATAAAAAAATAAAAAAATAAAAATAAATAAAAAATGGAAAAATGGGAAATGGGAAATAAAATAAAAATGGAAAGGGAAGAAAGGATCAAATCAGATCGAATAAAAAAGACATTTTCTGCCGAATTAACCAGGAGAGGAAGAAAAGGGAAGGGAAGGGAAGGGAATAAGGCGGATTAATGGGAAGTCACCTGGTTGAATTCGACGATGTTTGAGCCAACGGAAAAATCGGGAAGGAAGTGAACATGTCCCGTATCATTGCCGGGATCACGACGGGCCAGCACGTATAGTAAGTACTGGTGGGAATGAAACGAAAGAGAATGGAACCCAAATGAATGTGCATGCGTGCATGCGTGCGTGCGTGCATGCGTATTTTAACAGAACGAACAAATGAACAAATGAACGAACGAACGAATGAACGAATGAATGAATGAATGAATGAAGGTAATGCGAGGGGCCGGAACACCGGAGCACAACAATAGATATAAGTACCCAATATAGTGGATACGAGATTGAGAAGCTTTTACTAACCTGGATAGCTTGAGATTTAAATTCGAGGATTGTATATATCGAAGGTAAATACGTTGATGATGATGCTGATGCTGATGCTGATGCTGATGTTGATGTTGATGTTGAAGATGGTTGTATGATGAAGTTGAAGTTAACTACCTGCTTTAAGTGCCTGGGTATCTGCCTAGGTCAGTTGAGATCAGAAGCAATCAACGCCCATGTAAAAACAAGTACTTATGATTATAAGGCAAGCGCAAATCAAACAACAGAAATTCGAAACAAGTACATGGAAGTATACTGAGGTCCGATCGAAAGGATCAAGATTTTGGAGCAAACGGCTAATTAGCGGTACCTGTGGCAGCCTTGCGAATCAACGAAAGTGCTCACAGATATGGCATATGCCTTTGAGGAAAGTCCAAGAAAGCTCGGATGCATCGTATCATCCGATCAGATCAGACCGGTCAGAACATGGCCGCACAGACCTCCCCGTTATTTTCCTCATTGTCGGGGAGTGAATGTCGTATTGTGTAGGTCCTTATATAACCAAGACCGAAATGAAGCAAGGGGCAAAACCGTATTTATTTTACTCACCTGTTCACTTATATAAGTAAGTATATATAGATACAGATATAGATATAGATATAGATATAGATATAGATATACTATAAACTATTTCTATATTTTTCTAGTTTCAAAAGGTCTTTTCGAAATTTTCTTTTTTGCCTTTTGTTCGGGAATGGATTGATTGATGGCCGGGTTCGTTCGATGTTTGGTGGGTGATTAATTACCTCCCGATGAGAACGTTAACTAAGTAAGTAGATGCTAATTATGTTAACCAAGCACGAAATTTATATTTATCTCAAAAAATATATTAAAAAAATATAAAAAATATATATTAAAAAAGAGGAAAGAAGAAAGAAGAATTAGACTGTATATTATATATACCATAATGGTATTGTTTGGGTGCGTGCAAAAAAGAAAAATGACAATTATGTAAATGGATCAAAGGAAACCAAGCCTCAAACGCGGATCCAGGATGAGGCAATTCCAGACAGTAACGACATTACTTGGTTTTTACCAGGACGTTTCAACTTACCGGTGATAGTAATAAAAACAATCGGATATATAGACAGAGGTGTCTATACACTTAAAGTTGGTATATAAACTATGAGGGATCAAATAATTTAATAGAATCGAATGATGAATGATGCTGATGTCGATGTCGATATATATATATATATAAGGTATATACGTATGTGTATACGATGTGATATGATGCTAGCTGCCTCACAGACCGATTCCAATCCACGCGAGGTTCACATCAGATCAATATATATCCATGAAGATATCAACATAGATCTAATGAAAGTAGTAGTGGTGGTAATGGTAGTGGTGGTAGTGATGGTGATGGTAGTGATGGCGATGTTGATGTTGATGTTGATGCTGCGACTGTGAATGTGACGGCGATAATGAGGCAGTCGCATCGTTAAATATTTATAACTTCTCTACACACACCCACAGCTGCTGGCTCGAGTTAACATTCGGTACCTGAGATAACTAGCGTTGTTGGTCTGTTTGAGATGATCCATGCCATGCAGCCTTAGCCTGGTTTGGCTACTGTGTGGCTTGCAGTGCAGAATTTCCATCTGCTTTGCCTCCTAGTGTGGTGGTGCAGCAGCTTGTTTCATTTCTTGCTTGCAGGGGGACGCCTGCTCCCTTGCTTTGCTCGCTTTGCTTGCAATTGCTTCCAATGCTCTTTTCCCTTCCTGAAACGACCACCAAGGGAGCTTTCCTGCAGGTCCTCACCCCCCCCAAGCTTCATCGGAGAAATATTCGTGGTTAACGCGCCGGCTGTCCACGCAACCTGATATGATCCCAAAAGTCGGCCATCTTGTACTAGTCTATAGTCGCCGTAGAAGTCTTCAACCTCCCCAAAAGAGCATCACGACACCACACACTTGGATTCGAACTATCTGCACACATGATCAATTCTTTTTTTCTTCTTCTTTTTTCCCCCCTTGGTTAGGAAGAAAGAAAGAAAGAAAGAAAGAAAGACAGACATGTACATTCATACATCCACACATACATAGGTACATAAACATATGATCGGATAATATATAATAATACACGTAAGTACTATGTGCATAGCTAGTAGGCCTACCATCGAATCCCACGACGAATATACGCAATCTCGTCATCCCTCATGCACGCTCACGTTCGTACTACTGTGTACATACCCGTCGGCCCCAGTCCCGTACATATCCGTCGTCATAGGGTGGGGCCCAGGCATAGGGCTGCGTGTGGGTGATGCTTTCTGTCTGTATTTTACTTTGCGGAGCTGTGCAGCACTCGACTCGTTCCTTCCTTCCTTCCTGTTCGTATTGTTCGCGCGAGAAATGCAGGTACCGGTTTCTGATCCTCGCTACCGCCATCTTTGTTCTTTTTGCTATCGCAATCTTCCCTGCTCGTATGGGGGTCTGTTGACCCAAATTTGGCATCGATGCTGGAGATTTTTCTTCCTGTCGACTGTTTCATGTTCTGCAGTAGCATCTTAATGGCCTTGTGCTAAATGTACGGCGAACAGGGCACACGCCTTTCTCTTGGCAACTTGTGGCAGTTTGGGCCTGGTCTCTGCCACATCTTCCCCTAAACAGCAAAACTTGCCTGGCGCTAACGGGACCAACTCCAGCCTCCAGCTAATCAGATACCAATTTTGTATCCGTCATGGGCAGGACGAGGCTGGAGTCGGAGTGGAAAATTTTTTCGTCCCTAACCTCAATTCGACTATATCGATGATTATCACGAACTAGTGAACTTAGCCTCAGCTCCCGTCATCAGCATTCGGATGGAAGAAGCGAGAAGGTGGCTTCCCAGGTGGCGTGCATATACACAGGCGAGTCGATGTTTCGTCAACCGGACAGTGCAGTACATACTATGCTAGTATTGAAGCTAAAGAGCAATATCGGATATCGATTGTCTATAGCTAAGTACCTTTTGGCAGATGTATGCAGGCCCTGTACTCCGTACCCTCGATGCCATTTGTAATACCGTGTGACGTAGGCAACATTGGTATCGTTAAAACCCTTATGACAGTGAGAATCAAATCTCTTCGGCGAAGTGTTCCTGGAGCCTCCGAAACTTCCATCAAACTTCCAGCAACTTGCCATATTCGGCGACCTACAGCAGAGTAATCAAATGCAGGATGGGCTATTAATTCCCGAGAATGAAAGCTGGGGGCGCTTTGCCAAATATGGAATCGGTTTCTTTTTCTCGCCTTCTTTTTTTGGAAACCTGGCCTAATCGGTGACGTTTGATGCATTTCTTCGAGCAAGGGGGCGCTGACAGCTGAAACGCTCTAATGCATGTGCAGTGCAATTGAGGCCACACGCCTCTTGATAAGTTCAGTGTTAAGATTCGATCCAGGATCCCGGGTCTGGAGTGCTAATAATATCATTTAACGATGCACACATGCACAGCGAGGCGAGTAAGTAACTTACTGGCTCTGCTTCTCGGATGGATGCATGCATATGGACGCCATGGTCGCATGAAAGCATGGACTGTGGTAAATTAAGCTTAGTGTATATGTATACTTAGAATTAACACGAGGAGATATCATCCGATTGTGCATGCTACTTCACTTACCTAGGTTATCAACCGACCAGAATAGAATCGGGATCAAGTAATGGTTATCTAATATCAACCGTGTTCGGATTTGCAAAGCAGAAGGAGCCCACCTCATCGATCCATTTCTATCTTCGAAGCTTCGTGTCTGTTTATCGGTTATCGCCATCAAGGTGGAATAAGTGGTTAGGTCGAGTTATCGATATCCGTGCACCCGTCACCAGACCACGCTATCATGCAACGCATATGCCTAAGCAGCTAAGTACTGACATACGTAGTACCCGCTTCCCCACAATTGCATGTAACACACCACGCCAGCCAGCATCCGATTCTCGCTTTCATGCATGCACGCATGCCTTCCTTCCTCCCTTCCTTCGTGCATGATTCCATCCAATCCAATCCGGTATGGAGAGCCTGGCATTAAACGAGGCTCTAGAGACCTTCAAAACTTCTGGTCAACGGGAAAGAATCCAATTGTAAGTTAGCTTGGCATCCCGGTCTAACGTCTGTACCTAGAGTTATACCTATCTACCTAGCAAGTATCCACAAAGTCAGCACTAGTACCTTCTCTAAAAGGTATTATATTCTAGCCTCAATGCTCTGTTCGATTCTTTTCTCCCATCCGAGAAATATACTCTCCAAGAAAAGTTGAGAACCGCCAATTGCTATTTTGATATCTTTGGGTTCCTTCCTGTCGAAATCTCGCTTCAAATCGCTGAAGGTCTCGATCCGAAGGACATCATCCGCCTTCGTCGGGTGTCCCTGCGATGGAAATCCCTTCTCTCATCCTCACAACTGGCTAAAAAAATCGCCTACATATACTATGCAAAGCGATCTGATCTTCACTTTTATGCTCGTCAGCTAGAGGAAGATCCCTTTTCAGCGTTGAGAAATATTGCATTCAAGGAGTATTCTGGTGAATCTGGCTTATTTAAGCTGAAAACAGGATATGACTTTTCTTTCTCAGGAATACCTCAAGATAGAGACGGTTTCTTTGTTGCTTTGAAGGTATCCGTCGGTCTTGAATACGCGATCTTCGGCCACTCTCGTCAAGGCTCGTTGCCTGAGACTTATCAATGGTATCTAGTTGACCTGAACAGAGGTCAAAGTCAGACGCCCGCACCACTGGTAAACAAGCGCAGAGAAATTCTGGACAAGAGGTCGGCTCACGTTGGTGCCCACTGTGCAGCTGCCATTACCTTGAATTCCAAGTACGTATATCCATATAAGCTGAATACAGAAAATTAACCATAGCACTAGTGATCGACTAATTCTAATGTGTGTCAAATAGTCGAGCTCTGGTTTGGAATAGCAACGGTCGCTTGATTCGCGAATTCAAACTCCTCCATGAAGGAGGTATGACCATTAGCTCCTCAGAAAAGTACCTGTGTATCCGTAACGAACACGGGGATACTGATTACTCCGACTACTATCTTGTGAACCTTCAAACAGCAGCTTTGCGGGTTTTCGAAAGAATTGCGGACTTTGTCAAAGCCGCCACCCGAGTGAGTTTCGGTGTCAAAATTGAATTTGCATATATCCGTATCAAGCTACTAACACACACCTTGTTCGCAGGAAGGCATCATAAACTCGCCGCCGATGATGATTCTTGCCAATCGAATTACTGTGGCCGCGGTTTTTTTGGATAATGATCATAAACCTCAAGTTTGTGCAAGTTGGCTGACCTTTCACGAAGAGGAGGGTACTCTGATTGAAACGACTGCAGGACTTATTAATCATGACCTCCCAGATGACCTACCGGATCCTATTCTACAGTCGATCTCGTTTTGTCATAGCATAAACGCAACAGGAGTGGGCATGCCGGGCCTGGAGACTAAGGAGTGGAATGTCCGGTTGGCCATCCTTTCGGATGGGGAGGTTTCTGCCTCATGGAAATGCTTTGATCTAAATCCGCTTCAATATCAAGGCCCCGACGCGACAGCATCATTTTACTACAAAGATACTTTCTACACCGTCATGCCACTCGCTACCGAGGAGCATTTATCGAAGGAGAAGAACTATTTATGTAACTACTCACTTTGGTGTTCCAAGGGAGATCAGTTGACTCCCCTGGGTCCAGGTCGAGTTTTAGAACTTGTGGGTATGAGTGGACAGCTTGAGGAGATAAGGCCGCACGATAAGGGTTTCGCCGTTTTCTATAGGGGAGGGGTGCATGTTTATGATTGGCTGAGTTTTGATGAATTCATGGATTCCCAAAAATCGAAGTAAAAGAATAGATCGGGGTCGAAGGATTTAGCTGCTGAGTTTTTGAACTTAAAGCTTTAGAGTCTTTCGGGGGATTTTAGCTGCGAAGTATCGGTATATTTCTTCTGGATTCATTATATATCTATAATATCTATATATTTCTAATATCTACACAGGTAAACTAAAAGCCTAGCTAAATACCCAAGAGCCAGGCAAGGCGAAGGCCCCCGGCGTTCTAAAAAAAAAAAACTCGGAATTTCAATTCCAAATCTTCCAAAATTAACCAGAAGAGATACCGGTATTGAGCAGAAGATTTCCACCACCCCTAGCATCCTTAACAACGTTCTTAAGTGCCAAACTCAAGATTTTCTTTTTCATGGCAACTGTATCACCTCTCAATTCGGGGAACTTTGCCAATTGGGTAGCTACAACACCGCCAACGAGTGGTGCGGCCATTGAAACTCCAGTCATAACTTCAACCCAGTTTTTTTTTCTCAGGGAAGTACTTTGAATCTCTGTTCCGGGGGCGTAAAGATCGATACACGGACCCCAATCAGAAGTTGGGATCCGAGTATCGCTAATATTTGTATTTCCCACAACAATAAGGGAAGGTATTTCTTTGACATACCCCCCCGGGAATGATTCACAGGCATCAGCACCAGAATTCGTAGTCGAAACGGTTAAGTGGATGCCAGCGGCAAGTGCATCCTTCAATGCCTTCATAAGCAGTTCACTGCCACCCGGAGCCATCTCCATGAAGTCCCTGGGGACACCCCATGACATGTTCATCACAGAACCTTTGAAGTCCTTTTTCTTCTTGTGGATGTTATGCTGTCTGATGGCCGCCTTGATACCGTTGACTTTATCCTGGATATACTCTAGAGCTGTTTTTTCCTCAACAATGGGACCGAGGGGATCTTCCATGGGCTCTGACATAATTTTGATCCCCCATATTGACACATTTTTGGCAACGCCGTAATGTGTCGAACCGATTGTTCCTGCAACATGTGTGCTAGAGACAAAAAAAAGGGTTAGGAGCGAACAAAGTACGATAGTGATTATAAAAACCAAGACCTATTACGGAAAAACTCGAACTTACCCGTGTCCATCACTAGGCCATATATTGTATGGGTTATCAGTGAATATTATCTGCGCTCGAGAATTGAAATCTGGGTTCAATGGGTCAATGCCCGTGTCGTGGATGTAGACGTCGACGCCGGTAGCCACATCACGTTCGTCGTATCGGTATTTGTACTTCAGGTCGGTCACATTGCGGCTGCCTTGTACAATAGATGCCACGCTGGAGATTCTCTCTAGATTCCAAGATGCATCTGTTTGTTCGATGATTTTTCCGGTAGCACCTTGGGTTTGTCTTTTAAGGGTTCGAGAACGAGATGGGGCTGCGGAGATGGAAACTGCCAGGAATGTGGATATTGTGAAGATTGAGTACTTCATCGTGAAAGAAATATTAATATCGGCGCACTGATGGTAGTAGGTAAGGTGAGAGCGTAGATCTAGTTTATTATAATATCAGTGGACCGGCCACTAGAAGCCTTTTCCGAATCAAAATATTAATATTTGAGTAATAGAGGAGATTTGTCGAATGCAGTTTTTGGGAAATTCGAGGTAGAATTCGAGAATCCCATTGTTCTTATATACACCCGCCATTGCGTAATTGCGTAGCATAAAGCTCGGGGTTTATGCTATGGGGTTATAATATAGTATACGCAATTAATACCCGACCCCGTTTTTGTACCCCTGCAGCCCAGCAGTTTCGAAATTGACCTGCTTCTTGTTGCATTTTCGGTGTTGTCGGGCTAACCCGAATAGTGAGGTCCCACCGTAGCATTCTCTAACATTCTCGAACCGCCACGCTTTGGATTGGATCACGATCATGCATCCGCAATGCATCATTCCACTGGGCCACGATCACGACTGAGCTGAGTATGTAGGTCGGTATAGGGATTGGGGCTTACAAATGGCTGAAACTCTTGATCGATATTATGATATCACGAAATCATTTTCATTTTTTCTTGCAAAAGGATAAGACGAAATAAAATTTATAAAATAAGGCAAGAAATAGGCTTAGCTTGGTTAGCCTTATAGTGGCATGGTACCAGTGATATCATGGCCTACCTTTGGACTAGCATTTTTAACATAACTCTACACCGCATACCGAAAGGTTTTATCTTCGGGAGAAAAATATAGCTGAACTGGAAAGCTTTAATTGAGTCCACCAAAAAACCCTACTATATACTAATTGTGCCGAGACGGCCCATAATCCAATATATATAAGTATATATTATGAACTCGCACCCATCTTGCCTCCAGACCAATATTAGGTATATAGAAGTACATCATACGTGCTTACTTAAGTACTTACCTCAGGTAGGCTGATGGAAATAAAATGTTGTCTTCGACAAAGTTCAAAGACCACTGATTTTTTGTTCAGAACGCTACCGGTATACGAACTTTCGAATTTCGTTGGCCATGGCCATAGACTCATCGTGGTATCCGCCCCCATGTCCGGCTCTGGTTTACGAGACAACTCTGGTCATGACAATATTGGAATGCGTGTCCCCATAAACATGACTTTATATAAAATAATGGTACTTTCTATACGCGGCAATTTTCGAGTGCTTCATTGAGTGTGGGAAAAAGACACTTACTGAGATCCCCGAGTGATCGATTTGGTACTCCACGATGTTCGCATATATATAGAGACGGTTCTTCATGAGGGGTGAGTGGCAATCCATAATTTTGGTGGCATGGTTGTTCTAGAGTCACATGGTTTTTATTTTATTTTGGTGGGAATAACAGGCGGGAGAGTAGGGTAGAATGTAAGATCTAGGGGCGGGGGCGGGGTATTTCTGGTACCCTAATGTTTGGAGATCATATATAACAGTATCGTAAAAGAAAGAACTTTTGAAGGTTATACCCACCTGAACGCCATCAAATGCAAGGCTCCGCTAGGAGATGCGGCTCTTACGGTACGTATACACGGGTTATATATCATCCATAACATCATCCATCAAGCCGTCACCATCTCCCGGAGGCATCATCTCTTCTCTTCCCCCCTTTCTGCCTTCCTCTAATTCCGTCACAATTTGGGGAGCGACTGCTGGATGGCCCTTTTTCCTCACCAATTCGAACAACGCCTTTCTTTGATCCTCAGTAATGTCATTTTTATACCTTGTTGCAAAGCTCAGAAGACTCTGGTGCCACAATAAAGGCATCGCCTCATCACTATTTGCAAAGCGAATAAAGTGAAATACTACGGCATCAACGGCCTTGTAGGGTAAGGCGTATTTTTTCTCCAATAATACCCTGATAAATATACTCGTTGGTCCGGCATAGTCCATTTCGCATAACCGCTGGAGTGCGGCAGCGGAGTGTAATACCGGAATTGACACTCTTGTAAGTACCGAGCCGACGATTTGAGCTTCACGCAAGGTGCATGTTCCCGATGAACATAGTGGGAAAAGGAAGCCTTTGTTGAAGGCGGCTGGTTTGTAAAGGGCCTTCTTCAGGGCCTTATACAGGTGGACATTTAACTTCTTGTGTTCGTAAATGTCGTCACGGACTCGATCAAGGAGGATGAGATTAAGGAATCTATTTTGGTTAGGATTATTGTTCTAAATTCGTTTATCTGGGAATGGAAACTCACCTTTGTGTCTGTGCGGCATTTAAGTTACTGGCGAACATTTTGGTGGCTTCGTAGCAGGCATGAGGAGACCATTCATCTGGCCTTGTCAGGAAGAGTATTTCCTCCCAATTTCTCAAACTTGGGATGATCTTAAATGGCTTTGGGAGCTTTCCAGATTTGTATCTCGACAGCAATACTCCAATCTTGGTGTAGACTTCGATCACCTTGGGGGGCAGCTCTGCTCGCTCCTCATCAATATCCATACCGGTTTGGCCACCTTTGGCTTGTAGTGAGCTTTCATGTTGTGCGATCTTTTCTAGAATCTTGTCTGCGAGCGAGACCGCTGGGCGTTCGCTCGTTGACGGTAAGAACTTGTTGAATAACTCTTCGTCTTCCTCATTTACTCTCTATAGAACAAGAATTAGGAGCTTTTCGAGAAAAATAGAAGTATGAATTTATTTTTGAGGGAAACGAACCACTTCCTCCGCAACGTCGTCATCACCGTACTCGTCCTGGTACTGGTCATCATCCTCGTCATCACTCTCATCTTCCCATTCTCCTACACCTTGGTGGGGTATCAAGAAATTATCGACAACCGACTTTCCACTCTGTGAGGGCTTCTCTTCTTCCAGCTCATCCTGTTGTTCCTTTGCGAGCTGCAAAATCTTCCTTGATAGCGTGGAGTCAACAAAGCCCTCATCGCTGCTCTTGCGTGCGTCTTTGGAAGCCCTTCGTTTCTCACGGGTTGGCTTTGAGGAAACCGTTTTAGATACGGTTAAATCTTCGTAGAGGGGATTGTGGCGGGCCTGCCGGTTCGTCTGGGATTTCGCGGTATCTTTAGGCATTGTAAAGATAAAAGTAATGGAATATTTTCCAGAGGTAGATTCAAGTGCTGTTTTGATCGGAGTCGAAGATGGAGGAGTAGTTCAAGATGGTATGAGATGTGGAGCTTTGCATTGGAGCTTTCCATATATAATTTTTATTTTTATTTTATTTTTTTATTTTCTATTTTATTTTTCTCGCTTAATCCAACCTAAGCTTGTGTTTGCGCCGAAAATTACCAAAACAGGATTATTTCCTTTTATGGTAATTTTGAACACCCCGAATGAAGCAAGTCGCATTGACATTCGCCATGACCTTCATCTTGACCTTCACCTTCACCTTCACCAGCCCCCTCCCCCCCACGAACAAACCTCACCAACCAAACACCATCGCCATTACGCCTGCTGTCAGAATTGCCCCCTACAGCTGATGCTGATGTGGCTGGCAGTCGTGGAGCATTTCTTTGGTTGTCGCGTTTGCTAGCCTCAGCTTGGATACAATGTCAGCGAACGACCTCCCCTTGCCCGCTGCTGGAAATAGCGGCGTCCCCGCCAATCCCGCTGCACCTTCACCTGGCAGGGCTACATCACACCCGCCGCCTGTTATTCCTATGAAAAGATCACTCTCTCGCGACCCAGAGCCTCGAATTGAGTCTCCTGTCCCTGGAGGCCACCACGCGACACCTCTTGCTGGATCCCCAGAACCAAATCTTCTGGGGACTGGAGCCGTTGCAAACCGCCCCATCAAGACCAAAGCGCGTGACAAACCAGCCCCTCGTGAAGGAGGCCGTGAGAAGAAGGAATCATGGAAGAAGAAGGAAGCTCAGGCTGCTGCAAGGGGTGGCACCCCTACATCGGCCCCTACAGGTGGACCCTCGGCGAAAGGTACTTCGAGCAAAGCAGCAGCAGCAGTTGTAGTTAAGGATGCACCTCCTGGACTACAAGTCTACCCGCTTTCTCCACCAAAAGAAGTTGATTACTTGGCCGCGAAACCGCCGATTTTTGTCCCCGTAACGTATCCCAAGAATTCAGATGTCTCTTTCTTTGAAACTACGGAACAGTACGTCCACATTCCTCCCCTCTATCGCCATACTGTTGTCCATCTATGTGCTGATGTAACCTTTGAATTGGCAGCCCTTCAAATCGCAAAGGATTTCGCTACTTGCCTTGCAAAGCTTCCCATCTTATCCCGACGCTCAAATACCATACCACTGAAGTCCCCCCATATGCTGCACGAATATCCTACGAAGACAAATCCAACCATATCCACCTCGATGAAACTGGTTTTGCGCTCACAACAGAGAAGGGATTCCGCTCTGCTCGTGCTAATGTTGGACTACGTGAGGGGGACTGGTACTACGAATGTAAAGTTCTCAACGGTATTAACCCGAACGACCTGACAGAGGAGAATGGCCACGTCCGTATCGGCTTCGCACGGAGAGAGACTAGCTTGGACGTCCCTGTTGGATACGATGCATATAGCTACGGGGTCAGGGATAAGGACGGTCAAATAGTCCACATGTCGAGGCCCAAAGATTTCATGAAGGAAAGTGTGGTTAATGGGGATGTCATCGGTCTTCACATATCCCTCCCACCGTTATCCGTTCAACGTGGGATTCTTGCACCGTACTCCGAAAATTCTAAATACCCGCCAGATGTTATCCGGGATAGAGTCCCGATTAAATATAAAGCGCAGCTGTATTTTGAATCTTTTGAGTACATGCCGGTAAAGGATATGGAGGATGCTATGAATCCTGCCGCCCCAACCGTTATTGGTGCACCATCCCTTAGCACGGCAAAGGGCACCAAAGCTTGCTTCAAGTCATTGCCTGGTAGCAAGGTTATAATTTACAAGAACGGGAGACGGATTGGTACTGCCTTTGAGGACCTTTTTGCCTTCCTACCGCCAGCGAGCCAACCTCTCTCGAGTGGTGGTGGTAGACCTCTGGATGATGGGCACTGTGGGTACTATCCAACCGTCAGCGTCTTTAGAGGAGGCCGGGCGCAAGTAAATTTTGGGCCCACATGGGAATACCCTCCAGAGGATCTTAGCTTTGGCAATGACGATATTCCGATTTTGATTACTAATGATGATGAAATGCGGGACGACGATGTGGTTGTAGAGAAATACAAAGCAAGAGCTATTTGTGAGCGGTATAATGAGCAAATCGCTGAAGATTGTGTGTACGACCTTGTGGACGAGGTAGATCTGTGGCTTGCAGAGAAAAAGGCAGGAGAAGCGGGTCCTAGCGGCGCAGAGAATGGTGCTGGTATTTCTGTTAACGGCGTTAACCCTACCCAAGAAGCCAAAGAAATCCAAGAGATGCATATCGACGAGGAATAGAGCGCCCCGTCGCGTGGGCGGGTATCAGGTTTGCCGTCGCAGAAGAATGCAAGGCCTGCCCAGAGGGCAAAATCACAAATATTACCAACTCTCCAGTCTGGTGTAAGGATGTCGTCTACGCAACCCTAGATGCCACTGGCCTCACGGGCCCTGGAGATTCCAATGGCGGGAACACAAGTCCAGTTTGACACGGGAATGATACCGGTGCAGTATCTAATGCAATATCCAGCTTCCAAGTTGGCCACGAACCCTACACAATACCTGCCGCAGTATGAGGGTCAATGCTCAATGCAGCACCAAATTCAACACCAAATGCAGCACCGAGTGCAGCAGTATTATGACCAAAATAACCCGGCGCAAAGCCTCGCGCTACCAATCCTAATGGCTACCTCTGCCCCTGGGCTTCAGTTCTCACATCATCAACACCCACAAGCTATAAATAAACATAGCTTGACTCCTCTCCTGAAGAAACCAAAGTTGGATGACATCTTTAAAACCCCCGGGGCCCCCAGGAACCCGTTCGCTGGGATTCTTGATGAGAAGCCCGACCTCGAACACCACCAGCTTGACCCTCTTGCGATTTTGTGAGCATTGCACTATTTCCCCTTCGTCGCAATGTATTAATATTGATTAGTCTAAGTTTAATTTCCCTCCCCGTTTGGATCTTCCCCACTGTATATTAGTTAGAATTGAATTATGATGTAGACGAGTTCCCCTTCGTAGAGCGGCAACCGATCATGAGCGGGCTGCATGCCAAGTGCATAATTGCATTGGAGGTCTAGAGTCTTATATGTAGCGAATTATAACTCATCAAAATGTGGCCCAAAACGCCCAAGCCAAATCAACTGAGAATGAATGGATAGACAAGAAAATTCTATCGACGTTTCGATTGAAGGCTTGCTTTCTGTAACCTCCTTGGCAATTCCTCTTCCTCGTCTTCATCATCGTCTTCTTCGCTCCGATCTTCCCGTCGATGTGATAAGCTTTCCCTTTTGATATGAGCAGCAGCGGAATGAGAGCTTTCCGCTAGTTCGTCTTCTCCGGGTGAATTAGACCGCCGATGTAAGGCGGAGGTTCGTCTACTACTGGTACCATTTAATATACGGCTAAGCTTCCGCGGAGGCTGACCTTCATTATCTTCCCCCTCTTCTTCAACCTCCCCCAATGATGTTCTGTTTCTTCGTCCTAAAGAATTCCGTGGCCTCCTCGGAAGGGGGGTGGTTGCGTCCGTATCTTCATCGACCTCGCAATCGTCATCGCCATCACCAAACATGGTGCTTCTGCGGCCCTTGCTCTTTTCAATACTTCGCTTGACTGCTTTGCTCAATCTTTGAGGCATGACTCCCTCTGAATCGCGGCCCTTAGCCCTTCGTAGACCTGATGCGCCGCTGCTGGCACTTACTCCTGCTCTCGGTCCTACAGGCTCCCCTGTCCATTCCTTCTTACAAGTCCCACATTCCCTGGCAGGTAGCCTACTAAACATAGCTTCAGCGCAGTGATTATGTAGCCGATACCCACAATGCATATCCGAGCACCGCTGGCCGATTGTGTGGATGTACCTGCAGTGCCCACAATGTTTAATCCGCAGTTTCTTTGGACCCCTCCTTATTGTTCCATCTTCCTGTTCCTCTTCTTCCTCGATATTATAGGTGTCCGATAGATAGCGCTCAAGCTCCAAGAGGGCTCTGGTTGAGAGAAAATGGTACCCCGCTCTATCACGCTCAAGCCAGCCTTCGTCGACGAATCTGGTGAGACAGTCCTCTGCTTCTTGTTTTGTGAGGCCAATACCAGCACCAGCAATGGTCTGTCGTTCTTCCTCGCCGTTGGCATTTTCAACAATGACCTCTTGGTTTTCACGCTCGGAAGGAGGATTTTTGTTGAGACTGATGGCACGCATACTTTTGACGGCCATGATCTCGGCGTATATGGTGTTACTTGTGTCGAACATCTCGTCTAGTAATCGTTTGAAATATGAGATTTCGTCTAGGGTGTGTGTGGTAGCAAATCGGATTATATCATCGTTGGAATCATTGACAAGGGCGTAACAGTGATTCCCATCTTCTTGGTCAGGCATTTCACGGATATCGAGATCAAACGAGGAGATCGTATTCTGGATCGTATGAACGATAGCACGGAATTCCTTAGGAGGTACAGATTCGATGGAGACATCGGAGCCTGCTTCAGCGGATTTGATAGCTGCGAGTAGTTCACGGCCCTCTTGGACGTCGATGAAAGGACGGATTAGAAGGGCTTGGAGGAAGGCCCTGTGGATATTTGAGTAGACCGACATTGTTTAACTTGTGGCAATGCTAGTGGTCAATGTTGGAGAGAGACGATGGTCTATAGATCTAGGAGGGAGAGGGAGGGAGAGGGAGGAAGGGAGGAAGCTAGAGATGTTATAGCATTTTGGTCTGTGCATGTAAGGTACGCGTTGTTGTGTTGGTGTTGTGGAACAAAGAACGCAGCACGCGAGTGGTCAAGCTTCCCCCGGAGTATCCCATGCTTCTCCCCGAGACGTCTCGAGGTTCGGGGAACTAGCTGACGCTTCCGGGGCTGACGCCCAGCACGTGCACAGATGTGGAATCTGTCCCTTAATTAGTGAATTCCTCCTTCTGATCCGCACAGCTGTCCATGCGACATGCTTCTTCCATCTCATCATTTAGCCTTCTCTTCTTCGTCATCGTTTCTTTCTTTCTTTATTTCTTTCCCCAATAGTCTCCTTGTAATATTCAATTAAATCACGATAACATTGCCATGATATAAACGACAATACCATACCTATCACCGAGAATTCACAGAATCTTGCGCGTATCGATATCCCCTATCTCCACCAAAACAACCACCCATTGGATCATCTCAGGAGCTATACGACCAGTCACGATGTGGTTAACCGATCAACAGAGTATGCCTAGAGCTATATTTGTCCTGAAATCAGATGGGAATTTTTGAGGGCTAATACTTTTGGTGGTTCCTTAGAGGTTGGCGTTGCGTTTTGTTCCGGCGGTATGCTACTATCTTTCGACGAGGACAGGATGATAGATATCTGATGCTTAGCATATAGGCGCCTTTTTTTTCACATTCGGGGTGATAATGTTTTTTGATAAAGCCATGTGAGTTCTCTGGGGCGAGATTTGTCTAAAGTTAATAAGCCGACGACTCGAGTGCTGATGCGAACATGTTCTCTCAGGTTGGCCATGGGAAACGTTAGGACCACCCGATCAACTTTTCCTTCGTACTCACGCCTGAAATCTCACGCATACTAATTATCAATTTATTACTTTTTCCAAAATCCAGATCCTATTCCTAATCGGCCTGACGTTGACAATGGGTGCCAACCGTACTTTCCTCTTCTTCGCCCGCCGCGAAAAGTGGAAAGGAACGGCGACATTCGCACTCGGTATACTCGTTATTTTCCTGAAATATCCGCTTATCGGCTTTGTCATCGAATGTTACGGCATATTAAACCTCTTCGGCGACTTTTTCGGCGTCATTATCGGCTTCCTTGGGAGTATACCGATCATTGGTCCTTACATTACCCGAGTCGCCGGGAGCTCTGCGAGGGCCTTGCCGGTATAACGACTCTTTCCTGGGTTATTTTTTCTTCTTTTGGCATTTGGAACGATTCCTACGATACTACAATGGTGATAAATGGCGGCAGAGGCTAGATGGAAGTAGTCAATACGAGCGCATATCCGTGACGAGCTCTTCGGATCTAAATCCAACACCACTTAACAATTTACGAATCCACCTGACATAAGTTAATTAGAGAAAATGTGGGAAGGGAGGGGGGATCCTGGTATATCTAAAAAAAAAAGCCATTGGTAAAGTAAAACCTTGGTAATGATTGGAGTCTCAATATGTAGAAGCGCCAAGGGGCAGCAGAATATAATAGTTTGAAAGAACAGGAAGGAAAGAAAGACAATCATCACATATTCGTCCAACTAAGCAAAAGCGTGCCCGTACCCACATTCAATACTCCCTATACGCTCAGGAGCAACAACAACCTCCCCAGGGGAAAAGGGGGACTTGGGATTTTGGGAGGAACATATATAAATATATATATTGATTCGTATGTTCTGTTAACAAGGCTCGTTGAAGAGCGGATTCCTCGATTGATTTAAGCCAGCTCTTAATAACCGACACCCTTGAGATAGTCTGCAAGGGCTTTGGTCGTATCAACTGCCTTAAACCGGTCGACAGTCTCTGGGTGGTGGGCGATAATCAGAGCTTGGTTTGTTTTGATGATAACGATGCCCGCCTTTCCTTGCTAGAGATTTTAAAATTCCTGTTAGTAACCCCAAGGATAGCGTGGGAATTCAGGAAGCCCATACCCGTGCGTATACATGCTCCTCGTCGTGAGCTACGTTGATGTGCTTTTCACCCCCGATGTAGATTCCACCCTGGAAAAATGGAGAGTCGTTGCCGTGTCTTGGTAAGCTGGCAACAACGGCCTTTACTTCCTCTGGTTTGACCTGTTGTTCCAGTGACGATACTTAGCGATCCGTCATATGCGAGAAGAAGAAACACACACATATATATACTTAAGTATGTATATACGTGGGAACAGATTGTGTAGGTACCTCGTAACCAGGAGTGACGGCCCAGACGGAGTCACCGGCGGCACTGAGGATAACGGCCTTATCGATGTTGCCGGTACCAACCAAGCTGTTGACGGGTTGAAAATGGAACGGTTAGCTATGTGTCGTAAATAGTTTCGAATGGGTAATCAAGTCTCCCCGGGGTTTGGTAGAGATGGTAATGGGTGAATAAAATAGAAAGGAAGCTTGCTTGAAGCATGGTGTATCGGGGTTTACCTAGTATCGATGTATGCTGGTCATGTACAACATTCTTTAGTCAGCCGGCCATTGTAGAAGGTGGGGGTTTGATGAAAAAAAGTTGTTTGATAGAGGAAATACGGGAATAAGGAAGGATATTATAATGACGTACCTTGCCACGACATGGTGAATGTATGTATGTATGTATTTAACGATGGAATCAAAAGGTATCAGGGACTGAAGTTTAGGAAGATGAAGGAAGGATGGAAGGAGGAAAGAAAGGATGGAAGGATGGAGGTCAAAGTTAAGATGAAGTTAAGGTGAAGTTGAGGTGGAAGGTAAGGTAAGGTAAGGACAGGTAAGTCGGTAGCTTTAGCTGTTTACGCTCTCTCTCACTCACACACACACACACTTTTGTACTCAGATATTGAAGGGGAAGTAAGGGGAAGAGAAGGAAAAGGGAAGTAAAAGGGAAGGGAAGGGAAGGGAAGGGAAGGGAAGGGAAGGGAAAGAAGGGAAAGGGAAAGGTCGGAGTGTAATGTCGGGAGGGGTTGTTAGCTGGTTGTTAGCTGGCTGGTTGCTGGCTGGTTGCTAGCTGGCTACATAGGTAGGTAGTGTGTTGGTTTGACCAGATCAGAGTGGGGTTGATGTTGATGTGGTGATGGCGGGGCACGCCACAACACACCAAGTTGGGTAATTCTTATCCGACGTCGACGACGGCCATTTTCGCCGAAGGGGAATTACTATCCGACAATTCGATCGAACATGGAGGTTATCTGTACTTTATACACTCTCGATCCCGGGAGATTAATCTAATCGAGTACGTACATATCATCTCAAAAGTTTAGCTTAGTAATGTTGCTGTATACTAAGTACATACTGGCTTACGACTTAAGTACTATATATACTGCATATCACCGAAATCGGTCAACGCCCGATGGCCAGGTCTATCCAATATAAGTATGTATACCTATTCTATATTAGTATGTGTAAGGTATATTAACTTAAGTACTGAAGTATATAAGGTACTTAAGTATATTATTTTATGTTATTATCATTTACTAGACCCGGATTCGAGGCTATAACCTAGTCCCCAGGTACCCATCAGCTCTCTCACTACAGGCTCTATCGTGACGTCGGCCATATATATGCTTAGCTTAGATACCTATAAAGTATTCCACCTGCAAATTTATAAATTGAATTTTAATCAATAGGTAACTTATCTTCACACGGCATATCCCACGTGCTTGGTCTTATCCTTGTACCAACCATCGAACCATCGGAAATTCCTTCTTCTTCTTCTTCTGTAGGTACGTGTAAGCAAATACCTACTTGCTGGTACAGTTGTGGTTGTGGTTGTGGTTGTGGTAGTCGAACAGGTGGACATGGTATCAGCTGCCTCGTAACGTTGTCCCATCCATCCCGTCCAATGGAGACACAAAAATCAATTGGTCAACCTTGATGACATTCCCGCAGAACGTCTCGGTTCCACTCGTCCACGTTCATACAGCCTTTCCAGGAATTAGTGAGGCTCCCTTTAATATCAAAAATTCCCCCCTTTCCCCTCGGAATGCAATGCTGATGTGGAATTCTACGAGTGGTCGAGGCCGAAATTATAATTCTAGCTGGTACCGACGGCTTGAATTGATGCAATCTGGCGCCGGCGTACGCGAGCCAACCGTTCAACATGGAACTCCATCCAATTCTCACCAATCGCCAGCCAACCATAGCCGACGGATGCCCAAACTGCTGGTATGACAGGGCTGAATTGCGCAACATCGTGCATGTTGCAAACCGTGAACTAATTTGCACCTGTCCAATCCTGTTTTCTTGTTCAAATGTCCCGTATGCAATGGCCTAGTTACTTAGTGTACCGTGTACACACTTTGGTACTTAGTACTCGGCGTGCACGAAAATGAATTCGAAAATAACGGAAATGACGCTCGTTTTGGCGATTGGAGTACCGAGCTCTCTTGATGTTTACAATGCAATGATACACTCAAAAAAACGAAACACTTCTGTTCCAGAATAGCCTATCGAAGGGTATTGTGGGTGATGTTCATGCATACACTCAGGCAACTCTAGAGCTTCCAAAGAGGAGTGACATAGCCGATGGAAAGTGAGGCTAGGCATTGACATGCTTGCCACAAACTTCACGCCGAAGCCCCAAATCTCTATCTGAAACTTCACCCAGAACGATCCCTTCTGTTCACAAGACACCAGGTGTTTCCACACGGAATCGACCCCAACATGCGACACAAGCATTTACCAGTGTAACACGGACCTGTTGTTGAAAGATACATTGTGCCGAGTCACAGGTACATGAACGAGGCCTTTTTTTTGGGCGACCCCCTCCTATGGGTGCTAGTCATGTATGAAAGGGAAAAAGGATGTCAAGGTCAAGTTAGGCCAATTAACGCTTAACCAACCCTATGGCAAGAAAAAAAAAAGAGAAGAAGAAGGAAGAGGACAAAAACCAAAGCCAAAAATCAAAATTACAAACTTGCTGGCGCCCGACCAATGAAACGACGAGCGCCCGCCAGCCTTGAATCCCCATCGTGCAGATACGGCGTGGGTCTACCGCTGGACAACCGAATTCGATAGTCTGGCAAGGGCAATGACGATAGGATGGGATTCCTAGTCTTGTTACTTCATTAGATCGACAGTTCATTAGCCTAGGCGCTGTCTATTGCCTTAGCTTTTGCGAGTTAGGCTTGTAATTACACTGCACCTGGTGAAATATACCTACCACAAGGCCTTGTGACAGGGCCTTGACGACAAACCCGGCCCGAACTTACCTCAGATGCAGAAGTGTGCGACCGGGTCCTCAGACGTTGCGAGTTGCTAAAAGTCGGGTCGATAAGTTAAAAGGAATTCGATGCCCCTCTCCCAAAGGGTCCCTTTTCTTGTTACGATCTGGTTCCTGAATTTGACCTTTTCCAGCACAGTTTCAAAAGTCTTCCCTTCAAGGAACTAGTGCGACCATTCACTCTTTTGGATAGATTGCAGGCGCATATTTGGGGTCAGTATTATAATTCCCCGCCTTTATGGCAGATCACCCGTAATGTATGTATGATGTACCGAATTCCCATTTCGATTCTTTGCCTGGTGCATTACATTCATTGCTAAACCTGCCCATCCAGTTCCTCAATCTATTGCGCACCCTCGCTCGCTCTTTCCGATTCTAGTTCTGCACTGTCAGCATCCGTTCTTTTTTGCCTGCTTACATACCTACATATCCCGTCCAGGACCCACAGACGGAGCTAACTGAGTAACTAAGCTTTCCTTCTTTTTCCCTTCTCTTACAATCATTTGCAACAAGTCGCTTCCAGGAGAAGACGGGTAGCACCTGCGGGATTTGTTTCTTCCATTCGCTCTGTATATTTTTATTTTATCTTACCTTACCTTCCTTTTATCTCACTTTACTTTCTTATTTTCGTCTGCTATTCCTTTTCGTCTTAACTTTTGCATTGCATTGCATTTGCTTTCGCATTTTCTTAACTTCCCTGGACATCGCGCATGGTCGCCTGGTTACACAATTCCCAATCCGTTGACAACACAGAAAATTCCAACACCTCTAAGGCTTAATTCGAACGCAGACATCTGCATCTACGATCCACTGTTACGATACTGCAGGGTTATATCGCATATATCAGGCAAGAAGTGTAAAGGTTGCTTGCCTGGCCAGTTGGGTTAATCTTACGCTTTTGAGTTACTATGGCGAAACTTCTCCTACGCTCGAGGTCGAGGTCCGAGGGAAGGCTTGGAAGGAAGGCAAAGGATGCTTCAAAATCCAGCGACTCGTTAGGGGTACTACCTCCCAAATTCGATGATGAACCACTACCAAGTTCTCAATATATTCCTCGGAAGATGGATGGCTTGACAGTGGAGTCTTATAACGTTCAGCAAAGGTCGTTCGAAATTGCTAGACCAAAAACCTCAGGTGGCCGTGATAGTCCATATAAGACAGAAGACCGACCGAAGACATCGCATGGCAAGAAGGATACTAGCCTGGAAGAACCTAATTTCTCAGTTTTGAATAGATCATACACATGGTCTCGTGAACAAGCCGTTGGAAAAACGAGACCTGGTCCTAAACGCCAAACAAGTAGCCCCATGTTACACGCCTTCCCACAAAGGTCCGCTTCACGCCAACAAGAGCATACACCAGATCTTGAAATTGGAGTAGCGCTTGGTAGTCCCACTCACCACCCGAAGACACTTTTAGACGCTCGGAGTAGTAGAATGTACGGCCTGGAGGACTGCTCGAAATCATTACCACAACACTATGTGTCTCTTGACAACAAGGCGGATGACAGAGTGTCTGCTCCTAGCCCTGCGCCTGACAGTACCTTCGTTCCTGAAAATAAGGAAGCCAATTCCAAGAGCAGCTGGAAGAGGTTCTTTGGAAAAGGATTGTTTCAGAAAAAGGCGCCTCAAAAGTCGACAGGCGCACAGATGCTAACATCTCAGACTTCCATTACGACTACAAGTTCCGTAACATTGACTAGCGTCCAAGGCACCAAAGAATCAATGGACTCAGTTCGACAGGATACATTAGTTGAGGAAGAGCCCGGGTCTGAAACACGGGTGGAAGAAGTCCCCAGGGCTGAATCCACTCCCATGCTTGATGTGGATATTCCAAAGGTCGAGATGGAGCGCTACAGTGTCATGTTTGATTCTCTACTCAACCACCAAGGTTCAAAACTATCGATCTATGCGAGACGAAAGTCCGGAATACATGGTGGTGCTGCTGCAGGGCAGAAGCTGGTAAGTATCTATCTTAGAAACTTGGCTATATAATGGTTCCTAATCACGTCTATCTAGTCTGAGGATGTAACACCCACTCCAACTTTGAATCTACCGAAAAAGAAGGACAGTTTGCCCGTAGGCCAACTTGGTCTTATAAGCAAGTCGCCATTATGGCTCTTCCCTGCAACCCCTCGGACGCCAAAGAGCCCTGGGCGCCCGCGCGCCATGACCACGCCGACTGAAAGTACGGCCGAAACCCCTGAGGTTCTGACATTCAGAAAATCTCGGACTGAAAGCGATATTGTACCGTCTCTACTTATGATGCTGGAAGAACGAATTGCGGAACGCACAACTTCAAAGGCAGACAAAGACCCACAAACACCGTTTTCTGTTATATCTGAGGGCTCGGAGCTCGATAGTCCCTACACACCTTACGGAGCAGAATATGGTACATCCGACGGTAGGGCTCCCTGGGTCAGGAAGTTCAGCATGCTCGATGAACCGGAGTGGGAAATGGTTACGACACCGCTGCGACCTAGGACGCCATCTCCGACCGAGCTCGACCAATCTGCGAATGATTGTGAGGCATATGTTGCTAAGGCAGCCAAAATCTCGATCGCACGGCAAATATCCATCTCTCAGCGTCAACTATTACTACCTGTTATCTCGAACCCTGAGAGATTTGTATCAAAATCCAAGGGCAAGCCACAAGGTCCTAAACCAGAGATTTCTCTTGTCATTACACCAGTTCAAAACGATAGAATCAGTGTCAGCCCAGCGCCAACATCAGCTGTCTCGTCAGAAAATATTGCTATGGCTCTATAACCCTCCTCCTTCATTCTATATTTTATGTATACTGCGCCGCCACGATTAGTCTGACGAAAGTGCTTCATCAGATTTTCCGGAAGCGCGTTGTATCTTGTTCTTGCTTTCCCATTATCTATCCCATTTGTATCAGTTTTTGAGCCTCGTTCCGACATTTCGTTTGTTATCAGCTCAACTGCCTCTTGTTGACCTTCTTGATGATGGGCTAGCTGTGTTTTGTGGTTCTGTTCGCTTCGTGCTGCAAGCCGGCTCATACCTGGAATCACTGGTTGGATTTACAGATTTTTGTTTCTTGCCCTTAATTTCCTTTGTCCCATGCTCCCTGATCCTCCTGCATTTTGGATATCCCAAAAATACCCCCAATTTTAACTTAGCTTGTATATATAGAAAGAAAAAGAGTAGACCGGGTAGCTTGCTCGAATCTAATTTCAGTCACGCCAGTTGATGTTCACCCATTCCCTCCAAAGTAGCAACTCCTTGGATATGTATTTGATTCGCAGGGCAGACTACATACATCATTTCGATGAAATTTGCGAGTTGATTGTAGCCTAAACCTGAACAACCATAACCCCTGCGTAAATCCTGCTCGTCAGGAAGCGGGGTTTTACAAGGTCACCTTCCATCTCATCCCAAGATATCCGTCGCTAACGATCCAAAGCACCATCTTCCCGGAGCCACCCCCACCTTCATAATCATTTGTTCTGACCGCTTCGGGGACTTCGAGGGTGAAACTGATCGTTAACCGGCCGGCAGATCTTCCCTTACCTTTACCTTTGTTCGTATTATTCAAGGGCCAGCCGACCCTCTTTAATGCCCACACCGAATCCGTCTCTTCACTTCCAAACAATATAAAGTAACCTTCGCTTTGCGATTTTGGAAACTTCGGCGCGTGTATTCGGCCTTCCCTATCCAAGAGTTCGTTTTTCCGGGTCAGCGTGACGGTTATTGTGGTCCCCGTCAGCTCGGAGTGAGCGGAAATATCAAGATTTGGTAGCGATAAAGCGACTCTTGAGAACTGCCCAGATGTTAGCTATGAAAACGAACGTCGATTTTCAACACAAAATCGGAACAGGGTCTTGAAGCTAGGGTATCCATATGCGGGGTGCAGCTGCCTTGTGTCATACAGGGAAGCAACGGCTAAGGAACGGCTTCGTAGGGGACTTGGTGCTTCCCCTGCCGGATAAACACCTAGGGCCTTCAACGCAACCGTCCCTGCATTTTATCCCATCTCATTTCGCTTGTGACATATAGTATGCCCAAAGAGCAGAAAAGAGCGCATAAAATATAAGACTCCGGCCTTGACGTAAATGTTCAAGCCTGACCCAAGTAAATGATATAAATGGATCAAATGGAGGGTAAATAGGGACAGGCTCGAGTCGCATAAAATTCTCCGGATAAGTATGATAACATACCTGTTTCTCGTAATTCGACGCCACATCTAGTTCCTTCATTAAGCTTGCAAGCCTCGATTGTGGAACACCCTCAAAATTTTCGAAACTTGCCAGCTGTTGACCGTTCCTTTCTACCCGGACCTGCTCATTCTCAAGAGCTACTCCAGGTAATATGGATAAAGGCCCATCCTGTGGCCACCTCGCTTGCTTGACGCATTGCATCAGGTTCATCATCGTGAGACACGTAGACATTATCCCGAGTTCCGCCATAACGTCTATAGACGCCTGTTCCCTCCTTAATTAGTACCTGGTTTAAAGACGGGCCCTTGAATAAAACTTTATTCCTTACCTGGAGAATACGTATACTTTGGTCAAGTACCTGCTCATCATACATCGTAGCGAGTCAAAAAAATTAGCATGTCACTTCTTCCCGGGTTAACGGATTGTGAGCAATCTATTTTGACTAACGGTTATTGTATCTTGATTGTAATCGCTGATAGGTAGCTCCGCACGAGCCATATGGGCTTGCAGAAGCAAATTGGCTTTCACGTGAGGGTCCCACATTGGGAGGCCTATCTGCCCTGCTTCAAATGGCAGATACTTTGACAGCTCAGCATTAACGAGATCCTATTGTCCGATGTTAGTCGTGTGGTCTTTTGCGGTATCCTCGGTGCGAAGTATACCTCGTTGTGTCGAACCGGCAGTTCTGGATTGTATCACGGTCAGCGACGGCCCTATCTCCGCGAGGTTGTGGGGTACCCACCATCATATTCAGCCGCCCTTGACATCCAGAGAAGGCAATCTTCGAAAGTAGCCATCCTCTTGGCCTTTTTGAGAAGATGTCTGACGGTTTTATGTGACTAATTTGTTTACTTTAGTTAGTGGCCTTCCTTTGAGAGATTGGAATTCTAACTGACCAGGTAATAGTAACTAGATATTTTACCCAAGGCAGTTGATTCAAGACGACCAGTTGGATGCGATACAAGACACCCCGATTTCTGCAGCTCATTCACAGAATTGTCTACCAAGCCTACCAAGAACTCATTGGCTTCCTCTTGTGCTGATATCGACTGCTGATCTTCCGCAGCAATCTCCAAGCCGTAATAATTGGGGTTTTTGTGGAGTCTCCGAAAGAAGAATGTCCAGGTCAGGTAATCCAACGAATCTTGTTTGGACTTAATGGTGCCTGCAGAAACCTCAGCGCCTAAATGGTCATCTAGAACCTTATGCAATGACGACTCAACCGGGAAGCCAGTGTGGAGGAAGTATTTGTAAAATGCCTTTTTTGCCTCCTGTGTGAATATACGAGCGATCCCGCTTGTATCAAACTGTGGCCGGCCTGCTCGTCCCAACATCTGCAACACGTCTGTTAGATCCATGTCTTTGTATGCTTCAGTCTTTGCGTCGAAGAACTGAGTCCCCTTCACAATGACCAGGTGGGCCGGCAGGTTAACACCCCATGCGAGCGTGCTAGTGGCTACCAAGATCTGGATCTTGTTCGTTAGAAACAGTTCCTCGGCAAGTAAACGATCGCTCTCAACAAGACCAGCATGATGGAGGCCAATCCCAAAAGCCAGTGCCTCCTTCAAAGGTGTATCTCTAACACCACTGAGAATGCTGATAAGACCTTCTTCAGAGACGTTTAAAAACCTTCGTGGGTTGTCTTCTAAACCGCAGAAAGCAATCAGGTCCTTCGCAGTCAATCTTGTCTGTCGTCTAGAGGCAACGAATATAATAACCGGTTTCGTTGGAGAGTGACTTTTGATAGCCAAAAAAGCTGGCCGATTCATCGATGCCATCAAGGGGCAGAATCCTTGTTTCTCCGCAAAACCGTCAATATACACCTCCAATGGAACAGGACGAACAGAATGTCTGAAGTTAAATAGCCCTTCTTCCCTGACACCGAGCCAATTACCAACATCCGCAGCATTGGCACAAGCCGTAGACATACCCATTAGTCGTACTGGGTTTGAGGTTTGAGATGCAATGTAGTTCATGCGGGAAACAATGATCTCTAGAATAGGACCTCGATCACTTCCGAGTAGATGAATCTCATCTATGATCACTAGAGATACTTTTCTCACATAGTCTCTTGTTTGCCAACTACGGCTGATCCCATCCCATTTCTCCGGCGTTGTAATGATAATGTCAGCGTTTCTTATTGACCGAGTATCAGGGGTATTATCACCCGTCAGTTCGACTAAATTTATCCCCATAGGTCCAACAAGGCGGGCTCTCCAATCCTTGACCCGCTCCTTTACGAGAGCTTTCATTGGAGCAATGTACACAACTTTAGAACCGGGCTTATCGCGGAAGGCTGCCCACATGGCAAGTTCGCAAGCCACTGTTTTGCCACTGCCAGTTGGCGAACCTAATAAAATGTTGGATTTTGAGTGGTAGAGAGTGTGGAATATCTGTGTCTGCATTGGATTGAAGTATTGAAACTTTGTTCCATAGATCCCCTCGACGAGTGGATTACCCAACGCTGAAATCGGGAGCGGCTGCAGGTTCAGCAAATCGGTATAAAAGGACTCAGTATCAGGCCGAATGAGGTGTTGGAAAGAGGTCGCAGTGACGGTTTCCGCACCAAGCCATCTATCAGAAATGCACCTGACATACAACTGAGTGGGGAGGGGGTCTGTTAACGGAACCATGAAGTTTATCTCATGGTCGTCTCTAAACTTCTTCTTACTCAATATGAGATATTCATAGTGCAATATCTCAGAAGTTTCCGAGTTTTCAACCCAGATCCAATAGCTTTCAGATGCCCCGTGGAGCCTGTCATTCCAATCAAATTCTGGAATGACATTTAAGTGTACCTTCAAGACATCTCGGTTTAAAGGAGCTATTTCCACCTCTACTGACACTATCGGGAAATTATTGACGATCCGCTTTATGTCATAACCCACCTTTTTGTTATGGACCAGTTCGCCGATTTCTAGAGCGTCCATATCCTGGAGTGCCGGGATCGAGGATGAGGATTCTTTCTCCGTTAGGTTCCTCAGGATATGCGGAGGGAGGTCGAATTGTGAAAGAGGGTGTTCATATGACCATCGCCGTTTTTCGATAGATTTGCAAATGGAAAGCAGAACCTGGCAAAGGTAACCCCATTTCCTTTCAAGAGCCATCAAGAAGAGGGCACGTGCTATTCTAGCAGAATTCTGCGCAACGTATGCGGAATCCGAGACAAGTGCAAAATCTTCAATGTTGGATCTTGAAATAAAAGACTGAAGTAAAACATTGGTTTTACCATGGGGCGTATCCAATGTGCCTTCTATATCGCAGGGGCACTCGTTTTCATGAAGACGAGTTAACTCATTGGCTTCATTATCTCGAGACTTTATCTGGTCGAATTCACCACTCATGCTTAGCATTTTGAACACGTCTGCTTCTGATCCGAGAGGGTTCATCATCGTATTAAAAATTTCGATACTGGTGCTAAGGATGTAGTAGTTTGAAGCAATTCGGCCGACGTTTTTTGAGGTGAGGGACTCCGTTCGATCGTCATATATCATCATTTGTGTTTTCTGGAGGGAGCGGGCCGCCTTAATGATCAGGTCTCGTCGTCTCTTTCCGAGATTTGGATCGTGTTGGATTTCGCTCCAGTCAATGCCGTAGGCCATTGGATTCTTTTTCATACGGACGAAGAGGTATGTATATCCAAGCCATTGGACACCCTCATCCACTGACGTAACGGTTCCGAGGGAAACTTCTGCGTTTAAATTATCGACAAGTTTTTCAGTAAATCTGGATTCAATTGGCTGCTGCTGGGTGATAGCCGATAGATAGTGTGCGAGCTTGTCATGCGTCGTGCATATTATACCAATACCATACTCTATAATTGACTGTTAGCGATCCTTCCACGTCTTGGTACCTCCGGCCGACTTACTTTCAAACTGGGGTCTTCCTGCACGTCCAAAAATCTGCAAAACATCAAGAATACCTAGGTCTACGTGCCCACCTTTCTGCGGGCTATAGACCTGTGTCCCTTTAATAACGACGGCGGCGGCGGGCAAGTTGACACCCCAGGCGAGAGTAGCTGTGCAGCATAAGACTTTAGCAACGCCTTCTGAGAATAGGCGTTCCATGAGGTTCCGGTCCGATCTTAACATCCCTGCATGGTGAACTCCAAGGCCTTTCTTGAATAATTCTTTAAGTTCTCTGCCTTTGGCCTTATCGACATCCTTCTTCAGAATATCGTACTTGGGGTGTTCTGTATTGTCGAATAAGTCGGTACGCTGCTCATCCATAGCCATTTCATATAGGAGCCTAGCTGTTTTCACCGTGTCCTTCCTAGAATGTACAAACACCATAACTTGGTGTCCGAGTTCAAGCATCTCCTTAACTTTCTCCCATGCGATTCGGTCAAGATTTTCGTTGGAAGTTCGACTGCCTGGTTTCCCTTTCACGCCGATAAAGTGCTGTTCCAAAGGTACTGGGCGGAACGATTGGTCAAAATAGAACAATCCGTGGAGCGGGTTAACTTTTAGGAAGGTTGATACATCAACATAATTAGGTAGAGTTGCGGAAAGCCCAACTATTCTAATCATAGATTGGGTGGCCTCAACCTGTCGCTGAGTTCTGGCGACTAATGTTTCTATGACAGGTCCACGTTCGTCATGAAGCATGTGTACTTCGTCGATGATAAGAAGACGAACTTTTTGAACGAGTTCATTATCGCCTGTGCTCTTCCTTGTAACAACATCCCATTTCTCTGGGGTTGTTACAATGATTTGGGTCCGCAAAATCTCAGCCTTGGTAAGATGCATATCACCTGGAATTTCCCAACTGTGTTTTAGCATTTTGCTTCGAGATTAGAGGCGGGAAGGATTGTAACTTCGGCCCTACCTGTTAGTTCCCGGACTTCAATACCAAGCCAAGATAAACGCTTCGCAAATTTGACTACAACTTCTGCAGCCAGGGCTTTCATTGGTGCGACATAGACCTAGAATATCAACCTATTAGACGGCGTGGTGACAAATAAAGAAATAAAATAGAATAACTATTCGGGTTAGAAGTTACAATTTTGAAGTCAGAGAGATTGACTTGAAACTCGTCTCCTCGGGTCATGGATGGAGATGGAGTGCAGTTTTTCCCAATGGTGCTGAGGATCGTTAGCATTGCAGCATCCGTTTTCCCCTGTTTTCGACGGATTAAAATGTGCACATACTTCATAAAAAGACGCTAGGGTACTACTCACTGCACCAGTCGGAGCACAAATCAACATGTTCTCGTTGGTCTGGTAGGCCACTGGGTATACAAGAGACTGCATCCTGTTGAGACTCTGATATCCGACAAAAGTTCTCCGGCAAAGGCCATCTAGGGACTTTATATCGACTCGTTCCGCGTCAGATCTAACAGCGCCAACGCGGTTAGGAGGTACTCTGACTTCCGAGTGTTTCTATATTTCTTGATTAGTAGACGAATGGCTAAACATTGTGATGGGACGAGGCACCTCGAAGTCCTGCGTTACACTACCAAAAGGCAAGGCATATTTCTTTCCAGTAAAGCTTAGCGTATTTCCTGCATCGTGGCTTTTGTAAACATGAGGATAGTAAGTCTCTGGCTGCATCAGTTTCGGCCCGAGAGCTTGTGTTTTGTGTGCAAAGTCAGCTTGCTTAAGGCGCTCTCTTTGCTGGTCCGGTGTCAGGAGATGGAAACCATCAATGGCAGTGTTACTGGAGGCATTTCTGGCCTGTGCTGTCGGGGGCAGGATTATTTTTTTCCGGTGTTCAATCAATTCTCCAATAAGGTCTAACTCTTCGAATCCTAGAATATCTGGCAAGGAAGATTGTAACTCCATATCTATACACGACATGACAATAAGCTCTTGCACTCGATATTGCCACGAAACAGATTGAACAGATTGAATTCGAACCTGATACGCTAGATTGCAGCAGTTGCAATACGTTAGAGTACAAATCAGACGAGCTCATAGCTGAACCAGTCCGCAAAGCCACAGCTTCCATTTGCGAAGATAGCCAGTGCTGGTCGTAAACGGCCGGTCCATGGTCAAAGGGTCTTTGAGCTGGTGATTCAGAGCCTGAAGAGAACGACTCTTCGGAATCATAGACGTCGAACAAATCATCACTCTCTGTCTCGTCATCAGAGCTTTCAAGTTCGGATAAGTCTAACGTAGCCTGGGTTGTGTTAGCTTCTTCAAAGCTGCTGTGTGCCTTCCGGAATTCTTGGAGGAGTCGTTCCATCTCCTGAATCTCTTTCAGGAATGCATCGGCTTCAAATAACTCTTTGGTCTCCATCGTTGGCAGCTTGCTTTGGTTAATATATGCTTGATTGATGTTGATATTATATCGTGACGTCTGAGCTGTACAGTGACTCTTCCACGCAATGGTAGTGCTTTGCCTGGGTAGCTGAACTGTTGTTGTTGGAAAGTGGAAAGCGGAAGGACAAAAGTGTTGACGAGATTGCACGCGCTCCAGGCTGCATCCAAAACCTGCCTGTTGTGCGCTTGTGAACCCCTCCATACTCCCATCCCACTATTCCCCCATTCCCGATACAACCCCTCTGCTTCCTGGACAGTCTCATCATCGATACAACTTCACCTGGAGCTTCATTACATCCACCGGCTGGCTCCAGCGATATTTGAAGCTCCTTCGTGTGAGTTTCGAATTGTCTCAAAACAGCGTCACACAGCCTCTGGCGGAATGGATCGTGATCCCCCCATTATCCCAACAGCAGATATCCTCAACTACTCTACAAACGATTGACGTTTCAAATCCCAATCTTCGACCTCATTCGATACATGCAAGATGAACCGGGCTGAGAATCATCTATCCCAGGGCCCTTCCAATAGGGGTCTTGATGGGCCTCAAAATTTAGAGGCAAAGCTACGAGGTATGCTGAGATCCGATCAGGTCACCAATCAGCTACCGATGCAACCGGTGCAACCGGTGCAACCAGCCCCAGGGCAGTACGCGCAACTTCCAATGACATCGGCACCGCCGCCAGGCCTTATTCCTAGCCCTAATATTCATCGACAGCAGCATCCACCTCCTATGCTTCAGCGAAGTAGTACTGTCCCTAGCCACGGATTTGCCCCACGACAACCTCCAACATTAGACAGGGCAGGTACATTCTACGACGGAATGCCTTCGCCTCCGTTCAATGGCCCTGCAGCATACCAAAGTCCACGTTCTCGAGGAGGAGGGGGAAGATGGGGCAGGTCAAACGGGTTCCAACATGCACCAGTACCTCAAATCAACAATACTTTGCATTTCCCACCGCTGGGGACTGTCCCTACTCAGCCTCCTCCTCCACCCCTATCCGAACACCGGTTCCCTCCCAACATGAACAACAGCCGACGCTATTCAGGTAAGGGGGTTATATTGCTCTAATTAGGGTTAGGGTGCCGCTAACTAATGGCATAGGAGCCGGGAATTATCAGCACGACAAGCCGCGTAGTCCGATCTTGAATAGAAATGAGCCTTTCTACGGACCGCCTGGGCAGTATCAAGGATTTGGGGGCAGCCCTCCGCAGAATCGTCGAGGTCAAAGGCAACATAATTATAGAGGCTCACATAATGGCGGTACCAGGTCCTACCGGCAATGTAAGTCTCGATAGGCATACTTACCTGATATGTATACGTTGAGCTAACAAAATTCAGTCGTACCACTTGATTACACTCAGATGACTGACTATGCGAAGTCTGTTGTTCAGAGCATCAGCCCAACGCCCGATGAAATAGCAATGAAGAGCAGTACCCTCCGGCGAATTACGGAAATTTGCAACAACCTAGTACCCGGTTCTCGAATAATACCCTTTGGGTCCCTTGTTTCCGGGTTTGCAACTAAGGGTGCGGATATGGATGTGATCTTTGCCCACGACTCTCTTCATCCTCAGCCTTTCAGCCACGAATCTAATGTACCCGTCAGGCTCGCTAATGAATTCCTGAAAAGAGGGTTCGAGGTTGATCTTCTTATTCGAACAAGAGTTCCAATATTGAAAATAAAAACCCCTAGCAATGACCCCGGATCGCGCCCGGGGTCACCTTCCGCCCAAGATGCTCTAAAGGAGGACCTTGATGAAGAGCCCTGGCCTGAAAACATCTCCTGTGATATCGGTTTCAAAGCCCATTTAGGGATAACGAATTCGTATTTTTTCAGAACATACAGCCAGTGTGACTCAAGATTCCGGGAGATGGTCTTATTTGTCAAGGTATGATATCAGCTCTTTAAGAAGAGATCGTGATAAAGAGATTCAGGCTAATGAGATTGTCTAGCAATGGTCAAAAAACCGGGACCTTAACTCGCCATATTTTGGAACACTATCGTCATACGGCTATGTATTGATGGTGGCGCACTTTCTAATTAACATTGTGAAGCCACCTGTTCTTCCTAATCTCCAGCTGATACCCCCAGATCCAGATACTCCGGAATCTGAGCTTAGACAGGATGGGTTCGATATTTGGTATTTCAAGGATATTGCAAAAATAACGTCAGGGGAGCTCCTTCCCGACGGAAAGAACGAAATGGGGCTTGGGCAACTTATCTACGAATTCTTCCAATACTTCACCACAAATTTCAACTTTGTCAGCGAAGTAGTGACAATCCGATCGCTAGGAGGTGTAATGTACAAGCAGCATAAAGGATGGACGAGTGCTCGAGAACGTGTTGGTGAAACGACCACCTACCAGGATCGATATTTACTCGCCTTAGAAGACCCGTTCGAGATCACACACAACGTGGGGCGCACATGCGGAGGTCCTGGAGTTAGAAGGATTAGAGGAGAGATGCAACGTGCGGCGCAAATAATTCGAAAGATTTCAACCCAAGCTGCACCAGAATCTCCGGCCACGGCCGCTAGGAATTCTGGTTGGGAAATGCAAATCACGTTGGATGATCTAATGGTCACGGTGACCCAGAATAATAGAACTTTCAGAAACAGGAAGAACAATCAGAAGAATTTGGTGGGGTGGATAAAAAATAATTGGACTGTTGGAGAATGCCTTGCACAGATTGATGCTGTAGCGGAAGAGTTGAGAAGGAAGCGGGAGCTTGGATTGCCGGACGATGCTGAGCTCCCACTAGAAAGTGAAGAAGGAAGTGAAGAAACAGATGGAGAGGAGGGCAGCGATTCGGGCTCTTCGGGGGATAGTAGCATACGGGTGGTTAGCTCCGAGGCCAACAGAGTCATCGAGGGCCTTAATGGCCTAAGAATATCAAGGTCGTAGCCTTGAGCTGAATCTAAAAGTTTGGGGATGTGTGTGGAAATTGACCAGCCGAAACTGGAAACCAGTATGGCAAGCTAGATGAGGCGAGCTTACTGGAAATGATATCTTGTTGCAAGACGCCTAGTCCATAAATCATCTAAGAATATAGTTCTGAGAATGGTATTACTTGTGAGGTGAGGCCCTATCTAACAGTACTAATACAATACAAACTCGAATGAAAAGGCCCGTTAAACGCCCCAACACCGCTAATATGCTCATCAAGTGACATTAATACCTTCAAACTAAACATCCATCTCCCAGGCATACTCTTGCTGTACCCTGTCCTTCCGTTCATTGTTTTTACGGAAGAACAACGCCTCAGTGCCATTCCCTCGGTCCACCCCGTCCCATCTATGGCCGGGCCGAATCCCGTATCTGTTTGGTGCGAAAGCCCCTTTGTATAATGGAAGGCCACTTTTCGATTGACCAGCTACCTTCTTCCTTAAAAACGGTGCAGCTGGGTCGTTCCACATTTCTTTCTCTTTCAATTCCTTATTCATATCTTCATCATCGGCGTGTCTCGCCAATTTCATGAGCTTAGCGTCATCAAGCTGTTTCTTCCGTTTGTCAGCTTCGGCGAGCTGCACTACACCTTTATTCATTTCTTTCTGTTGGCGCTTCTTTGCCTCTTCTTCTTCGAGTTTTCTACGAGCCTCCGCACGCTGCATAGCGATATTGATGATCCTTCCAGATGCATCACGATATATTGTATCTTTGCCTTTGCCTGCTTCCTCTGCATTGACCTTTTTAAATTCTTCAAGCTCCTTTTCTCGCTTTTTCTTCATTGCAGCTGTGACCTGCGCGGCAGACTGTAAGCCGGCACGAGCACCGGATTCCATCACTAAAGCTTCATCTTCTGGGTTTGTAGCAACAACAACTGGTGCCTCGGATTCAAGAAGGGCGGCCTCGGAGGCAGCAATGTCAGCAGCTGTTGACGCGATGATCGCGTCCGCTGCAGCGGTTTCCGCATCCTTTGCCGGTCCGGAAATAGTGTTCCAGCCAGATTTCTTCGTTTTTCGGAATTCAGCGGTTGAGCGATCGTTCACGGTGACCGGCCGGTCCTCGTCGTCATCGTCGTCTTGACCGTTCTTCTCCCATCCTGTGGCATCCTCGTCTACGAGCGTGACCTGTCGACCCTTTGCCTTATCTTCTTTTCTCTTCCGCTTCTTAGCCTTTTTATCGAATGATTCGTCTTTGGTCAGGTATTTAGCGTTTAGATAGTCGGCAAGTGAAGAGGACATTGCGATGGTTTGATGAAGAATGGGAGTCGCGGTGCTGGAAACCCTGGTGAGATATTGAAGACTCAGATGTGTTGATGCTGACTCAGCAAATCCTCGAACCTCCCTTCCTTCACTGCAGCCTCGATATTAACCAAGTACTACCAACTTCCTGCCGACCCTCTTACCCTCTAAGTGCTTCATTGGCTTTACGAATTATGTAGGTACCCGGCGCATAATGGTAGACGGGTTAATCTTGATCCCAATGATGATTGGAGCATCTCAAAGAAGGGACTGATACAGAACCGTAAGATGCAATGACGTCGATGTCGTCAATGCACGAACATGTGCTTGTCAATCTTACGAAACTTGAACCCTTCGAGATGGCCACTGAGATCGACTCGACCTAGCCACGCGAGCATGACATCGACAAGCCACAGCAAGAATGGCAATTATTCCGATGACGACAAAAGATGGTTGTCAGGTCTGGCAAGGAATACCAATATGACGAAGGAATAGGTCATGGGAAATGCATAAAGTTCCCAAGGCTCGAAAGCGAAAAACAAAGAGAATCAATCAGCTGCCCACGGCTGTGAGTGACCAACGGCCGGACGCCGTGTGAGTACAAAGGCCTGCAATTGGAGCAAACGGAGGGTTGGGCAGGCTGACGAAATGGTTTTACAGTATGCCTATGCCTGGACCTCGAGTCAAGCTGTGCCTGCGAAGCTCCTAAGGCGTGAGAAATTCCCTACTGCAGCTCGCCTCCAGCGCAGGAACGGGAGAGGGAAGCCAATAGGAGGCCGCAGATATGCTGCATGGGCCAATGAGAAGCCAGTATTCGGTGACCCTAGGTGCAGCTCATCTGCTGCAAGCGACATATTTTTGGAAGGGCCAAAAGATGCTTACTGTTTTCGTCGTCCCTATCTGGACAACCCAGTATCGGAAGTGGCCGGTATTGCGCTGCATCCCATACCGTGTCACAGCGCTGTACAGCCGTGCCCTACACATGTAAGCTGGTAGCTGGTAGCTGGTAGCTGCTGATTCTAATTCCAATGATGTTCAGCTCGGTGTGTTCCCCCAAATTTTGATTAACAGGGCCGAAAACCCCGGATGGTATACGCGCGCAAACAAGCTATCGAGATAGAAACCCCTGTCGACGTCTTGTCCTCCAAACATATGAGCTAATGTCTTGTGGACCGACAAGATCCCTATCGAGGTTATCTCGATTCGGACAGCAGGACTCCACTCAGGAGATAGCATGCGCAGAAATCATGGCAACGTCGGCAAGTGGAAAGAAAGCCCGGCCCATCTCGGGGAAATTAGCTAATACAGGCTCTCGCCCATTCCGAGGCGAGGAGTCATTTTGTCAGAGCTGAACCGGACTTGAGAAATCCCCTGAAGCAAGCAAGCAAGCCTTCCTGACTTTTCGGGGGGAAGGACTTGGACGCATATGATGACATATTGGAAACATATAAAGCGGCGCCCTCCGCCCCCTTCGAGTCTGCCTCGAAGCTTCGGTCACGGGGTTGAGAGGTTACCATCCAGTCTCTGTCAGCCTACCAAATCATAATCAGAACCATATTAAAGTGCCTACTTGACTTAAGTCCTTCATATTAATCTCTCTCTCATTCTCTCGGTCTCCCTTTCTTCCTCCGCCATCACCCTTTCAATATCGCTATCTGCAGTATCGTTATCGTTCCCCAAAGAATAGCTCTCATCAACCTTCAATTCCCTTAAAACCTCAAAGGAACTCGAAGTTAGGCTTGAAGGCTCGAAACCCAGCAAATCAACATGGCATCTATCATCGACCCCGTTAATAGCGTTATTTCATCCACTGCTGACCTCAGGAAGGCATCCGTTGAGCAAAATCGTGCCAAAAACGTGCGTTTATACACCCATGAGCTTCTGCCTAGATGAAGCCAAAAATCAAAACCTATACTGACATATTATATAGCGTAAGGTTCGGTACAGAAACGTAAATGTCAATCTTCTTAACCAACCTATAGACCCTTTAGCGAGGAACCCGAATTGTAAACGTTGGAACGAACGCAATATGTTCAAGATGCCTAATCCCAACACCTTCGGTGGGCCCTCTTGCCAATGCCAATCATGCAGGTCATATCGCTGGGAATCAAATAATCGATGCAAAACTCGTCTTCAAAGGGCCTGGGATCACGATCCGGTTGACGGGCTTGACGACTTGCTCGATCAAGATAACATTTATCGTGATGGGGTCGATGGTGTTCTCTACTCCTACGATCTACCCTCTGGACCCAGCCACGGTTCTCAAGTCCTATCTCAAGCTCTTAACATCGCCATCGACAAAATGGAAAGGAAGCAACTTGAGCTATTGATCAAGAATGAGTATGATGTTGTCGACTCCGAGGAGTCTGCATCATCTGAAGACGACGACTACGAGTTTGTTTAAAAACAATAACAATACGGTGCCCTCGGGATAGCCTCAATACCATCCAGAGTGTTACATCTCGGTTTTTCGTTTTCGACACGCGTGTTTTCGAGCGAGTTCTTTCGGCAAGGTTCGCTTTTGTGGATGCTCTCTTGATGATACGGTAGCTTATTCGTTAATGTTGACTTTCCTGCCTGCCTGCCTTCTTTCCTCTCTTTCTTTTCAGCTTCCCATCAAAGGGTTTTTCTTTTCCCTTCTTCTCCTTCTTCTTTTCTAGTAAACAAATAATCATTACAAACGCAAATCTTTGCTTTTATGCTTCTCAATTTTTACTACTTGGCCAATTCCCCCCTTTGCAGATTTCATGCGTACAACAAAGGCCCTCCTTTTCTTATTTCCTTTCTTCTTCCCTTCTACCAATGCACATGGCTTTGCGATGACTTTTTTGTTTTGCCGAATGCCCTATTTTATTACCTTGCTCCTTGTAGCATTAAACATACCCTGTGCTTTATTGGGCAGCATAGTGTTTTTTTCTCTTCTGTTTTTCATCCCCTTTCTACTAACATCACGGCGGTTTTCGGTTGGATTTTGGCGTATATCCTCTATATGGTGCTTGACGACGGGTCTTTTATACCACTTGGTGTTTTTTTGATTTCGGCGGGAGTTTTGAACGACCTTTGATGATGATTGATATGAAAGACTTGGAAGAATCATACACTATACCCCCTTCTCTGTCACCTATTCGCTTTTCTTCCTGTTTTTCTTCGTGTTAGCTCGCCACTCTTGCTCAGTACCACCGTCTTCGCGAGAGTCGTGTTTCTGTTTATTTTACATCTCTAGGGGTTCTAGACTGGTGTTCTGCTTCTGGAGTTTGGGAACCTTAAGGATGAGATGCTCCTTTTTCCTCTTTCTATTTTCAAATCTTATAAAACAAACAAACAATAAACGACTTAGAATACATCCTCGATTTGTTGGAATTACGAGACCAAAATTGCATGTTTCAGTCAAGCATGCATGACATCTGATATCATACTATGCATATGGTTTACAAATCAAATGGAATTCTTGCATAGTTTCGGGAAGCTTTGTTAGGCTTCGCAACCAACTTCGAAAAACTTTTTAACAATCTTGAAACCGTGCTTGTAGTATCTATACCAAATATTCAAACGCAGGTGCATGCTCGGTTGGCGGCTAGCCCTAGAGATCTATGACAATGCAACGTTGAGGTCTTAACATGTCAGTATGTGTCTAGACCAGGCCAGACTCATGAAAATTGTCGGTTTCCACTCCCCTTGAGATTAAGACAGGCCCTGTTAGCTGTTGAATGCATATCATAGATGGTATTCAGTTGTTGGTAAGGAAGTCCTTACGTATACTGTGTAGCACGTTGCATCGCATTGTTGTTGTAAGTACAGCCTGTGTTACAACATCCAACAAATACACTCAACATCAACATTGTAGTTTCGTAACTCCAACAATACAGTGCACCTCGAGGCCTTCCTCATCTACAATGGCGACGAGACGCCGTCAGGCACCCACCATCACGCTAGTTCCAGCTCTCGCTAGGATCGTTTCAGGAAGCTTTGGAACTGAGTCTTTGTTTCAACGTCCGTTGCTTCGTATCGTCAAGGTGCAAGGCATATCTATGATCGCTGGGCCTCGCACCAACCCGGATGATGAAACTGAGCCTCGGGAAGGAGATACACTCTTCGCGTATCGTCTCTTTTTAACTGACGGTGAATATGTTGTTGCAGGTCAGCCTTTTTTTTTTTTTTTTTTGTCTTTTGGAATTTTAGAATCCTAAAGCAATATTGGCAGTGTTCCTTAATCTAGACTAACTGTCGATGCCTTTCTGTCGCGGTAGCTGTGTTGGACCCCGTGCTTCACCCGCTTGTGCACGACAAGATCTTGACTGGGCCAGGTACCTACGTCAGGTTAACGGACTATGATGTACGGACATCGCCGAAGAAGATTGCGACGGACAAATTCACGAGGTAGAGGATCTGTGGGTGTCATGAATTTCATAGAAATGGGCTCTAATCTACGACGGAATAGATTCCTTAAGGTCCGGGGACTTGAAGTTGTATATTCTCCAGGGATCCACTTTCATCCAGAAAACACAGATGCGGACGGAGATTCTGTCATGGGTGGTATCGCCCGTACAATCGGACGGCTTGCCCCGCCCAGAAACCCAAACCATGAGACCGAAACTATCCAAGAAGAAGAAGATGAGGTGGTAGTAATCAAGCAAGAAGCCGCGTCTTCCCAACCCAGAGCTGATTTCGGACTAGACGGAACTCGAGATCGAGAGATTGACGACGGCCAAAACGAATATGGGCTAGATATTGATGAAGAGGAAGCCATAATACAGCTGGAACCACGGGGTGGGAATAAATCTATGCAAGCACATGCGATGAGGCCGGATGATTTTGCTACAGCAGACGAGCGGTCTCTGTCGCCAGACCATATATTGGATGATGATGACCTGTCAGAAGAGGAAATCTTACAATTGTCGCAATTGGAACCGAAAATGGCCATCAAGACGGAGATTATCAATTCAACGTGCAAGTCGACTCAGAAGCAGAAGCAGCCAGAGGAGAAACTTAAATCAGCAGGGGGACTGAGGGACATTACAGGGAATACGAATGGTGGCTTAGGTCACCATAGTATGACGGCGAAGAAAGTGAAAGAGCCACTGTTTTACGAAAAGGAAAATGGTCGAGGTCTCGGAAGCAGCACTATAGCCAGCAGCTCAAAGAACCCCAGTGGTCCGGATACGTCACAGAAACCTTTACAAAATTCCTTGCCTCTCCCACGTCAAGACAGAGGATTATCCCCGGGTCCATCCACAGGTGTTCAACCGTTCCCTATAGGGCCGAACACGCCCCAAAAATCTTCCAGGCAAACCACACCGCTCACCTCACCGCCATATAAATCACCGCAACAGCCGCGCCCTTTTGAGATCACAAAACTCGGAGACTTGTTCGACAAAGCCCCAAAGAACAAAGTTGATATTCTAGCTATTATCAGCAGGATTGATGATAAGACAATTACTCGTTCAATTGGCGTTAAGAGGGATATGCATCTGTTAGACCCGACTGTAGAGAGGACAGTATGGTTATCAGTGTGGGTTGACCCGGTTCTTTTCAAGCCTGCGGTTGGCACTTTAGTCCTGTTCAGAGGGTTGACCGTCCACAAGTATGACGGCCGGAGTCTCAATGCGTTTAGTGATCTTGCAGGAACCAGGTGGTACATTATCGAGCCGACTGAAGACATGGTTCCCGGCGTGGACAAGGTGAAGGAGTGGTGGAGGCAGAAGACAGTAGAAGAGACGTTAAAGAGCTTCGATTATGATGATAATGACAATGAATTTTAGAAATTTCCCCATTCTGGTTTTTGCGACTCGATATTTGCTGATGGCGGGTTAGCGTATCCTTTTTTATTCTTTTTATTCATTGCTTCAAAATATACATGTCTATTTAGCGTTATGGCCGTCAAGGCCTTTAAATCAGTACCATTTCAGTCAAGGGAACAATCAGTAATAATCGTTCAGGTAGTATGTATGATCATGCATAGTCAAATCCCATCGACAGAACGATATGGCATTCCGGCTTAATTGTGACCACTGTAGGAAAGTATGTTCTGCACCTCATCGCATTACCGAGAAAAAACAGGAGAGAAAAACCCAGTTACGCGAAATATAATACTATGTATATAAAATTCATGCATACTACCAGACGGCCAGAAGCCATTTGGTAGGGGATGCTGAAGATTTCGCGTGGATGAGGTGGTTGAAGAAAGAAAGAAAGGAAAGGAAGGGAAAAACCGAGACAGGCAAAATTTGTTAAGACTCGGCTGGGCTGGGCTGGGCCCGGCTCGGGGGCACCAAAATACGAGTCTTATCGATAACAACATCAACACCAATTGATCCCTCATTCCAATTGAACTCGAGCCCGCAAGTGCCTGGTGATTACATGGAAACACCGAGAAAATCGGTGAATGAAAACGATGTACTGTATTGGTCCCTCAGATTGGGCGTGATATCGGTCAAACGCCGGGATTGCTTCGGGAGATATCGATATAGACATATATTGCAACCTCAAAATAAAATTAACCACGCGATGCATGTGGCCTCGAGACGAGAACATGTGTAGCTTGGAGACTAATTGATATTAGTTGTAACTCTTGCTCGCTGCCCTGGACTAGAGCCGACCCCGGATTGTCATATCTATGCTATCAATCCGAACTAGCTCGCCGATTGTCCTCAATTGTTGATATCATACATGCTTGCCGCCGTTATGATATAATATAATACTACCCTTTCCCTGCTTCAGACCTTTCCCCGGACTCGATTCCCCGCCTAAATACCCCTTCGAATGACATAAATTCAACTACATCTAGATCTGTCTTTGATATAAAAGTTACAAAGCCTAGAATTGATTAGAAAGGTTCGTCCACGACATGTCCGACCCAAAGAATACTTTCGCCGTCGGTATAGACGTCGGCACCGGCAGCGCACGAGCTTGCATTATTGATTTCACCGGCGAACTCCTCGCCGAAGTCTCAAAAGAAATTAAAACATGGAACCCTAGAGCCGACTACTATGTAAGGATCACTACCTTTCAAATTCAGGATCATTTCACTCATCTTAGACCCCGCTTTATTAGGAGCAATCGACTACAAACATTTGGGAGTCAATTTGCTACTGCGTTCGCACATGCCTTGAGAAAGCCAATGTAGACCCTTCGAAAGTCACAGGCATTGGATTCGATGCAACATGTTCACTGGCAGTATTGAGCGAAAGCACAGACGAACCGGTTTCCGTAGCTGGTCCTAATTTTGAAGAACCCGAACGAAATGTCATTTGTATGCCCAACATGCCCACTATTCAAACTTATCTGTCAAGAGAAAATACTAAACATCACGTTTCTAGTATGGATGGACCATGTATGCTCCCAGAAAGTTTTTTCCCCATTGCAGTGCCAGCCCTAACGATTCGCATAAAGCGTTGCCCTGACGAGACCGCCTCCATCAATGCCACCAACCATAGGCTTCTCAAATACGTCGGCGGCAAAATGTCAATTGAAATGGAAATCCCCAAGGTTCTATGGCTTAAAAACCACATGCCAAGTGACAAATTCCGGGACTGCAAATTTTACGACCTTGTTGACGCATTAACTCATATTGCTAGCGGGAAGGAGACTCGTAGTTTCTGCTCCGCCGTGTGCAAACAGGGCTATGTTCCCGTTGGAATTGACGGCAGTGTAAAGGGCTGGCAAGATGATTTTTTGAATAGCATTGGATTGCCAGAACTGGTAGAGGACGGATTTAAGCGAATGGGCGGGATACATGGCGAGGTAGGTGTTCTATAATTCCTCCGATTTCCTCATGTTATATCCATCACAGGAAGCGTAATTCGAGATCATGATGTTGTGTTATTATATTAACTAGTATGCAAAGACTGGGACGATACTATCTGCAGGCGAGTTGGTTGGCGGGCTGTGTAAAGAGGCGGCTGAGCAACTGGGTTTGCCGGTGGGGACAAAGATTGGAAGCGGCGTTATTGATGCGTATGCCGGTTGGGTTGGTAAGTCGGTTGAGATGTGAAACGAAACAGTATTAATGTTGCCTAGGTAATATTGTACAAGATGCTAACTTGAGGACGTTGTACATGTAGGAACTGTTGGAGCAAAGGTCGAGTTACAGGAGCCGCTCCTTGACGAATCAATACCCAATAACAGTTTAGAACAAGCATTCACTCGGTTGGCTGCTGTCGCTGGAACATCAACTTGCCATCTCGTTATGTCAAAGGATCCCGTATTTGTTCCCGGAGTCTGGGGACCTTATCGGGATGTTATTCTTCCAGAGTTTTGGATGGCAGAAGGTGGTCAATCAAGCACTGGCAGTTTACTGAACCACGTTTTAACTACACACCCAAGCTATGCAGCTACAAAGGCGCAGGCGGCGGAGAACGGGCAAAGTGTTTATGAATTGTTGAATACGAGGCTCGAAGAATTAAGAGTCGAGCAGAATGCACCAACCGTTGGTTACGTCGCAAGACATATCTTTTTCTATGGCGATCATCATGGGAACAGAAGGTTTGTATCCGAGTCCGAATTTACGGGTCCTGGCGGTAACTACGTAAGAAGCAATTGCTAATTCAATTTTTATGGCGTGTCTCATAGCCCAATCGCCGACGCCACAATGCGAGGCTCCATCATCGGCCTGAGCATGGATACTTCAATAAATGACTTGGCACTTCAATATTACGCTGCAATGGAGTTCATAGCTCAGCAAACTCGTCACATTATCTCAGCGATGAACGACGCCGGTCACACAATCAAGACGATTTTTATGTCCGGTGGCCAGTGCCGAAACCCGATATTAATGTCCTTGATTGCAAATGCGACAAGGCTACCCGTTGCGATACCGCGATATATTGACGCAGCCGTCGTATTAGGATCTGCCATGCTGGGAGCAAAGGCTGCTAGCGCAGATGCTACCGGAAAAACAGAGGGTCTATGGGAGATTATGGATAGGTTGTCGAAGCCAGGAAAGATGGTGGAGGTTACGAAAGACAAACACGAGCTCGCATTATTAGACGCCAAGTACAAAATATTCTTACAGATGAGCGAAGATCAACAGAGATTTAGAAAGAGTATTGATGCAGAGGTTCACGGGTGGAAGCAGTAAACCAGGTGAAGGGTGAGCCAAGTTGCATTGAATTCAGCGGCGTTGGAAATGTGGTATTTCTCCATAACATTTGGCGAGAATGCTAGTTAGCTGGCTACAACATCACCAACACCTGGGCACCCATGTTCTGACGAGCTCACAATTTAAAAGCATAGCCTCGAGGACGCAAACAATATACGTATGTTATATTATTGGAGAGTTAGGCATAGTGTATTGGTTTTTGAAAAGGCATGTATATACGTATCTTAATAGGTGACGCAAAGTTAGGTGCATAGTTGAACCTTCGAACCTCATACAAATACATGTCTTAATCAGTCTGGTGCATGAGTAAAGAATCTCTGTGGTACCACTGGCTACTAATTTACAATTCAAACCCAATAAACCAACTTTTAGCATTCAAAACAAGTTAACAATTCTTACTTGATCTTGATCACTCCTACCAAAATTATCAGCCCTTAAGACACAACCTGGAATTATGAGCCCGATGGTTTGACTTACTAACGGCGGCAGGGATTTCCCTATTTTGTGTCTAGCGTGGGTGTCAAAGATATATGCACACTCCGCATAAACATTTCAGTCTCATGAGACAGGTTCACTTAATTAATATTAGACTTATTGCCCGTACCACATGCAACCAACCCTTTCAAGCACCGTTTATCATAAACCCGAACATCACTCAGGCTAGTCTGACTCACAAGCCTAACCATTCTCTTATTAACCAAACAGTTTTGTCATCTGTCCAAATCGCCTCTTCCATGGAGTTTTGTTTTCTTGTCTTTGACTCTCCTCAGCAGTGATTCCACCTCCTGGTGGCTCGACATTAAGTACTGGTGTTACGCCCGGTATTTCGGTCGTGGGGCTAACTGGGGCTTCTTCATGTTCACCTATCTCCCGGAATGTCTGTTCGTCAGGTAAGTACAACCCACCCGGGCCTCTTTCCATGGGCCGGCTTGGTAGTTGTCCGCCTTGTATTTTCCGACCCGGCTTCGCTCCCTTTTTATGAGATCTTATAATTGGCACATCATAGCCTTTACGGGCAGCAACCTCCTTCCATTGGTCGTCGTAGTATATAAGTCTTCCCCTTTGTAACCGGGTAGCCTCATTCTTCCAGAGAAGCTCTTTGAGATTTAGAGGGCGCATTACCACGTCGATATTCCCAGCGTATTCATCCCATGGGTGTTCGTACTCTGCAAAATCAGGCGTATCAGGCATAAATGCGTGACGGCCGCGCATTTCTCCCCACGGAACCGCTTGGGCCTAGGGGGTCGTACGGTCAGCACATGTGTACAGAAGAATATGTCTAGCATAAAGTTTACCTTTTTCTTTGTTATTGCTCTGTTAGGTTGGTTGCTCGCTCGTTCAACCACTTCTTCGAGGAATCCTGGGGGCGGGTAGGGTGGCGGTGCTGCGTAGTGATATAGCCCATTTACGACTTCAGCTTTCCGAAGTACGTTCCGAAGCCAGGGATCGGCTTCCAAAATCCATTGCCATGGTGGGGGTATTTGATCATCCATCACCTTCCACTGAGACGATTCCAAATCTTTGATTGTTGGGGCTTTGTTCTCGTCCTCGTTTTCATTACCATCCTCGTCACCATCCTCGTGTCCTGTACTTTTGACCTTAGGTTTGGCCAGGTCAGCCGGAGGTAGGCCCATGGATGAACGTCTTCGAGCATCCTTCATCTGGTCCTCCTGTTGAATGAAAACAGACTGTCGTCGAGCCCTGTCGACGGTGGTTTGACGGCGGTCCCGTGGCATAGGAATTCTTGTGTCGAATTCGTCCCTATCATTGCCCATTGTAACTGCGGGAGGATCATCGTAATTGTCCCAAGGAATCGGAGTCTGTAAATGTTCAAGCTTCCGAGACTTCGCTTCCTTTCTTTTCAGCTCCTTCTCCAATGCTTTCCTCAATTCCTCACTATGAGCAGTATTCTTCTGAGCTTCCGCCCGTTTTCTCAACCACTCCCCTTTCTTTTTGGTCAATTTTTTGAGTAATGCTCGTCTATACCTTCGATATGCTCTATCCTGTTTAGATATCTGCCGTTGAGCATACGGAATCTTGTGTCCGAATGATCTCAGCCGATGCCTTGCATTCAAGCCAGTAATATCGACCTTCTCATTTTCCTCTTCTCGACGCCTTTTTTTGCCGAGGATGTAACTTCCCACACACATTGCGACAAAAACCCAGATAAACATGACCATGAGGCCGATTCGCCACATCCAATATTCCCCAATGGGCACATCTCTTGTATTGTCCCGTCGAGTGGGGGTGTACACACGATTTGGTTGGAGGAGGATCGTTTTTTTAAGGTCATCAAGGTGATACCTATAGGCTGTAACTTGTGGGTATGAAGTGGAGGTAATGTATGAAGGAGAGATTACACTGCTACTCGTTCTTGAGTAGAGGAGTGAGGAGAAGGGAGGCATGGTATCGCTGAGGTTGGGAAGCGCTCGAGCGTCTATGTACTGTCGATATCGACCGGCTCGATCGAGACTCTTCTTTTGGGGATTGGTTTATTGTAAAAGTATAATATAAGATATACCCATCTTGGTAGTCGATAGCACTTATTATATTTTATTGTTATTTTTATTTATGTTTTATATGAACTGAGTGACATTCTGAACATAAATTTGGGGAACTGAATTATCGAGATGTTCCATGTTAACCGCAGGTCAACACTTCGATAGGGGTATCTCTGCCAAAATGCAACAAATACAGTAATGGAATATATCAAGAAATACGTAATGTATGTACATTAGGTACATATGCAAGCACTGGTACCTACTTTAAGTATACTTATTAGAATGTTTAAATGCTGTACGAGGGACCAATTATAAGGTAGTATTGTGCCTGGAATCAATTCATGTCCGCAAATCAAATGTCAAACCGTGCTGCAAATGGTCTGCGACAGACGCACGAAAGTCTAGTATTCCTCGGCTCGAAAGACATACTAGGCATACTGGCGTGAAAAGCACGTATGCTGTTCCTGGTTCAATTGAAATACTATCCATGGGAAGATACCCTTATTAGAACTGAAATTGATTTTGAATCTTGGAGAAAGAGCCAATCGCTAACTTTCGCATGAACAAAGCGAGGAGTGATCGATGCGATGCAAATGTACAGTACTTACATGTGCATGTATATTATCAGCAGTGTCTAACTACTAGTTAAATTTAAATTTAGTCTGGCTCGCTACTGATTCGATCTGAATCAGCCACATGCACATAACGTGAGTTCAAACTTTAGGTAATTGGCAAGAAATGAGAGTTTGTGGTGAATTGGAGGATACTAACCGGTTCCAATTGATCGGATGACCGTTACAAACTAGAAACCTCGATTCAGAGTTACGTTTCAGTTGAAATGGCAGAGGTCAGATGATATCATGATATGATCGCTAGATTAACATGTACATGTCTCGAGTCTCCTCAGACAGGCAGATTATGCATCTCCAAATGTGTTGTCACACAGCAAAACAAAATATCTGCTGCTGTCAAGAGAGCTCGGTTCACCAAGCTAAGTCTTAGTTTACATCCATTCGCACTTGCATAGCCGTTCACTTTTTTTTTTTTTTTTTCTTCTTATGTTTTTCTTCTTCTCTGAGGCAAAGGAAAACGGTGAAGTACATACCTACACAGAGCTTGGAGCTACCCTGGCCTGGTGCCGGCGACAGCTTTAGAGCTTAGGATCAGATCAGATTAGGAGCTGGCAGCAGGCATGAACAAGGGTTTCCTTTGACATGGGAGCTGCTGCTAGCCACAGCCTCTTCTGCTTCATGCAGCCACTGTCACTCAACCACACAGGGTTCTACCCAGACACAAACCTGCTATGCATTAACCTGACCGACTCTAGGATCGATACAAGACTACGCTTAGCTCTAGGATCGAGCAATTGAGCAGCTAGCAGGACATTGCATATTGCAAGAGCTAGGTGCCCATTGCATTGCATCGCCATCGACGGTATTATCAATTCCAATTGCAATTGCAATTACTCTCCCATTACATTGTATTCGATTACATCTGCGCTGCTTCCAATATTAATGGACTGTGATTAACGTTTTTGGTAACTCGTATCCGGCAATCGAGGGCGATTATTAATGGCTACAGTGCAGTGCTGTACATACACGTGGAGTGAAATAGGACTCTGCCGCAGAATCCACCTCTGTGCCGTCTATACAGCGACAAATACTACGGTCTACGGTCTACGACTATTTTCAAGTCTGTAGACGTCTAGACGTTACATGCATCATGAAGTTTTGAATACGTTGCCACAAAAAAAAACCCAAGTACTAAGCTACTTAGGTATATACCGACGGCCGACAGTCTCCACTCCCGTCTCGCCGGCTGCAACCGGTCGGGGATTTCTGGTTTTTCTTGCAAGTCGCTAACCGTCTTAATCGTTAACTAACGATCAATTGAGGAACTATAGCACGATAATGTCAAATATTGTCAAAGTGGCCATGATATTTCGCTATCGATAGGGTAATCGATTATGTTTCTAGCTAAGAGCTCGTAAGCTCGAGGGTATAGCTCAATGGTAAGCTACTACCAGCTGCCCTCTGGCCGCTAGCTAGCGCCCTATCGAGATTAATCAATTGGACTTAGATGCAGGTAGCTTGAAAGCTCCCCACCGTCGATAGTGCGTCTCCACCGTGCTAAGCCAAGTACTAAGACCCCTTCGACCATGTCGACTACTACTTGACAGTCAATAAAGTTGTACGCACATCCTGGGGTACCCGGTACAAGCTATATTAGATGGCATAATGTAATAGTCCGCGCTTGGCCGGACGCCTTTCCCACGATGGAGTTCTTCAACGATCATTGGGGCGGGCGTCTACAGAAGACATGTAGACGTTTTGGTCGCTTTTGCCCACCATACCCGAAGAATTGCCCGATTCGTTTTCTGATTGCCTCTTCTGTCTTAATATATGGCGCTATCTGAGTACCAGAACTCCACCCTGGACACCCGAGCTTGTTATTCCGAGCCGAACAGGACTGGTATTACCCTCCGAATTTCCGGGGGAAGAGCAATAGTGTACAGATCCTTATTCGGACTATGGAGGGGTACCACCTTCAATTGCGTCTAAAGAGAGCTTCGAGAAGATCTTCGAAGTTGACATATGGAGGGGGGAAGAGCAGTCCGTATCAATCCACGCTATGCGATAATGGCGGGTATGCATCGGCAAGGACATCCCTCAAAATTCGGTTTTGGGCATTTTTAGGATTATACGTTTAAGACAGACTTTACACAGCTTCATTCAATCAATCAATCAATGACCGATGCCGACATTTTCGATCGATTGTTGATATGATATGGATACGATATGACATGACTGATGTTATCGACGGATTGATCAGCTCAGCGGCGCTCCAGATTCTACTGAGACTTACCTAATTATCACTCCGAGACGGAGTTAGGTAGATCTGACCGCATGAAGCGCTATTCATACTGCAACTGTAAGTACACAACTTATTTTTAAAACGAGCTTTGAAAACCGCAAAAGGTTTTTTTTTTTTTTTCGTTTCAATGATTCGAGACCTTCGTTTCGGAACAGGATTATTTTCAGACGGTGTGAGATGCAATGCTGTTATAAAAGTTAGAATGTTGTGTGTAGTGTAAATGTCCTGTGGGAATAAAATTAGTAGCGTATTCCAACATTCGATGATGTATGCATATGATGGACCAACAGCTTCAAATCGATGCATCGAGACAATCGGCCTGCAAACTCGTTTCTAAATTCTAACACGGATGCAAATGCAACCTCAAACCCCGTAGAAACACCACCAATTTTTGCTACACCTACCGTTTTCGAGGGCCTGTTTCAATGGTGTGGGCGGGGTTGTTATCCTGCGAGTTAGGTAGGTATGGGTAAGCCCTTGAATACGACAAGGACGAACCCGCACAAGCCAGAATGCTGGAAGCGAAAGGCATGGCATGGCCTCCGAGGCTCGAAGGAGACAGGGAATTTGTAGCCGCAGTCTCGGATCGCTAATGTAGATATGGCACTATAGTCCTCGCGCTAGTGCTCTTCTGAGCCAGGACTCTGCTCTTGTCTCTTTTTTTTATTTTTTTAGGATCCTGCCTCCAATCGAGCTATCGCCAACACTAGTAAATCCCCATTGATTTTTGATTTCTTGGCGGGTTCTCATGTTCTTCTTCCTTTTTTTTTTTTTTCCCCTTTGCCCTTTGACCTTCAGCAATACGGAGTAGTAAGGTTTATTACCTTGTCTTGTAGTTTATTTTTCCTGTCCTTTTTAGCGGCGATATTTTGTAATAAAGATTCACAGAGCTCAATCAATTAAGGTCAACCTGGGTTTAGTTGAAAATTCAAAGCTCCAAGCTCCGGGTGGCGGCCAGCTCCCCACATTGTATCGATATCACAATTGCAATTGCAGTTACAATTGAAATAAAATTGTAGTATACTGCGGTTTCAATTGCATTTGCATGAATTGTTTGATCCAACATAATCATATGATCAGGGGGGGAAAAGGATAACATATAACGAGAGAAATGGATCTGACAATGGAAGAAAGGGGTCAATTCCCTCTTCTTTATTTTTTATTTTATTTTTCTATTTTCCTCGACGGTAATATAATATAATACCGGGAACGGGCAAATGTAAAATGGAAATCATCCCGACCATTAAAATTTGCATGTCGAGCGGCCTGTTGACAAGAAAAAATAATCGATTCTGGGAAATGTTAGATTGTTTCCCTGCAGAGTAATAAACGACGAGGCTAAAGGAGGGGCATGGAGCATGTCCTTACCCGATGCGAGTTAGTCACATTCATGCTTGGAATGCATGTCGGTGACGATGGTCCTATACCCATAATCCCATCGACAGTGCAGCCCCGGTCGATGGCAGCTATCGACCGGAAGAAGTAGCCCATTTACGGCTTCGTGCAGGTCTTAACAGAGCCAGATTATTACTTGTATCGATAGGAATAAACAAGAGGATTGTGTCTTTCCAGAATCGAGCTGGCTGCATTTGACAGGGCCCACCGTGGACCGAGAGGCCAATGCTGCCAATGGCTGTAGACATGCCATCCTAACCGTCGAAGCTGTCGCTAGACGCTATTGGGAGGATCCAACATGGTGTCGACATGTAAAGTTTACCGTGAGCATCGTAGTCCAACATACCGGTCGAGGTCGAGGTCGAGGTCGAGGTCATACACACCCCCCCGTAACAATAGCGAGTCCAACACCGGCAGACGAGACATAACTAGCTTGAAGTCTACTAACTAAGTACATACTTACTTGAGTAGTAAGTATACTTTGTAACTAACATGTAGGGATGTAAGTACATGTACCGTACACCTGAGAAAGAAGTTGGAGGTTGTAAAAATATCACCAACAAAGCGTTTGAAGCAGCGAATGAATTAAAATATTAATAACTTATAACTTTTCCTCTGAATCAAATTGATTAACCTGAATAATAATAATAAGAAAAAATTGAAATTAAAAATAAAAATTGAAATAAAATAAAATAAAATAAAAAAAATAAAAGATGTAGAATCAAATCGAATCGGGGGGGCAATGGATCAGCCCTGGACAGGGCCGGGATTGCGTATAAGTAAGGTCGCGAACCCTCGATGCCACACCACGGTTAGGATGATATCCCAAAAGGCCAATGGTATGCGCCCAAACACGGAGCCTATCGTATACTACACTAATTGTCGACGGGTTTCTTTTCTTTTTCCGAGCATATAGACATTTTCCTGACATCTTTCGTGCTTCCTCACTTTTATATAACTGCGGCCTTCTGTCCCCGTCTTTATCTTTCGAATCGGCATCAGCATTGCATAGCTTGCTAGAACACACTTCAATTCTTAATCTTAATCATCATCATCACCATCATCACCATCTCTACTCTACTCTACTCTATTCTATTATTCTCTACTCTACTCCTCTCCTCTCCTCTACTCCTCTATTACACTATATACTATATCGATATACTATATCCGTACACTATATATATATATATACGGAAGTATATATATCCCATTCAATCATAATCTGATTATCGCTTAACTGCAGACGATCAGGAATCAGCCGAATTCGAAGCTTCAAACAAGAAACAAATAATAATCAAGAGAATCAAAAAAAAAAAAAAGAGAAAACATTCTCATCCCCGTCCGTAATTAATTAATTACCTATCATACGGGATCAACCGCCCGCGAGACCATTCAAGTCTATAGCGTGGGAAGCGTGGCTCTCACCTTTAACACTCTCAACCACACTTGGCTATTACACTTCGAATAGTTATATCTCTTCCTCCTCGTCCTCCTCGTCCTCCCCAATCTTTCATGAGCACTATCTGACCGATTAAGAGCCTCTTCTTGCTGTTATACCTCTCTCTCCACCTGTCCACTCTCAGCTTCTATAAAACAAAAAAAATCCCTGATCGCCATCTCTCCTTCCTTTTTACTCCCTCCCCTTGGAAAGCCAGGCCAGGGGAAAGATACGTGTATTCCATTCGATCCATTGTCGTTTTGTGCCAGCGAAGGACCCGCATTTCTCTTATTTCCCTCGTCCTACCCCCTCGTCTCTCTCCTGTCCTTGTGTTTATCTGGACTCGGTTGTGGCCGTAGTTTAGTCTTTCAATTAGTCGGTTGCCTCTAAGCTGTGAAGGGAAGCTCCCCAAGCTACCACAAGCTACCTTACCACCACCTCGAAAGCACACGACTGTTTTCTCTTTGCTCTCTCTTCTTTCTCTCTCGCTCTTCCTCGCTCTCTCTCTCTCTTCTTTCCTTTTTCTCCCCAGTGTGGTGGCAGAAAGCTGGTTTATTAGCCGAAACGGCAAGGGCCTTTTTCCACACTAAAGTTTCGGTTTCAGAAGTACCTAAGTACCCTGCCCACCAATATCAAAAATGGATTTCGACCTGGATCTTTACTATCAATCCGCCGTCTTCCCAGGCTTTGGCGAACCCACCCTGGAGGAGACGGAGGCTGCCACCAAAGCAGCCTTGGAAGCTGAACTTCGAGGGATGAGAGCCAGTTTTGCCTCTGCCTCTGGTATGGAACATCATGAACTGTTCATGGACCCGTCGACGGCTTGGGACTTCACTTCCAACATCAATGCCAACAGCAACAACACACATTCCAACACAACCTCGTCAACCGCCTGCTCAACCCCCAGCCTCCATGCCCTCGATGAAATTATCATCAAGTCCGAACCAACCGAGAACTGTTCTCTCCCACCCGATTCGCCCCAGAAGAAGCGGAGACAGCCGTGGGGTAGACAACTTACCCCTCCCACTACCAATCTCCCACCAAGGTAAATAATTCTTTTTTCTTCTTCTCCCCTGCCATGTGCATGTTGCATGAAATATGGATTCTAATTATGTGATGTGATCTCCAGAAAACGTGCCAAGACAGATGCTGAAAAGCAACAACGTGCCTATGAGCGTGTGATCAGAAACAGAAAGGCCGCTGAGACCTCTCGCCAACGAAAGCAGGCCCAGCAAGATCAGCTCTACAGGGACCTCCAGGCCGCGTTGGACGAGAACAAGGCCTTGAAGGCCAAGATCGGTGCCATCGAAAAGGAATGCACCACCTACAAAAGCCGTTCCACTCATCTCCAACTGCAGCTGCAGGGTATCTCCAACGGCTCCACTGCCATGTCTGCCGCATTCAAGGTTGAGGACCCCGTCGCTCCCATCAAACTGGAAACCGCTGGGGCGGCCGACCACTATGTTAGCCCATCCTCTCTTACCTGCGAATCACCAGCCAACCAATTTGACGACATTATCTCACCTACCTCCTCGCTTGCTGGCTCTCCGGAGACCATGTCCGAGGATGAGAGCCCTAGAACCCCAACAGAACTCAAGTCTGGGGTCTACTCTCACATGTTCAGCCATTATGCTACATACCCTTCTGACTCCATCCTCCTCCCAACAGCCAATGCTGCTGCCGAACCACGAAAGATGGCTAATGCCATGGACATCAGCGAGCACTTCAACGATGTCTTCACAGCATTGAACTATGATAGAAATCCCGAGGCTGCCCAACTCACTGATTTCGTTCAGAATTTGTTTTAAAAATTGAAAGCAGCAATCTTGATTGATTTCGCATTTCAAAACATAACAAGTCATATTTTGTTTGGCTTTTTGTCATTTTCATCACCTCATATGATGCATTGGATGCCATGAGGGTCTCCCATGGTTGGAGACATTATACCCCCGGCCTAGCCTTGTTTTCTTTGTATAGAGACACAGAGTATCAGAGCCGCAGGGCGGAGAATCATACTAAGATCACCACTAGGGCAGTGGTGTTTCGTCTGTCGTTATCGGAGTCTTTTTTTTTTTTTTTTTTGGATTCAAACGGGAATCGCTACTCTAAAAGAGGGATAGCTGCCTTTCCTGTCATCATATTTCTCTCGCCCTGGGTGCTTTTGGTTTCATTTTTTATTCTTATTCACATTTTCATTTTTGCAAAAGAAAAAATATATATAAAAGGGCGTTATCTGGAGCAGCGGGAATACTATACGAGATAGAATCCGAACTAGTTGGTTGGCGTTTTTGCGTTAAATCTTTTGGATTCCAATGGGACTTGTATATACTGCACTATAGCAAAAAAAGAACAAACAAAGAAATAAAACAACAAATAACAAATGACCCATCTGTTCCTATACATACACATAGGCTTGGTTTGATATCTAAGACGTGATCATAGCTGAAAACTCTGGCGATGCAATTTATTTTTGTGAACAGACTGAGCCAACCCAAAGTGTGTTGACTGTGTGGTGGTTTTTCCGCGCGAACATTGAATTTTTGAACCTCACAGTTCAACCTGCGTCCTGCATCCACATACATAGTACTTTTACATTAATTCTGCAGGCTGCACGCACCCCACCATAGCCATCGCGGTAAGTCACCACCCACCAACCCCAGCCATTGGCCACCACATGCCTTATATCTTACCTTGGACTGGTTCGGCTGTAGACGCATACTCAATTTGTATAATGTACTAATCCAGACTCTCCCAAAAAAGCAGTTCTAGGCTATCGACGTTATCGATGTTATCCAACCGTTCACACGAGCCCCTCAGTTTTGCTAGCAGCTCTACTTTACCCCACTATATTTAGAGAAAGGACGGTGCATACATAACGGCGACAACCTGCCAATCGGTTTCTTCTACCAATAGGACGGTTCACATTCAAGGATTTGCTGTTAATTGGATACGGAACCGATATACTACGCTACGAAAACCGCCTGGTACGACCTGCCATGCACGCTCTCCGCTGTGCCGGACGGCACGCCAGCACAATTCCGAAGCCATCTTCGGGAATCCGCAGGGTACCTCCGTCGATAAACCTAATAACTGCCAACCAATCGGCACAGACAGCATGCAGGCGGCCGTACTCGTCCAAAACTAATGACGCCTCCTCTGAGCGTGGTACCCCGATCAGAGAGCTGGGGACAGTAGGCAAAATCGAAGAATACTACCAGCTCCAGAGGGTCAAGGGAATGACACCCAATGAAGCTGCTAGAGATGAGGCGATTAACGAAATCAACCGGGAGAAAGTCAACCCGGAAGGAGGAATCCCATCACTCCGCTTTACCGACATCAAAACCGGGACAAAATACCATGCAGGGCGCTCGCTAGTTACTGGAGAGGAAGCAAAGGAGCTTTATAACGAATTCAAAGCCCATACCGCCATTGTGAAGCCGGGGCCCACAGATTTGCCGGGCAAACCGACGCAAGTTCACATTTTATACAGAGAACCGACGTCACCACCTGAACGAATACTTGAGAGCATTCGAAGATTATGTTTCAACCCATCTTACATCGTAACAAAGGAGTTCGGCCCACATGCAATAAAGAGCACAGATTTGATCAACGTGGAGCTGGGGTATTGCTCCCATTACTTACCACATGAAATGAAACCCATGGTGTTGGTGCACAAGAACTGGACGATATCAAAGGGCGGAAGGTCGCTAGAAAAGATCTTTCGCTTTGATAATAGAACTTCTGCCCGGGTTAGTTAATACAGCCTCTTCCTCTCCTTCAAAAATTTCCTTGATCCCATCATGACTAACGTGCTTTTTGTCCTTTATTAGGATTTTGCAAATGGGCTTCAACGGCTTATCAAAATCAAGGTCACCAAAACCATGCTTGTAGAACACCACCCCGCATTTGGTATTTATGGTCGACGAGTTTTTGTTCGTTGGGGTACCGAACAGCCGCATGAAGCCATTTCCTCGTGGGATATTGCCTGCGCCAAGCAAACGGATAGATGGGCAGGTGCATGCAACGTCAAAGATTTACTCCCTGAAATCCTTGACTGGACCTTTGATACCAAATTTGTGGATAAAAGTAACCCGGAACAAACTCACCAGACACAGACACAGCAATCGGACCCTGAAACCAACGCTTCGGATAATTTGATGGACATTATCGAAGGATTGATGGCGACTACGAAGAGTCTGATGCAAGCTGCTGAAGAACCTTCAACAGTCCAATCTACTCTGTCAATGGCATCGGAGGCTTTGTCAAAGACAATAGAAAAGATTTCGAAGGAGAAAGAGGAAAATAAGGAATCGGCGGCCGCCAAAGAGGCCGAGGTTCTCCGATGGTTAAACAGCGAAGAGGGAACCCCCAAGCAGGAATCACCAAAGGAAACCGTGGGCGTACCTCAGGAGGTCATCGGAGATTTGGCGCCTGCGGCAGAGGTGGAGGGCTCGGAAATTGTAAACGCTGAAGCTACAAAAGCAGAGACTGTAGATGTAGTAGTGGATGTACAGACTGAGTACCTGCCTTCAGAAACAACTGAACCACAAACCGCTGAAGCAACCACCGTTAAATTAGAGACGGAGGCCGTGCCGGCGGAAGTGACAGAAGCTGTGCAAGCTGAGGCGACAAAAACTGAGGCTGAGGATGCCCCAACAGACGGCCAGCCCCCAAATAATGAGAAGACATCCCAGTGAGAAGATGAAGGACGTATGTACATTAATTCTTAAGATTCGACTGTATATATATACACCCACACCCATGAGATATCAAATCATATGCTAGAAGTACTTCTGTCGAATACAATGCAGAGTATAGATCAATAAATCGAATCAACTCCCAAAACTCCAGTTCCCCATGCATGCTAGCCTTTAAACAACTCCTAACGTTACCGATGGTGCATTTAATACCAATCGAAGGCCTTACTTTGATCGTTCCCATAGATTCTCGCTTTCGCCGGGCAATCGCTCTACCCGCTTTTGCTCCCAGCTATCGATATCCTTACCCATCAGACGCTGTTTTTTTTTTGTCAGAAAAATTAGTACTCAACTAGTATAAAGAACACGACATAAGTGATAAGAAACATACGTAGTACTCCTCGTTGATATCCACCCCTCTTCTATCTTTCTGCATCCCCAAAGCTTCCTCCTGCGTCATCTACACATATCGAAAAAGTCAAATCAGCCATCTGATACAACTTCAATCTGAGCGAAAACTCCTGATATAACTACTAGTTTTTCATACCTTCCTAACTTTCCGGTCATGCTTCTCATACCGCAGCGCCTGAGCAGGAGTGAGAAAGAAGGCACCGGCAACCATGGTCAATATGAAAGGTAGACCGAATAGAGCGAATGGATGCCGCTTGAGGTGTCGGCGGTACTTTGCGGCAATGGTGTTCTCCCATGCGGAGGAGCGGAATGTTTTTGATTGAAATGTCGGCATGTTTTCCTTCTTTTCGATCTGTCTTTCAACGAGAACGGCTTTATCACAAAATCAAATTGAGGATATCCTCTCCTTCTTTCTTTTTTTCTTTCCTCGTTTTGTTCTTTCCTTCTCTTTCTCTTTGCTTCTTGAGAAGAGGAAGAATCGGAATGTGTACAAGCTAGTTAAGTTCCAATCGATCGATCGATGTCAAATACGTAGTACAACAACATGGACGCGGTCGTGGGACGTCAGGCCATTTTCGAGGTCCGAGGTCGAAAATGCCAAGCCACAGTCCAAAGATTTTGGAAAAATTCACAACGCAAAAATTGCAACAGGACTAACTATTCCCCAGAAAATCCGCCCCGAAGCATACGAGATGTATCATTATCAATGAGAGAGAAGACTATAGATGCTATCAAAAGAGCTCTGAGCCAAGCCACTACTTTAGAGTTGTACCTCTTCAAATTCCTACAATTCAGCTATAATATTAATAGCTACTTAGCTTAAAAAAAACCCAGTCATAGCTCGAGCTTAACGGCGGCTTGATTGATAGCTCTAGTTCGCCACCACAAAATGGAGGATTACTTAAACAAACAGCTTCTAACAAGGGAAGAAGAGGGGGGGGGGGAAGGGTCCGTCGAGTAGGAATAGTCAATTATGCTAGAGAAACATTATGCTATCTCTCGCTCGGATTCATATGTATCATGCTACTCTTTGTTTTTGAACTTGTGAAACATGTACTTCATATTACAACGCCCTATATTATTTTTCTGTCCGAAGGCTCATGATATCGAGTCCGATCAGTATGTACCGACCTGTTGAAAAAGGGTCTGGTAGCTCTATCCAGTAGGCAAGTAAGTACTTGTTTAGAAAAGGAAGAGAGAAAAAAGCAGTCCCGCTGCAATGCGCCTTAGCCAAAAAAAAAGAAAGAAAGAAAGAAAGGAAAAAAGGAAAAAAGAGAAGACGCCAAAGCAAAGACACTGTAAAAGCCACAGCATGTACATCACTAGCTTCAGTCATGCTATGCATCCTAGCTATAAGATCATCATACTAAGCTTAGCCCGCAAAAAAAAAAAAAACGAAAAAGAAAGAAAGGCAAGCAGAAAGAAACCCCCAGAGCCATCTGGAGCTACCGGGTAGGTCCTCGCATCCACGGGTATACTTTCCTACCGGAATGCATGCAGGTATAATCCACATCATGTATATCAAAGCAATAGGATCATTTCTGTATCCCTCTCTTTTTTTTTTTTTCACGCGTCCTTTGCATGCTATTTCTCCGTCCGGAACTTAGCGAAGGCACGGCTACCCGAGTTTTTGTGGTTTTCCCAAAGCGCAGGGTGCGGCTCGCTTCGATGTGTACGAAAGCGAGATTGATAATCCTTATCTAAGGAACTTCTAGAAGGATGAACCTATGGAGTAATACTTGATGCGTGCTAGAGGAAAGTATAGACCAAGGTGGTATTTAATCCAAAGGAGGGGTAATCGAAAGCTTGATCTCTAAGATCCCTTCTTTCCCTTACCTTTCAAAGAACCAGAAGAGAGAGAGAAAAAAAAAGCTTTCCCTGCAGCAACTGGTCCGCTCTCTCGAAGAAAGAAACCTGGTCCTAGTAGCTAGCTAGCTACTTCTCCGCAACCGTATTCACTCCGTCTGGACTCGCAAGAGGCCATTGGCTAGCCTCACGCCACTAACCACCCTTGCTCAAAACCACAGACTCAACACAAACAAGTCCCATTAGTAGCGTTACGAGGCAATCAAAAAAAAAAAACCCCCCCCGGTCAGACTGATATCTACAAGATAATATACACATACAATAAAAGTAAAATAAAGAGATAAGAAAGATGCCTTGCGCGGGGATCTTCACCCCCTGCCAAACATACCACACATTCCCCGAAAACGCTTCGTCGGATCTAAAAACCCTCATGCGTTATGGCTTCCCACAAGAAATCGCGGAAAAGGTGTTAGACACCAGGGGCATGACGAACTGGGAGGTTCTACAACCGGATTGTACTGCCCTTCTGTTCAAAAAGTACTGGGACTGGATGAATATGAACATTGCTTCGAGGAGACGGAGAAGAGGGACGGAGAGGGAGATGATGGAGGAACTGGATCAGATGGTCGGGTCGGCGAACGGGAGAAAGAAATGTATTATTCTTTAGAGGAGTTTAGGGATTGTATTGCAGTGGGTATGGTATATTCCTTGCAGGACATGGAATGAATCCAATAGCATTAATGGAGATGGAAGTCTTGTATGATAGAGAAGCTGCGTGTATCAGTTTTGCAGCCTACCAGTTGAAGGAGCGCCTGCTATGGTCATATAGTGGCGGGGAAATGATTAATTACAAGAGTACTAGTTTGAGATGCCCATATCCTCCCCCAATATTATACTTCAATATAAACCTGGGCTTTTCGACAGAAGAATACAGAGAGGAAGAGAATAGAGTAGAAAAATAATATGAAAAACAACCCTCCCGTCCACGAAAACGAAATTCAAGTTGATGTATTTGATCAATACTAGATATCATATCGATCGACGATAGCTCGCGCAGGAATCTTGTAGAGGGCTAGGAATTCATCTCTGACCCAGCTTTCATGGATCCCATTAGGAAGTAGTCCAGGGTACTGCTCAATGACGTCTTGAACCCCCAATATCGGGATAGGGTTGCCATTCGCATTCTTGATTTTGTCGGGGTCGATTACCATTACCGTAGCGTCTCGTGCTCTACCCTTATCAATTTGTTTCTGAGCCCAATTAAAGGCATGGCTCTGGGTACCAAACGTGGAGATGAAATGACTGGGTTCGTCAGAATACCAGTTAAGATGAATTTCGAGCTCTTCGGCAAGGTGGTCGTAGTTGCAAATTTGGATAAAGCCGTCCGCACAACATTCAAACCCGCCGGCATCGCTGTAAATGGTGTGAGAGACGCCGGGGAAGTGAACGCGGTAGAGACGATTGGGGTACTCGTGCGGGCGGAGCCTAGGGTTTGGAATGGTGGCCATTGTGGGGTTTAATCGAATGTCTCCGGACGAATGAAGCTGGGTAATTGGAGGATATGGAGGAGTGACGATAGGGTCTTCTAGGACGGTTGGAGAAGTTTATATGAGTGGGGTCTGGGAAGAAAAGGAGATGTGCGATCTGGAACCAATGCGATAGAAAGTAGCAGCGGGAACAGCAGCAAAAGCAAGTAATTTAAGTCAATATAAATTAAATTCGACACTCCATTGCATACCGCAATGTCATAGGAAACAAGGCTTTAAAAACGCCATCCATGGACACCGAGACTATTTCTCTCGAATAGAATATCTACCTAGGAGGGGGAGTCCTTTTGACCTCGTCCTTCTCCGGACGATGAAGCCGCCGTTTTTTCAGCACTATGGCTTTGAGTTCAGGCGCTTTGAAGGGGATTAAATGTTCCTTGGTCATCAGATTCCCCAGCTTCTATTGGGGAATCTAACGTCCTAGTCATCTAATAAAGGGTGTATATACTTTTAGTCTCCTCGGTCTCGCCGCTACTTTCCCCCCGGCTAGAATATATGTATCTAGTCCGAGGGGTTTGCTATATGGTCGTTTTATTTCGCCATCGTCAGCTGGGATCCTCTGTGGGAGCAAACACCCAGTCTTGCTTCACTAGACAAGAGTGTATTTTATTTCCTCTTGGGTCGAAATCTACATCCTAGAGTACTGAAAAGTACCTTCTTAGGTATGTATGTATCATTTCCTATGTGACCAGGTCCCCTGTGATTCCATCCTGTTGTTCTCACTCATCCCTCTTAGAGAATATGTGTACGAGAACGGAAAGAATAGTTCACTTTGACAAGCAGCTAGTAGTCGTAACTTGAACTCTTTCGGTAGTCCTAGTTTGTATATAATCTCCACCTGTGGCGTCTCGAATTCTCCAAGTTCCTGTTTCATATAATCATCATCATACGATATTCAGAACCTTGATGTGGTGAACCGACTACCCTCTGTGGCCCTTTCCCCTTCTTCTTCTTGTTCTTTATTTTCTAACGGATTGATAGTCTAGGAAACCAGAAGAATCGCTGTCTAGGTATTCTATATCATCGAGCCGTAAGCTCGTCGTCTTGGGTGTCTCTCGTTGTTTTCAACGGTTTCTTTCCTTTTGGCTGTCGGTTGGTTGTTCGGTTTGAAGAACTCATACTTTACCGGCTGAAATTAAGAATTTCTAAAACGATTTAATGGAAGATACGTTACTCACAAGGTCTAGATATATATGGATGTGTATATAAATATGTATATGTATCTATGCTTGATCTGTGAAGAGATAGTTTTGTAGAAGAGAGATGAGATGAGATGAGATGAATGAAAGAAAGACAGAAAGAGAGAAAGGAAAGGAAAGAGGAGGTAGACATGGAGAGAGGTATTTAAGTTACAAAGAGGTATCGAATGCGGGGTTTTAATTGCAGTTGTTAATTCAAAGAAAAAGTGCCTGAAGTGACCACGCCGACAACACGGTCTCGAGGGGTGTGCTGTGTAGCGAGGAGAGAGGGGTGTTACTCTCTGTTTCTGTCGGTCTTTCCCAAATAGGCTTAGCTCGATATGTCTCTTATAAAACTCACCGCCAAATAAAATTCTCTCTTCTTCTTCTGACTTACCATCAACATCAACATCAACATCAACATCAACATCACCAACATCATCTCGTGTTAACCCCATCCGCGCCATGTAATAATTTGTAAGTCCGCTCCCATTGACTTCGCATCATCCGTCTCTACCCAGCAATCACCATCTTTCAAATGATGAACTATTCGTGTCGCCCCTATCAGACCAAATATATGGTGACCTACACCGTCCAAAGCCAAACGGACTTTTCTGAACTCGAAAGACCAAAAAAATCTTTTTTTTTGCACAATCCAACTTTTCACCCACCAAAAAAAAACTTTACTTAAGTCACACGGAACGCTAACATAGTTCTTCCAAAAGGTTCATGTCTTTTTTTCCTCTTCTCTTTCTTTTCTTTTCTTCTTCTATTTTGGAAGATTCTTTTTGACAAACTCACCAATTCGACATCGTAACACTCCAACAGCATACAATCATCACAGGGTAAGCCAAGATATCATTCATTACTTCTCTACTCTTTCTTTCTTTCATCAAAACAAACCCGTCGTGTCGGGAGGGAAAGTGCTTATGATGCAAACATATCCATGCTAATACGGAGCCGTCGAAGTACTACTTCTTCGGTTGCTGACGAAAAAAAATATTCTTTTCATCTTTCAACTGAAGCCTCTTTCCCTCCATTATACTTTCACTGCGCACCATTCCCAAAATTCCGAGCACATATTGTATTCAACTTTGACTTGGTCGCACGTGCTAACTGCCCCAAAGGAACAGAAGATCTTGGTATATATATATACGTCCATCGCGTAGAATACTTGGTCGAGATTTACTTCTCACCTATTCACCTATGTATATACATACTACATATACATACACATAAGATACTTTATAATACAATTTAAAATATGAAAATTATGATTTTATCGATATGCCGCGAGCACGTCGTCGTTCCAACTATACATATCGTATCACCTGTAGTCAGCACGTGTCCTTCGATCAAACAGTAAAGTCAAATAGGTAGTATATAAAACATACTTCAAGAACTTCCCGCTGAGCCCTTTATCCGCCTTCAATGCCAGATTCCCCAATACCGCTCCCACATCCTCCTATAAAAGAATACCCCCCTCCGAGATTAGCCATATCTATTCATACCATCATATAAACAAAATGAAAGACAGAGAGGAAGAGAGAAAAACAATACTAACCGGCTTAACAATGCTCCCGCTCTTCTTCAAATTCAAAAACTTCGCATGTTCCTCCGGTTTCATGACCTTCCCATGGACTTCTCTCAATGCAGTTTGCATATCCGTATCCACGACTCCAGGTCTGATCGCCACCGTCACAATATCCGGTTCTTCAAGAGCTAACGTCTGGTTCAAATGATTCAACGCCGCCTTGGAAGCTCCATATGCACCCCAGCCAGTCTGTATAAGCAGCCCCCAAACCCCTCTATCATTAGCTTCATGTCTCTACCTAGTCTCTAGGATATCTAGGAAATAAGAAGGAAGGAAGGGAAAGAACATACATAAGCTCCCACAGCAGCCCCCGAACTAACCATCACCACTCTCCCCTTCCACCTCCTCAACTGCCCAACAGCAGCCTGAACAACCTCCACATTCGACAAAAAGTTCGTTCTAAAAGTAACCTCCCAATCCCCGACATCCGCATCTCCAACTTTAGCCACGGGATCCAACCTCCCATGGTTCAACACCAAGGAATCGATCCTCCCCCATCGTGATAATGCAACATCGATGATTAGACTTTTCACTTCGGATTGTAGTTCCGACGGTGGGGATGAGAAGTCTACAGAGACGGTTTCGAGGTTCGATGAATGTGTTATCGAGAGGGATTTTAATGCCGGTGTTAGGGTGCGAGTTACGGCGAGGATGTTGGGCGGGCTGGGGAGGGCCAGTAGGTGCTGGAGGATTGCGAGACCGATACCTGTATATATACAGCCGCGATATATATAGATATATCGCTTTGATTTTAGCCTTTGCCGCTTTTCTCATCTCTCTCTCTTCTCTCTCTCTTGTTTTTTTTAAAAAGTATTTTGATCAACTATATAAGTATATATAGTATAGTAGGGGACAGTATACGTACCTCGTCCGGCACCGGTCAGTATTACTACGGGTGTGACACTCATGTTATACCTAATTGTTTGTGATACTTTGATATCTCTTTGATCCCAAATTAATTCAACCGAGCCCAATTTATACTGAAACAATCCTTCTTAAGAAAAAGCAGCTTAGTCATGACCGTTCTAAACCATACATCATCAATCGGATCTTCAAATCCAAAAAAACCCTGAATCACAAATTAACAGCGAATGTTAACTGGTAATTGGTAGTATCATCTCATGTAAGTGTCTATTAAGTAAACTAAACTATAAAACCTATCCCTCATTTTATGTATACTAAAAGTGAAGAAAGAAATAAAAGAAAAGAAAACAAAAGAAAACAAACTATTATACAGCAACATTATTAGAAATAAAACTCGCCCGTATGAAAAAGCGCGATGATGCAACCAAGCTTGCAGGAGATATATATATGTAGAGAAAAAATGTCAAGAAACAGAATAAAGGAAGCCGTCCGTATATATACAACGAAGAATCCCCACCTGCAGGAAGAAGAGTAAGAAGAGATGAGTAATGAGAGAAAAGAAAGAAATAAAAAAAAACTTCGTCAGAGATGCATTGCAAGTTTTTTTTGACCATTGATGAGTTAAAATCCCCTCCCAATGGCCCATTATTAAAGAGTAGCGGTAGCAGTAGGGATAGCAGCAGCAGCAGCAGCAGCAAAGTTAATGTTTTTTCTCGTCTCTTTCGTCTCTTTGTTCTTCGGTTTTTGTAATGTTAGTAGCTATCTCCTTGATCATCCTACCGACCCAAAAAAAAAAAAAAAAAAAGAGAACAGAACAGTTATGTAAATAACCAAAGAATCATCAAGAACGGACAACAATAAAAAAAGAAGACAAGCCCACCGTATTTCGTCCGTTGTTCGTTTCACCTATGCACAAAATGTCCCAGTTGATGCGCTGTATAAGTAATTTTGTAGTTGCCCCGTAAATGCTGCCAAAGTTTGAGCTCAGTATTCATTATCGTAACCAATTAATTTTGGAAAGCGGCTGAAAAAAAAAAAAAAAGGAAGGAAGAAAGAAAAGAAAGAAGAAAAGAAACGGAAATACTCAAGAGGAAAAGAGAGGGAATAAAAGAAGGAGAGAAAAGGGGAAAGAGGGGAAAGAGGGAAAGAAAAAGAAAGCGATATTAGTACAACTAGAACACACCGCTAATGCATATACCCATGAAAAGCAAAGAAATAAGAAGAAGGTATCCCGTATAGAGAGGAAAGAGGGGATAGGTGGGATAGGTCAACACTTTAACCACTTTGTAGAGTCTGAATTTCGACATTAGACTCCACAATCAAGCTTTCATCCAAGAAGCCACACTGCCGTCTGCGAGGGGTCTCCTAACAAGCCACTCCGCTACGGTTTCGTAGCAAAGAACATACTGCCTAAGAGTCTGAACCATCGAAATCCTCTGATCTCTCAAATTCTCAACTGCCTTCTCGATCAAATCCACGCGATCGTCGTTGATCCATTGTCCTTGGAAGTCGTTGTTGTCAAACCCGTATCGCATTGGGGAGTCTCCTTCGTGGTCAACACCATTCTGAGGATACCTTCCACCTGCGCTTCTTACACGCTCACGCTGGCGCCTGAGCATGTCAATGACGGAGTCGGTAGCACAGAAAGTGCCAGTTCGGCCACAGCCTGCACTGCAATGAACAAGAACCGGCCTCTCGCCGTCAGCTCGTGAGGAGCGCCTATCATGGGTGGTTGAGGAGGAAGAACGCCGGGAACCGCCGGAAGAACGTATCACCAACTCAGTCTGTTCGATGAGAGCGAGAATATGGGCGGGGTCAGCTGGGGCGCCAAAGTCGGGCCAAGAGGAATACTGAAGCTGAGTTATTTCTCGGAGAGGGGAGAACGGGTGGGAGCTGTGGCTCAAAGTGAACTTTCGCATAATAACATGAGGTCCGTTGAATTCCTTGGGCGATTCGGGTTCATTGCGACTAGAACTTTGGCGGCGTATCGGCCCTTCCTTCTTGTAGGCATACCCGTTGGTTTTGGCGGGATCCAAAGGAATCCTTTTCTCTGAAATGTTATTCAGTTGGTACGGACCATAGCTATGTTCCTTCCAGTATTTGTGGCACTTGAGCTGGCCTCCCTCGGCTTCAGCAGTAAGCATAACTATAACACGAACATCATGGTCCCAGACGACGCTCCAGAAGTCTCGGAAAGTATGAGGGATGGGACCCTGGGTTGCAATATATCTCTTCGAGCTAAAGTCGGTCGATACGTAGCTGGCGTTGATATAGTCGCACGATTCGGGAGAGTAATCGGTAAGCCTAACCCTCGTATGGTCGTACGGCCAGATATTGTTGTAACGATTCTTCGCACCCTTTTCCACACCGGCCAAAGTATGAGTTTGAGGCGGTCGGAGTGTCTTTGGTGATTCGTAAGTGACGTTGACGTTTAGAGCGTCCTGCATCCTGCGCTGTTCGGCCTTCTCCAATTTCAAGAACTTGTCGGCAACCTTCTTGGCCCCGTCTTCCCTCAGGACATCTCGCATCCATTTTGGCATCGCTCTACGAACTTCCGAAGTGATGTAGTGTGGAATCTTCAAGGAGATCTCGCCGACACCTCCCAGCAAGTCCATATTCTGTCGAATGTTAGAAAAGAAAGGGTTTGCAGCAGCCTTTGGCATGACACAATTGAAAGCTGGTGGACCACCGTCCGATGAACCTGATAGTGAGAGTGAATTGGTCTTCTTTTTCTCCGTTTGGAGAGGCCCTATGTCAACTACTCCAGGGAATTGATCACTAAATTCCTCAAACCCGCCTAGAAAAGGAGAAAGAAGAAGAAGAAAAGTATGTTAATAATTTTGATATTTAAACCCAAATTAAAAGGAAGCCAAATAGAAAGTATACGTACCACTTAACAGATAGGCATCTCCTTGCCAACCTTCTCTAACAAATTTGCTGACGGTGTGCGCTGCGGAAGCGGATTCCTTGACGGTACTTGAGGATGCGTCGTAGACGACAATATTGTTAACCTCCTTCCACCTAGCGAGTTGCTTCTTCATCTCAGGCCCCCCGAGACTCTCCGTTAGTTTTGCGATATTGAAAGACGGTCGCTTGAGGAGAGTGGTGGGGATGGAAATGTTGATGGAGCCTCTGATCCTAGATTGGGAAAATTGCTGGAAGGGTCGCAAGTCCAGGAGAAGAGTCGTTTTGGGAGCTAGATCTAGGATCTGGGCTAGCTTTGAGGCGTACATCAAAGATAGGCCGTCTACTTGAGAGGAAGGAGGCAGTGTTGAGGACCTCTGTCGGTCGAGAGGTGGTGGCCTCATGGTAAATTCGCCAGAGACTGAGCCTCCCTGCAACAAATGTGGCATGGATGATGAGCTCCAGCCAGAAGCCGAGACGGAACGGCTTGGGATGGAGGGATCGTATGTCACAGGGGAATCATATCTTGGCTGGTCAAAGTAGTTTTGCGGTTCCTCATATATACTATTATGCCTCGATGAAGACGCAACAGCCCTTTGTTGCATTTCAGCTTCGGATCTAGGAGAAAGAATTTTCCTTTCAGTTCTAGAAGCAGAAGCAGCTGCAGAATAGGAGGAGGAAGAAGAAGATGAAGAGGAGGAGGAAGCAGCAGAAGGGTCGTGTCGAGGGGATTTCAAGGCACCGGCGAAAAATCCATCGATGGAATCGGACATGTCCCTGCTTCCACCCCTGGATCTCTGATAGGCAGCATGATTTTTATTGTGAGCAGCAATAGCAGAGGATTGTCGGCGAAAGTTCTCAGAAGTAGCAGTAGGCATGGTGTCGATGTCAAGAACGTGAGGAGATCTGGCGGCTAAGGATCGGAGGGAGGAGGTGGTCGACCAATTATTATGAGCGTATGATTCCTCGGAATCTCTGTCGAGACCAAAGTAGCCCGAGGCGGGGCTGGCAGTTGTAGCTGAAGCATCGGGGCCTCTAGGTAAGGGAGTCCTTCTGGGATAACCTCCGGGAGTGCTGGGAATGTTGGCAGGCAGGTCAGCAGGAGTGCCGGGGATGGTGTATAGATGAGGAGGTTGGGTATGCTGAGATCTTGATTGGGAAGCAGGAGCAGATGAGGATGTAGCAGAAGCACCAGAAGCACCAGAAGAAGGATTCCTGGGACTGAAGATTGGATTGTAATCGAAGGGAGTACCAGGCGAAGGGCGCTGGGATGATGTCAATGACATCTTTGGGAATTCGTGGTCGGCGAGGTTGAGGTGCATTCAATCGAATCCAAAGCGAACCAAGCCAAAATCAAATCAAACCGAATCAAACCAAGCCAAACCAAACCAAACCAGGCCAGGCCGGGTCAAGTGTTCTTGAAGAGTTTGGAATATTAATTAAATCCTTGATGATATCCCAAAGAATTGAAATGCTTCCGTTCGTTCTTTCTTCCGTACGTACGCACGTAGGTTCGCCCGTTCGTTCGTTCTTTCGTTCGTTCGTTCGTTCGTTCACTCGCTCGTTCCTTTTTAATCGTTCGATCGATGGTTTAGTTTTATTCAGTCTAGACTTGTTCCAGAGTTCCCCTTTTTTTTTTTTTTTTTTTTTTTTTTCTTCTTCCTCTTGTTCTTCTTGTTCTTCTTTTAAAAAGTTCCCTTTGACTGGCAGCTATATTTTAATGAGAAGAGGGATTCTTCTGAGAAAAGAAAGAGCGAAAGAAAAAAAAGAAAGAAAGACAGAAAGAACCGAATAAATAAAGCGAAGTGGAATGGTGAAAGAAAAGGGAGGTCGAAGGTGGCGGCGGTGTTAATGGTGTTAGTGGTGATTGTGATGGTGATGGTGATGATGGATGATTGAAGTGATGAGAGACGGAAGAAGTGGAGAGGATGAGGCTGATTGAAGCTATACTTTGATGTTGGAAGTAAGTGGCCGTGGTCGTGGTCGTGGTATAGTGGTAGCTGTGATGATGGTGATGATGATGGTGATGATGATGATGATGATGATGATGGATGTTGCAATTAATGTTTTTTCCTTTGGAGGAGAAGCTGCTACTCAGCTTGAAGAGCCAAGTGAACCCAACTTAACTCAGCTCAGTTCAACTTAACTTAACTTAACTAACTTAACTTGCTCTGACTTTCTTTTCTTTCAGACTTTGACTTTGACTTTGACTTGCAGACTTTAAATGGCAGACAAGCAAAGCAAAGCAAAGCAAAGCAAAGCAAAGCAAAGCAAAGTAAAGCAGGGCAAAGCAGGGCAGGGCAGAACTGGTCGGGTCAAGACAAATACAAGGCAAGGCAAGACAAGGCAAGGCAAAGGCAAAAAGGACAAGCTCGAATCCGATTCAACTTACTTATAGTATATATACTTCCGATTGAAGTCAAATGAAAGGAAAAGAAATGAGATAAAATAAATAAAATAAAATAAAATAAATAATTGAATAAAAGGTTAAATTAAATTAAAATCGATTCGATTCTATTACTGTTCCGGTTCTCAATTATATGATATTCTACTACACAAGTATATTATATTACATTACATTACATTACATTACATTACATTACACCGCTGAAGGGGAATCGTAATACAATACATGTAAAAAAAAATAAAAGTAAAAAAAAAAAAAACTGGTTTTTCCTTGCTTTCTCTGCTGTTCTCCTGACAAAGCAGACTTATATACCTCTCAAGTGAGTAAGTAAATAAGTAGGTATACTTCCTTCCTCAGGGAAGTACCGATGACTTACACGGATATGGGAGTAAGCAGCCAGGTGGATGTCTCAGGTACTTGCACAGGACGGGTGACTACTTAGCTAACCCCTCTTTTTGTTGAACCGGCCTGTCAGCAGATATAATATTAATTGACATTCAAGATACCCGACCAGGTCTTTCTGTCACTTAATCGATATTCAGGGTCTTTCTCCTTCTTTCTTTCCTTCTTTTCTATTTCTTACTGCCACTGTCACTATCACCAGATATTTACTTACTTACTTACTTACTGACCTACTAGACTTCTTTCTAAGTCGGTAGAACGAGAGCAAGAACAGGAAGAAACAGAGTCCTGCAGAGTCTAGACCGCATACAATCAGCCCATCATTGCAGCCAACGACGTCATCCTCGCCACCAATTCCCTCATTCGGCTAGATTCTTTCTTCGTGACGTCATAATTCTTGGCTTCCCAATCCTTCCCAACAACAGACCTTTTAACCAAGTAACTTTAACTGATACAGGTACCCACTCATTAATCCCTCGATCACGATCACCTGGTTATCAGCCCTACACTCTCCCCCCAGGTATGTACTTTTCATACGCTACCCACTAGCACTCACCTAACCCCTACTGGTCCTTTACATACCGACTTAAGAAGTACTACGTATACTTGTGAGATACGAATAGCATCGCTAGCTAGGTCGTACAATGTATATAACTCGCCAAAAAGTAATAGTAATGGTAATAGCGACTAGAACAAATTACATATGTACAATCCAATGGATAGAATAATCAATCGGTTAATCAATCAAAAGAGAACCCGTCTCCGTGATACCGTTGGCGTCTGTGAATACCCGTCATACTCATCACCATCGTAATCATCATCATCCTCGTCATCCTCCGGCCTGACCGCCTTCCTCGCCGTGAAAAAAGGTGTCTGCTTGATATTATCAACGTTGCCGTGGCTCTTCCCTTTCTTCGATTTCCCCCCAGGTGCAGGTGTCGCAAATATTGCCGTACCCGTCGCCGGATACGAATGAATCTGATGCACCACTCCAGCCGCACCCCCATACATAAGCCGAGGTGCTGCCGCCGCCAAAACCGGTGCTGGATGTCCCCCCACCTTCGCTCGAAAGAACCCAAACGCGAAATTACTAAAAAATATACACCCGAACGCCAGCGCCAGACAGAACACCATGCTCTTGTAACTAATATGTTCCACGAACCCATTGATAATCTGCGCGAACGTCTCAGCTGACACCTGACTCCTTCCCGTATTATACGGGTCCATCTCCGCGCATGCCCTCCATTCCATGCACTGTTCTGCCATCGCCGGTACCATCAAACCCGGTTGGCATCTATTCTCCACGAGCTTTGCGTTACAAGCCGCCACCTTGAGTTGGGCTACAGCCGTGTAATCATCGATCTTCTTGTTCACGTCCTTCTGAATCGTACTCCAGACCAGATAAACAAAGTACATCACCACGGACGCGATCAGAATGTTTATTGTCAGCTGTAAGTATTGCGACAGCACTTGTGGTATATCCCGATGTGTCTCCGCCCAAGTCCGTTGTGATCGTCGTTTATTGGTCGCCGGTGCGAACGGACTATCGGAATCCTCAGAATCGTAAGAATCTCCCGAATGGGCCCAAAACACATTTTGACCCGACCCTTGCTTCCGTCGTCTCCTTTCCACTTTCTTCGCTGCCTTGTCGCTGAACTTGTGTGCCTTCTTCTCGCCCTTGCTGGTTTTCTTCGGTGGCAAGAATCCAAAATTCCCAAACAATCCCTTTGCTCCCTGTTGCTTCTTTATTGTCGCGTCGGGTTTCGTGTCAGGATTCGACTCTTCTCCCTTCTTCGCTACCGCTAATGGCATTGGCATTGGCGTCTTTGTCGGAGTATCATCTGTCATCATCGAGTCCATTCCCGCGACACCGGGTGCAGGTGAATCTTCTGCATCGGAATTCACAGACGGAGACCTCAAATCGCGAGCTGTCTTGAACGCAGACGAGTCGAGTGGATTTTGGAATGGGGTAAAGAAGAACGGCTTCGAAGATGGTGTCGTCATATCGAACTGTCGGTCCTTAATTGGTGTTACTGCAGTTTCGCCATAATGTCCTGCACCATCATCACCATGATATCGACGTTAGAGATGTGAGATCGCAAAAATAATATATGAAGTAGTATTTTTTTTAAAAAAAAAAAAAATTAAAAAAAAAAAATTAAAAAAAAAAATTAAAAAAATGAAGACTAGAGATAGATATATTTTATCGTACTTTTTCTAGGTGGTCCTCCTTGCATCTGTCGCTCTATGTTCTGCCGCGAAAACGGCGACGACGGATCCGTTGGCCCGGTTTGATTATCGTAACTCCAGTCCATCGGAGACGCATGATTGCGTGAACCAGCCATGGTTTTGTAATATCCCTATCCGCGAGTCTAGTGGGGCGATGCGAAATAAACTCGGTGTGGATAAGAGCGGTAGATTTGAAGGTGTCGATGACTTTTAGGAGATGTCGAGATGAAGAGAGACGGAAGAAGAGAAGTGTCAACAGCGAAAACAAACATCAACACCGCGCTCACTTCATGGCAACCACCACCATTACTACCACCACCACCACCACTACTACTACTATCACCACCACGATCATCGCCAACATCCATCCATCAACCTCAACCACACCCTTCTCGTATCGTCATTCCACGACATCACCAACTTGTTTTTAACCTCACTCGTAAATTATCTTCTCCAATGGCCCCGAATAACACCGTCAGTACGGCTCTCCATGAAGCCAACGACATCACAAACGCCGACAAACCCTTCAAATCCACAAGCTGGAAACCTGCCGCCCGTAGAAATAAAAACCTTAAGCAGGTATTGATCGAGGTCAACCGTGCACAGGCTGCCTCCATCATAGCTTCTCAGGCTCAAACCGAAGCCAATACGGGCGATAACACTCCAATTCCCGAATCTACCCTTGCTGGTCTGTCTGCTCGTGCTAGTGCTGCTCAACAGGCTACGGCACTCCAAAAGCTCTCTCTAACAGTTGGCCAACCAGCACCGACTTATGGCAACATTGATGCTGCTCCATCTCTTCACCCCGCGAACTCGGGTCATTGGTGCGATATCACAGGACTACCCGCAAGCTATGTAGATCCCAAGACGAAGCTACGATATGCAAACAAGGAGGTCTACGCGGTCATCAGGGGACTAGGACAAGGAGTTTCCGACCAGTTTTTAGCCGTCCGAGGTGCAAATATTATTTTGAAATAGGTTTCCTTTCGTTCATTCAACATTTGGTTTTTCTTTAAGGGCGCTGCGCCGGCGTTTATGGGTTTCCTCTTAGCACGGCGTTATCATACGATAACTACGAAACGATTACGAAATCATCTAATACACCCCTCCCTCTCTTACTAGCTTCAAAAGCCCATTCGTTTTCCTCAAAGCTTATTGTAATCCTAATTGGGACACATCCACTGTCGTCTCCCCTCCTAATATCATCTCGGCCATAACCTTCCCAGTCCCCAAGCTCATACTAATCCCCCACGGTCCATGCCCTGTGGCTACGAACACACCACCACCTCCACCGATATTCGTATTCAATCCTCCTAAAAATGCATCAGGAATACGAGAGAGTATAGGTTTCCCAGCTGGCGTGACGGGTCGATGGCATAGCCCCCTCCTGATTACGTTTGCCTCATTCGTCAGTCCATTACGCGTGCTATCGTCGTGGTCGTCGTTTTTGTCGCCACCAACACCAAATTGCACTATCAGATCCTTTGCACCAGATATCAACTTTTGAATATCAGCGTCGTTTTCCTTGACATCTGTGGCAAGTTCCGGGAGCGGGATAGTTGCTGAGTTTATGCCGGCAAGATAGATGTCCCCATTGACTCTGCTAAACGCCTCCGGATGCCAGTCTAGACCATCGATGCTCGAAAAGACCGCGTGGAGGTCTCTAGGTTCGGTCTCCTGAGACCGGTGAGCTGGTGACCGGACAACTATGCTATGTCCGGCCAGAGAAGAGATCGGTAATCGATACCCCGACGTTGGGAAGAGCTTCTCAAACAGCCGACCGCTCCAGGATCCCGCTGCGATAAGAATGTGCGAGCAGGAAAGCACTTCCTCCTGTTGCTCCTCCTCGGCCGTACCGTTCCCATTGGAAATAACCAGTCCTTCCAGTCGTTTGTCGGCCGATTGGACAACCCTCACAGGTGTCACCGGATGTCGAATAGTAACCCCGCGTCGCCTGACCTCCTCGAGCAAGAATTCGCATAATCCAAGCGGGTCTCTACGGTTTCAAACCGTCCGAGTTTTGCATCAGCAGCTGATTCTCATCGTTTTTCTTACAAATCAAAATCCGATTCTTTTTCGAGAGAGAGAAGAAAAAAAGAAAAAAATCACGCAGGACAAAGATGTTTCACTAAAATTCGGATTATGCGAGACGACAGGGAAAAAAGAAGAGAGAGACTAAAAAAAGGAACGAGGGGAATAAGGGAAAAGAGAGACATACAGTTGCGCAGTAGAATCGCCGGTGCACGATAACTCCACCTTTCCACCTTCACAGTTCCACCAAGCAGGTGCAGTGCCACGTTGCACATTCCCGTCATCTTCACCTCCAACCCCAGAAGAAGCATCAACCCGACTAGTACCGTCTCTCAGCCAATCATCCCCCCTCTTCCTGCCTTCTTCCCCGGTACCTCTTTCAAAACTATAGCTATTACTGGGGCTATAACCCCACCGTCGTCTCCCATCATTAGCATCCGCGAGCTGCCGGTGCAAACCAAAACTCAATTCACCGAGTTTGGACGATGCGGCGCCAAACCAGTCCTTTGCCAGGAAGCCGCCGGCACGGCCGGAAGCGCAGGCGAAAAGAGTAGGGGATGTATCTAGTAATGTGATATTCTGGGGTGAGACTTTGTGGTGATTATGAAATAATGATGGCGAAGATGACGATGAAAGGTAGTAAGCAGTGGATAGGCCGATGATGCCGGCGCCCAGAATTATGATTGATGAATCAGCAGGATTAGTAGACGATGAATGGGGAGTGTTGTCAATTGTGGTATTTTGCGGCATGGTAGTGTATTTTTGCCGTTTCTGGGTCAATTACTCTACTATTCTATCAAGTATGTACTATTCAATGCTTCGAAACCTATTGGCTTCTTCTTCTCTCTCTTTTTCTTTTCTTTTTCTTCGTTCTTTCGTTCTCAATCCCTTGCGAGTCTACCAATTTGGCAATTAGGTCAGCGGAATTCGAAAGGCCGTTGAACTGCCGGATTGGAAGGGGGAATGAAGGGAAAGTGGGTATTCGGGCGACGGGGTAATGTCTGGCCGACTTTTGGCTGTAAAACCGGAGCGAGCAGAGAGCGATGCGAGGTTGTGGAATGCCAAATCAGATGCAGGATACCTTATACGTCTATCACATTAACATACCTTTTTTCAAAACTTCAATTGCTTGCTTTGTCAATTGAATAGATCGATAGACGGGTGGATGGATGAATGGATAGGCAAATCTAGGGTTGATTTTGAGAATTCATTCGAAAGGTGTTCATTACATTTCATGACTTTCATACCAGGTAGAAATTACTTTTATATACAAAAACATCACGCTTGAAGTTTAACAACGTGAAGGATCAGTTAGAGTCGTTGTTTCTTACTTAACAAGAACTACATTCGAATTCGCCATAGCTTAGCTTTCTTTTTTACCTTTCTCTCTCACAAACGCCCCGTTGCGGTGTTTTTCGAGCTAGCTAAATAATAGCTAGCTAGCGGAGTTACTTAAGCTAAGCTATCCATTCTTCTACCTTTCTTAAATTTGCTTCTGGGCGGACGGGACCAGCTCGATCCGTGGATCCCGGGGAACGGAGATTAGCTAAGCTAAACTACAGTGCCACAGCGATTACATATGTCTGTCTGTCTATCCGTAGACTTCCATCTTGGTTTTTTGAATCCGCACGATTCTGATAGGTTACATTCCCTTATTCGAGATTCTTGCAAATAGAGGTGTATTCCCTCCCCTTCCCAAATTTTCTTTTTTTTTAATTCTTAGTGACATAAAATATGGTTATTTGGGTATACTAAAAAGTCAAGTGGACCGGATGGACCCGAGTCAGTGTCCAGGGACCGAATTTCCTAAATTGAAGAATAAACGAATGTCGAATCGAATTATAATATAATAATATCACGAACCCTTTTTAAAAAAAATAAAACAGAATGAAAAGGTTTGATGAAAAAAATATAACGTTATAGATAAATGTTATAATAATATAATACACATGTAATACCGTTTTGCTTCTCTTCGCCGTTTCGGCTCGTATTCGAATTACTTGTATCAAAAAAAAGCCCGTCTCGGTCTCTTTCGATACACCCGCGTTCTCATGCATATACATCGTACTTACATACTGACCTCCGACATCCAAAAACAAAAAGAAAAAGAGTATTCGGTAGTTAGTCAATATAATTCATTATCTCCAAGAAATCTCCAAGAAATCTCCCAAGGCTCTCTGGTTGTTGTTACAAGGTTGACTTTTCGAAAAGCGAACAAAAAGAGAAAAAAGAGGGAGACAGAGGAGGTAATTCCAAAGACAGTAGCTTGATCCCGCAGTTCATAATTCCAGGGATTGATGAAATCTATATCCCATGCGGCTGGCATTATACCGCAGCTGTAGTATACGTACATACAGCCGATTTCTCCCCCTCAACAAAAAAAAATGGGAAGGGCAATCTCGGGTCCGAAAAATCCCAAGGGCCCTCGGGCCCTTTTTTAACCTCCTTCTCCGTTAGAGCGAGAAAAAAAAAGTGGCTCCCAAAAATGCAATAAAAATCGTCATTCGCTTCGTTTCGCCGTTAAGCTAATGCTGAAAACTCACAAAACACCCCGAATGATAATGCCCTGTAGTTATTTTATGCACAAATGTAAGTATGTACGTGGTTTTTTTTTTCAAGGGGAGGTAGTAAACCTAGTCAAAAGTGAGGGAAAGAAAATGAGAAGGGAAAAAAAAAAAAAGGACTGAGGCGTATGTATGTGATATTGATAACAAGCTCAATTCGTTCGCCTTTCGGGCCCAACCTTCGGCTCCTAATCACGAGTCGGGCGAATCAATTCATCCATTTCGCATATGCCCTGTGTAAGCAAAACAATCCGTTAGACGTCAGTCATACACGCACGCACGCATAACGGGAAGGGAAAAAAGTGATGCAAACAGAGACAATCGTATCTCGTATTATGCTAACGTACCATCTAACCCTCTCCACAACCCCCCTCTGAGCCCGAACTCCATTTCTAATATTCCCCATCTCCTCCAAATCCTCCAAGAACTCTTTCATCACTACCCCTCTTGGCAAAACGTACCCGGCAAGCTGCCTGAGCACATGGATCTCACAAAGCAACAATCCATGCTCCTTAAACGTTAAGATGCTGCTTCTCTCCCCGTGGACCTCGGGACCACGGCCCTTGGTTGCACGGTATGCCGCACTGGTGGATAGTATCCTGTCGATATGGCGTAATATGCGAACCATACGGCCCTTTGCTTCACCTTTCTTGATCCCGTTCCGCCCGCCCCAGGCGCTTCGCATCCAGCGGGTTGTGCCAACAACGATCAACACCCCCGGCGTAAGACCTAACATGCCGAATAGTAACTGCTGTGATTTCAACATATTATCGATCCCGCTGACTGCTACTTCGACGTCGACTTTTGTCTTTTGGATTTGAATCAACAGCGAGCGTAGCAGTTCGCCTGTAACCGCGCCGCGGATTGGTTTCTTCATATCTTGTTCGTAAACTCGTAGGACTGGTGTCAAGTCCCCCTGTTTGACGTTTTCCCTAATCAATTCTATTTCTGCGGGCGTAAGTGGTGTAGAAGCATTTTCTAAAGCGGCGGAAGGGTTATCGATCGCAAATTCGACAACCATGCGTTCCAAACTTTCGCGGTCTGAGATGAGGGATTCGCGGCTCATCAGGGCGACTTCTTGATCTTCACCTGTGCGAATCGTGCTGATGATACGTTTGATCGGGTCGACTACCCAGTTATCCCAGAATTCATAAGCAGTTTCACCGGCTTCCCGTATCCACATTTGAATTGCTTCTTGTCTGTTGACGAGTAGGCGGAGTAATGTCCCCGATGAGAGGAATACTGCCGTAATGGGGATCCAATACCTCACTATCCAACTGGGTCTGCCATTTACTCTCAATATCTCCCTTGATAGCAATTCCTGCTTGGGTAGGTGTCCCCTCAACATTTGCTGTAGACGGTGCGAAAGAACAGCAACATCCTCAAACTCCGATGCCCCGCCGCCCGAGCCCATAAACACCAAATCTTCAAATTGCTCAACCCCACCGACATGGTGTATATTGGAGACATTCTTGACCACATTATCCATCAGCACAATACTGCGTTCGACAACCCCCTTCCAATCATCCTTTTCAACATCATCATCCTGCCCAAACATTAACCCTTCGTTCATCAGTACCCCCAAAGCGGAAGCCTGCATGGCCCTTAATTTTGAAATATTCGCATGCTTCTGATGGATTGAATGCGTAATCAGAGCGAACGGCGATACCAATCTTGCATTAAACACCGATAAACTCCGTTCATGCCAGGACGTCCGTATGAGACCGTAGAATCTCTGAGCGGTTTCAGATAAGCTGGCTGCAGCTGCAGCCGCAGCTTCCGGTTGGATTACATTGTCAGCACCGATTAATTCGCCTCTTTCGAAGCGGATACGAGCATCGTGATAGACCTCTTTTGCAAAGTCGTAGAGACGCCAAGGGGAGGTTTGAAGAGAGTAAAGTAAGGTATAGCGGTATGAAGAAAGAACTTCATCCCAGTAGTAGATATCATCGCTTAATGGGAGAGTAGCGTCGACAAGAGAGAGTAGTATGACGCCATAAGTCTGTATGGCGGCCTTGGATACAATAAGCCATGATAACTCGTGTTCAAGGTATGTCCCGACGTTTTCGTCGTTGATTGCAATTGTAGGGTTAGCGGCGGATATGTCGGCTAAGGAGAGCAGGGATGTAATCTGCTGTGGGGTCAGGAGGGTGGACGAGGTGGATGAGAGGGATTTGATGATGCCTTGGAGCTTGAGAATGCGCGGGGACGGAGGAGTGGCAAGGGAAATCTCTCTGGTGGTCGGATCGGAGTCGGAGACTGCGGAGGGAGGAAGAGCGGAGATTTGTTCAAGATGCAACCTGTCGAGCTGCAGGTCGATGGCGCGGACTTGGCTGTTTTAATGGCTCCGGGTTAGAATAGGAATGCAAACGAAGCTGAAGTTAAGAAAGACCAGAAGGGAACAGCCATTGCTTACTCCGCGACAAAGCTCATTGGAGATGGATTCCACAATCTCGTCTCGTGAACGAAACTTAGATGGAGTGGTAGTGATAGTAGTAATAATAACGGTGGTTACAAGTCTCAGAATATTTTTTTTTTCCCTGGTGGGCAACAGCTGCAAGGTGGGGCAGAATGGAGTCGAGACGAATGCAATGCAATACAATGACATCCATGTTCTTCCAATCGGAACGCTTCGATACTGTCATCGGGTGTATTTGCTGACTGTCAGCTTCGTTCGCCCTTCCATCCATAATGCATCCATCAAAAATCAAAATCAATACCAGTACCGTTGATATCAATGCAATATACTGTGAATTCGGCTTTGAAGTATGCGGCTCAAAAAAAAAAAAGAGACATCACTAATGACGCCACGAAGGATCATAGTCCATGCAAAGCTGCATCCGTGCTGGGGCACTAACATCGGTACTTTCAGGGCTCCGGGTCCGGTTTGCGGACTGCCTCGGCCGTGGCCCAAACAAACTGCCGCGGGCGCATTCCCCCTAAACCATTTTGGGGGTATCAGTCTCCTAAACTCCTTCGCTATCTCCGTCTTTCCCTCAAACTCTGACTAAGGCCTTAGTCAAAGGGTGCCAGTTCCGACTGCGAGAGAAGGCTGGCGAAAGGGCTGCCAGGGAGGCTGAATAAGCAGGCCCCGGCTGGAACGTCCCATACAAACGATTCACGAAATACCGCCTAATGCCCCTCCTCCAATCCGTAGAAATTTCTTTCTGGATATCTTCGAGTTTGAGATTGAGAATAATATGGTGAAATTTTGAGAGATAGTAATAAAATGAAAAACATCAGTAGTACACCTCGGGGGACGCCCTTTTAAAAGAAAAAATCTATGCCGTGCACAGCTGCAGGTCACACGTTCCCGTCGCAGCAGGACGTTTCGCTGCTCTGTGTATCTCAGCGAAGCACTATGGACAGAAGAGTATAATGAAGGAACAGGGAAACGAGATGGTGTTTTTGTGGAGAAAACGATCGTTAGAATCAAAATGTCGAAGAGTAATGAGTAATAATAATAGTAAACAGCCACCCTTAACAAAAACATTTTTTGAATCCTATAAAAAGTAAAACGAAGACAAGAAGAAGGACAAACAGAAAATACGGTGACTATGGTATAATTTTTAAGAAGGGAAAAAAACACCGGTGTATGACAAATAATTTGTATACAACCAAACAGAATAAGTAATAAAACATTTGAAGAAGAAACCGCTAACTCCTGACGCTCAATGCACCGACTTTAAAGGAATCAATGTAGAATAGAAGGGGAATAGAACAAAAAGAAGTCGGAGGAAAACAAGAAAAAGCGAACGTATATAAGACATCAGCAAGAAAGGGAGAAATAACTGTCTTGCGGGAGGGGGGGAGGAGTGGCGTTCATTCGGGTGGATATGATATTTGCGAGATTTCTTAATTCTTTATTCGTCAACTCGTACTCTCTTGACTCCGGCTACAGGCTCTGTCAGAGTTTTGTCGTGAAGCGCGGAAATTGGTGGCAGTTCTGGCTTGAGCGACATCCTGGCCGATGATGGTCGGCTAGAGATGTGTAGATTTTCAATGTTAAGACCGGCCGGTGGGTCCGGAAGAGCTTCTCCCTCGCCAAGGTGGTCGAGTAATCGTCGCTGGAGGTGCATGATGTATTGTCGGAGGGCGGCGTTCTCGTTCTCCAAGGCACCGTTTCGTTCCTCAACAGCTTCGTAATCACGGACCTTCGACTCGAGGGACTTGATGTATTCTTCCTTTCGGGCACGGAATGCTCTCTAAAATATGCAAGTTAGCGACCATGCGATTCTTAGAAAGGAAAAAAAAAGCGTTGGCTCTTCTTTTTCTTTTCCTTCTTTTTTTTTTTTGTCGCGACATACCTGAGCGTTACGATTTTGGGCAGCTCTCTTAGAACTATTCAATTCTCTCTTCTGTCGCGAGTCGGCCTTGCTGGAATCTTCGCCACCGCTTCCGGGGCTAAGGCTTGAGCTTGGTCGGATATCGTTCCTCTGAAGGACTGTTGGAGAGGAATTTGGTGGTTGCTGAGATGACATAGGCGTGGGCTGTTGCATCGGTTCCTCTCCCGAGATGGCAGAAAGAAGTTGTTTTCTTAACAATTCGGTGTCCTTGCCGAGGTGAGGATCAATTCCCCAGTCCCGTACGGGCTGGGAAGAAACAGGCGGTTCTGACTCCATGGAGAGGGATTTTCTCGAAGGCTGTTCAGCCGATGAGGAAGGAGTATGTTGCTGTTGTTGATGGTGATGATGGTTGTGGGAGTGGGAGTGGGAGTGTGAGTGTGAGTGGTGGCTGAGATGATGATGAGAAGTGTGTTGTTGGTCCTGAAAGCGTGTAAAGCTCGGAATGTTAGTCGCGGAACTAACACGAGGAGCCTCCTCGACAGGTAGAAGAAGAAGTTTGAGAAAATTATGAGGTACCTGAGTAGAGGTAAGAGTAGGAGCAGGTAAAGTTCGGTGACCGTTCGCCATCGAAACGACTTCCGTCATTTTTAATTGCGGACGTGAGGATACGATACTTTGCAGATGCGAGGTGGATATGGTGAGGATATGGTGATGATGGTGTTGTTGTAGTTGTTGTTGTTGTTGTTATAATATCGGAGACAGCCAGCGTGCTGGTGATGGTGATGATGTTATATAGAACGATGAGGGAGAGGAAATAAAATAAGATAGAAAGAAGTAAAAAATAAAAATAAAGAAGAGACAGGAATAGATGATGGAAAAAGTATTTGGCAGGGGACGCGAAAGCCGCTTAGCAAAATTATATAATCCGGAGGGGTGTATTTGAGATAGACGGATATCCGATGGGTAGCCTGGTGGAGTGTGATGATGTCGGACTCGGGCTCGCCTGTTTAGCAGCAGTGACAGCAGCAGTGACAACAGCAGCAGCGGAAGCAGAAGCAAGAAGCTTAAAAGAGGGCTATGGATATAAATAGAGAATTGCGAAGTGCGAAGTCTTCCTTTTTTTTCTTTATTTTATTTTTTTTCCTTTCCTCTTAGACTTTTTTAAGTCAAGTTATGTAAGTGGGAAATAATAGAAAAAGGAAGGGTTTGGCAGGGGTTATTCTTGATTCCTGTTCTTATTCTTATTCTTATTCTTATTCTTATTCTTATTCCTATTCTCGATGCCTGACAGACCGACTGACTGACTAAAGGATTCGAGAAGATATAGAATAGTGTATAGTGTATAGTGTGTGTGAGTGAGTATGTAATGCACTGCAGTCCGGCCGAGGTTGGATGGATCTATCTTATTTGAGAGAGACCGGGCGAGGGCTATTAAATATGTCAACGTAAGATTGAACGGTTAGGCAGGTTTAGTTAGGCAGGCCGGCCAAAGCAAAGCAAAGCAAAGCAAAGCAGGGCAAAGCAGGGCAGGGCAGAGCTAAGCAGACAAGCTTCTTGTCCGTGAATGTCAATATGAAAAGTATGTAATGTGTAATGTGTAAGCTGGACCCGGAGCTCGAATTGTTTAAGTAATCCGAAAGGGACCTAGTCGGATATGTGTAATGGCGAGAGGCTTAGACTTCTTTTTTTTCTTGTCTGTCTGTCTGTCTGTCGGTCGGTCTTTAATTTGTTTTTTTTGTTATTTGGTCCGGCGGCAGGAAATTTAAAAGTGAACTGGTGGAATGGAAAGACCCGGCCGAAAAATCAACCAACGAACGAACAACCTCTTTCTGGTCTGTCCGAGATATACTGCGTAACTGCTGGCTGGCTGCTTAGTCTTTGATTACGCCCTGGACTGGACCGACTGGAACAATAATCAACCGAGTTTGTCTTCTCGATCTGGTTGGACTATCTGCGGAGAATTAGAAGGATTAATTAGAATCGTTCATGTGTAAGCTGCAATATCATGCTGGCATCCGCGTATTCCGTTTAGAGTCCGTTCAATCTTTGCCCTAAACGTATAAACGTATAAACCGACAAGACAGGACAAGACGGGAAATAATATAAAAAATAGAAAAAAAGAAAGATACCAAGAGGGATCGATGATACATGTACATATGACATGTACGTAGTATCCCAGGGCGAAAAGAGAGAAAAAAAAAAAAAGGGATTTGCCGAAGCCAAAGCAACCTCAAATTCAACCCATCCAATTTCGATTCTCGGATCTGGGAGACGATGATGCTGGATCGACCCACCCGCACGCTTTCCCCCCCAGATTACTTTTTCACTTTTCCGAAGGGAGACTAAAACACTTTAACTTCAATGTCGGCCGGATGGTACAAATGCCGATATGAATTGAAGGAAGCGGAAGGTCTTGGATGCGGGAGAGTATGTAATCAGGGCTAACCGGTCAAAGGATATAACACCTGAAACCGTAATACCTCTTACTTCCAACCAACTCAACAATTGCGAAAGGAAAGTAATATAAAAAAATAAAAAATAAAAGACAAAAAAAAAAAAAATGATAGACAAAGGGAGGGAGGGGGGAAGGAAAAGAACCCGAAGGGATAGGGCTGATTGGGGTCGGGGTCGGCACAACGGGAACGTATGCAGGTTCAAAAAGAATTGGATCATACGCAGGGGACGATATGATATGTCTGTTTGATGATGAGTAAATATTAAATATCAAAGATGCAAATGCAGATGCAGATGGCATTCACTCAAAACAATCAATCGCAGACAATCCGATTCTTTTTCTGATCCCAGATGCAAGTGAGATATGTATGTGTATGTGTATGAATATGAATATTCGTTACACGAGAGGAGAACCAGCGAAGATTGAAGAACAGAAATGTCAAAGCGGGTCCGTATGCATACATACTTGAAGGAATATATTCAATGATCTTGATTTCGATTTCGATCTTGATCTTGAAGTAAAACAGAATAAAATAGCATATAGTAAAACAAACTGTAATGCTCTTGTTCGCCGTTATATAAAATTAGAGGACGACTGGAAGCAGGGGGGGGGTTATAGTATAGCAAGTAAATAATAGTAAATGATGATGATAGTATAAAGTAGGTTCCTTGCTTTGCTGAGTAATAGAACAGTCGAACGGATGTTTCCAACCTCCTTGCGAAAAAAGATGGTGCCGAACGACCGGTCGGAGAGAGATATATCTATACTCTTTCGCTCGCTCTCTCTCGCTCTCTCTCTGTCTTAGAGCTTCTTTTTCCCTTTCTTTCGGGGCTGGATGCACATTTGCAGAGAGTTCTGCCCAACCGCCGTCCGGTTGCTTACTTAAGATTTGACGGCTATTTGGCTGGGCAGTCTGGTCTCGGAACTACGAAGATTCCGAGAAGGAAAGCAGTTGGGGGAAAGTAACGTAATGGCACATGCAACCTTTTTTCTTTTGGGGCTTCGGTGCTTCGCGATTGCCTGAAACCCCGGCCCTGGGGGGGGGCAATAGTATAGGAAGGATATGATGGATGTGTGTATGAGGTATGTAAGTACATACATACATACATGACATATCATATCAATATCCATATCCATATCCATATCCATATCCATATCCATATCCATATCGCCTGGGGGTTAGGAGGTAGGAGGGAAATAACATACATCATAACTTAGGGCAGTGAGTGGGCACAATTTGAGACAAAACAACGGACAGGAACAACCGGACTGAACCTACCTACCTCAGGTGTAGTGTGCTTGAATTCAAAAGTCCGCCGGAGAACGATCGGTTGGCCCGCGCTGGGTGTTATTGAATGCTTAGTAAAAAGAAGCACCCTGCTGACTGATCCAACCGGAGTCCCGTATCGTATCCACAGGTACTCGTTAAAGTTAACGTCGAAAGTTGTACTGTGTAAGTCGATGAATGGAATGTACTGTGTATGCACGTCGCTCAAGCGAAAGGGCGTCGACGGAGTCTACCAGGATGTGGATGTGGATGTATGTATAAGTATGTAATCTGAGGGTGGTTCGATGGTCAGCAATTAAACCCCGTGAGGATTATAATACGATGAAACGTGGGTTTTAGTGTTTCCTGGTCGAAAGCTGAAGCCAGAGAGATGAATAAAATAAAATATAAAATATATAAAAAAATATAAAAAGAAATAAAAAAAAAAGAAGAGTTGCAAAGTAATCAAGATCTCTCTTTTCTCATGAAGACCCTTGAGATCTTTATAAAATGTCTTCAGCTGACAATACGATAGAGAGAAAAAAGAGGTATGAGCAATTCGATGACGCGAAAGAAACGCTGCACCAAACTGCGAATAAATATGAACTCGGATAATATGTATAATAGAAACAAAGAAAAGAAAAAGTATGCTTTTGGTCACGGTTGAGAAACCCTTACCTGGCAGGTAGCGGCGTGCTTAGGTATGCGTCTACCCGACCAAGGAGCAATCTGCGATCTGATACTGCACTGCACTGTACTTTACTTACAAGGCAAAGCAGACGTCGACCTGTGATTACTGATGACAACTTTCGATTTTAAGAAGCGAGACGACACGGATACCCACACGCAGATATCGATATATACCTGGTAACGTGACGATAATGATGGTAATGCTGATGTTGGGGCCTCTTTCTCGTAACAGGCTGACGAATGGGCTGACGGCGTCGTTGAATGCCTCGCGTGGTGGTTGACTCACAACTTCATGAAAACGGGAACAGGCCACGCTATAAACCATCAACATTCGACCTTTTGGACTTCAGGCATGCCTTTTTTTTATCACATACTCTGTATATTCTACGTATGTACTTATGTATTCATCAATTCTACCCGTGCTTGGAACTAGAATTATAATTATACCTAGAATTTATAAACCACAGAGCTCAAGGGGAAGATAGAGAGATTTAAATTTGGGAGGAAGCTAGCGACCAGCTGCTAGATCTGGATCCTCGATCCTACCAATGGGACACCAACACTGGCTCGTGGTCTGCTTTTGGTTCCACTGCTTGTCATTCTTGCCAAACTGAGGATTCAATCCTCTCAGATCCCGAGACTGCCAGCCTGCTTTCGCTTTTTCTCTCTCTTTCTCTCTTAATTGCTTTCTTTCTGTTGGGGCGCTTGCATGCAAGACATCTCCACGTCGAATGCAAATGCTTCGAACCGATGTGACATTTGACGATTACTTATTTCCTTACTTGCTCCTGACTTAAGTTATATCCAAGCCCTTCGCTTTTTAGTCCCTCCTCATGATGGAGTTCGATATACGAGGCAAGAGAGATTCGATAATGTCGATTTGATGCTCATTTCACGATCTCGATTGCCATTTCCTCGACTAGTGGGACGGCGAGCTTAGTTTAATTTTTTGATGACTTATCAAACTCGGTCTAAGCTGCATCTCATCCGATTCGAAGCCTGCAGCAGCCGGGCTTATAACATACTTACATGTACATACATACATCACGGGCGAGGGAAAAAAAAAAGATCCGCTGAAAAGGGCCGCCGCTAGTACTCACGTAGTAAACACCGACTCACCTCGAGCCAAGGTATAGAAGTAGTAAGTACTTACATACCTAAGTGTAAGTACATCCTTTTTCTGTGCGTGCAACATGGAGCAACCGGGGGACAAAGATGGGGGGGGAAGGGGGGGCATGGGGAAGCTGCATGAAATCCTCGGACATTGTTCACAGTGACGAGCAGGATAAAAGCCGTTGAACTTAAAAAAGAAACAAATTTTTTAATCCATCCATTGCACCGTGCCCCATTGTGCATGGCCATCAACCAAGTTTTTGAGACCCACCATTTTAGCCTTACGTAACAAGCCCTCTCAAGGACAAGGATGGGGTCCTTTCGGTCGAGAGAGAGAATTCAGCCGACCTACACGGTACGACCTGAGGGCGTGACAGGTTATTCAGCTGTTACATCAGCTATTAACATCTTGGGGGGGTCAAGCTTCCCTTGGCACACGAGCTCGAGCAGGCAGAGGATAAGAAAATAAAGAACAGCCGAAGAGGGACGAGGACGACGAGACGGTGAAATTTGAAATCCCAAGCGCCGGTTTGCAATTTTTGGAAACGTCAGCAGCCAAGCGGTAGCATCTGCTTTTTGATCATGAGTGGACCACATGTACTCCATAATGTAAAATATTAATACCAAGTATGTAGGTACTTGCATGGGAAGCTCCGTATCGTAAGGCGTACATCGTAAAGCTACCGTAAAGGTATATATGTGCCTGGTGGCAATTAATTGCAACCGGGGAGCCAAGATGTTGGCTTTGGCTGGCTGGCTGTCTGAAACTCGAAAGGATTTCAATCGCGAATAGATGAACAGACCCATGGCCATATGGAACCCTAGTGTTAGTGCTATAGCTCTCGCTGGCTGGCCAAAGAGGGATACATCCGGCGAAGGTTACATGCTTCCAATTGCAACTTGACCTGGTAAAGAAGGCTGGCTATATTGCATATCGTCAATATGAACAGATATACATGCACTAGATAACCAAGCCCAAGTAATAACGGTAAGTAAAAGGAAGTACTTGCTTAAGTATTTACTTGAGGAAGTAAATAGGTCGGTACTTACCTAGAAAAGGGAATTCCCGAAATGCTTCCAACTACCAATCAGATGCAAGTATGTGCATATATGTACGGAGATGCATGCGCATGGCCATAGACAATCCGCAGATCCGAGTCCAATTCTATCTATGCCTTCCGGAATCCGTACGGCGAGAAGCCATTTTCATGTCAGCAAGCATCGCCTGGAATGTAAACGTAATCATGGCTTGACAGAGTACTTACATCTGTGCTCGAGTTTCTCGTTTAGGGTTTCTGCATGCTGTGCCGAAACTCCGTATGTATGTCGGTCAATGGGCTGTGTGGTTCGTATTTAGAAACAGCCAATCAGAAACCGTTGAATGTGCGCCACGATAATCTTAGATTAGATCGTAAGATTAAGATAAGATCCTGCTCTATAATTGGTCTATTCTCTGATCAACAGTCTATCACCTGACTTTGGGCATGCTTTGAGCCAATTAAAGACTCTCTATTGGTAATTATTCCAAATTAGGAAACTTTGATAGGAACAAACATTCTTGTCTGTCAACTCATCCCGTTCAAGCCAGCGGATCATAGTCTATAAAACCTCCCATCTAACTCCATCCAATTCTCAAAGTCCTTAATCTGCTCAGAACGTACTTACCTACTTCTTATTCCTTGACATTCATACAGACAATCTACTATCTTCTCAGCTTCAAGCAATAGAACCACTATCTCATCTGCTATCAGAAGCATAATTACATTATACATCCTCTAAAAATGGCAACTGTCGCAAAACCAACCAGCTGCTGCGGAAAGACCTCTGACTGCGTCTGCGCCAGAGAAGCTACCGTATGTTTGTCCCATCAATTCATTATTTCCCCGCAAAATTGCAAAATGACATTACTCGTATTCAAGACCCACAAACCCCTGCAGCCGCAGCCCCCTTCTCTTCCAGCAAATATGGCATTGTGGTTGTAGTGCACATGTAACCGCTATCAATAGCTAGCTAGCTAGCTAAGCAATTTACCTCTGACCCTCTTTTTTCACATCATCCAACCACCCTGTTCGAATCGCTCTGCATTGCATTATCTCTGAAACACCTTACTAACTACCGAGACGAAACATATAGTGCTCTTGTGGAGAAAAGCCAGCCCTAGCCTGCTCCTGCTCCAAGTCTGCGTCGGAAAACCAAGTCACCGGTGCCCGTTGCTCGTGCGGAAAACGCCCCGCTCAGGCTTGTACCTGCTCTCGCGCCGCCTCTGAGAACCTTGTTGTCAAGGGTGAAAGTTGTGTTTGTGGGAGCAGACCGAAGGATAGCTGCACTTGTGAAATGAACAAGAGCGGTGCTGGATTACGGGCCCATGAGGTTGATTTTACCAATTTGAAATAAACGATCCAGGATTACATAAAGCATGGATTGGGTTTTTATGACGGATTGGGTGGAGTTTCTTCTTTTTTTTTAAAAAATATATATATATATATATATATACAAACCTTCTTACCTTTTTGGTTTCTTTGATGTATAGGAAGGAATTGTTTACTGCTTTCGTAAAGGGTTTGAAGGATTATATACCGCATTATGGGTTCAATGATGTGGGAAGACGTTACTTGAATTGTTGATTTTTTTTTAAAAAACATTCATCCATGGAGTTTGAGAGGAAATGGAAATCATCGGGACATACTACATATGCATTAAACTTGTACCTACTTTATTCATAGGATGTGAACGGACGTGGTTCTCGTCTACAATAATAACATAAAAATTAAAAAAGAATCTTTTGATCTTTTCGAACTTATCGATGTGAACATCCTACCACTTTCCCCCTTTGACAATAGGCAGCCGAATAGCTAATTGTAACGTAATAATGCTGGATGCTAAGTGTACAAAAAAGTGAAAAGGGGGGCGGTAAAACAGCATCATCAAAGTACTAAGTATTCACAAAGACAAAGATTGGGTCCAATGCATTCGCTTTTTGGTTCATATGCTCGTACATTTCGCTCGCCGGAATCCAGAGCACAGTATCATACTTCAGATCGCTGAATATCTTCAATTAAAAGAAACTTAAGCTTAAGTGAATAATAAATAAAAAAATAATAGAGAAAGAAAATGAAAAGGGTCAGTCAACGGAAACACCACCACTTAACGTCCGTTGATAACTTCCTGCGGGAAGAAACCCTGTGCCAAGCGTTCTTCCATCGACTTGGCGATTACCGGCGGCACGTTCTCGTCCGTAGCTCGAATCGTCAATCGATACATCTGCAATTGGTATTAGTAAATCGTGACAAATTCGTCCCGACAGGAGAAGGCATCCAAGGAACTTACCGAAGTCTCAAAATTAGGCTCCAACCTCAAAAGGCATCCAAACTTGCCTCCTTGAAGCGTATGTAGAACGCTCGCACCAACCCAGTTCTTTGAGTTCGCATCGACACCGTCCATAACACCCCACCGGAATCCTTCGATTACCCTTCTCGTCTTAGCCGCATCGATCTTCCTCCCCATTCCCTGTAATCCAAATACTCTCTGCGCCTCCCTTGGCGCGCCGCCGATCTGCTTCCACCGCTTGAAGAAATCATCCGCGCTCAACTCTGCAGGCTCCATAAACTTGTGTAAGGTAACCGGCAATTGCAGCGTCACGGCCTGTAGCGCGCCAGCCAAATAGGAAACTCTCATAGTTGGTGGTTCGGTAAACACATTAACCGCCTCGAAGATTAACATCTGTTGGACTTGCGAATCTGGTTCGATATTTGGATCAGGAATATTTTGTGTCGTATAGCTTAGGTTGTTTCGTGAAGGGTTGTTGATCGTAGTTGTAAAGGAGCCATAGGCGTAGGAGGATTTGTTAGTGAAGTAGAGGATCACTATACCCTTGGGCCCTCGGAACTCAGAGCGCAAACCGATTTGAATCTGCACGTCTTCATATAGAACTCCTTCATTTCTGATCAGTAGCCTATTGAATCCAATTTGCCAGTCGGGACTAAGATGTTCTGCGGATGCAAGGTTAGTAGGCCTAAGGGCTGGAGTTGCGGCAGATAGACCGCTGCCATTGATTTGTAGCCCCGCGAGGTCCGTTGCTAGAGTGCTGGAGCTACCGTTCGCTGTTAGGGGTGTCCCGTTAGAGTTCGTGAAAGACCGTTTGAGACTCGTATTTAGTTTCAAGTCAAAGTTGGCGGAATCAAGGTTAGCATCTTTGCCACCAATAACCCAGGTCCTCTTATCGCTTGTCGCGGCTGCCTTCTGGTGCAACCTAGAGAGTAATGCAGATGTCCTTTCGGGGAATGGTGGCATTTCGTCGCATACTGTTCGGAGCAGGTCATCCGTGGGCATTGATACCAGTGCTAAGTACTCGCAGGCTCGTTGTTGGAGTTCTGAATCTAGAGTATGGCTATATATCTCGAATACTTGTATGAGCTGCGGTTTGATTTCCGGGAAGAGATTGACAAATTTGACAAAGGCTGAGAGGATGATGGCTCTTGTGGCCGAAGAACATCCATTGAATTTCGATTGCAACGCCATGAATTGCTCAATCGGACTGCATCCTGGATTGTCTGCAATCAAATGTCCGAACTCGCCGAGCAAGTAACCTCCTATCTTGACCAAGGTTTCGTGACACTGCGGACCTTTAACCAGTCCAAGAATAGTCTGGGCGGCATAAACCTGTAGCTCTTCGTTGTTTGTCGTGATTTGAATAACTCTCTGCCAAACTTCGTCGCTGACATGCTCACCAGCCATACTTATGAGCCGTAGCGAGTTGTCCACGTACCATTGGTACTCAGTGGCGTACTTCTCCGTCAGAATAGCAATTTTGAGCACCATCTCCTCTCTAATGGCGTAATCTGCGTTGGGGAGATACTTAAGTAATTCCCCTACGATGACTCCGGCATTAGTGGAGTCGCACATGCTGTACAGCAAGTCGAGGGCCTTTCTTTTAACACTAATGTCTCTGTCTCTCAGTGATGCGATGATGGTGTTCTGATGCTTTTTGATAGGCTCTAAACTATCTGATTTTGCGGCAAGATGGGCCATCGCTTCCAGACCCAGATACCTCACATTAGTTTCTCGAGATTGGATAAATCGGCCGAGGCGGACTATGATCTGGACCATAATTCCAGCTTCGGTACCGATATGGATGGCCAAGTTGATAGCTTCGAATAGAATAGCATTCTGTGCATTGTTTTGCTGAGTATTCTTAGGCATATCAGATGATAGGTCAATGGTTTTTTGTAAAGTTTCCCGTATCATATTTTGCACGTTGCCATCGTCTATTCAAGCGTTAGTCTTCGAACAGAGCTGCCAAGACTGGAGATACTTTACCTGAAGGAGGGTAGTATTGCAATAACCTCAGAAGCTTCACTTGTAGCCAGGGGCATGGGATCTTATAGTAGAGGTAGTCCTGTGTGTAATCATCATCCACAACTACCTTCTTCAATCTAAAGGCTGCTTTGACGTAGCACCCCTTGTAAAGCTCAGGGTTATCCTGCACAAGGGCTAGGACCAACGAGGTCACTGACAGACACACCCCGATATCTGAATCATCCATCAGAGATATTATTCTCTCCGCCCATGTTTCCTGTACTATCCCAGGATGTTTTCTGTACAATCTCAATAGCGTGAGAGCAGCCTTTTTCTTCACAAAAGATTTCGAAGTCCTGTTCCATCTTTATCAGCGCGATCCACACCCATAGGATTTGCCCTAACCTACGGCGATATTAAAAGTCGGTGAACATCGGTGTTTAAAGCTTCCCCCATCTCCCTTCCTCCAACATTGGCGATCGCGTGTAAAGCTAAACAGTTGAACAGCTCATTGTTGTCCATAAGATCCTTTTTGATACTGTTGACAACAAGGTGTAACAGGTCATGGTTTTCGTTTAGGAAAAGGGTAACGGCAAGGTAGCCGATTTGCTTTTCCGAATATTTGTTGGCAGATATCAGGCTGACAGCTTCGAGATGGCCGAAGTCGACGTTCCATCCGAGAATGTAAATATATAGGAGCTATCTTTCGGCATCAGCGACCACCCTGACACAAGACACCGCACCGGGACGAAAACGGGTACAACCTTGCAGACGTATTTCTTTTTGTGGTATCCGTTAAGACCGCCATCTGGAGACTATCAGTACCTGCCGTTCGCCGTTCGCCACAGGGTCGAGGGGATATATTATCAATAGGTTATTGTACCTTTGAATTTCTGCCTATAGAAACAATTAGAACGTATGGTCTTCGGACGAAGGGAATAGTACGAAGGCTAGACACACCGTATATTGGCGAGTTCCTTATTTATGCGTTTTTCTTCCAGCTCTCTCGCGCGGGCGTTCCTAAGGTCCGCGATGAACTGCACCAATCCTGCACAACTAGCACTTCAGAACTGGGACCTTGGACGGATTGAAGCAGGAGCAAGTATCTACCTCGCATAGAAGACATGATGGGCTTTTTTTTTCCGGGTTATTCCGTCGATTTCCAAAATAACGGTTGCCGGGCAGCGGCGGCGGTATGTCGTGGAGGATGGTACTTCTCCCAAGCTGTCGAGGCGGAACCGGCTGGGGCAGGTTCAGAGCGCCACTTTTTTTATCCCCGTGATGTATTGACGTATGTATTTATTTCGCGACAGAGAGGGTCTGAATTAGGGTTTACGGGGGATTCGGTGTTTGAGAGTCGCGATACGGGTGAATGAATGATTGATTGAATGAATGGTATGAATGATATGAATAAGGGGAGCTTGCCGGGGTCCTCGTTAATAGTTTGGAGTGGTAGCTTAGCACTCGAGGCTTAGTTATAGTGTGTATTGTGTAAGCGAACGGAGGTCGGGTCGCGCCCAGATTATATTAATTTAGTACGGAGTCTGTGGAGATCCAAACGTGACCACAAGTCGACTTCTCCTCTCTCTCCCTTCTCATGTACGTATATACATACATACCTAAGGAATGTACCATGGATATGTAAGTACATCTGCACTAGGGTACTTTAAAGAGCAAAGTGTCAGATATACATATTACTAGTGCAAGCTGTGGAGTCGTGAATGTACATGTAAGTACATGCACACGTACTGGTACATCGATTAATCAATCTAATCTAATCTAATCTATCTAATATAAAGTCTTGGCAACGCAAAGTGACGTTGTGTTGTTGTTGCCCTCTCGACAAGCCGGCTTGTGATAGTTACTCTATTATACTCTCTGTCACTAAGTCAAGTACCTACCTACCCAAATTATGGCCACGAAACCCCAGATTTAATATTGGTGCCCCTCTTTGTCCCTTGTTCATGTCCCCTTCCCTTCTCTCCCCTTCCTTTCTTTTCTTTCCTTCAGACTTCCTCTTAATTAATTTAATTATTTGAATTAACTACACCATCCCGTCCTTGTCGCGATACTATCAACCTCCTTAAAAAGAAGCCCGTCCTTTCGATTCGATTTCCGTTCTATTCCTTTCCTTCATAGGGTGGTGGCTCTCTTGGAGCCGAAGCCATGGTTTCACTATGGCCCTTTGGCGGCGTATGTACAGTACACTCTGGTATCCACTTGACAGTAAACACCCTCGAGACGAGACTAACATTTCCCAAAGCAGGACAACTCTCCTGGTGCCTTTGAAAAGAAACTCTCCTCCCTCGCGACTCAAATACTCGACCACGAGAAACGACTTATTCGTTTGCGAACTAGAGGAAGGCGAATAAAAGGCCTCTGGACTCTCTACACGCTCATCGCTTGGGTTATCTATGCTAGTATCCTTACTCTTGTCGTCAGACTCGAAAATGCCAACATTTACCAGATAGGTGTCCTTGGGGGCTCTCCTTTCGTGTACGTGCCGATTTACGCCTTCCCTTTACTTTTATTTCAGGACATGGTGGCTAATACCCAATTTGGTGTACAGGGTCTACGTCATCCGTCAGGGCATCAAACGGTACTACGAGTGGAGGGTTCATAATGTGGACTCCTCACTGGAGACATACCGTGAACAGCAGAAGGAGACTATCGAGAAGTTGAAGGCCGTCACGAAGTACGATTCTACCCAAGCCTTGCTGGACAAATACACAAAGACCGCTACTGCCACCGGTGCCGAACCGAACCATCCTCCCGTACCGCAAGGAAATGGACCCAACCAAGCACGCACTGGTCCTCAACCTAATACCCCGCCAGCAACTTTGAGGAAAAGACATGGGTCGGCCCAAAAAGGCCAGAAAGGAACCATTACAGAGCAATCCCCAAATCAGCTCCAGGCAGAGCAAAAACGCGATGATCGTCCTGGAACGCCCCTTATACACGAAATCCCACCACACGAACTCCCCCCGCATGAATTTCCCCCACCCGAAGGGTTCCCACCGGGCCTACTCCCCCCTCACATGATGGGTGGTGGGGTACCCCCAGTCATGGGTGGTATACCGATGGGCCAGTTCATGCCCCCACCACCTGAAGAACCAAGACAACCACAATGGTACGACCGTTTCTTAGATGTTCTACTAGGCGAAGATGAAATGTCTGCCAAAAATCGCTACGCATTGATCTGTTCCAATTGTAGACAGGTCAACGGTCTTGCTCCACCAGGCACCTCTAATGTTGAAGATATCCGATACATTTGCGGCCGGTGTGGCGCAGAAAACGGCAAACCCGAGGTCAAAGAGCTTATTGGAAAGGTTGCTGAGGAACAACAGCAAGAGACGGCAAATGCTAGGACCACGAGGTCGAAGTCAAAGAAAAAGTCAAAACCCACCAAAGGGGATAGAGTTGTGTATCAAGATGACTTAGAGGATCCCGAAGAAGGAACCACGGACGGGGAATTCAGGGGTTCGGACTCCTCCGGATCTGGTATCGAGGAGGCTGTGGTAGTCAAGAAGAAGAAGGGTAGACCAAGTAAACGAAAGGGATAGAGTCTATTGGTACCTCACCCTCGAAGATACTTTTTGTTGAAACATGTATGCATACCCCGGTCCCTTCCGAGTCATTCCTTTGCAACCTTATCTTAAAGTACAACTTCTCACGATGGGATCTTGGGATCGTCAGGTACATAAATCGTTAGTCCTTTAACCAGTATGTCGGAGTTTTACTTTAGTCGTTAGCCAAAAGTTTAAATTCAGTTGAACCTTCATCAAGATGCGGTCAAAGTTGTTCGGTTAATCCGATATCCATAGACGGATTCCAGAAGATAGAATACCAATAAAGTTGGGAACAGACCCAATGCAGCGATTATTTAAGCTCTCGGGGCTAAAGTTCCCCGAGTTTATAGCGAGACATATGTCATTGAAGGGAGACTCAGCCTTCTCATCAAAAATTTCCGCCGAACCCTTAACATATATCGTGAACACTCGGTTGAAAAGAGCATTTAAAGGAAGATGGATCCCCGTCGGACTTGACAAAGGCTCAAGGGGCGGTACAATATATCCTGACATGAGATACTTCTCCGTCTCTGTTTATTTCACTACTTTATAGGTCTAGTATTATCTAATTTTACTCTTTTTTTTTTGAAGCCATTTCCCTTCTCACACGCCAGCATAGCCCATTCATCATAAACTTCTTAACATTTTCGAGATGTCTATAAGCGAAGATCTTCCAATTGTACCTCTGGTGCAGCATCGTAAGTCAACGGTGGATTTAGGTGAAAACAAAGAATGGAAACAAAAATTGAGGCATAGTGCCAACAGGTTGTCTACCGACCTTTTCAAGATGAAGCACCAGCAGTACTATGACCGTCGACCATCTTCGGTAGACGCCGGTACGTGGTACTCGGCGGGTTCATCCGTTAGTGGTGCATCTGTTTTAGGTGCTGCCGCTTCATCTAATTACAACTATTCGTCGGGGGGAGGGGGGGTAGGAGGGGGTAGGAGGAGCAGTGGAGTGGGTCTCATTGGGACGGCATCAGCGTCAGGATCTGTATCGATAGCAGGGGAAGACGACGACGACCGAGGGGAAGTCAAGTACTCTTCCGCTCGTATGTCCCTGCTTGCGGGTGCGCCGTCTCCAGCGTGTGGAGGGGGGTTCGGACCTTACGATGAATACAATAACCATTCAGATGTCCATTACGGCTTCCAACAATCACTTGTCGAGAAGCTCTACGATTATGGTAATTCCGATATGGGCCCTATGGGTATGGATACACCACCAAGCTCCGAAGAAATCCTCATGGCATCGAGGCTTCCACGAAATACATCCATCTTCCGCTCCTTCGAAGGATGGGGTTTCGATCCTGAGGATGTATATCAAATGGATCCGACGGAAGAAAAGGAAAATGAACCTGCTACGGGGTTCCGATTCGACTCGTCGATTCGTAAAACGGCTTACGACGAGAACGAAGCTAATAATGTCGCTATGACGGGCGTGGATCCTCTCGATTTGATGGATGCTTCGCGGACGGTTGTCGATTCGCATCCTCTCCCTATCCCTCTTCGATTCAACAACCGAAAGCGGTCAAGTCAGATTGCCTTTCGAGACCAGCAAAAGAGACGCAGAGGCTCCAGCTTGCATAGTGCGCATGGGCACACCCGTCAACATAGCAGACAACATTCTAGATCTGCCAATGGATCTATCTCTGAGGAAGGGTTCACCAGCAGTCCCTATCGACCATCGATTGTTTTGACTGAGATGCCGATATTCGATTTCAGCGAGAGCGAACCGAATACTAGGAATGTTAGTATTACGGCTAGCAGCAGAAATGGGAGCATCTATGGTGGAAGACCTAACCTTCCCCGTGGTAGCATCGGGAGCGGTGCTGGAAGTCGTAGGTCCAGCAAGGTCTCAAAGAAGTCTATCAGCAGTACAGCAGCTGTATCCGGGAGCCCAGAGGAACCGGCAAAGAAAAAATCTTTCTTCAGGTTCCTGTCTGGGAGACGTTCTAAACCGAAGCTTGCACCAACTTCGCAGGCTAGGGTACCGGATACTTCATTTGTCCCTTTGCTCCACGATATCACTGAAGTTTCTAGCGTCAGTAGCCGAGAGGCCACGCCGGAGCTTATGACCGCCACCGAAACTCCTCTTCTTAAGGTTGAAAGGGCTGCGGACGGGAAACCTCGCATGCTGCCGGTCGCCCGAGCGGGATATGGTATGCGCAGGGCGTCCGTTTCTTTAAAAATGGATGATGACGATGTATTCGACAACCCGGCGCCCGTGGCCCCTCATAGAGAGAGACGTAGTTCTTCGGTCTACTCCCAGCACGATCTCATTCCGTTAAGGGCGCGACAAGCTTCCTCAGTGTATGATGGCGAACCGAGCGGGATGCGTCGTTCTTCGTCCGTCTATGATTTTGAGAGCCCGGAGCCCGGTTTGAGAATCCGTCGTACTTCGTCAGTATACGACATTGATAACATGATCCAACCAGGCGAAGAGCCGTCACCTCCATCAACGCCGACATCAACATGGAGACGGTATTCAGAGAATCATTTGTCACATCCTGATGTCTACGTCCCGCCTCGTGCGAACTGGTACAAATCCGACTGGGGTTTAGATGACAACAAACAACTGGATGCCGACGCGAGAAGTATTTCGTCACACGCAACGGGTGCTGTTAAGGCAGTGTTATCAAGACAGCCAGGCAGTAGCCGGCGAGGGAGCATGGATTATGGTACATATGCTCCTGATACGAGTGGCGAGGGGGGAGGGTTTAACCCGCAGAGGCGAAAGAGTACGGATGAGAAGATGGCAGATTTGAGCATTGCATTGCGGAACGCTTTGAAGATGAAAGATATTTTGGAAGAGGACGAGTATTATGCATGATCTATTAATGTCCTTCATTGTATTTCTGCATTCGTCATTTGTGATATTTATTTGTCTACTACCTATACTATACCCCTCATTCGCATGGTATACATTTGCAATTGCATTGAAGCATGCATGGTGTTTGTGAGTCTGGTTTGCAATTGGAGTGGGGGTGTTATAATTATATGTCTTTGTTGTATTTTGGATCTTTTCGAACTGTTCCTACGAACTTCATACTTTTAACTTGTTATTAAATCGAATGAAAAGTTTAAATAAAATAAAATAAAATAAAATAAAATAATAACAATAATAATAAATATCGATAATTAAAGTGTGAGTTTATTGTTCAAGGAACAATTCGTGGATGCATAATTATAATGGGAAAGCCGCAAATCTTACAGGGTCCGTGTGACCACCGGCATCGTTATTGTGCAACCGAACGGACCCTTCTGAGCGAGCTCGTGTGCAATGTTTGAGGTTTGAGCAGGTGTCAAATGTTGCAAAGAGGTCATGCGGCGTAAGAAAGCTTGTCTGAACGATAAGATCCGCAGCGACCATGCTGAATAGGGCTGACGGGCTAGCGGTGGGAGTTCCGTTCAAAAACCCGCCTGACATTGGCTTGATTCCCTAGTCTAGTGTCGATGTTTCCCGTTTCTTTCCATGATAGAAGACATGATGTGATACTGTACATACATACTCCGTACGGTACGGAATACGATATCCAGATATCCTTCATGATCATGATAGGTCGTCCCACGCTATGCACGAAATGGCTTGGCGGGCGCCATGCCCATGCCGGCTTCCTTCTTGTCGAAGGCTAGTTCTGGGAGCGGAAGCCAATCAGAAGGGCCTCCAGTGGCAGCATCCCGGCCCACTTCGCGTATCACCAAAACATGCAGGCTGGTCGTCATTTCAGGTTTCCCGTTTCTGAGGGCCGGGAAGGGCTGGGCTTTCCTCTTCCTTTCTCTTTTCTTTTCTCCGGTCTTAAGTTTTCATTGCATAATAATCTCTCATCCGACTGCCGGAGTCGACGACGATATCCTTTTTTTTATTTTGAGATAGAACTGGCCTTCGAGGGGCTTCTCTTTTCACGAATTAAATTGTCGTATGTTGACTTCTGATTAATATCTCCCTGTTTAGATCCAATTCCATCAGTTTGTTGCTTCATTCCATCGGTCGATACGAAATACCTTGACGCTTGTACCCATACATGCAATAACCCCTCCTGCAGTGATATTGTCGTAGTAGTCCCATTAGACAGATCCTAATCCGGCTCTGATTTTTCCAACCAATCCGTCCCTCTGCCTGCTGCTTCGTAAGCCCTTTTCTTTTCTGGATTTCTTTTTTGTCGTTTCTTAGTTCTGGCGGTGTTTTCCGTTATCAAACAAAATAACTTGGTGAACGACGACCCATCTGACCACACCTCGCACTTGATAGTAGCAGATCGATATCCCATTTTCATACTGCTCTGGTCACGACCTTAGCATTCTTCTCCGAAGCATCTGTAACGAGCCTCCGATTTAATACCCTGGCCATTTTACCTATTGTTCATGAATCTATGACATCCTACTATTATCGACCAACCAACCGGCTACTTTCCATTCAGCGACTGACCAACGGCTACATACCTCGCTAAATATCAAGGCATAACTACTAGTATCACTACAACCAAAACTTGCCATTTTCACGATTTTCCCTTCCTTTTTCTTGATGTTGTGAAAGGATACATACCACCTTGTCATACTACGAGTTTTACGAATAAAATATTTGAAGGGGTTTGTTGAGGTATTCGAAATAAAAGGGCCATGGCGGAACCAGCCCGACCTGCTTCACCAGCAGGTAGCGTTTCTACTATCGATGGAGCAGAACATAGTGGCGAACAACTTGGACCTTCGGAGAGTACGCAAACTATAGCTACTACGACTACTCGGTCCGATCACCCTAGGGTGACGATTGTGGCACCAGAAGACTATAGAGGAGATGAAGGTATGTTGTTTGTATTTGTATCTTTTTATAATTTTATTATACAACGCTCTCTATAGATGAGGATACGAGATAAACCGCGGCTAACATGATCGTGATTTCTGTATATTATAGAGAGCATGCGGACTACGACCACTGTCAGAGAACGCCGAGATAGACAATCAGCACCACCTACCGTAAACCGTCCTACAACTACTCGGCGACTATCTAGCCATCGCAAACATACCTACTCGGTAGACGATAACGAAGAAGAGGTTCTTAAGGACCAGAGATTGAAAAGTCAACAACAGCGGGCAGAAGTTTCAAGGGGCTCAATAAGCACGGCGAGGAAGAGTGGTGGTAGTGGTCCTAGCTCATTACGAAGAAGGGAAACTGGGAGTCTGGCGGCAGCAGTTCCAGAGCCCTTGCTGGAGGAAGAGGCTTTGAGCCCTACTACTACAAGACAAGCTGCCGAGCCTGTGGAAGAGGATGAAGCTGAGAATATTGCTCCTGAAGAAGGAATGGATCAAACACCTGGAAGCGAGGAGGAAGAGGAACATGTGGAGGAGGGAGAACAGACTTTGAAGGTATAAAATGCAGTGATAAGGTCGATCGTGGTACAGAAGACTGATCTAATGAAAAATAATAGGAACGTCAAGAAGCTATCAATGAGACACATCCGTTCGGTGTTAAGATTTGGAAGTCTTCACTATACAAGAAGGACCGTTCGGTACAGAAACTTGCAGAAGAGGATGTTCACTCAGCTCCCGGGGCCCGTATGGGTACGATCCAACTAGTAGGTAACTCGATGTGGTCTTTGATAGTGGGCTGGTGGATGTCTGCCATCGTTTTTGTCACCGCGACGATATGTTTCTTGACCTTCACAAGAAGTGGCAAGGAGTATTCGAGAGTTTTGTGGGGATTGTCGAAGTACCTCCTCTACCCGTTCGGCCAGTACATCCGGCTTAGTCAAGATGAGAATTACTTGGATGAGGATTCAGGCGAGGGTAGAAGTATCAGCGAATACGAACAGTGGCAAGCGGGCGATATTGAGGAAGGTAGACTGTTCTTCGGGCCCCTTACACCGCGTTCTATGGTGGGACAAGGCCGGAATGACTTGGATAACATTAGCGAGGTTGAATCGATCGATGATTCGAATGAACGGACTGGCCTGATTAGTGGTGACGAAGCTGATTCCGAAAATCGACCGAACAAGAAAAAAAGGTTGTTCGGACGTGGTAAATGGACTGTGGGGCGTGTTACGTTCTACATTTTGTTTTATAGTATTATCGGTAAGTGTGTCTGGGTCTATTTTTCTTAATTTTTTTCAATTTTTTCGAAAAAATTAATTTTTGAGTTACTTGACTAACATGGGATAGGGCCAATGCTGTTTTTGGTATCCACTATATGCTGGATTATCGTTTTCACTATTCCGATGGCCCGTGTAAACGGAATCCTTTTATCGCACCTTAGGAGACACCCTCTGGCGCTATCTTTCCACTCTAACCAAACACGCCGCTTAAGAAACGATCACTCGCCAGTCTTGGTTTGTACGTATAGAGCGGTGGGGTGGAAATACTATAAGTATACGGTAGACGGTACCAATATATTCCTCATCAACTTACTGCTGGTGGTGGTATTTGTGGTCTTCGACTACTGGGTCCTGCACAAGTTTTTCGATTACCATGGATTTCTCACAAGCTCCCCAACGCTATTTGTGTTAGCGCTGCTGTCTATTATCCCGCTTGCCTACTTTATCGGACTAGCTGTTGCTTCGGTGTCAGCGCAGTCATCGATGGGTTTGGCCAGCGTGCTGAACGCATTCTTTTCTACCATCGTCGAGGTTTTCTTATACTGTGTTGCATTGTCACAAGGCAAGGGTAGACTTGTCGAGGGCAGTATTGTCGGAAGTATTCTAGCTGGTATTCTCCTAATGCCTGGTCTTTCTATGTGTGCGGGTACCGTGTTCAGAAAGACACAGCACTTCAACGCCCAGAGTGCGGAAGCCACGATGACGATGCTGTTGTTTGCTGTGATCGGAGCGTTTGCGCCGACTTTGTTCTATCAGATTTACGGAACGGTTAGTACCAAAATGATAGAGATAATGATTATGCTGTGACATATTAAGCTAACAAACCGGCGCTATTAGTATGAGCTGAAATGTCGTGATTGTGACGACGACGAGATGTCGATTTCCAGAACGGAAGATTGCCGAAGGTGTTATTTTACCCAGCCTCCCTCAGTCGATGATCCGTTTTATGCCAAAGCTGTCCAACCATTCTGTTACACAGCTTCGGCACTCCTCGTCATGGCTTATGTCATTGGGTGTCTATTTACGTTAAAGACCCACGCGCAATTGATTTGGGCGACGCCCGAAAAACCGGCCCAGCCAACGAATTCCCATTCTCATTCGCAAAAGCCACGACAGTCCAGTGAATCAGTTGGTAAACTTCCTGAAGGACAGCGTGTTAACGGTGCGGCATCGATCCGGGAATCTCCTGTCTATAAGCGGGTGCTAGGCCAAACCTTGAATTCGGCCGGATTGACCCGACTATCCGCAGGATCTGCTCAGAGTTCGACACAGCAGTTGACTCCGATTCCAGAATCCGCCACTACGACAGGGCGTGCGGGAGGATCGCGCGAGCCTGTACATTTGCCACATCAGAAACCCTTTGCATCACTTTCTACTGAGGAAAATGAATCCCTGGTTCGCGGAGTAGCTGAAATGGTTGCGACTGCTGCGGCTTCGGTGTCTGTAAACGCAGGGTACCAGGGTGGCGGCGAGGCTGGCGCAAGCACGGCTAGTTCCTCGGAACACCCCAAGAAGGTTTCGCAAAAAATCGCAGAGAATGCTGTCACTGAGGCTGCCGCGCACGGCGGGGCTTCAGGTCATGATGCACCGAACTGGAGTCGTACAAAGAGTTTAGTCATTCTTTGCGGGGCCACAGTGCTTTATGCTGCTGTCGCGGAGATTCTGGTCAGCACTGTTGATGTGGTCCTCGAGAACTCGAGTATTGATGAGAAACTGCTGGGAATTACGTTGTTTGCTTTGGTACCAAACACTACGGAATTCTTGAATGCTATTTCGTTTGCGATGAATGGGAATGTGGCGTTGAGTATGGAGATTGGGTCGGCTTATGCCTTGCAGGTGTGCCTGTTGCAGATGCCGGCGTTGGTGGGCTGGACCGCGTGGACGACGGGGAATGTTTTAGATCAGGATCGGTACAACAAGATGTTCACGTATGTTTCCATTATTTCGGGAAATACCTTAAGGAGGTGTGACTAATGGCTGGGGGCTTTAGGTTGATCTTCCCGCAATGGGATATGGTGACGGTTGTGCTATGTGTTTTGATGTTGACGAACATCATTCATGAAGGGAAATCCAACTATTTTAAGGTTTGCTTACCAATTCAGAGGCACAGAAAAAGAAGTCGAATAGAAGGCTAACGGGAATCAATCAGGGCTCCTTCCTCTGTCTATCATACCTGACTGTTATGCTCGGGTTTTATTACAGTGGATACAATTATCTTGCTGGGGGCGCTAACGAGAAGGCCCAAATGTTCGACGCTATGACTCGGGGAGGACAGTCTAGCTATTTCCTTGGGAATAAATACGGGCATCCTTCGAACGGGTTGAGTGTTCAGGGTTAAATATGCCTTTTTTTGGTCCCCTCTCGGGGTCGCTCTGCTTTTTAAAATTTTAGGGTGAGGAAAACATTATTGTCTTTGAGGCAATCATTAACTTGTTTTTGTTATAAGTCGCTTGTTCATTGTTCAACTTAAGCCGGAAGTATGATACCGCGAGTCTGAGGAAAATTGGGATTCTGTTTTATATTTTTACTCTTTAAATTTGCATATTCATCATTCAACTGTATCTTATATTTCTCGGTTCGTGTTTTTTCTTCTCCCTCCATAATGGTTCTTCGGGATTTGGTTTGTTTTTCAGAGGTTCAACCGACCTCGAAAGATTATAGGATGCAACAGCATACGGAGCATACATGCACATATGTACAGCTTTTTCCTTTTTATCACGAGTGGGCGAAATGATATTTTTGCTTCAAGATGTACTCATAGTCAACATTGTCATCATTTATTATCGTTATCATCATTTTTTAGATCAGCCTTGAATCGAAGCTTGTTAGAAGCTGCCGTTGTATTATATACAATGTGTTCATATGAAACTTAGCTTAGTGCAATTAGCTTAGCTAAGTAAATTTATAAATGCAATACAATATAATACTTAGGCACTTACAGCTAATCGGCCTATTATAATCTATATATAACTCTCTAAGGAAGAATGTAAGGTATGAATTGGAACCAGGGAGAGCCCTGTAAATCTTGGACGGGACTTTATTAGTGGAGGGGGAAAAAAGCACGATGTCATCATTGTTCAGTTGTTGCATGTTGGATGGAGCTGGTTGGCGTGTAAAAGTTGTGGTGCGTCTGGAGGATTCTATTGGACGGAGGATCGAATCGTGCATACAGTATAACTATTGCCATATGCATCCACGATCCTGTTATCGGAAAACTAGCTGGGTAGCTAAGCTAAAACTAATTTATGATTTTATGATAGAGACAAATAAGTAAGTAGTTATGTGATTAGACTTCGAGGTTGAGGTTGAGGTTGAGGGTATATTGTGGCTGGTTTCGTTCGTTCCAGAGATACTCCGGTTGGCGAGTTTGAGACCTACATAAGGTATGTCCGGGACCGTAAGGACCGTCTTCCGCCCCGCTTTTTTTTTTTTTGTTCCTTTCTTCTTCTTCTGAGAGACGGAACCATATATATCGGCTAGAATAGATGTCTAAGTACTTAGATACTTAGGTAGACGTTGAGATTTATTTTAGCAGAGTCAAGGATTTGGGTCGTATTCCGATCGATATCTGCTGCAGGAGTCGGAAACTCGGGCGCCAAAGAGGGACAGAAGTGCAAGTATACGGATGTATCCCAATTTATGGCGAAAAGGTACTTCAGATGTAGCCACGGGTCAGGACTGTCAGGAAATCTTAGCGAGAGTACATCTCGATGACATGGAAGTCATGTTCCCTTCCCTTCCCTTCCCCCTTAGCCTTGGCCTTGGCCTTGCAGATTCGAGTTCGCGTGAACTCGAGCCATTAAGGACACAAAGAAGAAGAAAAAGTCCGTAGAAAGACGCTAGGGGGCTTGTAAATTCGCGCTGAGGCAAAAATTGAAAACCGTAGCCACGTTCCCATTTGTGACATGAGTTCAGTTGCAACTTGTTCTGAATACTAATCAGTAAATGTACTTTCTAGATATTATCAGTAAGTACTTACTTAGTTATAAAAGGATTCTTTTGGTTATATTGTATTTGAAGTTAAAATGACTGGGGGAAATGCACCCCGCTTCACAGGTAATACCAAAAATACATACCTAAGTTCTTATTTTGACAAGGGAGGGAAAAAATAGTGTGAGGTAAATGATGGGTGTATTCATCCCATCCCATCATGGCCATAGAAGTAACAGGGTTTATTTCAGGAGCTCAAGCTTGTGCGGGGTGGTTGCTCATGAAGGGCAGGTGGGCCCTCATCATTCGATTCGATTCGATTCCCATCCTAGCAAAATCAGGATATCTTCATCTCCACAGATAGAATCATATCCTTAAGGTCAGTAATAGTATCTATCGGAAGTGGGTAGGTCAGTAGGTACACAAGTAGATACTTACATACCTTGGTCGAAGAGGTACCGTACCGGTATAGATATCGAGTGAATGTGATCGAGGTGTTAAAATTGCAAACGAGAGGCTGGGTAGCTTGTTCCTGCGCGAAAGCGGACCAAATATGACAGGGCAAAGCAGGGCAAAGCTTGCAAAGCTTGCAAAGCAAGGCAGACGAGGAATGCTTTCTTGATGAAATCATCATCATCATCATCATCATCACCATCTTCTTGACCGTCTCCTTCACCATCTTCAGTTTCACCCTCAGCTTCACCATCGATATCAACTCTACTCTCCCATGTCTGTTCTAGAAATTTCCTAGTTAGCTATTCAAAGTATTAGTCCTTTTTATTTTTGTTTTTATATGGTTTTTATATAATAATCTTGTTGGGTATTGAAGGAGAAGGTACGGGACTTACACATCTTATAATAGTAGCGTTCTCTTATGCATCTGATCGATGTTTCGTTGATGTTCCCTTCCAGCGCTTATAACCACCACCGCTAATTAAAGTACCCAGGTAGGAGGTACACTCAATATCAAAGCCTCTTTCTTCCATCCCATCTGCCATCTACCATCTACCATCTACCATTCTTCATTCTTCTTCATCATCATCTTCATCATCGTCGTCTTCATCGTCCACACCGACAAACATACCTCCATCTAGCATCTGCGAATCCCATCCAAGGACATACCAAGCAAAAGTGCACGTACCCATACCATATCATATGCACGACCTGGAGCTGGCCCGGCGCTGAAACAAGCGTGCGAAGAGGGTATTCCTGCCTGGGACAAAAGCGACCCGCAGCATCGGATCCAGTTGATTACGCTATTCGCCAGATTTTTTTATTCCCTCCCAACCGATACCGTACCTGTACTAAGGGAACAATACTACATAAAACTCAAGTCTGCTAAACAGACGGGCGGACAGACAGACAGACAATAACAGACTTGCTTTCCTTCCCAAGCTGCCTACTTGCTACTGCTGCTGCTACTACTACTGCTGCTGCCACATCGAGGTCCGGTTCTAATCGATAACCTAATTAACTGCCCCATTCTTTCTCGCTTCCCTTCGCTGTTCTCACTTCTATTTCTGCCTCCCTCGCCATCTCCTACAACCGTCCATTCCACATATATCCTTCCACTTCTACAATCCTCTCCGGAACCCCGAAATACTTCAATTCCGACTCTTGCCTTTCCAATTCTTGCCGGATACGGAGAGCCCCTCATCGTTTCTGCACCACCTCCTCAACCACAACGACAACCACCACCTATCAAGGCGCCTTATTGCTTGTCGTCTTCTTCTTTCTTTTCTTTCTTTCTTATTCATTGTTTTTTCCCCTCGACTATTTTCTTTGGGTAGAGTTTAGGGTGCTGCCTTTTTTTGGGTCAGCCCTTTCCCATAAAATTCACCGTGTTCACCCCGCCACAAATCACGTATCTCAAGATGGAACAGCCGGCAGTCAGACCGCAGCTTACGAAAACCGTGCCGACAGTTCAACAACATCATGTCCAAACCCCTCAACAACCTCAGTCGCAATCCGATGCTGTGGCGACAGACTCCCTCGTCAATGGGGACTTGAAAAAGGTACACCCTCGATTTTTTTCGACTTCCTCTTTTAACTGTCTTTTAGTACCATTCTATTATTTTTGCCTTCTTTTTTTTCCCTTTTCTCTGTTTTGCTGACAACATGGCTCTTCAGGGTCAGAAGAGAAAGGGCCAAGAATTACGACCTATCATAACGGCCGACGGCAAGCCAGTTGTCGGGGAGGCTGATACCATAGCTCAAGTCCAGTATATCGCGGCGAACCCGTAAGTCACTGTCGCCTTTCTCGAGTCTTTTCTTTCTTGCTTGCTTCCTTCCTTCCTTTCTTTTTTTTTTTTTTTTTTTTTTTTTGAGGGGAAGGTTCCTTGTTTGGTATGCTTTTGTATAATGTCCCTTATCAAAACGCCTATTTTTATACCTTGCTTAAATCACACATTGTGCTTCCCGTTGCTATTGAACCCGGCACGCAAAACGTGGGTACCCGAGGATCCGCGAATAGCTCTCGATCACCAATTTCCTGCTCTTCGTTCCCATTTTTACACCACAATGTCTTTAAGTTTACCTGTTTGTCCTGGCCTCGCTTCTACAGCAGCTCCTGGAATCTTAAACTTTTCTCTGGCAATCCCTCCTCCAGCAATCACGTATACTGACATCATGAGAAATAAAAAAAGGACCCTCGCTGAGCCTTCGGATGCTCCCCCGTCCCAAAAAGCGTATACCACTACAGCCGCGGCGCCTGAATCCCAAGCCAGGCAACAATCAGACGATTCGGAGGAGGAAAACGAAGTTACAGCCGACGAGGAGGATTTCGAAGACTACTGCAAGGGGGGTTATCATCCGGTGGAGGTAGGCGAGCAATTTAAGGACGGAAAGTACACGGTCATAAGGAAGCTAGGTTGGGGTCATTTCTCTACCGTTTGGCTTTCGAGGGACAACGAGACCGGTCGACATGTCGCCCTGAAAGTGGTGCGTAGTGCTGCACACTACACGGAAACAGCGTTAGACGAAATCAAGTTGCTTCAAAAGATCGTTACCGCGAAGCCGGATCACCCTGGCAGGCAGTTCGTGGTCTCGCTACTGGACTCCTTCGAGCATAAGGGCCCGAATGGAACTCACGTGTGCATGGTATTCGAGGTGCTTGGGGAGAACCTTTTGGGTTTGATCAAAAAATGGAATCATAGGGGTATTCCAATGCAGCTTGTTAAACAAATCACAAAACAGGTACTCCTGGGCCTTGATTATCTGCATCGAGAATGCGGGATCATTCATACGGACTTAAAACCAGAGAACGTGCTCATCGAGATCGGGGATGTGGAATCGATTGTTCGACTTGTAGAGGGCGACACCGCAAAGGTCAATGGGGATAAAACGAAACCAGAGAGACCTTCGAATAGGAGACGGAGACGCACTTTGATAACTGGCAGTCAGCCACTGCCTTCGCCTGTTGCGACAACATTCGGCTCTAACCCATTCTTTGTTCCAAAATCAAAGACACATAGCCATAGCTCGTTAAGCACGTTCATGGATTCGTCGGACAGCTCAACTCATCTGGATCCAGAATCCGCTAACAAAGCGAGAGAGAAAACTGCGTACGTCCCAGAAAGCGTATTTTTCATTTTTCATTTTTCACTTTTTTGGGGGGTGTTAAGATTGATATGCTAATATACAATATTTATTCTAGAGAACTTCTCACCGGTGCTATATCCGGAATCAACCTCGAAAAAGCCGCTGAAGAATCGGAGAATACCCAAGAAACACCTTTCCCGAACGATATGATCAAAGTGAAAATTGCGGATCTTGGAAATGCCTGCTGGACAAATCACCATTTCACCAACGATATCCAGACCCGGCAGTACCGCTCGCCCGAAGTTATTCTAGGCGCAAAATGGGGTGCTAGCACGGATACTTGGAGTATGGCGTGCATGGTAAGATTCTTTCGTTAAGGTGAACTGGGGAATAGTAGCTAAATTGCGCCTAGGTATTTGAATTGATAACCGGCGACTACCTTTTCGACCCTCAGCAAGGAACGAAATATGGTAAAGACGACGACCACATCGCTCAAATAATAGAGCTATGTGGTAATTTCCCACGGCATCTATGTATGGCGGGGAAATGGTCGATTGAAATTTTCAACAGAAAGGGCGAGCTCCGGAATATCCACCGACTTCGTCACTGGGCTCTGCCTGATGTTCTCCGGGAGAAATATCATTTTAGCGAAAAAGATGCAAACGAAATAGCCGACTTCTTGTTGCCCTTGCTCGAACTTAACCCGGAGAAGCGAGCGAACGCAGGTGGGATGACCGGTCATGCATTCTTGGTGGACGCGAAGGGGCTCGAGACCCTCAAGTTAGATATTCCTGTCGGGTCAAGAGGTGGGATAGAGGGCTGGAGCAGCGAGGTAAAGAAAAGATAGTTAATTACTCTGATTTGGCCTGGATTTTATGTGGAGGAGCTGCCAGTTAGCGGTACCCTTTGGACGGCTCTCTCATCCGAAACCCCCTCCCCAAGTGCCTTTTATTCCTTTTTTCCCCTACATTTGTTCATTATGTGGCTACGAGGAGTCTCTTTTGTCATAATAAATACTATGAACAGGGCCTGCAAGAGGAAATCCGTGGTTTCTTTTTTCCACTTTTTTCACTATTATTCCCTTTGTTGTTTTTCTTCTTCCTTTTTACGAATAGCGCGATCAGATATGAGAGGGGGGTATCGGATTTACGACCACGATCGTTATATTTCTCTCTTTTTTTCTACACACACTGTTTTTTTATAGCTTACTAGACTTTCAATTCTCCTGTTCGCCTGTCATCGTTGACAGATTACTGGGCCTACCCGTGGTCTTCTCTTCTCACTCAACAGACTCCTTTTCTTTACTTACCGTGGAATCTTGCAGGACCCCAAATCGTTCGCTATCAACATCTGGAAAATCCGGCGTTACCATCTTCGCCGTTGGGGGTTTTGTTTCTCAGGCTTGTTTTTCCCTTTTATTATATTACTACTATACTATATACCGAGCTGTATTGTGAGTGAATGAGTGTTTTGGGGATGTTTCTAGCTACATGAGATCAGATCATTCTGTTATTTTCTTTGATACATACAGACAGCCAAAAAGGAGGGGAGAGAGAGAAAGGGAGAAAACGGTGATATGAATGGCTTTTGCATTGGCAATTGGAATGCATGGGATACTACCTACCTAATGCCGTCGTTTAAGAGGATTTTGCTGACTGAGGGTAAAATGGATGCTTCCTTTCTTTTTGATTGTTATATGTAACCGCACTAGTACTCGATCCTACATACATGGAGTAGGATATGTGTATTCTCGAAGGGTTTATAATTTTGATATCGAGAGGGGACGATATCGATGCGAATGAAATAGACAGTGGCTTGATCGAGAATGGAATCACCCGCCACATCGATTGAATTGAATCCCAACAATTACAACAGATCCAAAATAAGTATAAACGGGGAGAGGAGCTAGAGGACGGGACAGCCCGCAGCTTGGCTTGGCTACAGTTGGGCAATAAAGTATCCCGTAAGAGGTGCACTGGTGACCTCAAATCGACTTTTTTTTGGGAGATTTCCCTGTGCTTTCCTCGTGGATCCTGTGGAACTTACCCATATAGTAAGAAAAAAAAAGAAAGAGAGAGTAGAACTGTCGAATGCAAGGCATATCTGAAAGGAAACAACCCTTTTTTTGTGTTTAACTGCCGGTTGATCGGTTAATGATTACGATGGGTGTAATATGTTGCATACAAATGGCATGGCGTGGAGGGGCAGTTCAGGTGTTTTCGAACGTTCAGGGTGTCAGGATTTTACGCTTGGATGCATAAGCATTTTATACAAGATATCGACAGACGTTAGTAGGTGGGTATATAACGTAGCCTGTGTACCACTCTTCTAGCCTGGCTATAGCCTCGATCAAGGATTCGATTACCTTTGTAGCTATCATTTATTGGATTTTTTAAATTTTAAAGAGCTGGGAACATCTTCGCAAGAGGGAGGGGAAAAATGAAGGCATTGAGGCGTCAGCAGACGATGCCAATGTCTGGCGACGATTCGGATTCGGACTCTGATACCAGCATCATTTCAAAGGCTGGTACACATAAGACGCTAATTGGAAGTATTGATTCGAAGGGGAATCCGAAGGGGAATGTTAAAAATACGTATGCATGTTCAAGGCATTGTCTTTCATCCATGCATTGTCTTTCATCCACTAGGTCATTTAACCAATTAACAGCTATTGACTGACACACTGATAATAATGCAGCGGCCTCGATAAACTCTGGAACCTCGCCCTTCGCAGCCTCGACGAAAAGAGTCGAAGCCAGGTCATCCATGAAGGTCAAATCACCGCTGGTCAAAACAACACTTTCCGGCTTCTTCTCGATGGAATCCAACGGCAACAGAATGCGGTCGTTGAGTCCCGGTTATCGTATACAAAGAAGAATGGGGAGAAAGTTTACATTAGGGACAAGATGGAGAAGGTGGTGACTTGGTTTACCAAATCACGGATTTTTGAGTTTGGAAGTGTTTTGAGTGAAGTTTCTATCTGTGAGTTTTTCCTATCTTGATTGTTTCTTAAGGTACCTAAGTATATATTATAATTGTGAAATTATGGCTGATCAGAGGTTAATAGATGCTGCTATTCCTTGGGCTTGTATCAGTACTATCTTCACCATGACAGAACATCATATGCAAGCTGATAGAGATGTCATGGAAGGAGTTGAGGATGTATCCTATACCATTGCTCGGTATACCCATTACCATGATGCATACCTTCAAGCAGACGATGACGAGTATGATGATATCATGAAGGAAAGGCTTGAAGAAGCCATTGTCAAGACTTTTACAGCTGTGCTTGAGTTTCTGTCGCAGGTTGTTAGGTTTTATAAGGGATCCGAGAAGAGGAGAAGTAAGTGTCTTCTTGGGATTATACAGGCTGTAGGTGCTTTTGCTAATTTACGAGGGTGTTTCCAGAGCGAATGTTGCATGCTTTCAAAGCGACTTCGATTACTACCATGGTCACGGAATGTATGAGGAAAGTGATGATAGAAGATGATGAAGTCGTCAAGATCATTGCGATGATGGATACGGACTATCAAAGGAAGACTAGAGCTTTCATGGACGTTAACTTTACAGATATGCGGAACGTTTTAATGAGTATACAAGCTCAGGTTGACGATTTTAAAGCCATGATCAAAGGAGACGATAAAAAGCTCCAGGGGGTGGTCAGTAAAATTCTGGATGCAATAGTTCCGAAAGTCGAACCAATTGAGACGCTGAAGAATTGGCTGGGTGGATGGGTTATTGATGATACTTTTCGGGATGCTATCGATGTGAGGATGGAAAATACTTGTCAGTGGCTGTTGGAGAGGGATGAGTATGTCAAGTGGAAGGAGCAGTCGACTAGTGAGACGAAATTATTGTGGATATATGGACCTCCCGGGTCTGGGAAGAGTGTTCTATGCAGCACTGCTATCAAGGATTTGAAGGATTCCCAGCCTGATGCACATAACGTTGCATTTTTCTTCTGCTCTGCTAGGTTCGAGAATACGAGGGACCCGGAGAGTATAGCTCGATCTTGGGTGCAGCAGTTACTTCAAGACGAATTTGGCCATCGGGAAGCGAGTGAGTATTATGCAAAGCAGAAAACTGGGACGAAAGCTTCCATGCATGATGTGTGGGAGCTCTTTACGAGGATTACGAATAAGATGGAGGATTGTATTTGTGTCCTCGATGGACTAGATGAATGTTTCAAGGTGGGGGCAGCCACGGCGCATAAGGCTACTACGAACCGGTGGTTGGATTTTCTGATGAGATTGGAGAAGCATTCGAGGGGTGCTAAAGTCAGGTTATTGCTGGTTAGTAGGGATGAGCCGGACATTCGTCAAAACCTGGCTTCGTGGAAATCCCAGGGAGCCATTACGCCAATACAAGTTACGGAACTGGAAGTCAAGAGCGAGTACACACGATCCGATATACAACTTTTTGCCCAGAAGAGCGTCCAGGATGCTGTTGCCTACGCCGATCCGCCGGTTTCGAAGGATACGATTGCTACGCTTAGTGATCTGGCATCAAAGAAAGCCAAAGGGATGTTTTTGTACATCACTTTGTTGAAGAATCGGCTTGAGCAATCTATTGCTAACGGGCGGGCTGAGGAGAGTCTTTGCCAGGCGGTTGATGAGTTGGGGGATTACGACGAGGCTTATGGTCGGATCTTGGATATGATTCAGGCTTATAAGGGGGAGAGGAGGATTAGGGCAGAGGCAGTATTACGCTGGGTATTATTCGCGGCACGCCCGTTACAGATGCAGGAGTTAGCGGAGGCACTTGAAGCGGCAATGTATACCAATAACAACATCGGATCGCGACATGCTCAGAATGCGCGAGGATCGCTCGTGGCACCGGAGAAATTGACGGCAGGGTACTTTCAGCAGATTATATCTCTTTGTGGGTCCTTTGTGGTATCCTCTGAGAAGGCTGGTACTTCGGACCTGCTGAAGACGGTGGACTTTGTTCATTTTACAGCGAAGGAGTTTTTACTAGCACCCTCTGATCCCGTAGACGCTTATGGGCGTGAAGGATTTCATTTTGAAGATGAGCCGAGACACCAGATTATCCTTGCTGAGATATGTTTACGGTATCTTTGCAGCGAGGAGTTTAAGAAGCCATACGCAAAAGTTACACGGAAACTCTTGGATGACAAGAGGGCCGAGTTTCGGTTTTTGGATTATGCGACTTCCTTCCTTTTCCAGCATATACAGAATGCAGGCAAGACCGCTCTGGAGGAGAGAAGGGGGATTCGGTTGCTTTTGAATAGCTTTTTTGGCGGCCATTCGGAGAATTGGTATCTTTGGGCTTACCTTTATGAGACGAGGGATGATGGTGGGGACCGAGAGAATGTACCGGTGGATTTGGATGGATTCAAGCCGGCGAATAAGATGTACTATTGCGCACTGTTCGGGTTGGTGGATACTATGAAGCATTTGCGCAATATTGGTGCGTCTGGGGATCTAGATGCTCCAACTGGCAATTACGGGACGCCACTTCAAGCTGCTATTACAAATGAACACGAAGAGGCGGCGAATCTCCTCCTAGAGTGGGGCGCGAATCCAAATGTTAAAAAGCAGAACGACAATGCCTTGCAGGCAGCGGTTAGAACGAGTGCCTCGAATACGGTGCAATTGTTATTGCAATATGGAGCGAAGATTGACGATGATTTGCTGCTTCAGGCTTTGAAGAGCAATGACTTGGATATCTTTCACCAACTTTGGACGCAGATTGAGAAATCCGGAAGTAGGATTGAGAATAAAGAAGCTCTGCTGTATGAAGTTGTGAAGGAGACCGGTGTGGAGGTTTTTGTTAAGTTATTACTTAAGTCTGGGACCAAGATCATTCAAACGGAGAAACGGGATAGTACACTTCTCCATCAGGCGGTGATTCACCGTAGGGTCGAGAACGCAAAGTTGATACTCAGAGAGGCAAAGAGAAGGGTTTGCTTGACCGATGTTTTGGAAGCTAATATTGGGCTCAATCAAAAACCGCTTTGGTGGGCTGCAGCGTCTGGGTCAATTGAAATTGTTGAACTGCTGGTGAAATACGGAGCAGACCTGTTCACCTCTAATGCCGTCTTCCAGAACGCAATGCATGCGGCGGCATCAAGCGGGCATTCACATATGATATTGTATCTGGCTAGCATTGGGCTTGGTGTTAACGGCTGTGATATTGAGTGGCGCGAGCCACTACATCTTGCGGTGCGTGCCAGTCACTTTGAAGCAGTCAAAACGCTAATCGATCTTGGTGCTTTGGTTAATGCGACGGACAACAAGGGGTGGTCGAGTCTCGAGGAGGCGGCAGCACTTGCGGAGGATAATGTTAAGTTGGTGAAGTTGTTACTGGACAATGGGGCAAATATTGATTCTCAAGATGGAGATAGAATCTCAGTTTTGAATCGGGCAGTTATTGTTGGGAATAAAGAAGTTGTGAGGGAGTTGGTGAGTAGAGGGGTGAAAACTGATAGTAGGAACAACATGGGGCGAAATATTGTGCATGAATGTGCGAGATATGGGAGGATTGAGATACTCAAATGGCTTTTTGAAGCTGGAATTGCACCTAAGGTTGATGATCTGGATCGAACTATTGGCATGTCGCCACTGTATTTGGCGGTCGAAAATGGGCACTCGGATATAGTCAGTGCATTTATCAAGTATGGAGCTGATGTCAACCTCGAGACTGCCGAGGGATTGTGGACACCGCTTCACGAGTCAGTGAAGAAAGGATATCTGGATATTACAGAGATGCTTTTGAGCGCGGGCGCTGATCCTAATGCTGCCAGTGATGACGGAATAACATGCTTTCATTGCTGCTGGCGGACTGGATCTACTTCTCTGACATCTCTTCTGCTCTCTCATGGAGCGGATATCAATGCGAAGCGGAAAGATCAGTTTACAGCTTTGCATTATGCTAGTTTCGAAGGCAGGCGTGAGTTTGCAGAGCTGTTGGTCGCAAACGGTGCAAATTTAGAGGATGAGACGAGGGAAGGGTACTCACCGCTGCAGTTGACAATGATGCGAAACCACTGGGTGATTGCAGAGATGCTCATTAAGAATGGCGCAGATGTGAATCACAGGGATAGGAAGAGCTGGACGCCTTTACACCGGGCAGCGAGTATGGGACATACGAATATAACCGAGATGTTGGTTGCTGCGAAGGATATCGATCTGGAGGCCCGGAACGACCAGTTTACTACGGCGGTCAATGAAGCCGTTAAGAACAGTAGGCACGAAGTTATCGGGATTTTAGCGAAAGCTGGAGCGAACCTGGAAACCACGGCAGACGCTAATACTTGGCCCTTGATTTTCGAGTCTATGTTCAAAGACATCAAGTGTTTAGAGGCACTATTGGCAAACGGAGCATCCATTTGGATCAAAGATCGATATGCCTCCCTTTGTGCGCAAACGGCTGCATTTAATGGAAAACCTCAGCATTTGGAGTTGATCCTGCGGCACCTAGAGGTCAAGTATCCTGGTCGCAAGGACGAATATCTCAACAGTAAGAACAAATGGAATCGGACATGTTTGATTGATGCTTGTATCAACAATCATATCGATTGCGTCGAAATATTGATGAGGTATGGGGTCAACGTCAATACTCGCGGGCAGAGGAGCGACTTGAGACCCATAACTATAGCAGCTGAGCTTGGACACCATGAACTGATGAGGCAGCTTATGAAATCACCTCAGATCAGGTTCGACGAGGAGGTTGGAGCAGCCACAGCTATCCACTGGACAACTGCTAAAGCAATGCCGGAAACCACTAAAGCTCTCATCGCCAGTGATTGGGATAAATCCATTCTTAATCATCCCGGGCCGTATGGGAGAACGCCATTGATTGAGGCCGCAGCCAACGATAGACCGTTTATCACGCAGTGGCTGATAGATGCTGGAGCGGATAAACACAAACGCTGTCATCATGGTATGACTCCGTTACATCATGCTTCTTGGGGGGGCCGTTCGAGGACTGTAGATGTTTTGATCAAGAACGGAGCAGACTTGAAAGCTGTGGACTTCCATGGAAGAACGCCCTTGGATTGTGCTTTGAATCGGGAACGGGATTTTGGCGAGGAGAAAAGGGGGAATACAGCACAGTTATTGATAAATGCTATGGCTTAAGCTTAAGTTATAGAAAAACAAATATGCAGATGATCTTAGTTAAATTTAAAGAGAGGGTATCTATAAATCGTTAGACCGATGCATAAATATCTAAGTAGTTATTTACGGTAGCAAAGCACAATTAAATCTCCAGGTAACTTTCGCAGTATTTTCAAAATTTATGTAATGCGCCCTGGGTTTAGATCGGCCCGGGACAACCTTATTCCACAAAACTACGTAGAATTGTATTACATTACATAAGTATTTACTCAAATCCACGTATAAAGAATTTTCAGGAACTTATCGCCTAATTAGCCACTAAACTAACAAAACGAGCGAGCAAGTGCCTAGGTACTTACGTAACGTCAATAGGAATGCTGCGGAGTCGATCCGGCCCGCAAAAATATATCGATGTTCTCAGAAATGCTGTCTAGATTTTAGGTCTCCTCGCTTTCGACATTTGAGAACAGAACTGATGTTCGGATTCGTTTAGAAGAGCCCTGAAAGGCCTCAAGGTCGTATCGCAAAGTCTAGTTTAGTGTGAAAATCCACTAAATGGAAGAACTCCGACTGGTGTCAATCAATACCAGGTCCTTCGAGTTCACCAATCAGGAGCGGAATGGGACCGATAAAGACACATGCATATGTATATTCAAGTATGAATCGGGATGATATGTTACGGATCCAGATGGAATGAATACCTGGTATAAATTACAACACTGTCTGTGCGTTGTCAACGGATGTCACCTGTTCATGAGCTTTCGATATCAATATTGACATCCAGGGGGTATAGCTGCTATTGTTCAAGACTAACCTTTGGGGGCCATTGGCGGCGTCAAATCACTCCGATAGAGCATGGGCAGGCCATACCAACAAATGCATGTTCTTTTGAGATAGTTGAGTAGGAGCAACCACGTTCTTTTGCGAGGGTTTTGCGGGTGCGAGGTTTCTGAGGGAATGTTTGAAGCGACCATGGACCCCGCGCCCCGCGGCAGCCTAATCCGTCGTCTTCGGGAAAGGGAAACTGGGAGCCATATCAGTGCTACGTATCTCCTGGACATTCGTCACTTTTTGAAAATCTGAATCGAACATTCTGGACCAGTAGGTACCTGTTCGGGAAAAAAAAAAAAAAAAACTGAGCTCGGGAGCGCACTGCATTGGTACTAATGGATGGCAAGTTGCCGAAACTTTACAGCTGTATGTATATAAATGGAGCATCTCCCAAGGATTTATCTGATAACTTTTTCGCCTTGGCCCGCATTCTAGAAATTCTTGAAGTCGAATAGGCGAATTCAATTTAAACCAGGTTGTCGCCGACGCTAAATAGAATACGACAATCCAACGAAAGCCAACGAACTTATCTAGTTTATTCTGCATATCCAGATATATTCTTGGAAGATGGCAGAGGGGAAATTGCATATCCACCTGTCGAAAACGAGGAGGTTGTCGATTATCATTGGGATATCGATGTGTTTTTTTATCACCGAAATATCCAGTAAGTACATATGCCCGCATACCTCTCAAGTGGTATTATTTAACTAAGTTTGAATCTATACAGTTGGGTTCTACACTGGATCTCTGGCGCTGGTCGCCGATGCCTTCCACTATGTATGCACTTGATATCTGTTCCGTTGAAACATTTTCCGTCTAAGGAATCTATCCTCACGCATTCTGAAGCTCAATGATCTCATCGGATTTGCTGTGCAACTCGTGGCCTTTAAGGTTTGTAGCATCCATGGTACCCTTGTGCAACTATGTACATGTATGTACCTGCGCATGCAGCTGCGTAGCTATCACATGTACGTTGTGGAACTTTAGCTGACGCAATTATTGTACTCCGTTGTACCCGTCATTAAAAAAATAGATATCGGAAAGGACCGAGTCGCCGAAGGAGCTCTCTTTTGGCTGGCAGCGAGCAAACTTACTCGGTGCTTTCTTCAACGGAGTATTCTTAATGGCTTTGTCCGTGAGTATCTTTTTGCAATCGATTGAGCGGTTTATCGCGATTGAAGGTCAGTGTTTATTTGATTGTACCCATATCAAGCTCTTGATTTCTAACGACAGGGGTGTATGTAGAGGTTCAAAACCCGAAACTTATCTTAATCGTGGGATGCATCGGGTTGACGCTCAATATAATATCCGCCTTTTTCCTACACGGTATGTTTGATATCCATCTCACTGTGACCGTATACTCGAGCTCTGGGTCTAACCGTATAATTTTGTAGACCATGAGGAAGAAGTCAAAAACGTAATTAACAATGGTGGCGAGAGCGTTGGTACCACCGAGCCCCGCCGAAATTCGGTGCAGTTAGCCGTATGTCCGCACAGCAAACTCTGCAAATGCATATCTCCCAGCTAACCAAATTATAGGAGGTCCAGCAGTTGCACAATCATCACCGACACGAAACCTCGCCGGCCGATGAATCACAAAAACAATACGATCTTGGCATGATGGGCGTATTGCTCCACGTCATTGGAGACGCAATCAATAACGTTGGAGTCATAATTGTTGCTCTCGTTATCTGGAAGGCAGAGTCGCATTCAAGATACTATGCTGACCCGGCAATCAGCTTATTCATCGCAATTATGATATTTTTTTCCGTCATTCCATTGGTGAAGAAGACTGGTATCATTCTTCTCGATACTGTACCAGTCGGTTTGAACCCGCAGGATGTTCGCTACGACTTGGAACAAGTGCCCGGGGTAATCTCAGTACATGAATTACACATCCGAAGGCTAAATCAAAGAAAAACAATAGCTTCGGCGCATGTTGTGGTTTCTTCGAGGGTCTTGGAAAACTTCGTGGAGCTTGCAAAAGTTTTGAATGAGTGTTTTCATGCCTACGGGATACATTCGGCAACGTTGCAGCCAGAATTAGCAGATGAGGGTTCCGAAGGAGGCGATACCGCGAGTATTAGTTCTACTCAAGGGTTGAGAAGAAGAAACGCAAGCAGCCGGTCTGTTTGCAGGATAACTTGCGGTACTACCACTTGCGAAGCATTGACCTGTTGTAACTGAATACTGCGGAGATCTTGAGGCTCAGGTTATAATTACGGGTTTTTTTTAGAAAGGGCTATAATCGGAGTAGATCTAATTACTAATAACTCGGAAATTCAATTGGGAGCGTTGATTGCAGTATCTGGTTTATATTTCACTGCCATTGATAGTTGTCTCTGGTTTCAATATCTATCTAGTAGTTTTTGTGTACTCCATGTGCTGATATATATATGAAGCAAACTACGCTGTATTCCGGCCGAATTGTCCTGCGCTACGCCTTACATAACTTTCAACCTGACTTGCATCAGTAAATAAAAGCGGCATCAGCTGTGGTTTGAATCCGCTGCAATCTTGAATAAGCAATCCGTCTTCTACAACACTACTCGATTTCGTGGATAGACGGTATTCCAATAAATCCGATACATTGTCAGCCAGATTGATCTTATCGCCATTAAATTTGCTTTTTGGTATAGCGAGATTTATTAGTCGAAGGCCGTCTGGCTTAATTAATTGTGCTACAGAAAGGTCGGGCGGGCTACAAAAGTGAGCTGGCGTACTTGGTGTAAGAAGGTTATTGAAAGTAAAAATACGGCTAGTATCATTCGGATATGTGCCGGTTTGACGAAAAGCATTGCCGGATACCAGAACGTTGGACATATTGTAGATTCCCATATTATATTCGAAAGAAGGCAAGTAATCATCTCTTCGGTGGCGTGCTTTCTTTGCGGCCTTTGTGAAAATAGGCTTTTTGTTATTGTAGTTTTCGAAGAGATTGTTGACGATGTAAAATGTGCCAAATCTCATCAACGGGTTACGGGACATTGAATTTTGAAAGTGGTTTCCAAAGACGGTAAAATGCATTTTTCCAATATCACGGGGCCCTTCCTTCTCGCCGCCACCCCAGAGTAAGCTTTTGTGATGATTTGCCACGATATTATGGGAGAACGTGATATTATCAGATCCATCTTCGACATCAAAGAGACCGTCATAGCGGTCGACTAGCCAACCATTGAGAAATGGGTCTGGAGAGACAAAACTTGGGCCGTCTTCAAAGATATTACCATCTAACCACATCCTAGTCGTTGTAACGGCTGATACTGCATCATATCTTGCGTTCCACGAGCCAGGGTAGGTTTCGGGAGCTGGGAAACAGTCCTGTGGAGAGCTCATCCGTAAGTTTCGAATGATAACATTGGACTGAACGTTAAATATCAAGCCAACCCCGCGAAGATAAGCGTCTCTGTCCCACCCAATGAGCGTGAGGTTCCCCTTGACATTGATTGTCTCATAACCCTTTTGACTGTTTTGAGCGGTCCCACGCCAGCCATTCATTCTTGGGAGAAGAACGGCTAGTTCTGTTGCATTTCGGCCGTCTATTATCCCGTTGGCGGCGGCGGCGGCCTTTACTTCGGCTACGTACGTAGCGTTTAAACTCTGTACATAAAGCGTAAAGTTGAATTGCTTGACGTTACTGTTTTCGATGTACCATTGGCAATCCGCAGAATATGTTTCATTGACCTGGTTTCCAAATATTTCACCTTTAACGTAGACAGTTCGGGGGCCAGTCATCGAGAGCACAGTACGAAGGTCTAGCATGTTCTCAACGAGGTAGGTGTTTGTTTTGTTAGGTCTTTCACCACCCGTGACATCTTTTCCGAAGCCGAAAGGAAATCTTAGGGGTAAAATCGGAGGTAGCCCAGTGTATGGTTCGAGGGCCATGGCTTGGTACGCCAGATTGGCTAGAAAGGGGACGAGAAAGATACGTCTCATCGCTTTTTTTTGTGTCGTATTCGGATACTGCACGCTCTTCATACGAAAAGTGCATCCACAAGGCTATCTCTTAAGCTATTTATCTTCTCTTGCTCCCTGGTTGGTGATTGCTAAACATATTCTCCAAGGGACCCTAGGACAAACCGGATCAAACTTGCAAGATATCGATCGTATCGAATCCACGGTTGAGGAAGAATTAAGCATTGCGATTTTAGCCAAGTCCATTTAACCGACTGGCATCTCTACATTCTGTAAATAATCTTAAACATTAACTTCGGAATCCGGGGGAATTGTGGGGGCATGCACATCTTCTCCAGCGACTATACGTACCTGTATTCATACCTGGGCATATAATGCATATGATATTTTGTATATTTATCCTTGTCGTGTTGAAAATGTGGTAGATTGGTCTTCTCTAACTGGTGGCTTTAATTCGGGGAGCAGGGAATGGTTCCAGGATGTATGACCTTGAGATTCTCCGCGAGGAATCTTAACTTCCTAAGGGCTTGAGCAATCGAGTTCGGGATTCGATTCTCTAGATCATTTTCTTACCTCTGATTAACGAGCGGCCCCAGTTCAGGATAAGAATCGAAAGATATGGAGTTTGGGGCTGCAGGCTGATCAGCGCTGAGGCTAGTGTGTAAAGTGGCGCATGATGTGGCTAAACAACATTCCACTAGCAACACAGCCAGCGCCAAGACTGCGATATCCAATACGTCATGCAGGCCACTTCAACAGGAAAATAGGTCGACAGGCTTAGGCTAGCTGAAGACGCAAAGCTCCTTGACGTAACGGATAATGTCAGGCTCTGTGTAGACCTAATTTGACATCGTGTCTGGGTATACCAGTGCATCTCCTCTCTCATTCATACTCATACGAGCTTCACTAGAACATCCAACCGACCGTCCCAATGCAGGCCCTCAAGGAGGCTTCAAAAGCCAGTGGGACTGGCACCCCGCCTTCGATATTTGACGCGAACCTCGATGTCGAATACGTAATTACTTTCAGATACGCGAATGCTGGGTCTTCTGCTCAGACCGGAGATTCGAGAACCCCCGAAGAACAACTGGAGAGGCTCCTGCATACCTTAGATCTTGCAGGACTACGAACGGTTGTCCGTGATGGTGGTAATGGCTCTCTTTTGATATTCACGAGAATCCGAAGTGAGAAGAAACTTCTCGGGGAGATATATAGGTCAAGGTTAGATATCTTACGTATCCATTGCATCGTTGGTGGAGCTACCACTAAAACTCATTGCCTATTCATGCAGAGTCAGAGACTGGCTGCACGGGATCCGTCCGGCTGCACCTGAAAAAGAGACACAACGATCCCTTGAAAATGAACCCTTTACAGATGGAGAACGATTGCGCCTCGTCTACTCCCTCATTACCCTACCGAATAGTGAAGGTGGGGCTGGGATTACCCCGAAACAGGGAGAGTGGAACTTGGTTGAGTCCATCTTCGCACTTCATGACCATGACTTCAATAAAAAGTGGTTGAAGGATTGGTCTACTAAGTGGATTATTGGACCCGATGACCTAAAGGTTATTCGAGATCGCTTTGGTGAAAAGGTATTTTATCTTTCAATTAGGTGCATTGCTCGTCATATGCGAGGCTAATGATTCTAGATTGCGTTCTACTTCGCCTTCATTCAATGGTATTTTATTGCATTGACGGTCCCAGCTGCCATTGGTATCTTCGCATACTTGTTCCTCCCCGCGTACTCCTCGTTCTTTGCAATCTGTAATTGTCTCTGGTCGGTCGTATTCGTCGAGTACTGGAAACGTCAGGAAGTCGATCTTGCGGTCCAATGGGGTTCGAGGCATTGCTCTACTGTGCAAAGGAAGCGGGCTGAATTCCAATTTGACAGCGAAGTTTCAGATCCGGTTACGGGAGAGCAAATCAGGTACTTCCCGGCTTACCGACGACTTCTAAGGCAATCAGTCCAAGTCCCATTCGCCCTGTTTGCGGCGTCTTGTCTAGCCGCAATCATCGCAGGTGTCTTTAGTATTGAGATCTTCTTGGTTGAGGTGTACAATGGCCCCCTTAAGATGATACTGGTAAGCTTCCCATATTATAGAATGCCATTCCATTTTTGTTATAGACTAACAAGATCTAGAAATTTCTCCCCACCGTTCTCCTTAGTATCTCTATTCCTATTGTGTCTACAATCTTGACTGGCTTCGCCACGAGACTCACAGCGTTCGAAAATTACGAAAATCAAGATTCTTATGAAGCTGCATTGACACAAAAGATCTTCATTTTGAACTTCATCACTGGATACTTCCCATTGTTTTTAACCGCATTTGTTTATGTACCCTTTGGTGAAGTCCTAGTTCCTTACCTTGATATTCTTAACGTCACTGTTCAGCACTTCGGGCACGATGAAAAATACACCACTTCCGACACCGGATTCCAAATCAATCCTTCTAGGCTTAAGGCTCAAATGATCTATTTTGTGGTTACGGCCCAGGTTGTCGGTTTTGTTGTCGAGACTATCGTCCCACAGCTTAAACGGACTGTTTTCAAGAAGGCAAAGGAGTTTGATAGCCGAAGAAAGGGACTTAGCATCGAAACTGTCATGGACCCTCCAGAAGAAAAGAAATTCTTGGACCGCGTCCGCCATGAGGCCGAACTTGACGTTTACGACGTAACAGTCGACTTGAGAGAGATGTGCATGCAGGTGAGTACTTTAAACCCCAAGATGTCAAGCCCTTCTACATGATTCTGACCGCTGTTATTAGTTTGGTTATTTAACATTGTTCTCACCTATCTGGCCTGTTACTGCTGTTTCATTCCTCATCAACAATCTCGTTGAGATTCGAGGAGATGCGGCGAAAATTTGTATGGAAATGCAGCGCCCGATCCCTAACCGTGCTGACTCAATTGGGCCATGGCTTCAGTAAGTTTTGAATACCTGCAATTGGATAGTTTCAAGGAACAAAATTTTCTGACTTCAACTAGCAATCTCTCGTTCCTCACATGGCTTGGGTCTATCTCTTCTGCAGCACTTGTCTATATGTTCTCATCAGCGGATAGCGAAGGTGGACCACCAAAGGACTTGACTCTTTATGGCTTTCTTTTCTCTATCATGATCTCTGAGCATGTCTACTTTGGCGCTCGGTTCATCGTCTCCTACGCCCTGTCTAAGGTCCAATCCGTTGGTCTTGAAACCGAACGAAAAGAGAAATTCATGGTTCGAAAGCGATACCTTGAAGAAAGCTTTGGAGCTGAAAATGAATTGATTCGACAAGAAGCCGAGAAGACGGGTGGCGAATACACCGGTGTTGGTGGTGTTTCTTCCACACAGGACGGGCGGCCTCTTGATGATGGAGCTCTGAGCGAGAAATTCTGGCGTAGCCAAAGTGCCTGGCAAGACAGCGTGAATGCTGGTGTCCAGATCATGGATATCGTGAGGGGTAAGGATAAGAAGAATCAGTGAATGGGGATTGCGGGGAGGTCAGTGACGGGGTAGAGGGTTTCTTCAACAGGTTGCTCGAAATTGTAGTCTAGCGAGTGTGCTAGTATTGGTCTTTATTGCCGGCATACGTTTCCAAAGCAGTAATAATACACAAACTGCTAACTTATAATCGAAGGGATTACAAAAAATCCACTAATCAGATTTTATGCCACAAACCCTGTAGAGCGAAATCGTAGAATAATATATATTATTTTCCCCAAGTGATTTTACAGGATCAGGAAAGTGTCTATTTCCCTCCTTCACCTGGTGCAGCTGCAAGCAGAACCATACCTGCCGCAAGGAGCCACCAGTACTTTTGGAGGAATGTCTTCTCTTCCTCTTTCTGTGGTAATCTGCCATCTGGCATGAGAACTACCGGCCTATTCAACGCTGGCTTGGCACCTTCGTATGGCCTGATGATAACTATCTCGGTTTCAGGCTGTGAAAATCTTGGTTAGAATATCGCCGTACTCTTTTAAGGCTGATGTTTATGGTGGTGATAGAGAATACCTTTTGTGCAGTTGGCGCAAGTTCAACAGCGTCGTATTCGGCGTGGAAGATTTCGCCTTTCTCGTCCACATGAAGCGTCCATGTTGCAGCATAATTCGATTGTAGTATTTTCTAAGAAGCAGAAGTTCTTAGTCTCCTTGAAGCCTGATAATAAATGTTCTGACTGCTACAATGATGAGCCGGCTCGGTTTGGATTTATGACGTACTCCCGTCCGGACACCTCCAATCCACTTCCCGCCCTTGAGTAATCCAACTCGATATGCTTCATCTGGAATAGGCTCACTTAAGCCCTCGAAAGGTGTATAGGTTGCTGATAACGTGTTGGCGACATATCGTAGCATGCCCAGCGGAGCTTGCTGCTTAGTATCATCCCCAGCAGAGAGAGGCCATCGGTTTAGGACGAAGGTCTGTGGTGGGGATCTGTTGACATGGTCGAAATCAGCCGGTAGAGGGAAATTATCGGGGGCCTTGCCACCGGCATTGGCAAGGACCGTTGTCGAGAGAGATGCGACGAGGAAGAGGCTTGATAGAAAGCGCATGATGGCGGGATGTTGAAGTGATGTTGACAGGAATTTGATTCAGCGGCAGTAGCAGTGACCTGAAGCTTGGTGGTCTTACTGGTAGTTAGTGTCTGTTGGACAGTTGTGGAAAGTGCGTTGTTGCGCAGAACCAAAACGCGTCCAACCTCAACTTCAACCTCTTCAAACATCGTTGTCGCCTTTTCACTAACTTCAGCCACTCCGAAAACCTCTGCTGCTCCCGACCACCATTATTCTTGGTCTTCTAGGTCTTTAATCCTCGTCAATTGCATACTCTACCAATCGCTAAATCACCAAATACTCCCTTCAATCTCGACATCTCCATCTCTCGACTCCATTCTTTGATCAAGATGGCGACCCCGGCGCCAAAAGAGGGTGCCGGCATCTTGAGCGCCTCGATTCTAGGCGACCTTCTCGAAAACTCACGAAAGCTACGAAATGATACGAAGCTACCGGATTTACCATCTATACAGCTCGGTTTGGGCGAAATAGAACGCCGTGCGAAGAACCTGCAAGGCGGGGATCCGTCGCGGAGTGTTGACGCCAGGGCGTAAGGATTCTTTCTCGATGTCCGCATATACTGTGAATCGGCGCTAACATGGAGGTGTGGATAGGCATTACCTGTTACAAGCAGCTGGCGTCAACTCTGAGCAGGCGCTCAAGGAGCTTGAGTCTGTAGATTTCAATTTCGAGGAAGCACCCGTTAGAACTACCGTCACCGGACAAGTTGATATAGACATTGATGTACGTTTTTGATGAGCGATCAAAATACGGAGAATTATACTTATGAAACTTTACAGGGATTTTTGAGAAATCGCAAGGAGCAAAGCATCAGCAAGGCCATCGAAGAAGGGATCAAACGAACTACCTTGGAATTCGAATCTTATCTTCTTAATAACCTGAATATTGATTGGGACGACCAAAGAAAGAAGATTTATGAACACTTTGGGCTTACTAAGCCTTCGGATGGGGCACAAAACACACCTTTTGGTCAGTCGTCGTTTGGGGCCTCCCTGGCTAGCCGCGCTGGCGGGAGCACGTATGGTAGGAGTAGACTCACACATGCAAGTTTGGGATCGTTGGTTCTCGGTACACCACCAAAGGTTGGAAATCAGGCATGGGCATTCGAAGATACCGTCAAGGAGCACCAAGGAGCTCCAATGGAGCAAATGTTCAACCGCCAGGCGAACTATGCCAAAACTGTCCAGAAGTTGAACGATGCAAGGACGGGGGGCGCCTCCCCCAAACTGATCGAAAGCTTCCTAGATGTCACGAGGTCATCTTCAGACTTAGTGAGTAAAACTTATGGTTCCTAACTTGCCGGAACGCATTCACTAATAAACGCTAGATATCCACACAATTGAACGATGCATGGAAGATGTTGCATTCGATTGTGGGCGAAACAGGGGATATCAATGGACCTAAGGAACGACAGTTCGCAAAGGCCTATCTAAAGGCGGATTATAATAGCCAAGAAGCGTTGATTCTGCGCCAACGAATCGAGAGCGGGGCGCGAGGCTTTTTAGAATCGACGTACGTTTAAATGCCAGTCTCAAGGTTTTGCCAAAAGAGAAACTAACACTCTTTCAGTTTCTACGCTCAGGTTGAAGATACCGTCGCAAGATTCCCAGACGAGGCCAAGGTTGGAGGCATCCCAGATCCGGAGTTTAAAGTCAAGGGCTTTATCAATGTCCGGATGAGCCAGTCGAGAGACAAATACAAAGAAGTCACCTTTGAATCTGTCAACGACTGGCCCGGCTGGGGTGTCGTTTTCTACCTAATCCGCTGCGGTAAAGTTTCCGAAGCGGCTGGCTTCGTCCAGAAACATGCAGACTCGTTCGCCAAACTCGAGAAGAACTTCGTTCACTACATCACAGCCTACGCCAATTCCCCAGATCGACGGTTGCAGCGCAACCTACTAGACCGATTGCATGCGGAATGGAATCAGCGTATCAAGTTCCGAGCTGAGGGAATGGATCCTTATAAACACGCTTGTTACAAGATCATTGGACGATGCGAACTGCAAAAGAGGGTCCTACAGGATATCTTGCCAACTGCAGAAGATTGGATGTGGCTCCAGCTGGTTCTTACCCGAGAATCAACTGCCGGGGACGAGCCTGCTCCAGAGGTTTATACCAACGCAGACCTGAGAAAGGCCATTGTTGGATTCGGTGGGCCGCACTTCGGGCTTGCTAATAGTAACTTTATTCTGTATTTCCAAATGCTGTTAATGGCAGGCCTTTTCGAAACGGTGAGTTTGAGTCTCCTAAATTGTGTCAGAGAAAGTATTCTAATATCCCCAAGGCTGTCCAATATCTCTACTCCTTCCTCTACGTCGATGCCGTCCATTTCGCCATTGCTCTTAGCTATTACGGTTTATTGAGAGTAGCTGATGAGACCGGGGCAAACCACACCAACTTGCGTAAGTGCAGGATACATACTCGATCGAATGTCTAGTAAATGGATGCTAATGACAGTACAGTGTCGTATGCCAAAGGAAGATCAAGACAGGAAGAGCAAGAAGCTCGAATTAACTTTGCTCGTCTCGTCGGGCACTACACACAGGATTTCAGAAAGACCAACAGTGAAGAGGCCGTCGATTATCTTTCGCTAATCTGTTTAAATAGCGATGTTGGTGGGGAACAGCAGCTCAGACTTTGCCATGAAGCCCTAAGAGAGCTTGTTCTGGAAACTCGTGATTTTGCTAGACTGTTGGGTGATGTCAGATCCGATGGCTCCCGAGAGCGAGGTACCATCCAAAGGCGCCTCAGAGTCCTCAAGTTGAGCAATGAAGATGAATATCTTCATACAATCACCCATCAAGCGGCCGCTCAAGCTGATGACGATGGGAGAACATCAGACGCCATCCTTTTGTATCACTTGGGCGAGGACTACGATACTGTCGTTTCCTTGGTGAACAAGAACCTCAGTGATTCATTAGCGGCGGGCGAAACTGACGACAACTGGATTGGCAGCAATCCAACTGTTGGATTAAATGCCCAGGGTCAGCCAATCAACCAGAGTATTTCATTGACTTCGGTTGAAGACCCCGCTCAGCTCGCAAGGAATATTAACGAAGTCTACTCGAGAAACGCCTCGATATACGGCAAAGTGTCCAAGCAAAACTGGGAATCCTGTGGTGTGCTTATCCGTATTGACGAAGCCAAGAAGCTCTATCGTGCCAACAGACCCGAGGAATGCCTCCAGCGCATTGAAAGCCTTGATGTCATCCCACTTAGCCCCAACGCTGATATTGGAGCTATCCGCCGTCGTGCACAAAACTTCGCAACATTGCACGAAACTGTGTCGCGCACCATTCCACAGCTACTTGTCATGAGCGTCAACTGTACTAATAGGCTTTTGACAATACTGAAGAACGCCAGCTTCCAGGATGCGGCAAAGGAACTTAAGATTAGGGAGCTGAGCGGCAAGGGACGAAGTGCATTGATCTATGCAGGAATGATCCAATATAAGGTTTGTTGGATACTCAGTTACAAATTCGTATGGGGTATGTACTAACGTTTTATTCAACTCTACAGATGCCCCCAGATGTCTATAGCCAGATGACTTCGATGGAGTAGGAAATCCCTCCAAGTTTCACGGACCAACGACAGCTAGGGCAAGCTCCCCTACTCGGAACTCCAGAACCGCCCAGACGCCACCTTGCCAAAAGTTCCAATAATCAATCGGCCCGACATGCGAGATCTTCAAGCTCGGGCTCGAGCACAAGCCCACCCCGTAGTCCGAGTTCGAGGAGATCTTCTAAAGGGAAGAGTTTTCGGAAAATTCCAAAGAAATCGAAGGGTAGTCCCTCGGGGGAAGCGATCCCTCCAAATACGAACCCAATAGCATCGTTGTTTAAATAATCATCTTGTGACACATTTAGCTCTACTTTCCCTTTTTTACCCTCTAGTGCAGCTTGAGGGGTCGGATCTTAGATAAGAGCTTTACTGGTATGAATTGTACATTAGGTTTATCTGCGTAATCATTCATAAGCGCTGAATTTCACGAAATTTTGGTACCTCCCCACTAAATTTCGGTAGGCAAGGGCTCAATGGCCCTTCATTATTGCCACCTCTTTCTCATTAAGCTCAAGTTTACAGGTGACATGACAAGTTAATTCGTCAAGCTCCATATGCATAGGGTCTTGGAAGTGAATTCGGAGCCTTCAATCATTATAAATTATGGTAGGACTATATACAGGTGAAATGAAGTTTGGCTCGACCTTCGGGTAACCAATGTGGATACACATTTTAAAGCCGTATCAAATAGTGGTGTCCCTCCGGTAATAATTACAGTCTGTAATTTAGATCTCGCAGATCTGGGTCAACTTTCTCTTGCAATCCACTTTCATCGAAACACAGTCTTTTAAAATTGGGAAAAGAGTGAGCAATATATTCAATAAAAAATATAAATTTAGTTGGGGTAGAGGGGAATATCATACTATTGCAGTTTGAGCGGCAGAAGTCGTTCAACATTGGGTTTTCTGGATAGACCTTGTGGGTAGACTTGTTGCACCTGGCATGGTCCCATGGCTTGTCCCAGAACCAAGGAACTGGGGCGGCGGCTGGAGCTGGAGCGGCGGCTGGAGCAGCGGCTGGAGCGCACTGGACGGCAGTGAGGAGGGCGGCGACGGTGGCGACAGTGAGGAACTTCATTTTGATAAACTTGTAGAAGGAAAGTCGAATTTAAATTAAAGAATGACTAAGTGTTTCTTTTCTGATAATTGAGGGTTGAATGAGAGTGGATTGTGGATTGATGTCCTTTCAATTTGAATAAAACGATAGATTCTGGTATGTTTATATATACATTTTCTGAGTATCTGAAAACCTCAATGAGTCTCCTCAAACGTTAGCGCACGTTTGAACAAATGTTCCGACCTTCATTTTTTACGACAAGCGTGTCCTTAGTCGAGGACCTTCGAAGCGAGAATAATTTCCGAAAGATCAGGTCAGAATGACTGTAAACCGTCGTTACCGAATGGAATAATTGCGAGTCTGATCGAGATTAGAAGATGCTAATCCTTGACCGAAGAAAATTTGGGAGATGTCTTAATCCCTTCTTTGGAAGCTGGTGCGTTCGGACTCGCGGATCCGAAACCTGGGGAAATAGTTACTTGGGTAAGTTCTTCTTAGATTCTTAGATAGAAAAAAGACCTTTGGTTTTCTAGAAGGATTTTTTGGTCTTTAGTTTGATCGGGTGAAATCTGCTGTCTTAAGAATTCAACCGTATAATCCGGAAGTAGACGAGGCCACTAGCTTCCTAAAATGGGATCATGAGCTCGAGCTAACTTGGAGGTTGTCGGATCGTGAGATGTCGCACAAGTAGGTCGCCCAAATAGGCATCTCGTCCAGATTCAGTAACTAATTGCTTTGAATGCCAAATCCCACAAGACTTATGCGTTGTGATCGATGAATCAAGTTGAATCGAGATGCGAAAGGTATTTCTTGTAATGGCAATAATATATTATATTGTGAAAGTTTTTAAAAATCATAAGGCTAAAATAGATACATTTTGAAGGGCAGAAAGAAAAACAGTTACGATGATCTAGGGCCGTTATGCGAAGATAAACATGTTGACGCCCTTTTTTGTAAAAAAAAAAAAAAAAATGATACCTAAAACACAAAAGAAACAATCTTGCAGTCTAGCTCATGAAACCTTTTGTCTCTGTATAATCATATGTGTACCAACCAACCGCCTTTATCAAATATTTCACCATTTTCTTCTAGTTCATGCTTTCTTTAAACTCTATTTGACGGGTCCCTATTTGATGGGTCTCGAGAGTCTCGTGGCGCCGGGCCGGGTTGTGGGTACTGGGATTGTTGTCCCTGTTGTTGTTGCTGCTGCTGCTGTGGCAGTTGTGGCAGTTGAGATTGTGGGGGCGGCTGGGGCGGCTGCCCGTGGTACGACGACCCCGGTTGAGCATAAGACTGGTAGAACTGTTGCTGTGGCGGGAGCTGTGATATTGGGCTTGGGATACTTGGCCGTCTAAAATTATCACGGCTTTGGGACAGGGCTAGGGATTGGAACCCAGTCGTTGTCCTAACTATTGGAGAGACACCTTCCTGCGTCGATAGTGAGCCATTACGTCTACGGCGTCCGGTAGTGCTCTGCATCCGTAGGATATCGCGAACTTGGTTTAGGTCGTTACGACGAGTGGATCGAGTACGAGAGATTAAACTTGCATCATCACCTAGAAGGGTATCATCACGGGGATCGGTCTGCATATTGAGATTCGTTTGAGAAGGCGAAGTTGTTAGGATTGTAGGTCCAGCCAGGGGTACGGATCCAGGTGCCGACGAACTAGCTTCTTTGGTTGCCTCCTCGGCTTCGATTTCTTCCTCGGTCCTGAATCGTTTAGCATCCTTGTCTTTCGCAGCTTGTTCTTTGCGTCTTTGCGCTTCGGTGGGGTCGATGGTAACGAAGTATTGGGCGTTGGCTCCTTCACCGAGGCCTGGATCGCCAGCACCAGGTCCGTAAATTGGAATCTTGCGAAGGGCGGCGACTAAAGCGGACATGAACTTGTTTCTGCGCTCGACTCGTTTAGGTTGGTCGGCCCAGTTTCCTTTGTACCTAATTTCGACTCTAAGTTCCAAACTATCAAGCTTCACAGCGTTGATCTCAACGTTCAAGTTATCGGATCGGAAGTCACGGTTATTTTCTTCAACGAACATCATGAGCTCTGACCGGAGAAGCATGATCTCGCGCATGCTTGTGTCGAAATGAACATTAAACATAACGACTTCGCGCATGGGTCCAGAGCGGGTGACATTTTCGACATACTTGCCATTGAGAATGTTGTTTGGAACTTGGACGGATTTGTTGGTTTCGACTTGGCGGAAGACGGTGTAGAGGAGGGAGATGTGTTCGACAATATATTCTTTTAGCTCGAGGTCAATTCTGTCACCAACATCATATGGATGCTTGACAAAAATAAAGATGCAGGAGCCTAGAATTTCTTGAGCAGTGGCGGCGAAGACGAAAGAAAGAGAGAGCAAAGTGGCTCCGGCGGTACCAAGGGTGGTAACAAAGTTCTGATTTAAGAAAGCAACAAAGACGAAGATGATGACGACGAAGACAATGGCGGAAAGGAGCGAATTGAGGGCAGAGATGGCAGAGTCAATATCTCCCATACTCTTAGCCAAAGCCTTGCGCTCACGAGCAACTTCTAGAATCGTTCCGATCATTTCATCCAATGAAATATCCCCATTCTCATCTTTGTCGAGCATAACGAAAGCCGCTTTAGCTTGTTCTTGTCTGTCCACACCGAGAACTTCGAGGAAGTCATCTACATAGAGTGTATCTTTTCCTTCTTCTGCAAAGCTCATCCAGATACGACGACCAAGCGCCTCTATAGTAGTCCTTCGTGCGAGAGCATTAACTACTACAGACCTTGCAGAGTTAGGGTTTAGAACATTTCGTCCAGTAATCTCCTTTGCGACATGGCCAACTGCGGATGTGATGTTGTCTCCTACCCGCCCGATTTGATGAAGGAGCCTCATGGGAGTGGCAGCACCACTTTGCTTGGCCAGTGGACTTCCTAACCCATTCACCAATCCAGCGTGCAAAATATAATCCTCTTCAGCAAACTCGGGGCAGTAAGCAGGGAATGCCTGTCGTGAAGTCTCCAAGAGTATGGAAAGAACCTTGATGTAATCTTTGTTTGCGAGGATTCTTGCAGAGAATTGCTTTTGGTGGTATTGAACCGAGATCAACTGGACAATGACAGACTTGACAAGGAAGATCAAGGATGAAACCAAAGCAGCAGCAAGGACAAGATTCATTTTGCTCTGCCACGGTTTAGTATCAGTTGCAGTTGGATCTGTAAGCCTTTCCCTGCGTTTATCGGGGTTATGGGTCATAATCTGGAGAAATGAGATGAAACTGGCGAAACACCAACCAACGAGAGATAGAGGTACTTCGAGCTGTTGAATGACCTTGTAGTACTTGCGGGTACCGCTGCTAATGACCCCAACGAGAGTCTTGAAGACAATAGGCAAGCATTTCGCGACCATTTTGGAAACCCATAGTGAGCACCAGACGATCTCAGTCCAAGCAAAGAACCAAACAATACGGACGCCTCCAATCGTAGCGTTTGGAGCAGCAGTCGATCCAACGATGATTGGGATAGCAAGTGCCAACGCCAGTGGAGCGATATATATCATCCATCTAGTAATGAAACTGAAGTTGAGAATTTTCTCATATAGCAAACCAACTTTGGTCAAAGCAGTTTCTTCGCCATCGTTGAAGCTTTGGCCATCTCTCAATAGCCTTCGCTTCCCACCTTTTCTCTCGAAGGGTCCAAGGGCGTCTAGTGTGTGATCCGCCCTTTCAAACGGTGGTCGTGTGACTTTGTCGGTGCTGGGATTGAATGCTGTGACGGACTCCTCTTTGGTCCGTAGTGAGCGGTGAGACTCAATTGGTGTAAGAGGTATGTTGACGACATGGTCTTCTGAAGGTCGCTGGAATGACGGGTCTATGGGCTGGAAGCCAGCCCTGCCCGCTGGATGTTGTGAAGACATGTTGGAGGAATATATGATTTTGACCTCCTTCCTGTTGGTCAAGAAATGACGGAACGGATTAATAAGTGTATTGGAAGATAGAAAAAAAGGAGAAATAGAGAGTGAGAGTAGGTCGGAAAAATTGAATGCAGTAGTGGTGATGATATTAGTAAATTGCCAGGGGGGTGGTAGTGAGGTGGTGGTAGCAGATATATGGGGCCGCGGTGCAGTGGTGAAGTTGGAGATATGTGTTGTGGGCTGTTTGGGCAGCTGTCAGGTGTTGTTGTCACACGCTGGAAGCCAATGATTGGGATGTGTGAATGGTTTCTTCAACCCTTCTTCGCTTTGTAAAAAAGAAATCAGATCAAATCGAAATAAAGTCGACTTTCTTTTCTAGTCTGTTAACGTTCTCCAGGAACTACTGCTTTACTCTGTGTATGGCGACTGCGGGTTTCGAAGATACTTTTTATGCTGTTGGAAAGACCGAAACGAGTGTGGGAGCACCAACCGAAGGCAAGTGACGCAGGTACCAAAATTCTAGTACAGAGTGATAATACGCTCTCATATAACGAGAAATATAAAACCGATCCCTGAAAAATGACGATATCAAGAGATCACAACTGACGACACCTTTCCCTAGTAACAAAAGAAAGGCAAGCTTAGAGTGAAAGAGAGACAGAGAGAAAAAGGAAGAGAAAGAGTGAAGGACGAGGGTTGGATAAGAAAAACGATAAAGGGAATCAAAGGAATAAAAGGTTTATATTGTAGGTAAATAAGGTCGGTCTTCAGGGGCCCTTGAAGAAGATACGAAAATGAACGGTGAAGTCTTCTCCTTCCTTGCTTTCTTTTCCTTCTAGCTCCCTCCTTCCTAGAAGCAAAGGGACCTGTTGAATATAACCCGATGTTGGAGGTCGATCGGCCGCTCTAACTAGTACGAAAGAACAGGGACCCACCGGCTAGATGCAATCAAGGAACGAATGGACGGATACCAAGTCAGAGGGGGCTCAGGGATGCTTCTCTGATGTGGGATGCCAAAATTCTCGTCTTCCCTGGCAGGCCAGGCTTCGGTGCTGCGTCTTTTTATTAATTACACATCCTGCTTGAGATCAATTGATCGACGGGCTACATTATTGTGAGCGTCCAAAGTATGTGGGCCCTGTCTGATCATGGTATTTGCAACATTTGATCCATCCTTCTGGCACGAATTCGAATTGCTCGCATGGCCGGCCATGACCCGCATGCCAACCACGGGCAAAACGTTGAGACTATTCATACGTTTATTACCATGTTGGGATAATCGCAAACTTTTTTTTCTTAGACAATCCTCTCATGGTGTCTCTGGCTAGGCCGTTCGCCACAACATTCGAACCCGTCCCTGAAATCTTCTCGACACCACGAAAATGCCAATCCAGATGCCCGGTGGGGATATTATGGTCAGGGTGGGTTACAAAATTTTAGCGACGTTTCGGACCCAGATCGATTGGATGATGGCGCTCCGATGTCAGTACTATGAGATCATCGGTTAACTGGGGGTGATTAACTGCATGAACGTTTGGATGCAAGCAGCGGGTGCTTGCTCGGGAGAATCATAGCTGACATCTAGTGTCCGGCCTTCCGTCGGCCTTGTCCCACGGACTCAGGGGACATCATTAATTAATTATCAATTGCCAATGCGATGGCAATACACAATACTGACAATGCAATGCTGTCGACAAAAATTTTTTAATTCAAAAATTGCAGCCACCAAAATTAGACCATCCCGCCTTGGACTATATCGCCATAGACAGTCTTGCGCAACTTGCTCAGCTGAACTGGTCTAAGAATACTCTTTCTACCTTTCCTTTGGGGGAAGAGGGGGAAAATATTTGAAGGGAAAAAAAAACTTCTTCTGGCCTAAAGCGGCTATCGAAGGATCGACGTCCGAAGCTTGAGCTCAGCAAGCTACAGGGAAGGGAGGAGAAAAAAAGTTTTCGATATACAAACCATTGCACTAAAAAAGTTTAGATTCTAGCAAAAATAGCACGACAAGGCGGGCCGATGTGACCGTGTTACATACAACATCATCGGCGGTCGAGAACACGAATATCGAGAAACTATCGGGTAAGTATCTCCAGACACCATCCGTGCCTTTACGCATCGATAATCCACTATATGGATTGCAACGTTGAATCATGCACCCTCGGTAGATCTTACGCGAGGAACCCATCGACGGATGTGTTTAATGCCGAGGGGGGATTGATGCTTTTTTCTACCTATATGATAACTCTAAGGCCTCTCGACTATTTGAGACCATCTTTCTCTCCCGATCCGCTTGACCTTGTTTCCCATTATAAAATGGCTGTTGTTATCGAAAATGTTCAAAACAATATTTGATATCCAAGTCACGCCAACAAGCGAAAAACTGCCCAGACTCCCAATATGCAGGTCCCGAGATTGAAGACCCCGCAGATCCGTCACCCAAAGGAACTGAGAATACGGAACCTTGTGCCATTCCGCTGCTTCATTTGCCTCATAGATCTGTCCAGGCAAGTGCCGAATTCCGTACGCACTCTCAAACAACAGCCTTGGAAGGACTTCTCCTTACGAAATACTAAGGCATGAATAAGGGATATAGGGAATATTCGGACAAATAGGGAAATTACTAACCTCGCTTTCTACAACGCTACTGCGAGTTTGATGAGTAGCCAAGGCCATTAAAGTTCTAGGAATCGGCCAAGCATATCGAAGTATTTCTTGTGAAGTTCTCCTGAAATCCTCACACGTGAAATCGACATCGCCTCAGCCCAGGGCTACGCAAGTAATCAAGGTCGAGTATACGTAACACTAGATCTATGATCGCTTGTCGACGATCTGTGATTACGACTATAAAGTCGATGTGCCCGGTCGAGACATTTAAGCCTGGTAACTTGGGCGGGATTACCCTTGCGAATCCGTGACCGCCGTTGCTTTAAGCTTGTTTAAAGTCCCTAAACGTTTAAGCACCCTTTTAAAACTACAAAACCTCTATGTAAGTCTCCTGATCCAGAGCGAAGCGAATTCTACAAGTTCCTACATTATGATAAGAGTCCCGTAACTTAAAGCTCAACGATAACGACACCTATATCAAACGATTATATATCCCCCGATTATGTTGTGTAACCTACTTCCACGTATTGGACCTCTCAATTGAACGTCGTACGCATGTAAATTACCATTTTACGAGACTTACACCACTGATATTTGAGAAATAGCGAGGGTGCGCAAATGCTCTGAAGACAGATATAAACAATAATCACTGGCTTATATAATATATCATATGGACCAATATTATATATATAGCATGAACCTCTACGAACCTGGGTCTCCCACGAAGCAAATTAATTTCTCTGTTTGCATTCGACCCCTCCTTTCGATATCAGTGTATTCCAACCCGTAATTTTCAGTCCGCAAGACCAGTTTCCAGCCCTTGCTGCGGAATCGGGCGCTAGTATGCTTATTACATGTTGGAGAGTCATGGATTATGTCGTTACGGCATCTAGAAGCGGTAGAGACTAGAGTTTCGACAATTAACATGACAAATCGTGACTCTTATGCCCTTGTCTATGGAATATCCTGTTGCACGTTCTTAAAGTATTTTCGCTCTCGATCTAGGACTCTCCGTGAAGTCATGTCTCTCCGGCCTCTGTAGCTCTAGCTCTATAGCTCTGTCATACTAGAAGAGACCTACCACATCAGCAACACAATTATCAATACTGCTACAGGACTAATCTAGACTCTCTCTCGGTCGCCTTCAGCAATCGATCACGACGTCAACCTTATAGCCAACTACGCACGGCCGCCCAAGATGCAATATTTGAACAAAGTTGAGAATGAAAAGACGAGTCTCCCTGTCGATCTATATCACCTTCATACACCGGTAGAGGAATATGACTTGAATTGTGTTCTGCCGCTACGTACCCTCGAATCGAACGGGGTGAAATTGGAACCATTTATCGTAAGCGATCAACCTTCTGGACTTTAAAAAAAATTCTCAAAGTTGATAACTATGAAATTTGAAACAATGTGAAATATATGATTCTAACGTGCTCCTAGCCTTCGCTACATGCAGAGCATGCATTCTCCCTCCTGCAGCAAGAACCAGAGAACATAATCTATAGATATCTTCCCTACGGCCCATTCTCTACTCTTGCTGAGTTCTTAACATGGTATGAAACCCGTATTCGAAGTGACAAGCAGTCTTGCCTATTCTTGATTACGGATCTTTCTCGGCCATATGATGCGGAGAAACCATTAAGCAGGGTTGCAGGGTGGATTGGTATTATCAACATCAGTATCGTGGATTTGGTTGGTGAGATTGGACATGTTACTGTTTTGAAAAGAGCTTGGAGGACGTTAGTATATCCTATGAATACATCCCGAATGAATATCCACTAATGGGACTATTTTGTTTTATAGCCATATAAACACCCATGCCTCGTCTTTACTGATTAAGTACCTGCTTTCGCCTCGCCCCGAGGGTCTTGCATTCCGTCGAGCTTCATGGTTGGCACATTGGCAGAACGAAAATTCTAACAAAGCAGCGGCGAGACTTGGATTTCAATTCGAAGGCAATATTCGCTGTGCGAAGTTACTTCGACAAGATAAAGAGGGAGATGTCATCGATAGTAAGAAGGGGTTAGGAAGGACAGAGGAAGGGAAGTGTAGGAATACAAATGTTTGGAGCATTACCTGGAAGGACTGGGAGGAAGGGAAATCAGAGAAGATTGAGGAGCTATTGGCGAGGGAGGTCAAAGAGAACCCAGCCTGGGATTTCGATTGATTGAGACACACTATATCATTTATCTTTGCAAATTTGTTTTAATCGACAGACTTCAACGTGGTGTGTATAGGATGGATACTAGATTAATAAAGGTTGAAGAAACCAAGAATATTGTTTTTAGAGGAGAGGAGAATATTAATTTCTCATGATGCACGATGTTCCGCAACCTGGTTTCGTCTGCGTATAGCCGTCGAAGGGCGATTCTTGAGGTTCATATATGAGGTGGGCGTTGTGTTGTCGACGCTAAAGTGTGTGTCACAGCTCATCTTCAAATTCTTCGCTTTCAGGCGTCGGCATCTTCAAGCTTCATCTTCCACTTCAAACCAGCAAATCAACTTCCAAAAACTCAACTTCCAAAATGGCACCACCTCAGCAGTCCCTACCTGCACTCCCAGATGCACTCATTTCTACTCTATCTTCCATCACCCTCGCCATACAGCTCATCAACAACCCATCATCCGATGTGTCAACTACCGTTGCTGCCTCTCAGAATTATGCTGCCGTCCCACTCTACACCTTCCTCGCCGACTTTGCGAACCTTGTTAAAGCTCATGCTACCAAACTTGGGTTGATATCGAACCCACCAATAGCTGTCTCAACATATCCTGCTATTGCTCGAATTCTTGTCGAGCTTGCAGAGAATATCCCAGCTGCATCTTCAGCTCCACAGATTGCAAGCAAAGAACGATATGGGTCGATTACACATGCTGCCGTAGTAAGCGGTATGGTAGATCTGCTAAGGGGGATTGAAGAGATGCTACAGGCTATTCAGAGCAATATCTCCGAAGGGGCTGCCACGACGTCTGGAGACTCAACAAAATCTCCATATACCTCTACCGGGCAGATATGGTTTTCGGCAGACAATCTTCTTGCCATATCACAAAAGCACCTTATAGGGCTAGTCGAATTAAAGCTGCAGTCTCACGCTGATATGTTGAATGACTGCATAGCAGAGTTCAAGGAATGGGTTACGGATGCAACTGAGGAACTCAACGGCGAGGACTCTGGGTTTGATGAGGCTGAAAGTCAGAGTAGCAGTATACACGCAGATCTTGGATTGAATGACGACGACGATTTCTTCGGGATAGAAGGGAGGGAGAAGCCGAAGGTTACCAAGGAGGTGCTGACTATGGCCGAGGCAACACAGAAGAAGCTCAAGTTGACGAGTATATTGTATACGGCTGTGATGAAGAGACGGGTCAAAGATCCAGTGACAAGACTAGGTGGAGTCTTCAGCACGAAAGCCAAGGGAACCGAAGATGGGAAGGAATATTCGGTAGAGAAGGAAAAGGATATCGACAGACTCGAAAGAATCGTGGAGACTAGCAAGAACCTTGTAGAAAAAGCCGACGATTTAGCTGCAGGGTTCTATGACGGGGATAATGCCGATGACATAGCGGAATTGCGCAGTGAATTCGTAGAAGCTGCAGCTGACTTGGCGAAAGCTTGTCAATTGGGGGGCGACGGAACTGAAGATACACCAAGTGCATGGTTCGGGAAGTTTCTGGAGAATGTGAAAACATAGGGATCCTGTATATCGTTGTCAGGTACTACTGCGCGAGAATATACCTGATGAGATATCAGAATCGGACTCGGAGCATAAAAAATCATCCTGTAGCTTGGGGCGAGCTGTGCCCGAGACCAGCCTTCTGATAACGCCGATTAAACCCGAGTGCATTTCAGAATATTGATATGGCTCAACATGCAAGATTTAATTTGTAAGCATGTATTCGTGACAAGCTTATTTTCCAAGGGCCCTGAGACAAAGATTGCAAACCAACCTGCTTCCGCTGAAGAAATGGTCTCCGTGTCCCTTTGCCGATAGCAATTGCGCCAGTCGCTTTGAGCTTGTGTGGTACCTGATTACAAATGACTAGTTGTGGAGCTAGGAATGGTGCCAGATGCCGCCATCTTCGGGTCGCTTTTTCTCACCCGAAATCCACGTGCGGGTCTCGTACACCACAACAACACAAAACTCCGCGGGTAGGCGGTAACGTGACAGCACAAGCCACGGCCTGCCCGAGATTCCGCAGCGCTGCGAGCCAACCCTAATTTTGGGGAATCTGGCGCGATTTCAATCTAGCGAATGGGCTTGAATTTGTCAGGAATGTCGTGATAGTTCGTATCTCTAAGAAATTACCAAGCTGTGCGATCTATATTCGAAAATCCTAGGGTTGACATTCACTCATAGCTGCATGGCTATAGTTACGCGGAAGCATACGTATACGACATATGATACTTACACTACTATGTTGTGATTGACTACGAATTGATTAATTTAGGTTGAAGATGCATGCAGAATATCGTGATCGGTTATACGGTTCCCAGGCTTTATAAAAGGGAATGGATCTTCCTCCTCGTCGAAATTCAATTCCAGTCTCATCGGATTTCAAAATATCTTCTACTACTCCATCAGCTTTGAACTCTACAGTCTCAAGCCTCAGTACAGACCTCACTCTCTTACAATACTCCTATCTAATATAAATACCTGGGTATATAATATATATAACCGAATAAATAAATCAAAAATGGCCATCAAGAACATTCTCCTCATTGGCGGTTCTGGCAACGTCGGTACTCCAATTCTGGCTGCTATCACTGCAGAACCTTCCCTCAACGTCACAGTCCTTACCCGTGAGGACTCTAAATCTACATTCCCACCTGGAACTGTCGTAAAGAAGGCCGACTATAAGTCTCACGAATCTTTAGTCGCCGCCTTCAAGGGTCACGACACCATTGTTTCGAACGTTGCTACCCTCGCTGCCATTGACCAGCTTCCATTTGTCGAAGCAGCTGTCGAAGCCGGTGTCACTCGCTTCTACCCCACCGAATACGGTTCCATCGCCTCCAGCGACGGTGATATCGTTCAAGAATTCTGGGACCGTGTTGGTTTCCACGGAAAACACGAAGTTTATCTCCGTCTTAAGGAGCTAGCTGATGCCGGAAAGATTGAATACACACTCATCACTAGTGGTCCGTTCTTCGACTGGGGTCTCCAATTTGGCTTCATCGGTCTAAACCTTAAGGAAAAGAAGGCTACAATCTTTGGCAGCGGAAACCAAGTTGTCGCCGTTTCAAATCTGTCGCACATCGCGAAGGCCGTGGTATGGACTTTGACACATCCAGAGGAGAGCAAAAACAAGGCCGTTCGTTTCTGGTCCTACAAGATCACACAACCATCGCTTCTTGCCGTGGCTGAGAAAATTACGGGAACTAAGTGGGAAGTGGAGAATATCCCTGTTGATGATTATATCAATACTGCAGAGGAAGGGAAGAAGGCTGGAAATCCCTATGCTGGGTACCAGGTTCTGCAAGGATTGATCTTTGATGAGCAGGACAAGTATGGAAGTAACTATAAGGTTAATGATATCCCCTTTGAGGATGATAGGAAGATTGAGGATGTTGTTGCTGAGGCTTTGAAGCCGTTTGTTAACTAAAGCCTAAATTACAAGGCTGTTTTAATTTTCAGTTTCCCTTAGTCTTTGCAGTTAATCCAAATAATTAATGAATTCAATCGAATGTCTCGAGAAACAATGCATTTTAAGATACTTAGTTTAATGTGAAAACAGCCTTCCAAAGCCACTGGGACAGTAAATATGTATAATATATCAAGTAAATGTAAATCTAATAGACGGGCTCATATGTGAATGTTCACGTAATTTACTAGGATATCTACTTTCTAGATTAACAATACTCCCCTGTTGTATTAATATTTCGCACGGCGTTATCCTGCTTTCAGTTTAGAATATTCGAATATGCTTTATATCAAGGGCGCAACCTTGTTTATATATATATAAGGTGAGGGAAATGGAGTTTGAGGGAGATACTTTCCCTTCAAGGCATGCTCTCGGTCACGATTCTAAGTTCCATGCATGGCCATGGTTCCCGCGTGGAAATGCGTGGTTTGGAGGTGACGTTGAACTCACGAAGAGGTTGTATGGTTGTTTTATATTGCCCTCCAAAACTATCACGGCAATGTTGAATGAACTCCAAGGAAAAATCACGGAGTATTCTCAGAAATAGGATAATTTTCTTGAAAAAAGTCGAAACTTCGCGATCCGCAACTAAATGCAATGGGACTAACTAAATCTTTTGTATTTGTCCCTCTCATAGGGCTCCTCATATCCTCTGCGTCCGCGTTGGAGGTTGGAGTGGAGATCTTGGATGAAGAAACTAAGGAGCCACTCGGCCTTCCTTATCTGAAACGTAAGGCTTACCACATATATCCAATTATAACTAACTTGTTTTATCTGTATCTGTTTTATGTCATGGTATCGCTTCTAACATCCGTTTACTTTTACAGTTTGCCGGCCGCCGGATTCTAACCCTTCTTGGCCCGTTATCGTGATTGACCCACTCGTAACTTTCTGTGAGATGGTGGGCCCTGGGATATCGATGGGTGTGGGCATGGAACCGGACTGGAAAGCACGCACCTCTTTGCGAAGGCCAGAAGGTGATATCCCATTTACTTACCTCTATTTGGTCGGGCCCCAGAGCGGGATACCCTTGACCAACGATCCGGATAGGGGTTCAAGCAGCTGGTTTGGATATGGTACAAACTCATATAAGAATTATGAAGCTTCAATGTAAGAGCTATTCTAAAATCCTTTTGACAAAACTCGCAGATTATTAATGTTAATTTGGTCTCTTTCCTTAAAAATACAATAGCTTTGAAGTCGCTCGTACGGATGCAAATGGTGAACGAGTGCCACAAACGATTAATTTCGACAATCCTTTACAGGTAGGAGATATTCTTGAATGGGCAGGACCAAATGGGTTTGAGGGTGATTACCAACTACGGCGTAAGTATCTCCAATACGTCCTCTCTAAAGCCTCCTCGCAGAAGTATATATGTACTGACGGGCTAGGGAATCTTAGTTGGAAGCAATACCGAAGGAGGAATTCAGCGAATAATGCGCTCAGACAAGCCAATCCACGACTTCTTACCAATCCGCCTTGTTGTTCTAGAGCTTCATGAAGCGGAAGTTCTCGAGGAGTTACCACCTGAGCGTGTAGTCCGAAATCCTGAACCTGAGGTTATCTCAGCTGTCGTGGAAGACATCGCAGTAGAGGAAGGTGTTATTCCAGAGCCTGGGCCACAAGGCATAGTACAATCATATCTCCCTGACCAAAGACCCGAACGCCCGAGTAAAGATCCGGGACTAGGGAGATCCCTTTTGAATATGATAGGCTTTGGGGGTAAAAAACCGAGGGAGGAGAGGGTGGAAGAATCAAAAGAAGAAGTCCGTTATAGTGACCCTTCAAAGATCAAAGGATGGGATCCGAAATACACAAATCCTTTCGATAAACCACTTGCGGGGTCACGAATTAACAAGGATGTCGTCAAAGATGAACCGACAAAATCGACATCGCGCTGGGGTAACCTTTGGGGTAACGACAAGAGCAAGAGTAAAGGCACCGAGGAAGTCATTCAACCGCGGCCAGTTACTCATAGTCGACAGCCCATCAAGGATCTGGATACCGAGACCTTTGTAGAAAAGGCAACGGGGAAGGTTATGTCTTTGATACAACGTATTCCAAAAATCCCTAACATCCTGCCCAAAAAAGTGGATAAGGATTATCCTTTGGCTAAGCCTGTAGATGTGCTAGTCCCCGTAATTGACAACATTCCAGTCAATGTTCCGAAAGAAGGGGAAGACTTGCTCGAAGAGAATGATGAAGATATAGATGTTCTTCGCCAAAGCTCGGCTTATGGAAGAAATCTATTCGGTGATAATGGGGGGCCTGGAAATGATGTCCTCTAGATTTATATATTTTTATTTTAGCTAGAATACGAATATACCTGCAATATGAAAGTTTATGGTACTAAAATCAATTGCCTTTCCTTTGATTTCAGTTCATGCACGGTTTCGCAATTAAGTGGAGACAGCGGTGGGAGGGCCTACTAAATCCCATTGTGATATTTACGTTCTGTAGTGACTGTTCCAGAATTCCATGCGCACACCAGCCACAGGTCTATTTCGAAGATGGAAACAAAACTACAACTATGGTTATGATAATAATACCTTATAATAACTCATTAACTGCTAGAAGGGCGAAAAACCCGTTATTGTTATATCCTGGGGTGCGGCGGTTTGCGAGTAATTTATAATTTAGAGTCATGACTGCCACGCTTAATTCCGATCTCGATTAGAGCATTATCGACACGATGCTGGGATATTTGTTGCTTCAACCCTATATTTCAACTACGAAGACTTTTGGACCAGTTGGTAAGTGACCTTAGATCGATGCTGGGTCTTATGGTACCAATTTATAGTAACATAACTTAGATGTTCGATCTCCTCAGGAGGCGGTATATACCCGAAATGGTTCAGTTGAGTAAAGTTCAGCACTTAAGAGCCTTGTCACTCCTACTCTTCCTAAGGGCACCATATGTATCAGCTGTCATTATCAATGTCATAATTAGCGAAGCCGAAGAGGGGGAGGTTTGGTACGAAAATAATGATGATGGCTTACGACGTAAGGATCACGGCCAGCAATCCATGTTGAGATGTATGAGATATCTCTATGGATAGATATAATGGTATGAGAGGTACACTAGTATCACAATGCTAACATTTCCTCTTTTGGAATTAATATAGTATGCCGCCCACCACCAGAAGAACCATGGCTTGGCGTATATGCTATCGATCCGACGGTCACCTCTTGTGAAGCTAATGGAGGGAGTGCAAACTGGGTGGTCCGGGGATCTGATTGGGAGCGGCCGGAGTATCTCCCCAAGCCTCCCGGAACAGTTCTTCAAATTGAAGGCCCAGGGCCGGCGGAAAAGGCTACGGCTTATGCTATCTCAAATACTCAATCTAAGGAAGATTACTTATCATTCGGGCCCTCACTCAGTATGGCAGCATCCGAAGCAAGCAAGTATGATGAACCTACTATAATTTTAGCCAGTCGCATACGGGAATAGAAAGGAAAATGCTGATATGCGCGCTTTTAATAGATGGCTTGTTGAGAGGTATGGAAATAACAACAATTATGAAACATTGGATCCTGAAAATAGGCTCAAAGTGGGAGATACTCTTCGGTTCTGGGACCCGGAGGTACCTACCGGGTTCCAGCAGCTATATAGTGAGAACATATATACTTGAATAGGCTCTCTAAGTACCGAGAGCTGACATACAGAAAATTGAATAGTGCACCGAAGTAAGGGGAGTCCTCAGAGGTTCAATCGGCTGAGACCGCTTCCAGATACTGAAGGCACGACTGTGGAGGCTGCATCCGCTAAATTGCGAAAGGAATACCCAGCTGCTGAATTTAGAATTGGCTCTTTGGGAAATTCTGAGATAGTTAGACCGGATTCAACCGCTTCGACGTCTAGGACCCGAAGGTTCCTAGAAACAGTTGGGAGCGCGAAAGGTCGGATAGGAAGGCTTTTTACCGGTGGGTTTCGAGGGCAGCCTAACGTAGGTCGAATTGGTTCAGAGGAGAAGATTCCTACAAGGAAGGAAGATCCAAGAGTACGCTCTGAAGAAATAGAGATCGAACCCGGTGATGTTTTTGGGAACCCCGACCTGTTGGACTCAATGAGCCCGGACGAATACCTTCGAAAGCAGCAGCAGCAGCAAAGAGCTGTGGATCTGCCAAATATACCATCCCTGGCTGAACTAGCCCTTAGGAAATCTATGAAGGAAATCTCGCCTGTCCAAGAGGTTATCGCACAGTTTGAAGAGTCTAAATCGGTAAGAATACTCGGAGTACTGACCGTTTGTTCTTATAATTCTAGAATTTTAGGAATGTTAATTGTTTTACGCAACAGGATAACGACAACGACGTTAGACGGCCTATTGAAATGGAGAGGTCCTCAAAGTCAAGTCATAGTGCGAATTCAAAAACGAATGAAATTGGGAGAGGCAGGATCCCGACAGTGGCCAACATAATCAAAGAGCCCAGTGAAGGGACATTATACCAGACTGCTGTTGGTGACACATTCGACTTTGACGAGGAGGACCGACTAGGCGATATTATAAATGGCAATGGGAATTTGATGAAGACGGTCAACCAGCTGGTATCGAATGATCAGGCGGGCACTGGGGTTATTAATCTAGAGCAGCTTCCACCAAGTGATCAATCGAACACTTGAATATCACAAAACGACTTTTGAATAAGTAGCATAAGATATTATAAAATAATTGATAGTTCACACAGTATTGATATTATATAAATCTGAGGTCCCCGACGTAAGAGGTGCAATAGTCTTCAAAGCCATGATAATTTGAATCGTCATACGTATTTGTAAACTTACTAAGTACCTACGTTTCAGGTCGAATTCTTGCGTTGAGGCTGTTGCAAGTTTTCCACATAGATTGTTAAGCGAGCTTGAGACGCAGCAGCTTGGCCTTCAAAGCTCCCACTTGCCCACGCCTTCGTCAGCTCTCCAACTACCCACATCCGCATCACGCTGCGACATTCGCATCATACAATCACATCTCAATACCTCCCATATCACATACCATCATGGCTCTTGATAGCTACTACCAAAATAAGATCGAAAGCGTGAAGCTCGAAATCATACATTCAACAGCTGTCCTACGGCGGTTGGAAGCGACGCGGAATGATTTGAACTCTAAAGGTCCGTCACGGTGCATCTTAGGTGCTTCGAAGCTATCGACACAAACTCACAAAGGCTATTTTTAAATCTAGTGCGACTACTGCGAGAGGAGTTGACACTGTTGCAACAACATGGATCGTACGTTGGTGAAGTCGTGAAGGTTATGGGAACGAAGAGAGTGCTTGTCAAGGTCCATCCGGAGGGCAAATATGGTACGATACGATACCTACGTTCAAACGATATCTGGTTTCGAAAATAAATACAAAATGCTGATATAAAAGCAACCGGATAGTTGTCGATATTGCCGATGGGGTTGAAATCGCGAAACTCACAGCTGGTAAACGCGTAGCATTGCTACATGAGAACTACCGATTGGAAAGGATATTGCCTAGCTCTGTAGGTCTTCCTGTAGCTGCGGTCATCAAAGCATCCTGTATTAACATGATTTATCACAGGTGGACCCTCTTGTCTCTCTCATGATGGTCGAAAAGGTTCCCGATAGTACCTACGACATGATTGGTGGCCTGGATCAGCAGATCAAAGAAATCAAGGAGGTTATTGAGTTGGGTCTCAAGCATCCGGAACTTTTCGAATCCCTCGGTATTGCCCAGCCAAAGGGCGTTCTACTCTACGGGCCTCCTGGAACTGGTAAAACTTTGCTCGCCCGTGCCGTCGCCCACCATACCGACTGCAAGTTTATTAGGGTCTCGGGTTCCGAATTGGTCCAGAAATATATCGGCGAGGGCTCGAGAATGGTCAGAGAGTTGTTCGTTATGGCGAGAGAACATGCGCCTAGTATCATTTTCATGGACGAGATCGATTCTATTGGGTCCTCTAGAGTGGAGGGGTCAAGTGGTGGTGACTCTGAAGTCCAGAGAACCATGTTGGAGTTACTGAATCAGTTGGATGGATTTGAACCGACAAAGAATATCAAAGTCATCATGGCAACCAATCGATTGGACATCCTCGACCCCGCATTGTTGAGGCCCGGAAGAATTGATAGGAAGATTGAATTCCCCCCACCAACGTAAGTATTTTTCTTGGAAAATATTACTTTTCTCTCTCACATGACGCTTACAATTGGATGATTTTAGTGTTGAGGCGAGAGCAGATATTCTCCGTATCCATTCTCGTTCCATGAACTTGACTCGCGGCATCGACTTGAAGAAGATCGCAGAGAAGATGAACGGATGCTCGGGAGCTGAGCTCAAGGGTGTCTGCACGGAGGCAGGCATGTACGCCCTCCGCGAGCGAAGAATACACGTTACCCAGGAAGATTTCGACCTTGCGACATCTAAGATTCTGAATAGACATGACGATAAGGCTACTAGCTTGGCTAAGCTATGGAAGTAAAAGCTCAACAATTCAAAGAGGTGGGGTTATATTTATGCGGGTGGCATGTACTTATACATAGGTCAAGCATCTATGGCGATAGCAATAAATAATACGAGCCTTATCCTTAGAACCGTAGCAAACGATGTGGGGCGCCCCTGTATTCATCTATTTTCAGACTATAAATATGCCGAAACCCTGAACCTGAGGCTGACGGTCTCGTGAGAACGTTCGGCGCGGTTGCATTGCAAGGTGTTCATTTCGGCCTAATTCAGCTTACCCGGTACCCAAATCTTGGCTTGTCGGGAAGGCCATCCCTTGAGGGACGAAAGCTCGAAGCAATTGCAAAGCATTCAGCCTCAAGGGTAGTAATAGTTGCACGTAGGAATCCATCGGATTTAAATCTCTCCAGTTTGTAAAGGGAATTAAAATTCCCCTTTTGTTATCCTTTCTCTCAAAAATCAGCTTCTGTCCGCGTCAGTTTTAACACTCCGCCTTGGATGCATCGCGGGCAATCAAACCGCCCCCAACAGTTGCGAGAACTCTCACTCTCATTCGTCCGGCTCGCTTTCTCTATCCGTAACCCCGTTTATCACTCCTCATTCAATATCCTAGCCATCACGAGTTTAGTGGCAGGTCAAACTCATAGACCCCCCCTTCAACCATGTTCGCCAGGCTAAAGAACTTCGCGGATTCTCTCGAAGAATCCGCGCGAACAGCCGGCCAGCGCAACCTCGCATCTCCACCACCGTCGACTCTCCAAAGGACACCTAGTAGTTCTCGGCGCGACGGCCTTCACGACCGATCATCTTCGAGACCCCGGAATACAGTCTCGTCGCTTAAAGAGCGAGAGCGGGATCCAGCGGATTTCGAAGCAGACTTCTCGAGCGATGGGGGAGGAATCTCTCGAACCGGAACACCAGCTCCTTCAACGAGTGGTAGTGGTGGTACTAGTGGGGTGGGAGATGAGAAGCGGGAGGGTGAAACCGGCGATGGTAGTACAGAGAGGAAGGATGCAGGCGGAGCAGGAGGGACCAGCAATGGAACCATAAATCTAGCGGATTTGCCGTCCGAAGTCAGATTGAAGCTCCGAAAGCTCGAGAAGATCGAGAACAAGTATACAGGTACGTTTTCCATAGCCATCTACTTCCTGAGGTTTTGAACTGGGGTAGGAGGAGAGGGGTATGAGAGTTGGGGAGGGGAGGTTTGATGGCAAAAGAAACAATGCTGATTATTATGGGGGAATAGAGCTGCTCCGATCGTATCGCATCACACATGCAAAGGTTCAACTGATCGATCCATTCGAAAAGGTCCTCCGTGAGACGACACCCTGTACTTCTATCTCCGAACCCGCGGCATTCACCGAATATCTTAACAACTTATCGTTACGGTCTGACATGACGATGGAGGAATTCAAACGCGTCTCGAAGGAACTGGCTGAGACGAAGAAGGAGCTAGAGAAGCACAAGAAGGAGTCCGACGACAGAGCAAAGGAAATCGAGGCATTGAAACTGCGGGTTAAAGAACTGGAAGGGAAGACAGAGACGAATGGAGCATCCTCCATTGCAAGTCCTACCGGTGTTACAAGCCCAATAAACGGTCCATCTACCGCAAAGAACAGTATTGACCTCGCCGAGAAGGTCAAGTCTCCTGGAGCAGCTTCCATCTTATCGATATCATCCCTCAAGCCAACACCAGAAGCTCCTGCGGAATTCTTTTCATATGAAGACGAGCAAGACCGTCTTGATGCATTGGTCAAGGAGCAGGTCGATGAGATTTCCACATTAAAGGTTTCTTTGGATACCGCCAAAACGGCTGCTAAGGTCGCCGAAGAGGCAGCCCAAGTGTTCCAAAAGAATGTAGAAGACTCGCAGCGGGAGCTTGAGGGTATGAGGGAAACGATGGTGGCCAAAGACAGTGAGATTAAGAGGCTAATTGACGAGAGTGGGAAGCTCGAGAAGGAGCTTGGAGGTTTGAAGGAAGAGCTCACAGAAGCCCAGGAAGCCGTTAAGGCTGCTGATACTACGGTTGTTGTAGAAAAGAAGGAAGATTCTGTCGACTCTGGCCTCCTCGAGAAGCTGGAGAAAGAGAAAGAGACATTGACTGCAGAGCGGGATAATCTTCAAAGCAGTCTGAAGAACTTGGAGGACGAGCTTGCTAAGGCGAAATCTGAGTACGAGGAGAAGAATGAGACTCTTCGTGGTGAGCACAAGAAGGACATAGAGGCATCGGAAGCAAGTCTCCAAGAACTCAAAGCTGGAAAGGAGAAGGAGATCGAGGAGCTTGAGAGCAAGATAGAAGAACTTGAAGGAGAAACCTTGATGCTAAAAGCTGTTTCCGATGAACTACATAATGTCAGAGATGCTAAAGTCAAGATTGAGAAGCTCCATAAAGAGGCGGAATCCCGTCTAGAAGACTTGGAAGCGAGGTTGGACAAGACTAAGAAAGAGAAGCTCGCCCTTGAGTCAAAGATTTCGGTTCTGGAAGACCGACTATTAGAGACTGATCGCAAAGTCAAAGATCTCACGGCCGCAAAACCCCCAGTTGACACCAAACTAGCCGAGTCGAAACCAACAAGTAGTTCGCAAGATACATTGGCTGTTCCAGACAAGGGCCTTACAGCTAGTCAGAAGCGCAATCGCAGCCGACGGAACAAGAAGAAACGCGAAACTGCCGCTTTGACCGATAAAACCTTCAAACCCGATGATGACGAGGACGAGGCAGCAAAAGACGATACTGAAGACAGGTCCCAGGATGTTGCTACTCCTACATCACCACGACCGGATGACGACGAAATCTCCGCCACGGATCTCATTATCTCGAATTTGCGACTTGAAATCACGGCCCTCAAGAAAGAGCTGGACGAGCAGGAAACACGCAGTGCAAAGTTTCGTGCAGAGGCTAAAAGGGCAGCTGACCGTATTCAAGAGTTTGAGGTTCTTCAGGAATCTTTCCTCAATATTAGTGAGGAATGTGTCGAGGCCAAGGACAAGATTCAGGATCTAGTCCAAGAAAAGAAAGCCCTTGAAGCCGCCAAACAGGCTGTAGAGCAGGAATTAACCAAACTGACGATGGAGATGGAGAAAGTTACTGCGGATGGCAAGAAGATTCAGGAGTCACACGGAGCCGTGCAAGAAGAGTTGACAAAGATCAAAGACGAAGCGAGTTCATTAAGTAACAAGCTCGGCGAACTCACAATGGAATTCGAATCTCACAAGGCCTCCAGTGACAAGGTATCCGACGAAGCTAACGCTAAGTACGGTGCACTGAACAAAGAATTTGAGGCTGCAAAGGCTCAGGTCGAATCTACGAAGGCAGAGTTATCTATCGCTCAGCAGCTTGCCGCCACTAGGTTCAAAGATTTAGCCGAGAGGAAAGCGATATTAGAGAAGATGCAGGCTGAAATCAACAGCCAGAAGTCAGAGCTTTCAAAGCTTTCCGCTACTAACGGCGACCTTAATCAAAAGCTTGCAACCTTCAGACGGCTGGAGAAGGCTGAGTCTGACTTGAAATTCGAAGTCGATAACTTGAAGCGGCGACTTTCAGATCGTGAGAACGAACTCGACAGTATTAGAGAGAAAGCACGAGTGGAAGTTAGGAATGAGACTATTAGGAGGACTAAAGCAGAAGACTCTATAAGAACACTACAGAAAGAGCTCCGTGTTTGCGAAGAGGATAGAAAAGAAGCCCAAGAGCTTGTCGAATCGCTATCGAGAGACCTGAAAAAGGCACAAGACGAGGTGTCTACTATTCGGCCCAAGCTGCTTACATTCGAACGAGAGGTTCAGAAGTTGAGGTCAGAGCGGGACGGATTCCAAGAGGAAATCGACCTAAAGACGGCCCAACATTCATCTGCACAAAGCTTGATGTCATCTTTGCGAGACCAGACGTCTGAACTTGCAATGCAGATGAAGGAACTCAAGGAGAAAAACGAAAGCATGGAAGAAGAATTAGCGGAGGCTCAGAAACTTCTAAGCGAGCGTAGTCGCGAAGCTGAAACCATGAGACGCTTGCTTAGGGACGTCGAAACCAAGCAAGATGCAAGAATCAGGGAGATGAAGGAGAGGATGGATCAAGCGATCGATGAAAGGGACAAGGCGGAAGAAGAAGCAGCCACTGTTAGCAAGCGAAAGATGCGAGAACTAGAAGAAATCAAAGACAAGCTCCGGGAAGCCGAGAAGGCCCTTAAGCGAGTCCAAGAAGAGAAAGCAGATGCAGAGAAGGAAAGGAACGGATTAAAGAGCGGTAAGGAGAGAGCGGAAGAGGCTCTACAAAATTCAACCAAGGAGTTCGAAGAAACGAAGAAGGCGATGATTAATATGCGGGATGCCTTGGTATGTATTGATCTGGTGGTCATTTGCGAAAATGGAATGCGCATGCTGAAGTTCTTTCCTAGGACGAAACCGAGAAACAAATGCGAGACTTTGACAAGCAGAAAGGCGATTTACGGAAGCAGACTGAGGATATACAGCAGAAATACGACAAGCTCCAAAAGGCGTATAGAATCGCAACAGACGAACTCCGTATGATTCAGAATGCGAAAACAAGATCCGATGATAGCCCTCGGCCATCCTCTCGTCAATCCTTAGATAAACCAATGTCGCCAACAAGAAGAGGTTCTGCTACACCTTCAATGGACGGAAGTGGTCTTGACAGCATTAATGTCGACTACATAAAGAATATTGTTCTCCAGAGCTTAGAGGTGAAGAACAAGAAGATGCAGATGCAGATGCTACCAGTTTTGAAAATGTTGCTGAAGTTTGACGAGTAAGATCTAACCCCCCCCCTCCACCATACATCTCGGTATCAAGTATAGAAGCTTAATATTCTAACCACGCCCTCGTAATCACAGCAAGGATGAACAACGATGGTTAACTATCGTGAGCTCTATCAAATAAGCTAAAGATGGTTCTGTCAGAAATGACCATGTTTTTACCGGGTTTGTATTGGTTTATACACTTTCTGTTCCTAGCCTAATTGCGATTGTCAAGGCGTTCTACTATTTCCTGTATATCAACGGTGATTTTTCATGTCGCAAAAGAAAAAAAGTTGGGATGGGTCATTTTTTTTGGCGATTCTAAACCATTTCGTTCAACATTTACAGCAGAACATTCGCATTACAGCAATTGATAAGGATTGTCTCCTTCCTTTTCGTCCCTTCAGATCAATATTAATATCTAATCCCCAATATAATGTATATACCTACGTGCGTACTTACCATACCGCAAAGACAACATGCATTGCAACATTGTTAATATTGCTATTATTGCTATTATCCTTACCACGTTTGACCGAGAGTCCACGTGGACTAGTTACGAGTTTAGCTTGCAATTGCGCCCAGTTTTCGAATTCCTTTTTTTTCTCTTTCGGTTTGTTTAAACTTTTGTTCTAGGCGGCGGTGTAGAGTAAATAGCTACACTGATGACGACGAAGCGAAGTATATTGCTAATTCTTGAAGCTTTTTCTCAGGAAAAAGTCTACATTCTTCACAAAAATGACGATAATTTGAAGCCTAAATGCAGATTATCAGATTCGGGTTCCGATCTCTGCCGCATGTGATCTATTAGTAGTATATGTAAAAGAAAGCATGCAACAGAGAATGGCTACTATGGTAGCTCCTGCATTTTGGCGTTAACCAACGGTAGTGTCAAAGGGCCGCACGATGGCGGGAAAGTTACTGTAAGGCCCCTCGACGCTGAAGCATATGTACTATGCAAGTGCATGGAATAATTATATGGACTTACACTTTTAGTATGGAAATAGTGTTAGAAAGGGTCCTTGAGAGCAGGGCCTCTCCTGTCATTTGCATGTCGCGATTAGCTGCGAAGCTGAAACGAAACGCCATCTGGCGGAACTGGGTAGCTTCTTGAGCAGTAATAGTGTTCCAGAGACTGCAGTTTGACGAGGAGGGATATTCTAGCCTGCTCGAGAAGCAAGCCATCTAGATTTTTTTTTGGATTGCAAGCCCCTTCTTGGCTGCAGCAGCTGTTACATAGTACTAGTAATGAAGCCAGGAAGTAAGGATGCAAGGATGCAAGTACTTCTCACTTAATTAAGTATGTATGCACATGTAAGTATCTGTAAGTACCTGCTGAGATATGTAAAAATATGTCAGAGCCATAGCCATATAGCAGCATAGTTATGGACTTGGTAAGCCAGTTACTGTTTAAAAGGTGGCGGTTGTGCTGCCACGGAGTGTAAGTCCAGTAACCAAGCCAGCCAGCCAGCCAGCCAGCCAGCCCGTCACCCAGCCAAAACAACACAGCTCAGAACCGACACCTTTTCGACACCTCATCCATCCAGCCTGCCCTGTCTGCCAACCTGCCAGCCAACCATTCCCTCCATCCATCCCATCTCCGTCACACATTCTCACGCTCACTGTCTCTCCACCATCACCATTATCACCACCTTCTTCTTCTCGTTCATATCACCATTATCAAGAACATACCACCTGCGTAACAGCTACAGTAGACCCTCCAAAGGCTGCAAACACGTTCATACAATCTCCCTCTCTTTGTAATTCTAAAAGCTCTATTTGGCCTTGACCAGCTATCGGTGCTATCGCAATGGCGGGTTCCCGTAACTACGATTTCCTGGTATGTTGCATATTGCCTACCAGCCATGATCGCGTATTCGAGTAGCTGCCCCGATAGCTAATATCCGCTCTCTTGCTTTTGCTCGCTAGATAAAACTCCTCCTCATCGGTGACTCTGGGGTCGGAAAGTCGTGCTGTCTGCTCAGATTTAGTGAAGATTCCTTCACCCCTTCTTTCATCACAACCATCGGAATCGACTTCAAGATCCGAACTATCGATCTAGATGGCAAAAGAATCAAGCTCCAAATATGGGACACAGCTGGTATGTTTCCCCTTTGAACCGTCTCGACACCATATATACTCTGCCTCGTCGGAAATCAGTTCAAAGCGGCAGAATCCGGTGGCGTTTAAGCACCCAAACCACAGGCGACTAACCACAGCTTTTATTGCTTCTATCTACAGGCCAGGAGCGTTTCCGAACCATCACAACCGCGTATTACAGAGGTGCTATGGGAATCCTATTAGTCTACGATGTTACCGACGAACGATCGTTCAACAGTACGTCCACTTCCCTCCAAATCTCTCCTGGCTGCTACAGCTGCAGTTGCACTTCTGGCAAAATCCCAAATCGCTGACATCGCCTGATTACGTAACACAGACATTCAAACATGGTTCCAAAACGTCGAGCAGCATGCAACTGAAGGTGTTAATAAGATCCTAATTGGAAATAAATGCGACTGGGAGGAGAAACGTGTTGTTTCGACAGAGAGAGGCCAGGCCCTGGCCAACGAGCTTGGAATTCCTTTCATGGAAGTTTCTGCTAAGGCTAATATTAATGTCGAAGAGGCCTTCCTTTTACTAGCTCGCGATATCAAGAAGAGAATCATGGATTCGTCTTCCGGAGAGAAAAACCAGCCGGGAGTTGTCAATGTCAACGAGACGAGTAGTGCTGCCGGCGGAAAGTGCTGCTAAACGGAAACCCCGTGATAAGAAGTGCATGTATAGCCTTGCCTTACAGCGGAATACTGAAACTCGATGTATAGTGGAGGCCTCACGCATTCTTTACTATGCATAGACCATTCCCATACCCTTCTTGCGTCCTTTCTGGAGGACCTTTCCACGAAAGACAAGATTAACCATTGGTCTACCAATACGTCTTTAATTTGCATAATGCCGAATACCCCATAATCAACTACATTTTATAATGCCGACAACGGACACGGACGAGAAGAGGCAGGCAAGAAACGGAACAAAAATGTGAAGGAGTTCTTTGGAGTTTTTCTTCTTCTTGTGAGCTAAAAGGAAATCAATATTTCCCAGACTTCCCGAATGTTCACATTATCTCGTTCTTTCTGGCTTCTTTTCTTTATCTCTCTCCCTAACCCCCCCCCCTCTTTTTGTTTTTATTAATCATCATCTGGTATTGTTTTTATCTGATACAGTCGGACGATATAAACGTTGTATCCGTGCTCTCACCTGCCGCACTATTGTGTGATTCTCTACCCCCTTTGATGGATCCTTATTACCTTTGCAGGATATTTTATGTATCTTCCTTTTTTTATTATTTCATTTTCTCTCTTATATTATCCCTGTATTATTGGGTCAGCCCCGTTCCTAGTCGCTGCTCTGATTTCCTTTATAACGATCTTGTTGGCTCTCTCTACGATGTGTATGTCTTTTAGCTATACCGCCTTGTCTGTACTATCAAATGTTAGATTGCTTCCTCTCCCCAGGACGACGGTCCACACGACAGTTGTTTTTATGCGTGACGTCGACGTCGGTTTCAATTGCTCGGTTCGGTTCAGATATATGTTAATACGGCTCCTACATGCGCGGCCTGTCTCAGGACAAGGTGTCGAAACTTATTTCCCATGGATCGGAACTCGATGTTGGGTTTCAATACAGAATACTGGGCTACACCGCAATACTAGATCTAAATTCGCACATCAAGCATCCTCACGACTCAACATGTTGCAACGTTGGTTGTGACATCTAACCTAAGCACCCATGCTCCCTTCCGTAATGAAGGAACAGAAACTTCTTCATCCAACAGAAACTTCTTCATCCAACAGAAAAACCAGGGCGGCACGTCTAGGCAACTCTTCTACCCGCAATCCACGGAAATATCCATCCCGTTCAAGCAAGTCCTGTGCGCCGGCCAGGAACCGCCATTTCATTCCGACCGCAAACCTCTCTGGGATATTCCGACGTTCCTTCATAGGCAACTCCACCCCCTCCCTCCTACCTCGGTTTCTGGGCGCCGCAATAGAGTTATCCATAGTTCTTGCCGATAGACCCCGAGAGCCAAGTACCCAAGGCGCTTTTGTGGGAGGGGGTCGCCCTCGGCGCACAGAAAGTTTGTGTTACCGGGGAAGTCCCAACAGGGCGTGTTCAGAGGTTGTACGGATCCCACTGTGTCAACATTTTTGGCGGCAATGCTTGCGGGTGTTGGTTGTGCGACCTGTGATGGGTGGTTATGATACCAAGTCGAAAAGCTTCGGTTGACCGGTTAAAAATAGGGACGTAGTGTCGAGACTGTGCGCCTTGGTAATTCGCTGGACTTATGGAGGTTCTGGAGCTTTGAGGACTTCTATGATCTAAGCTCCATCGGCATCATTTGGCTAAGGGGTATTCTGCACGCTTGCCTTGGAATCGAAGTAGGAGATTTTAGAGCTTACGGGTGCCATTAGGAATGGACTATGTCGATGGCATTCGTCTGGATATCCGGGACAGCATGGAAAAGGGCGCGTTTGGTAACAAGGGACGATATGGTCCCGTCCTGAGATACCTACACTTTATGGATTTCTGTTATAAGACCTCTCTATAGAAATAGAGAACCGGGCGGTGTATCTTACTCGGGAAATTTATTGACTTTCTTAACATATAATCGATCGTAGATCGATGTATTAAACCCCTATGAATATACAGCCGGTTATATCGTTAATTCATATGAGCCACCCGAGCCTCACCGCCGCCGTATTGGTTACTTAACGGCTGCGAGCCGGGTTTGGAAGCTGCATTGGGTTCGGAGTTTGAAGCATCAATAAACGGTGGAAGGTCCAACTTTGTGGCATTATCGGCGTTCTTATTAGCGCAGGATGGGGGACTGGTAGCAACTTTTGTGTTTGGAATCTTGAGGCTTGGTAATTGGGCGATCGAGGCTGTAGAGAAAAGGAAGGCGGTGAGGATAAGTTTAGAAGAGAGCATGGTAGCGGTGATGGTGATGGGTGATATAGATTACTTCCCGCTCACATGATGGGTATACATGTGGATGTGATATCTATCATTTTCGATTGCTAGAACTTACTTATATATATATATATATATAATGAACCAATTGGGTGAGATGATTAGCTCTAATATTGGCGTTTATTACACAGGGGAGCTCCAAAAACCACGTGCACACCGACTTGGGATAACATAAGTCGTCATGATAGTTTGAATTAACTGGTACGGATCCTGTTATATATATTTGCCCCGCATATGATCTAATAGTACAAATACCTATACAATCCCACCTTTCGTAATCTTACAGAGAACGGAAACTCAACTAGGAAGTTATGATGTCTTCTATCGACTGCTTCTCAAGAAGCCCAACACTCCTCCACAATACCCTACCAACTCCGAAACCCTACCAGCTTCTTGCTTCATTTCCTCCCTATATTCTTGTAACGCCTCCTTAACTGTCGGCTTCTCATCTCTCAAATCTGCCATTTCATCGTCATCGCTATCCTCTTCGTCTTCGGCCTCGCTGTCTTCGGCCTTTGCCAGTTCTTCCTCTTCTTTAGCTACTGTCTCTCCATGGATCTTGAGGAAGACTCTCATCCATGCTAATACGAGTTCGTAGTCCTTTCGGCTCCGTAGGCGTTGTGTTAGGGCTTCGACGAAGGATATTAGCTCGAAATATGGCGCAGAAGAGGTATCCAGCGTCCTGATTTCAAGGTCTGTTGTCGATGGTGGTAGAGTCTTCATGTGCTCAATGAAGGCGGTATCTACAAAATTGAAAACAGGGCTCGATTAGTTTAATGTCCTTTTACGATTTTTTTGAGAAGGGGAAGGTTCTTGCAGGGCACTTACAGTCTCCATCTTCACTCCCTTCCATCAAAAGCCTTGTGAATCTTCTTTCGAATTCAACATCACCACTCTTGACCCTACTCAACTCTGCCTTTTCGATAGCTCTTCTTGATGCATCTGCGACACTAAGGTCAAGGCCGTTATCCATATCCTTGTTGGCATCGTCTGCACCAGTAAGTTTTGCGGCCCCATCTTTCAAACTTGCCAAGCTGCCCAAGAAAAACGGAGCCTTCTCGGGTTTCTTGATCGGATCGTTGGGTCTGTTTCGAGCCTTGATATGTTCCAAGTTTAAGAGGTTCATCCATCGGTTCTTTGGTAATAAACTCATAGTGAGCATTTGATCCGACAACTGGTCGACGGTGGTGTACTGTCCATCGAGGCTGTCTTCTTCAGCATCTTGCGCAAACGCGGATTCCACAAGTCCTGTGCCGCCCTCTCCCGTAGAAGATGGTCCCGCAATTTTTTGAATGTCGTCTTCGGATATGCGGCGGGTAGGGACGTGTGTAAATACGGTCTTGTTGGTATAAATGCCGATGCCGACGCTGTCGATAGACGCTGTAGCTAAGAAATTACCATCCGGAGAGAATGAAATCGAGTTGACGACGCTTGGAGTCTTGAATCCATCGATGAGGTGACCAGTCGGTAGATCCCAAACCCTTATTGTAGAGTCCATGCTTGATGCGATAAGCCAGCGGGAGTCATTAGAGAAGCAAATATCCGAAATACGGCCGCCACAACCCCACAGTTCACGCACTACCTTCCTGGTCTCAATATCAACCACTCGGATGCCTAAGTCATCGCAGGATATAGCGATCAAACCCGATGATCTATGGATTCTGAGAGCAGTGCACGCAGTCCCTTCTGTAAAGGATATCTGATGCTGGAGGAGCCCAGATTTGAATTCCCAGAATTTGACGAAGCCATCTAGGCCGCAGGAGATCAGGACCTGGTTAACAGAGTCGACTACTAGCCCTGTTACCCCACCAGCGTGTTTCCAACCTGCTCTGCTCCCTTGACCATCTTTCCTTGCTGCGATTTGCGCCTTTGTCGCTCGAGCAGGGAACCTAGCTCTGTGGATTCCACTCTGCAGGTTATAAGAATCAATAGCGCCATTTGCACTTCCCACGATACCAAAGGTACCACATGGGCTGATGGCTACGCTTTTAACCTCCCCTCCATCACCGGTGGGTAAAGTCCACCTTCCGACCTTCCGTCTGGTCCAAGACCACGATCTCGCAAACGCCTCTTCCCTTCCGCCAGTGATCACACCTTCCCAACCAAGTTCGTTGGACCCCCACTCCGCACCAGAGCCGTCCCGATTACCCTCCACAGCAATACAAGTTATAATCGCACCCTTCAATAGTGATACATCGGCGATCCTGTCGTACATGCCAGATTTTTTCAGTTTATTCATCGTGCTTTCCATGCTTCCCTGCGATAGTTCAGTAGACTGCGCGTCAGATCGAAGGGAGAAGCCCCATAGTGAATGGTCGAGGGAGCCAGAAAGTATAAAGTGAGTACTGGGATGGAACATAATTGTATTCGGTGCCAAGGCATGACCACCACGCTGCCTAAGTATCCGGGGTAGAACGGTAGTTGGTGTGTCGAATACCCAAAGTTTGATAGCGTTATCGCCACCGGATGTTACGAGAACGTTTTGGCCGGGGAGGAAAGTGGCCCTTGAGATACCACCGGTTGCTGACGAATGCACACCTCGCATGATTCCGATTGCTTTGCGAGATTTGAGAGACCAGAGGGTTATATTTCCGTTGGATGATGCAGAGGCAAGCATATCAGATGGCGATGGGGGGTCCGAAGATGACTTTAGAGGGGGTGGTACCAGGTCCGAACGGAAGGATAGGGAGGTCACAGGAGCCGAAGACGAGAGTTGGAAGAGTGATGTGTCTGTCTGAATGTTATGGAGGTTTATTATTCCAGATGAGAAACCCATTGCCACGATCGAGTGATGAGTGGATAGGGACAATGATGTGAGATGTCCGATATCTGTACCATTGGGTGTCTTTGGTGGTAGGATGGAATAGACGAGCTTCCCGCTTCTGATATTCCAGATTTCTACAGAGCCGTCCGAGGTACCTATACATATTTTGTTTAAAAAGGTGGGTGGGTGGATGATATTGACAATATCAGACTCCCCGAATAACTCGATGGTTGTGTAGAGCTCTGTTACATTTGTTAGATATTTATACTCTTCAAGAGTCAGTGTATCTCCACTACGTACCTCTCGACCCAATGTTCCAAACGCCAACGCTTTTAGGTCCAATAATGCCTACAAGCCAGTCACCGAAGCCGAATATGTCTTTGATTCCGGTTCTACCCTTCTTGACTTCATCCATCTGCATCTCGCCTTTCTTCTTTCCTCTTTCGAAGATCCATATTCCCGTTCGAAAGCCGACGTATATTTCCTTCCCACGAGCGTATATAGAAGTAATTTCAGATGGAGTCTGAGGACTTGTTACGAAGAGAAGGTTAAGTCTTCTGATGTCATATGTAGATACAGAGTGACCGGTGGATGTGGATAATTGAAAGGTTGCGGAATGTTGGAGAAGGGCAAATGGAGTCGAAGTTGTGACATGGCCAAGGGACTAAATTGACGTTATAACATCCTTAATTAGTAACACGATTGAATTTTTTCAAAATAGGTTTCCCTAAAAGGCTTTTTAATGAACTGACTCTGAATGGAGCAAAGATTCGAGATGATGACTTTTGCGACTGTTGAGAAGTTGACTTTGCGACTTCAAGACGGGCTCTTTTGGCCGGTGGATTGGAGACGTCTGGACTCATGACGGTAGTATACCGTAAAATGGAATTTCGATACTATTAGAGCTATCTCGAAGCCAGAATCATCGAGAGGTTAATTGTGGACGTTGAGATAAAAACAAGATAGTAGATGATATGATCCCAACCAGGTACCGGTGGTCGCGGTGTCGCAAGAAACTTAGCTTCGATTCTCTCAAAAGATCAAAATTTTTGTTTGCAGCTTGTGGCAGATGGATTTCTTGTTTGGTGCGCGACAGCCAATCAGAATCGGGTGTTATGCCAAGTAACAAACATTTATCAAATCACATGATCTTGCCCCTCAATGTGTGTGTTGTGACCCCTTGTCACTCCAGATCACTTATGTAATCATGTCAATGATATAAAGTATCGATGAGGTACTATAGATTATAATATTGTGGATGCCTGTTAAAATTACTACTTAGTACCTAGGTAGTTATAGGAAGAAGAGTCTTTGAATCGATTGATCGATCATCCTTTTATCCGATCGATCAAGTCATGTTTCCTAGTCTACATTCCAATGCAATATTAATGGTCTGTACACCCTGTCTGCATGATAGACATGTCCATGTGCCCCGAGCAGGCGGTGCCATGGTCACAAAGCTGAATATAATATAATTTGAATTCAGATAAAGTTTCTTCGACAATGCAGAACTAAGTCGATACTAAGTAAGTAAACTAAACTAAGGCCAAAGAAGCTAGTATATTATGTTTTATAGATGCTGCTGACAGTCCAATGTATATTATGTTTTATAGATGCTGCTGACAGTCCAATGTATATTATGTCATATCGTATTTGACGTACTGGTGCACCTATGTTGGACAGCACAGCCGCCTCATCCAAGCCGATTCTACTTACTCTTAGTACTACCAGATAGTTAGCCTCGAATCTAGTTCAGTGTTCTACTTTAGCAAGAATGCAATGCATTCGTGAAAACAAAAAAAAAGAACCCATCCTGTCAACGTGTCAGTACCCTATTTCTCGCCTCGTCTCGTTAAATTCCCAACGATATTCGAGAATACTAATTAAGTGCTTCCCTTAGTGTATAATTTGGAGCTCTCGAAGGGATCATACTTGAGATCACCCGGAATTGGAAAGTTGTCGTGTGCGAGTTCTGTGTGAGTTTTCTGCATCTTCCAGAGCTTCATTATTGGCTGTTATGGTGTAACTTACAGGGAAGAGCAGTGACCACGAACCAAATTATGATGACATGAACGTTAATTCGAACGCCCAGGTACCCCTAGCCTGTTAAACAAAGAAATTTAAAGGGAAGGAAAGAGAAGAAGAAAAAGAAAGAAAGAAAGAAATTGGCCCACCACCCCTCTCTCGCCCTCGCTCTCGCTCTCTCTTCAGCAAGGCCAGCTGTGGGGACTGGCCGGATGTACCTGAACCTCCACTGGAATTAATGTTCGTGTATCGCGGGGCTTATAGAATTCCGGTCAATTAGGCGAGATACACAATGTTGCTTGCCTTCAACTGGCCGGCCGGCCTGGCTGCCTTGAACGTTGCAATGTTTAGAAAAATTGACCAGTCTCGTAGAAGAGATGTTGGTTAAGTATAAGTATTCGTCCTGCAGCTTTGAAGTCTCACGACCTTTTTCCCTTTTCCATCATGCACTGCTATTACATATAAGTCGATAAATTACTTATACTTCTATCGTCTATCGTCTATCGTTTTGCCCCCGGTTCGCGGATTCAAAGAGTCGCACAGCAGTTATAACTTATAATTATATATACGCTCTGGAGTATAACGTATACTCTTGCTGTGCGACTTTTTCTGATACGTTACGATACGATACGATACGATACGATACGGTAATGCACTGCAATAGAAATCGTCTGATGCATTGATATGATTATAATACACCGACTTCCGACCACCCTCGCATGAATCGGTCAAATCAAACGACGTCAGCCGCCATCGTCTCAGGAGATTGAGCCCACTCACTCACTCACTCACTACTGGCTCACTTCAGTCATTGACACGATTCGGCTCCCTCGGTTCTGATAGTCAAGTCAAGTCAATCAATCATCCCACCATCCCGCAATCTTCGGCTGATAGACATACTCCAAAATACTGTATCGATAAGGTACTAAGAAGTACCTACTTACCTACTTAACATATATCGATTTGTCTAGACCTACAGATATACAGACAGACATACAGACAGACAGGCGAACAAACAGACAGACCGACACGCGATATCGCACATACATAGATACTTGATACATGCTTGGCCTGACCATGGTGGAGACCGTCTGAAATATCATATCCCCGGTCTAATTAGTAATTTGGTACCTCAATTTCCCCAGGATCTCAGCACCAATTCGGCAAGGTGTCGAGTGCCCAAAATTCCGAGAGTTCCTTTCACCACTCAGCTCAGGATACGATAACTACTCTCGAACAGGGAAGCTCTGAAAGGAACAAGGGAAAGGGAAAAAAAAAAAAAAAGGGACGGCGCTCTTATAGATTGCTTATACTTGCATCCACCCAACCAGAAGAAGCGTTCCAAGCTTGCTTGCTTGCTTAATAAGGAGAAATAGGAAAGAAGAACGGAAGGAAAGAAGGAAAATAAAGAAGAAGAAAAAAAAAGATGGAAAAAATTGGATAACTCCTCCAACCATGCATCTGTTCTGTCCTGAATCTTGAATGTTTTCCCTTTTATATCTCGATACCTCTTGGTAAGTATAGACTCAGCCCGTGCGTCCACTACCACGAGCTCCACTTTGCAGGCTGCTTGCAGGCGGAATCGACGATTAATTGGGACGAGACCAGCCCTTCGAAATCCCGACCTAGCCAGAAGACGGATGCGCATGCTCGCGACCAGAGACATTACAGACACACCCAGACACCAATACACATTCATCCGTTACCTCTACGCTACAGACATACATACATACATCCATTACATCCATTACATCCATACCGTCTAGCAGGGACCAGCATCCTTCCTTTCCATACCTTACCTTACCTTACCTTACCTTACCTGACCTGACTTGACCTTACCATACCATACCAAATCCCCACCATTTGCCATATACTAGCTCGATCGAACTAGACACGGATCCGAGGTTTTCGTGACTAACTGCAAACTCCAATTGAGCATCTGCGAAGTCTTTTTTTGAATAATCCAAACTGTCACAGTACATGCATTCACATGTATGTATTGGATTGACTGGAATTTTGATTTGATAACCATATCCTACTATAGAAGGGGAAATACCTGATTGATCCATGCAAATGTCTTCGTCCACTTCCACACCACAATTACCTCCGCCGACGCCTTCGTCGTCTTCGACAGGCTTTCGTGGCAGCAGCAACAGAAGTAGCACTAGTAGTATCACGAACGGCGAAGGAAAGCTACAGTCGATACCAGAAGCAGACTCCACTTCCGCTGTAGATGCCACTAGCAGCAGTAGTAATCCTGTTAGCTCCGCCAGTAGCATTGCAAACAATCCTGGCTCCGATACGTCAACTCCGACAGCCACTAAACCACAACCTGGACCTTCCTTATCTCACCGACCGAATGGTGCCAATGGCAATGGTCTTCCCAAAGATACCGACCAATCCGATGGCCGAGGTGCTGTCGTCCGACCAGCTGCTTCTGCTGGCCCTTCGACGCAACAGCAGCATGATAGTCGTAGTAGTGCTGTTTCTGCGACTACTAATCACACCAATGCTGGCGCCGCTCCTTCCCAGCAGCAGCAGCAGCCCAATGTCTCTGCTGTTGCCTCTCTCGATATTAAAAGCAATAAAATTCAGAATAACGACCAACAATTAGCTTCCTCGCTATCCAGTACATATTCTACCTCTCCCTCTCGCTACGATACTTCTTCAGCTGTACCTTCGGTCGCTACTTCCTCTGCCCAGCCAATTCCTACTCGGAAAAACTCAATTTCGGGTCCCTCAAAGTCGCAATCCTCATCTCGCCAGTCGTCTTTTCACGCTACCTCGGGCTTTTTCAAGGATCTGTTAGCGTCCACCACTGCAGCATTTTTGCCGTCTTCGTCTTCCGGGAAACGACGTCCCAGCATACCTTTCAGACATCGCAGGTCCACTTCTTCCAATTCCTTTTCTGGTCCCCCGATTTTATCAATGGCGGCCAACCAGGTCGATGGTAATGGTCGTGACGACCCACCTTTGTTCTCGTCGACTCTAGAGCGAACTGCTTCACATTCAAGCACAAACACTTCTAACTCTCGCTTTACACATTCTTCCGTTGTTGGTACTCCGGCGGCTACTTCCTCGGGCCCACAGTCTTATAAAACCCAGGCTGACATCCACTTACTTGGTCGGGATACAAATAATCACGGTGTAACTGTTCCTGCTGCTGGAGGATTCATTCAACAACCTGCGATCATGCCTGCTGCCGCCTACACCCCATCCAACGGACTCTCTCCAATTGCTGGTTCTCCGGACGGTGGGCCGACCGATCCAAATCCGATCTCACACAAGAATGGCCTCCCGAATCCCACCCCACCGGCTGCGTCCCAGAATTCTCTCGCTCAGGCTCTTGTGCAAATGAACGCTGCCTCAGGCCGGAGCACACCCGCCACAGCCTCTTCGCCTCCTAGTGAAGACGGACAAGGTAACGTTCCTACTAAAAGACGACCGTCCGTTTCAACAACTTCATCGTCTACTCCTAACCCAGCCCCCAAAATTGGAAGGGTTGGAGTCTGTGCCCTTGACATCAAAGCTCGATCGAAACCATGTCGGCATATTCTGAACCGGCTAATGGTCAACGGCGACTTTGAGATTGTGATTTTCGGAGATAAAGTGATATTAGACGAAGGTAGGATTCACCAAAATAAAACCCATGACAGATGACATAATTCATGGGTCCTCGGATGCTTCCGTAAAAACAAAATATGCTGACTCCATCTTTTTAGACGTAGAAAACTGGCCTACATGGTAGGTGCTCTTTTGTGGCATTTCATTCGTCCACTTGTTTTGACAGCTCCATTGTGATTTCCTATTTAATCGATGCACCAGTCCAACACAAGGGCCAGCGTGGGGGGTCGCACAGTTAATATGGGCTGCGGCTTTGCATCTCTATGATACTAATTATTTTTTCCTACTATTTAGTGACTTCCTAATATCCTTCTTTTCATCTGGGTTCCCTCTTGATAAGGCGATTCGTTATGTTGCTCTCAGGAAACCGTTTTGTGTCAACTCACTGCCGATGCAAAAGGTCCTCTGGGATAGGCGACTAGTTCTGCGCATCCTTGATTCGATCAAAGTTCCAACTCCAAAACGTGTAGAAGTGTCCAGAGACGGCGGTCCTTATCTCTCTCCTAGTACAGCTGCGGCACTCTATGAGCATACCGGGATAAAGCTACCTCCATCCGGTGATCCTGCGTGGAAGGCCCCACAGACCGTGGAACTTATCGACGAAGATACCATTAGCGTGGACGGGGTCACTTTGAAGAAACCGTTTGTTGAGAAACCTGTGAGCGGAGAGGACCATAATATTCGGATCTATTACTCGAAAGCGCAAGGTGGAGGGGGTCGAAAGCTATTTCGCAAGGTTGGGAACAAATCCTCGGAGTATGACCCTAACCTCACGAAGCCTAGATCATCTGGTTCGTTCATTTATGAGCAGTTCATGGTCGTCGATAACTCCGAAGATGTAAAAGGCTACACCGTTGGTACCGAATTCTGCCACGCCGAGACCAGAAAGTCTCCAGTTGTCGACGGTCTCGTTCGCCGCAATACAAATGGGAAAGAGATTAGATTCGTCACAACGTTGACACCAATCGAGTCCTCAATGGCAATTAAAATTGTTAAATCATTTGGGCAGAACGTGTGTGGGTTTGATCTGCTCCGTGTCAATGGCAAAAGCTTTGTCATTGATGTGAACGGGTGGAGCTTCGTCAAAGACAACAATGAGTATTATGACAAATGTGCCGAAAAGCTCAGGACCATCTTTATTGATGTGAAGGAGAAGCGTGCTCCGGGAAGAGCTAGATCTAATAGTACTACTAACCAGGCTTCCATTGATAGAAGTCAATCGCAATCGCGAATCAATAGATTCAGTGTGACGAAGCAGTCTATCGGGAACTCCCTGAACCAATTGCTCCACCGAAGCCCGTCAACATCCCGACTTAGTATAGATCGAACATCCTCGAAAGACAAAGAGCCCCCTAGTCCAGGGCCTGGTACTCCTCCACCCGGCAATCCAACCCTACTTCAATCGTCTGCATCGTCGGGAACACTGCAGGCCACCGATCCTGTGCCCATACCACACGCAGTTGGTTCTGTAAGGAGCAACCCGGAATTGGCCCCAACTGCTCAGGAAGCGCCAGTCCCCGCGGGCCCCAAGCATACCTGGAAACTAAAAGGCATGGTTGCTGTTCTTCGACACGCAGACAGAACACCGAAGCAAAAATTCAAGTTTAGTTTTCACACTCAGCCTTTTGTTGATCTACTGAAGGGTCACAAAGATGAGGTAATCTTGGTTGAAGAAGGTCTCGAGCAGGTTTTGTTGGCTACAGAGGTGGCTTTGAAGGAAGGTATTGAAGACAGAGAGAAAGTTAGGTTGTTGAGGAATGCCCTTCAGCGCAAAATGGCATATCCTGGAACCAAAGTTCAGATCAAGCCTCAGGGGCTCAAGAAGAAGAGCAGTGTGAAACTAAAGGAAGCTTCACCACCAAGAGTATCACCGGAAGCCCCAATCAATCCACCCAGCGAAGCATTCATCCCAGACACAGTTCACAACCCAGAGGAAAATGTCATCCCAATCGAGGAGGGTTCGCTGAAGTCGTCGAAGGATCTTTTACCTGTTGCGATCAACGATGATTATGTTGTCGACAAGCTGCAACTCATTATTAAATGGGGAGGCGAGCCTACGCACTCCGCCAGATATCAGTCCCAAGACCTCGGGGAAAACATGAGGAAAGATTTGTTACTCATGAATAGGGAAGTTTTGAACGATGTTACTATTTTCACATCTTCGGAGCGAAGAGTGTCAACAAGTGCACATATTTGGGCGGCTAGCTTCCTCGATGTTAAAGAAATATCTCAGGGAAGGATTGCTATTCGTAAGGACCTTCTAGATGACAGCAACGCGGCAAAGGACGAAATGGACAAAGTTAAGAAAAAGCTCAAAACCCTCCTGCGAAAGGGTGCAGAAGCGCCACCTCAGTTTGCCTGGCCAAGAGAGAACTTCCCAGAGCCATCTGTGGTCATGCAAAATGTCGTTCAATTGATGAAGTTCCACCAAAAGGTTATGCAACATAACTACAAGAAGTACTTCGGTGAGGGACAAGATGGTAGCCTCATACCCACTGCCGCTGCTCTACAAGAAAAGTCTTCCAGGTCAGCTCAGCCTACCAGCGGATCTTCCGGTGCCATGGCAAGTGCACTTGCCCAGGCTAATACCACGAATGCGATCCAAAGCCGATGGTGCTGCGGCGAAGATCCAGCTCTGTTCCGTGAGCGATGGGAAAAGTTATTTGTCGAATTTTGCGAGACAAAAGGGAAGGAGCCAGACCCAAGCAAGATTTCGGAACTATACGATACAATGAAATTTGACGCCCTCCACAATCGACAATTCCTAGAAACAATGTTCACACCTTCGTCCGAGATAATGGAAGAAGAAGGCATTGTAGATACGAGTACTAATGGTATCGGATCGGCCAATGGGACGTCAGGTAATCTCGCAGACAGCACGGTTGAGTCGACAGAGGATGGCGGGAAAGCTGGGGGCATTCTTCGAACACATAGACTAGGAAGAAGAAGAAATAGTCGTAGAGGAGCTAGCCCTCAGGGACGACCTAGTATCACCGACGACGACGCTTCGGTGAAAGTAGATAAATACCGTGGTCCCATCAAGGACGACTTTCGGCTCACAAAACTTCGGGAACTGTACCGACTGGCGAAGGTTCTCTTTGAGTATGTTTTAATTGCTAATGAGTTTATAACTTTATGCTAATATTTGGAAACTAGTTTCGTCTCCCCGCAAGAGTATGGAATCGATAATAACGAGAAACTCGAGATTGGGTTGTTGACTTCGTTGCCATTGCTCAAGCAGATCGTCAAAGATCTCGAACATGTTCAGGCAAGCGATACCGCGCAATCTTTCTTCTATTTTACCAAGGGTGCGCGATTTCGTTAATTTCCATACCAGCGAGAGAAAATGGCTAACACTGTCCACAGAATCCCACGTCTACACGTTGCTCAACTGTATTTTAGAATCCGGGATCAAAACAAAGATGGAGCGTAATGCGATTCCAGAGCTTGATTATCTTACTCAGATATGCTTTGAGCTCTATGAATCCGAAAACAAGAATGTTCCTGGTGCGACGCCGTGCGATCCGAATACTTCCAGCTATTCGATACGTATTAGTATATCGCCAGGCTGTCACAGCAATGATCCATTGGATATGCAATTGGATGCGAAACATTGTATTGGAGTTACTCCAAGAAGGAATCTTATTGGGCATCATGATTGGAAGGAACTCCTAGCCAGATTCAAAGAGAAATTTGATCGGTATGCATTTTTTTCCTTCTCTAGAGGAATGTTCAAGCGCTAATATCGTCACTACAGTGTCCAACTTCCAAAAAGATTCATACCCATCAACCTAGCAGAGGAGGACTAAAGTGTCACTCTACTAATACTTTATTTTCTTTTTCTTTTTTCTTTGACTCGCGGAGTGTATCCTCGAACTCTCTCGAACGTTCGAAGGTACCCAGGATAAAACACTGTGCTAATAATGTAATAGCGTCCGGTAGTGTCTTTTCTTTCTTTCTCTCTTCCTTTCTTTCGAACTTCCTACGGCGGCCTCGTTCCTCGTTTTCAAAAAAAGGTAGTGCGGCCGTGTGAACTTGGTGTATTATAGGTAGATAGGATAGGAGCCGTACATAGAGGACTGAAGATAGGCGTATTGTTAATAGAGGTTCTGTTAAATGTACTTGCTCCGGTATACCTGATAAGCAAAGCGTAGACCGCGTCTGCAATACGAGACTACCTGATAGGCACCAAGAAGTATGTGTGAGTTGACAGAGATGTTTTTAGAGGCCCTCCCTTCTATAAAACTCACGCCGAGTCTCCTCATCTTCTTCTATTTTGTTCTCACTCCCTATTGATTTCCTTATTGATTTCCAACATCTTTCCTACCTCAAATACGTCCATTTACCCACTCGCTCAGGACATCAGCTTCAGAATCATTAAACTTAAATTCAAGACATGTCACAACCTGATCATAATATGGAGGGGCACGAGATTAAGATGGAGGGTGATGAGACTAAGATGGAGGGACATGAGGCTATGATGAAGGACGAAAAGCAAGACATCATCCTTTCCGAGGAGTCCGCCCAAATTCAAGACGATGATAATGCATCGGGTTTCGAGACAAGGGCCCAGCGGATGCAGCACATGCCAAAAGTCATCTCTTTGCAAATCCCACCAAATGGTTCAGATCGTCAAGGTGGCGCGGACTTTTGGTACTGTCCCCAAAATGAATGCCGCGAGAAGTTCAGCAATGCAAAGGACCGCAACGACCATGCTCATTGGAACCATGGCTGGTGCTGGAAGTGCAGCATCGAGTTCAAGACCCAAAAGGCTTTGCAACTGGTATGTCTTTCTTCCTTTCCCTCAATTTATCAAGCGAATGAGCTTTACTAACAAAACCCCCCCTTGACAGCACTATCGAACTGTCCTCCACCCTGGATGCAAATAGTCCTGCGTCCCCAGCTGCTCTGGAAAGTTCGAAAAGTCATCCGAGCTACTCGCCCACCTAGAAGGTCAAGAATGCACCGCGGCTGCTACCAAGGGTGTTCACGAACATGGAATCGCCCATTTGATCCTCCTCGATTACGCTCGTGACTTCACCAACGAAGAGAAAATCTACCTTGCCAGTCTTGAAATGAAAGCAATCGTCCTCCCCAAGGAAACAATCTGGCTTGTCGACCCACTTGGCAAGTTCTTCGACGTCATCACTAACAGCAACAAGATGAAAAAAATCAGCGCGCAGTCACACTTAATATATACCTGGAAGATCCAAGGGGATGACTTTGATGACATCTCTGGGGATTCTAAGTATACTTGTCTCGCCTGTGGTGAGAAGTTTGTTCGACCGCGTAATTTCCATGATCACATTCGTGGGGTCGAAAAGAAGAAGAAGCGAGCGTCTACTGCTAATTTTGAGGCCACACAGGCTGCTTTGACGGTTTGGAAGTGTGAAGGTTGTGAAGCTATCTTCAAGGTTTTGAGTGGATTAACCGGTCATTATGAGGGTGGGTGCAAAAAGATCGCGGAGGAGATGAGGGCCTTGAGGAAGGAGAAGGAGCATTGGAACGAACTGGATGAAGCAATGAGGAAGGAGATGGAGGAAGATGGAGACGGGGGGGTCGTTGTTTTGGATTATAAGGAGTTGACTAGTGTTACCTACGAGGATGGCTCTGATGATGAGGATGACGCTCAGGATGAGGATGAGAAGTGGACGATAAAATGGGACCCGAATGAGAGTGAAGACGAGGAACTCTCAGACTTGGTGGGATTAAAAGAGGAAACAGGTAACTCTGTAGCCAGTTCCGAGGATTCGAAGGGAGAGTATACTGGAGGTAAACCAGTTGGGTTGGAGAATTTGATCACGAGTATGGGAATTGTGCCCGCAGAGGAGAGTTCTGATGAAGAAGATTGGAGTGATTAAACTCTTTCTTTCTTATCTGTTATCACCCTAGGAGTGCACTGCGAACAGAGCGAGGATTCAAAGATAGAGACATATGAATCATAGATCTGTTATGGTATTGCTTTCTTCTTCTTCTCGATCTTGTACGTTATTGATTCTTATTCCTCCACTCTGCCTCTATAAGATGAGGTACAGTGCTAGACTATAGAGGGCCCTGATAGAAAGTATAAACTCCATGTCTCCTCTAACCATTCATTCACTGCTTCGGCGGCACCAAGCTGTTCGTCTCTATGAAACCATAGATATTATACCTGTTTTAGCATGTATATTATTTTTTTCTTTTGTGTTTGCGTAAATTACTAGAGAGGACAAACAAACCTTCGAGGTTCATCTCGAGATAACTTTGGTAGTTCTGCCACATGTGCGAGAATAGTTCTGCTTCCATGTTTGCTGCATTTATTTCCTGGAATTCGCAAGCTATGCATCAATATCCCGTCTTAGAGAGGTATTTACTATATTGTAGAGAGTATATAGTATAGGCACGAGTATCCATTACCCGAATACGGTTATTGAATTCTTTAACGGCTTCATTTAGTTTTTCCTGTATTATCTTTAGTATCCGATATCATACTAGTATTAGAGACAAGGGAAAATCACATACCACATTGCCGATAATTCGGTTGAGCAGGAGCGACTGCTGGCTCTCGTGCGGCGACTCCATCTTAACTTGGTCAAGCTGTAAACTTGATGTTGTGGTGAAGGATGAAGTTAGGTAGACAGATTGGTCGTGGGATGAACGAATGAATGGAGGTCAAACACGTGCAGCTAGGTAACTGTCTAAGCGCCCGAGTAGCTATGCAACGTGCGCAATGTTACCAGACCAAAACCGCGTCGCCAACCGTCGACGCCTTCGCTTCAACACCTGCCCGCGACTGACCCACCAACCCACAACCGCCGCTTGCTTCCTTTCTTTCTTTCTTCCTTTCTTGTTCATCTCACCAACCTCCTCCCCCAAACATCACCAACCATACTAGATATCTACAACCTCCCACCACAATGCCTCCCAGCGCGACAGCAGAACAATCATCATCCTCAGCAAACTCGCCTAAGCCTCCTCAAAAACTCCACTACGTTTTTGAGCCGAAATTCCCTGGTCCGACACCTCAAGCTGATGACTACTCTAAATACCGGGGTCGCAGCGATGCGGCTATAGTCATCGACAATGGTACCTCCACTCTGCCCCGCCAACACTTTCTATCAATTGATCAGTTTTTAAACTGATACTAACTATCATATTTCCTCTCTAGGTAGCTGGAACACACGTGTCGGCTGGTCTTCAGAATCAGCCCCCCGAATAGCATTCCCACCTATCTTATCCAAATACCGAGACCGAAAGCTCGGTCGTACATTCACACTCGTCGGCAATGATGCATACGCCGATAGTAACTCCCGAACTGCATCCAAGAACGCCTTTGATGTCAATATAGTCTCCAATTTTGACGTAATGGAAAATATCCTGGATTATAGCTTTCTAAAGCTTGGAATTGATGGTAACGATGGCATTGAGCATCCAATCGTTATGACCGAGGCGTTATGTAACCCGACTTATTCGAGGAAGAGTATGGTCCCGTTCCTTGGTTTACATGCCTACAAATTTCTTAAGTATTATGGAGTAGAGAAGGGTTGACAATGTTTCGGTATTATAGCGATGTCGGAACTCCTCTTCGAAGCATACAATGCGCCATCTGTCACATATGGCCTCGATTCTCTTTTCTCATATCACTACAACGGCGGTACTACCGGTCTAGTCCTATCCTCATCGCATACAACAACCCATCTCATCCCCGTTATGAACGGCAAAGGAATCTTGAACATGGCTACGCGTTTGAACTGGGGATGTTCACAGGCGGTAGAATTCCTCACCAAGCTCCTAGCTCTAAAATATCCTGGATTCCCGAAGACATATCCACAACAGATGGAAAGCTTGGTCCAGGAGCATTGTTATGTCAGCCAAGACTACAAGGCCGAGATGGCCGGGTATTTAGAGATGGGTAGCTTAGACGAACGGGATCGAGCGATCCAGTTTCCCTTTGTGGAAATCATCAAGGAACAAAAAAGTGAAGAGGAACTTGCTAGGATCGCAGAGAGAAGGAAGGAGAGCGGTAGGAGGTTGCAGGAGCAGGCTGCCAAAATGAGACTTGAGAAGGTAAGATGCCTCGTTTCTTATCCGTGATGGTTTGAATTCTAATTTATAATCTTGACTGCAGCTTAAAAAGAAGGAAGAGGAACTTGCATACTACCAACATTTACTCGAGAAAGGAAAGACGGAAACCAAAAAGAACTTTAGCAGGCAACTCGAAAACGAGGGCTTCAAGGACGAGGTACAACTAGAGAAGCGAATTAAAGAACTAGAGAAATCGATCCGAAGGTCGCGAAATAAGGATTTGGGTATTGAAGAGGAGGAAGAGGAGGAAGTGCCGACATTCCCACTTCTCGATACCCCAGACGACCAGCTGGATGAAGATGGTCTCAAACAAAAAAGAGCCCAGAGGCTCTTGAAGGCGAACTATGAGGCCCGTCAACGACTGAGGGCGGAGAAAGAGAAGGAGCGAGAGCGATTACGACTAGAGGCAGAAAAGGAAGAAGAAAAGCGAACAAACGACCTTGAAGGCTGGATCGCGGAGAAGAGGGGTATGAGAGATGGACTTGTCGCTAAATTAAAGGAGCGTGAGCAGAGGAAAAATCAGCTTTCAGATAGGAAGTCGTTAGCTTCACTGAACAGGATGAAGGCTATCGCTCATCTTGCGTCAGACGAGCCCACGAGAAAACGCAGAAGAGGAAATGATGAAGATACATTTGGAGCTGACGACGACGACTGGGCTATCTACCGCGACATCGCAACCGTCAACGAAGATGAGGAGGAAGAAGACGAAGAAATGCAGACGGAACTTAAGAATCTAGAAGCACAACTGCTACGTTACGATCCGGAGTTTACAGAAGACAGCCTTCAGGGTGCAGGCTCGGATTGGAGTAAGAGCTTGATTCATGCATTCTTACGGGGTTGTCACCCGTTCGACCCGGAGAACCAAGCTGAGGCTCATCAAATGCACTTGAATGTTGAGAGGATACGTGTTCCCGAGGTTATCTTCGAACCCAGTATGGCCGGGGTTGATCAGGCTGGTATCGTAGAGATCACATCGGAATTACTCCTCAACAGAATCACAGAGAAACAGCAGAGAGAATCTATATATAGAGATATATTCCTCACCGGAGGGTATACACTTTTCAAGGGCTTCGAGGAGCGAATGCGTACAACCCTCGTATCTGTACTCCCATTCGAAGCCGAATTTGGGGTCAGAACTGCGAAAGACCCACTATTGGATGCGTGGAAGGGAGCGGCATTATGGACGAAGTCAAACATTGGTGAGGCCGCCTGGAAGGGGGCAGCGATCACCAAGGCGGAATACAGCGAGAAAGGAGCGGATTATATCAAAGAGCACAACCTAGGGAATGTCATGGGCTAGGAGCCCGGCATGCTTTGGAAGGTTCCGACTGGCTCGCCGATGCAGTTAGCCAAGGGGGTTAACTGGCAATCGTTGCGAGCCAGCAGAAAGCGCAATAGGCCCGCCATGGAGCCCTGTTATTATACGGGGGCAACAACGAGATCGGGGCCAATGGGCCCCATCTCAATTAAAAGGGCCAGGCGTTCCTGAACGCCGATGTTAACTTTTCTTTTCGTTTGTTTTCGTTTCTTTCATTTTTTTTCTTCTTCTTTTCAGTCGGGTTGAATGGGCGGCGTTTATGTGGCTTGTATTGTAAATTTATGATTATGATATGTTTACCCTTTTTCTTCTTTCTTATATACAAAGCGGTTGCATCACTGGATGTCGATGCCTTCAATATATATTATTATATCTTCAACAAGCCTGTTCGGTAATTCATAGACTCTCCTCCTCCTATTGACCCGGCTAGAGTGGCCCACCCGATGCGTGTTGCTTGTATGACTAAAATCGCAAGTAATCGTGAGTTGTTAATGTGATATTTTCTGGCCTTGAATGCCTGAGTCGTCTACGGAAAATACATCCTCCCCTTCTGTGACAGAAGCCTGGCCCATGCACCGGAACCCCAGGCATCTACGGAGCTTGTTAAGCCATTGTAAGCTTACTAGGTCCCAGTAAGTACCTTTTCCTTGGAAGTTCCATGCATTTTTTTCTTTTCCCTGCGCAAGATGCCCTGACTAATCGACGTCATTACTATATACAGACTTCACCTTCACCGCCAATATTCTACACAGAGAAGGAATACGACAGTAGGCTTCAAACAACGACTGTCTGCATTATTTTCTTGCTGGCAGCAGGTAGTCAAAATTCAAAGAAGCATAACACCGACAGGGTTCTTAACACCAGAGAAGCCAAAATATTCAAATCTCCAATTCACGCGGACCTACAAGATGGCAGACGTAGAATACGAACCCGGCAGCGAAGCCGCCTCGAACATTCTAAAGGACCTACAAGAAAAACTTCAAACCGACACGGAACTCCAAGAACGAGCTCAGGAGTTAATATTGAATATCCAAGATATTCGAGCCAGCGTCAATGCTGCAAAAGCTGGAGCTGGAACTCATAGAAGAGGAGGGGATGAAGTTCAACTCATTGCCGTATCGAAGTTAAAACCCGCGAGCGATATATTAGCATTACACGCCGCGGCCGACGGTGGACAGGTACACTTCGGAGAGAATTACATCCAAGAGTTATGGAAGAAACATGCGATACTACCTACTACGATATCATGGCATTTCATCGGTGGATTACAGACATCATCGATTTCAAAGCTAGCGAGGATTAGGAATCTTTATGCTGTTCATTCTATCGATTCTGCGAAGAAGGCGGTGACGTTGAATCGGTTGAGGCCAGATGGTTTCCCTGTTGTTAATGTCTTCGTGCAGGTTAATACCTCCGGGGAGGATTCGAAGTCTGGGGTGGAACCTGAGGTGGATGGCGGGGAGTTGTGGGATGTTATATCTACGATAAGGAAGGAATGTCCGAAGTTGAATTTGGTGGGGTTGATGACTATTGGGGCTATTGCTAGGAGTCAGGCTGCTAAGGAAGGGGAGGAGAATGAGGATTTTGTGGCTTTGGTTAAGGTTGCTGAAGGGTTGGAAGGGAGGATTGAGAGGGAGGAAGGGGTGAAGGTTGAGTTGAAGTTGAGTATGGGGATGAGTGATGATTTTGAGAGTGCAATTGGGATAGGGGCTGGGTTTGTTAGGGTTGGGAGTAGTATCTTTGGAGCGAGGCCGAAGAAGGCGGATGCTAGTATTCTATAGCCTTTGGTATAGCTAGATACATGCATGTTTACAGATATACAGCATAGACGAAATTTGGGAAATAGATGGATCTTGGGCATCAAATGTATTTGAATCGATAGATTAATAATAAGTTTTAAGAATAGAGTAAATTTATTGTAAAAGGTGAAAGGATGTCCGCTTTGTTCTCTTACATCAGACGCCACACCCATCAATGAAGACGGGCGAAGAATGGTAGACGAAGATGTCTTCTTTCCGCGACAATCATCTCTTCCTATCCCCTTCCCAGTCTTAACTCCGAAGAGGAAAGATGAGAAGAAATACAGGTCAAGACAAAAATTTCTAATCTTCCAACGCTCCGTTAAGAATACACCCTACTTCCCAATGACCCGAAAGTCAATGGGCAAAGGGGATCCCTGCAAACTCTACAGTCTGCATCGCTGGTGAATGATACTTGTTTTCTCAAGAAAAAAAAAACAGATGTAAAAAAGACTTTGAAAGCAGGAAAGACGTCTGTCCGAAGCATGGGGAAGCTTAGCGGCCAGTCGAAATTCAGCTGTATTGAAAAGAACAATCGGTATGATTTCCTTTTTATGCACATTATAATGGTGGAAGAAAAGGAAGCTGTCACTTATTAGTATTTGATTGCATTGAAAACACGAACTCCAAGATGCAAACCCCCCTTCCCGCCTCCCAAGACAAAACCAGAGCTAGAAAGTCAATAACGAAAAAATAGTATTATTATTTTTCCATCTAATCCCAATAGTAGTTATAAAGCGGCGAGATTGTTTCGCCATGATGGTTTCTTCGGATCACCTCACTCAAGAGATGCGATAGATCAATGACAATGAGCTTCTTGTATTTTCGGCAGATATCGTCGCCCAGTGGGAAGGAGTTTGTGACAACGATCTATTCCTAAGTTAGGAGGCAAATCCAAGAGGGTTTCTTGGGGAGGAGGGGGGCAGAAAGAATTTCACGCACCTTATCGATGCACTTGCACTCGTCCATCTCTTCCAGAGTTCCTGGTCCGAAGAGGCCATGCGTAGCGATGCAGTATACCTTCTTTGCACCGCACACCTTCACTGCCAATTCCGCGGCTGCAACCCAACTGCCTGCACGGTCCATCATATCGTCCACAATGAAGATAGTTTTATTCCTAACTTCGCCAACAAGCGTGATCATCCTCTCAATTTGATCATGAGGCTCGTCATCTTCATCTGAAGCGTTAGCATCAACACCACCGAGCGCATGGCTATCATGGCCAAGCACAGACGAAGTAGTCGAGTAAATACTCGACAACATATGATCCAAGTTGCCTTCGCCGTTCTCGAGAACGACGCTAGCTGTCATTGACGGGGATGGGTAGTCGTCGTCAACGACGTGACCTTGGACGAGACGGCTTGTGGTAACGGCAGAAACCTGGTCATCATTGTAAGTATCTTCTGCGTCCTCTTCCTCATCTTCGGGGATCCCGCTATGCTGCTCCTTCAATGGGTGGCTAGACAAGCTAGACAGGCTGTGATGATGGCTATGGTGAGGTGACATATGTGAATCTGGGTGTGGAACGTTACGATGCCCCATGTGGGTATTGATGCCTAACATGTTATGTCGAGGCGACGAATCCGAGGACCCTGAACGTTGGTGCTGGAGATATGAACTCAACCCCTGGCGCCGGAACGGAACAGTATCAGAGCTTCCCTCCCGGACGGAATTAGCCTTCTCGGATTGAGGCTTTGACGAATTTTCCGGGGTCTCGATGGCTTTTTCATTATTCCCAGTATCAACGGTGTTGTTCCCATGATCTGAGTGGGCCGGTGAATGTCTTCTAGACTGTAAGGCGGAGTCGTGGATTGCTCGACGCTTGTCTGTTGTGATCAGGGCAAAGTTAAGTTTAAGGGCATCGGCGAGCGATGTCACCCTGCATGATGAACAAGTCAGACAAAGGAGGATCCACCATTAAGGGGGAACAATATCAATACCTCTTCGTGCCTCCCGGATTTTTGGATACGACCACCGCCTCCCTCCAATTAGGAACGTTTTGTCTGATCCATTTGGCAAAGATTGGTTCCGCAGAAAGATTGTCTACGGGCCTGGAGAAGAAACCTTTCATCTGAGACGCCTGTAGTTTGGGGAATGTTGTCAGTGACATCACGTTTGCCTACCAAGATCCCGTATGTTACCCACATGTAAGTCCACCGTGATAACATGATCCACACCAGCAACAGTCAACAAATTCGCAAGCACTGCAGCGAAATATAGTTTAGTACGTCATAGCTTTGTAAGATAAACATGTAGGATGGTGAAAGAAGCATACTTCTTGCGGTTATGGCTCCCCTATGAGACTTCTTTTTGGACTGTTTCGAGTAAGGAAAGTATGGTAACACAGCTATATGAGCAAGCCGCAGCACCACCAATTAGCAGGTGAAAAAGTCTCTGCATATCTGACTCAACCTTATAAGGCTGAGCAGAATGCGATAATGGGAGATATTTTCCCGATCAACATACCAGTGACTTTGTTCGCCGAACCGCCTTTACAGGCAGATATCAAGATCAAGGTCTCCATGATGGCATCGTTGACCCTGTTCCACAAACATCAACCGCGAGCGGTTTGCTTGTCAGCCTTCAACATTGATCTCCCGTGTACCGAAAGGTCAACGTAGAGAGTGTCCGGCATACTTTGCCCCTCCACCCTGGACAATGAAAACGTCCTGCTCTCTAATCGAGCATCCTATTGTGGTGATCAGTTAGAATCGGTGCCATCGAATAAAATAAGGTCAAACAAAAACAACTGGTTTAGGATGTGGGTTACATACCAACTTGCACGCTGGTCTCGCCATTGGCGAACTTTTTCAGCTCGACTTTGGACGGGGCCCGACCCAGTCTTTCGCAGATGGCATCGCAGAGAGCCGGGTTGGATGTTCCCGAGAAGATCTGGACACGACGCATCGTTACGTTCGTTTTTACTTGTGAGTACTATGTATACCGACTAATCTATGAACTTCGTAAGGCTGAGTGCTGTTTTCTTTTGGTGAGACTGTGTGAATATGACTGCAGTGCCACTTTGTTGTAACAGGTAAAGTCTAGTGTGTGTGTAGTTGGGATCAATTGGACGACGTCTATGATCAAGGTGAGGTAGAACGATGTCGAGGAACCATTTGAAGATCCAAGATAGCCCCCTACATCAGGCGATAGATGTAAGGGACCACAAAACAAGTGACAATGAGATATGAGATGGTCGAAAAAAGAGGAGGATGGACGGAGAGATATACTTGTTCTGGGGTAATACAGTTGAGGTGTGATATTTATGGTTGGTTCTCTCTCAGACGAAGAAATTTAACAACGGAGAAAAAAAAAAAAAAGTTTCGGGCCCGTGTTCGGTTTGGTTAACCGCGGCTGGCCAATGACAACTTCTGAAGACGCTCATCGCAACACATTGTCTGCTGTGGTTGGTCAACCTTCGCTTCTCCACCTTCCCCTCCTTCTGGTGGATATCACCAAAGTGCAGCTGTCGCGATCGTTTTGTTATCGAAAAAGAAGGCCTGGATAAGGATAAGGATAACATAACATGGAAAGGAAAGGAGGTTAAAGATAACATCGACAGTCTCTATAATAAAAATGAGGCTGATATGCAATGTTTGGCTCAATCAGATGGAGGGCCACCTCCACGTGCATATTCCTCCACCAGACACCGGGATCTTGTATGTAATATAACATCTTCGACCCAGTTCCGGTCCCAGTCCCAGTCCCAGTCCCAGTCCCAGTCCTTGTGGAATATATTTAAAAAAACTCCAACTGGTTGACAACTAACAATACTATTGGCATGCCGTTCCCCCGCTCTGGGCAGCCTTAGCTTAGTGGGGGGCAGGTACATGTATTCCAGTCCAATCCAATATCACCCAATCCGGTTCGATCCAGGGAATGTATGTACTCACATACATATGTAAGTACTTCCTTAGTATGTGCTGTATCTCGGGAGCTGCCGGTACACATCAGCGGCGGCGCAAAATACCATGCGATGAGGGCTGCCAGTCAGCCCGCCTGCAGCCCTGTGTAACACTTTGGTCATTGCATTGCGACCACGATGGATGTCTATTAATTAGTATAGTACACTTAAGTAAGATGGGTCCGTCCGCCTTTCTTTCGCATACATACATCTGACCTTCTGCAGAAACTATCCGATTTATACATATGCATACTTTGTTTTGTTTCAATTTTCAAAAAAAAAAAGAACGGACCAGTCGGAATGCGCGTAGATACTTGCCGTCGTTTCTTACCTGGTTCGGGGTTTAACGCCTATTTTGAGTAATCCGGATGCATAAACACGGCCTCATAACTTGCGTAGATATATATAAACCCGAACCGACGCATCATCGCCATGATCATGAATCACAGCCTAATATAATTAATAACCTTTTTTCTTATTCACCTTTTTATTTCGGTTTACTTTTTTATTTCTTTTTTATCTATTTCTTTTGGATTGCTCATGTGCTCGAATTCTTGTGCTGAAATAACATCCTCGGATATTCAACCTCGCCACCAACTAACAAGGGCTATCTCTCGAACTTCTGAAGCTTCCTGGGGAGGGTTCAAGGACACATGTCATTTTTAATTTCTGAAGCTCATCGCTCATCGCTCTAACCCGGATGACATGCGATTCTCTCGCATAAGCTCTAGCTTACCCCAACAATCACGAGTCGAAAAGAATAAGAGAGAAAGAGAAAAAACCCTCGTTTAAACGTTATAAACGGAGCTATGGCGGCCGTTTCTGCCGTTGGGATATTCCGGAGAACCCTGACACTCCGTACCTTTTGACATTAGGCAGAACAAAACCTCATATTGTACCCTTGGAAGCTCATCGCACACACTTTTCTTTCTTTCGTACCTGAATTTTGACTTTTAAAAATTTTCCTCCTCGCTCGTGTGATAATCATTAATGTTTCCCCTGATCATAAGCATGAATATGAAAGTGGAATGGATCCATGGGAGAAGCTTCGAAGATATTATGGATAGTGTAAATTATGAGAAGAGAAAAAATAGTTTTTTATGCGTTTTTCTTCTAGTCTAATTACAAATATCATTATATGGATAGATAAATAAATAAAAGAAAACTTCAAATCAGCTTTTGGGTATCATGCTGGTTTTGTTTTTGAACGAGATCAAGATAAAAAGGATTAAAAAGGAAAAAAGGATCAAGTGTGCATAATATTGTACAATGATACGCAAAAGCAAAATTCCTCTCTAGAAAATAAAAGAAAAAGTAGGATGGTATAATACAGTATGGCTGATGATGAGAGAAGGAGAAAGCCGACTTTTTGCCCGTGATTCCATAGCTTGCGCTTGATAATGCTGTATGTGGTATATATCAAACAATAAAAGTGTATATAAAAAGCAAAAGACTGGTATCAAAGAATCGAAATGAGAAAGAAAGGGAGAAAAGAAATAATAAAAAAAACAAGAGACGAGACGAGATGAAAGCGAGAGCGATTATGTATTAGGTATATTAAGAGGTAAGGATAAAGAACCGCTTTGCTTTTGGGGGTATAAAAAGTCGCTGGAAAAACATTGCGCCGTCCCGATGAGGTTGAAGGAGAAGAGTCGAGCAAGCAGGAACTGATTTCGGATAAAAAGGCTGAGCAGAGATAAAGACCCGGAAATAGCGAAGCACAAGCAGAGCTGAGACGATGGCAAAAAACGAGAGGAAAAAGGATAAATCGCTTGCAAAGAAAAAATTGACTGTTCCGTTAGATGCATGCAGAGAGTCTCGTGGCTGAAAAAAAATATATCCAAGGTTGTGAGGGCATGGTCATAAAGGCAGGAGTTGGCGGAGGCGGAAGAGGATTCGAGATGTCTTTCTTTTTGCCGCTGCAGGGGAAATTGAAGGAAACCGAATGATTTACGTCAAGCCAGTTGAACGCAAGGCTGTCGGTTCCATGGGAAACGGCAAAACAGACGACAGGACGAGGTTGAAAGACCAGGTTTTAAAGTGAACCAAAGAGTCGTCATCCGGTGTCTCATGATCGAGAGTGATATATATGTAGGTATAGTATATGCTTATGATTCCCTGCTGTGTCGTAGCCGCCCCAGTGCGAATGCAAATTATACGGTTTGTCCGATATATGGAAAACATATCGAATTAGGTATTAATTTAGGCATACTGGTCGTACAGAGACAAGCAAGAAGGCAAACACAGCCCTTTGTCGTGAGGATTCAGTGACTCAATCAAATTAGGTCGTTGGCCGTCGTCGGTCGTATTGGGCCTGGGAAGCACAGTCTGTTTACAGACCATGGGTGCATGGCCTGCAGGTCTTTAGCTTGCAGTGCTGGCACTCGAAGATGAACCAATGAGGTTCGGAGTGGCACATCCCACATGTCCACATCACGGCAGTGGTGTCGGACTTGATAATCTTGAAGGCGTGGTGGCAGTGAGCCGTAGGAGCTTGAGAGATTGCACCAGGCATTTTGTTTGAAGATACAAAAGTTATACGAGGGAGCTGTTGATTTGAATATAAAATTTATTTATATGCGGCAGATATAAAGAAGAAGATGAGAATGTGTTGTTGATCGGATTAGGAAGTGCTCGTTTTTGTTCTTTGGGAAGATTAATCGTAGCGAAGAGAGTAGTATCAAGTATAAGTATAAGTAGTATTTATAACGTTCGTGATTTAATTAATTATGTATACCCAACGTTCTGGTTCTGGATCCTGGATTGAAGCCGAGGGACTGGATGGATGGATGTTCGATATGTGTGATGAATGCAAGGGAATGGTGATGGAATGAAGATGGAAGAGCTGCTGGAAGGAGGTGGAATGGGCAATATATAAGAACCGGTGCTGTCTGAGGGTGTGCTGAGGCTCGTCCGCAAGCAAAGGGAAACCCAGGAGACCGGTATGAGGTTTGATTCACCACCACCACCACCACCACCACCACCACTACCACTACCACCACTACCACTACCACCATGCACACACACATCGAAACAAAGAAGCAACTACATACTCGTTATGACCAGACCCTAAAGGGAGAAAGAACAAAGAAAGCAAGCAAGCAAGCAAATCTCTGGTAGAAAAAGGAAACATAAACGTTCTAAATGTCGGAGGGAAAAAAAAAAAGAGCCTACTGTTTCGTGGGCTTGGGTCCGAATGATTGTGCGAGTCTCATTACGGGACTTTCTTCCGCCTGTTCTTGGGCTGCTTTGCTCTCCGGGCACAGCTTCTCTAATTCCTTTTTTCATCTCCCTCCCTCTCTCTTGCTTGTCTTTCATCATACATACTGCCAACACTAATTACCTAGCCAACTTCCCACGATGGCCTCGTAGGGGGAGACCCAGGGGTGAAACTCAAATGTTCCGGTTATCAAAGGGCGAACCAACTGCTAGCTTCCCCGGTTGGCTGCAATGCCACATGGGAAGAGAGCGAAATCGCACTAAGAGGCTTGTGTGAGAGGGGACCCGCTGTAAAGTGAATTTCTGAGATTCATCTTCGATTAGATTTGAGAAAGGACTCTGTTTCTTTCTTCCTTTCTTTCTTTCCGGCTTTCTGGCTTTCACTCTTTATGCCTGAGAGCAAAGGAGCAAGGATGGAAAATCCCCCCCTGTTCAAAAATAGGTCTGGGCTGGCCAACAGGGGTGTTTGGCTTCTGGAAAGGTGCACAGAAGCCTTGGTCAGGTTTCTTATTTTCGAGAGTGGAGAGGCAACCGTTTGTGACCCAACTGTCCGGTTTGTCACAGTTAGTGAGAGGCGCAAAGGAACTTGTTGTATGGATTGTGATCTTTCAATGGAGAGCTTCATTCATGCATTCATTCGTTCATTCACATTCACATTGGCATTCGATCGATCCGTTCGATCGATCCCTCATTCACTCAGTTGTTTGTCCGTCCGTCCGTCCCGTGAATGGACCTGGCCCTCCTTGGTGCCTGCAGCCACGCCGCCTCCTGTGAAGCCGATCAC